CCACCTTGGAGTTTGCTTTGTTATGCCTCCAAATAAGAATCCCTTAGAGATCAACCTTTCCTGGTACAATCCTTTTAAGTGATGTTACAAATTGTTCTTTGGAGAGAGTCTGACCTAAGTATAGTGTCATCTTGGTCGGGATTCAATATTGAGACATAAATCAACAGCTTGCAGCAAAAATAAAATAAAATACAAGCATGATTTTAATTTGGGTCTCACCTCTTCTGGCAAAGGGAAATGCAGGTTGTTGGCTTTACTGTTCGTTTCCTTATGGTCTAATATTGTAACGATTTGCATCTATGATTTCTGCTATTGTAAATATCTAATTTCTTGGCCTCACATCTCTTCCATCTGTTTGATTTAACTGGCTTACATGAGAGCTCAACCTAACCTTGGCTATAATCATTGTGGTGTAAAAAAACAGTGCATAGATTTATCATTCCATTGAGGATTTACTGTCAAATTCCATTTTTAGCTGTTCCAGACATTAACATTAAGCAGTGAACGTGGTTGAAGAAATTGGCCTCTTGGCACTTTAAAAATAAGTTAATTGGTAATGCAACTGTTCCCTTTCATATGCACATTGAAAGTTCATTTTTTTGGAAATTTGCTGTGCTACATTTGTTCTAATAACGTGCTGACATCTACGTTTTGATGGACTGGCTTTCTCATATGCAGCATAGCATAATTAATGCCATTCATTGATCCTGCTGCTGTAGGATGATCTCCAAGGATATGATTTTTTTGTGGCACATACTGTACTATACCTTTAATCGCAAGAACAGGGAGCTGATATTGCATCAGACCAACGATCCATTTAGCCCATCATTCTGTCTCCAAGTGTGGTAGTACGGCACCATTTCTATTTATCAATCCCTCAATTATGAAAGGATCCAACATCTTCTTCCCTGTCTCACATTGAGATAGAATGCCCTTTTTGATCATTTCCATAGGGGAAGTCATGGCAGTCCATTACAGCAGAAACTTGTGGTGCCCTAGAGTCTTAAGAAATACATTGTGTCGTGAGCTTTTGTTGATGAGATTCTGCTTCATACATCTGGTGGAGCTGATTCTGGTCCATGAAAGCAAAGGCTATGATAAATTGGTCAAGTCTTTAAAGCTGCCACTCTTCGTTCGTCTTTCTTATTATATAAACTTCATTGATTACACTTACAGTAAGAAACAATTCCCATGTCCCATCATCCAGCTGTTGTGTTCCGTCCTTCCCACGTTGCAATGAATAATTACATAAAATGAGCAGGCATCACAAGTGATAACTGGACAATATGAAGACACAGAGAGGGGTGGGGTGAGGGGAGAAATAGAAACAAGTTGTCTCTGTAAGCACAGAGCACACCTGTCTTCCACTGCCTCCCGCAGTTTGGTCAAACTCATGCTGGTAGCTTCGAGAATACTGGCCAAACATCTCATCCTCTGTCATCCCCTTCTCCTTGTGCCCTCAATCTTTCCCAGCATCAGGGTCTTTTCCAGGGAGTCTTCTCTTCTCATGAAGTGGCCAAAGTATTGGAGCCTCAACTTCAGGATCTGTCCTTCCAGTGAGCACTCAGGGCTGATTTCCTTCAGTGTGGAGAGCCAGTGTGGTGTAGTGGTTAAGAGCGGTAGTCTCGTAATCTGGGGAACAGGGTTCGTGTCTCCGCTTCTCCACATGCAGCTGCTGGGTGACCTTGGCTAGTCACACTTCTTTGAAGTCTCTCAGCTCCACTCACCTCACATAGTGTTTGTTGTGGGGGAGGAAGGGAAAGGAGAATGTTAGCCGCTTTGAGACTCCTTAAAGGGAGTGAAAGGTGGGATATCAAATTCAAACTCTTCTTCTTCTTCAGAATGGATAGGTTTGATCTTCTTACAGTCCATGGGACTCTCAAGAGTCTCCTCCAGCACCATAATTCAAAAGCATCAATTCTTCAGCGATCAGCCTTCTTTATGGTCCAGCTCTCACTTCCATACATCACTACTGGGAAAACCAGGCTTGCCCTACCACCCACCAAAAGGGAGCCTTCCCTCTACTCTCCCACCACAGCTCATAGGGAAAGCCTGCTGGATCAGGCCAGTGGCCCATCTAGTCCAGCATCCTGTACTCATAATGGGCAACCAGATGAGAAACCAGCAAGTGGAACCCAAGCACAAGACCACTCTCCTGTGGTTTCCAGCAACTGGTGATATTCAGAAGCATACTGGTACTTACTTCAATCACTGCCCTATTGCCAGGCTTGGCTCTGCTCCTGTCCTGGAAAGCAAGGGTAGGTCAGAACTGTGAGGTACCTGCAGAGGAGAGAGAGGGTAGCAAAAAAGTCAGACCTGTTAATGCTGTCTCCTCTTTCCCCACGCTGAAAGGATAGTGTGGCTGTGAGATGCACAGAGCCCCCCCTTTTTTAATAGTGTGTGAAGAACTCAAAGAAGGCTGTGCATCCTTACCTATGAATAAGCCACATTGAAAACTATTGGGCTTCCTTCCAGGTAAACAGAAAAGAAAACTGTACTGTTGATGTCTCAAAAACATGGAGTTTGCAGATTCCTCCGTTGCCGCTGCCCTACAACAGAGCATTATATAAATGGCCTTGTGCTGTGATTCTGTCTCTTTTCTTTGCAGCCAGCTAAGCTGCTTTTGGAGGCAGAATCTGATAATACTTAGCACCCACATCAGCAACTTCTTCTCCATCTGAAGCAATAGTCTCCAATATTTTCTATAGGGAATAGCACAATACCACTGATGTCAGTAAGTATGCAATTGGCAAGCCTCTAAGGGTAACCACAGTCCGTTTCTTTGGCAGATGAATAACCAATTGAATCTTTTCTTGGATTCATACCAATTAAATATCATAGCAACATAATCAAAACAGAGCAGCTTGAAGGCTGTGTACTCAACACAGCACAAAGGATATTTTTTGGCAAATAACTACCCTGACTTCAAAACTGGAGATACTTACCTTAGCTCTTCAATTGCCATATTAGTATTGTATTAAAAATGCCAGTCCTGACTCCCTCTGAAGTGCCTTCCATTCAGTTGCTGAGTTTGATAGAAACTGTCCAATGTCTCCAATCCTGATTCTAACAAAGGAATAGGGAACTCTTTTAGATCTTGAAGGGCCTGGAAAAAGTGTGTCTTCCTCAGAGATGCCACACAAATATGGCTGTTCAGCAGTGGATGGACCCAGAATGTAGGTCTCTTGTCTTGCAAGAGGTGGGAATGGATAATTGTCATAAAAAGACTATGTCATTCCTTGACAGAGTATAGTATGAGTGGCAGAGACCCAGTTGACTGTTGTGATTCAAAGAGATTGGCAATGAGAAATGGTCTAGGAGACTTTAATGTTTAGAAATCCACTCCATGTTCTTCTAATGTTTCTTGCATATCAGAATCTGAAGCCCCTCCAGCTCAGGCTTTAGTTAGGGTTCTCTCTCTCTCTCTCTCTCTCTCTCTCTCTCTCCCCAACATCAACCTGGTGCACCTTCAAGATGTTTTGAACTACAACTCTCATCAACTCCATGCAGCATGGCTGGTGGCAATGGCACTCCTAAACATCTGAAGGGCACTAGGTTGATGGAGGATGCACTGCACAATCTCGATTCAGTCAGGCAGCCATGAAAGACTCTAGTTACATTGGCTTCAATCTAAAGAATACTTGTTTGATACTGAATTTGTTGCCGTAAAATCAAGTTCTCCTTAGACCTTGTTTCTCTGTTTTCCTGGATCCCTGAATAATCTTATACATACTTTCGCCAAACCATTTCCGAAAAGGCAGCAATTGAAATAAATCTGCCCTATGTGTCCCCCTGACACACAGTGGAATTAATAGAATGCTTGACTAGTTAAAATATCAGATAAGAAGTGAAAGTTACCTTGCGTCAGATCTTCAAAAGTGCTTTGACTCCCAGCACCTTTAATTTTGAATTGCTTAACCTGAGGCTTTTAAAACTGAGCCAAGTACACACACAGTTTTGAAAACCAGTTACACAAATGTGTGTTATTCCCTTTTTTGGGTAATCTAATATCAGGGCCAAATGAAAATATCAGATTCTATCTATCTGAAATTAACCAGAAGTAACTGCAAGGGTGGCTGAGTTTTTGTCAATAGTATCTCTTAGAGTGGTGAATAGCACTATTTAGCAGGAAGAAATCCCAATGAAAATCCTCATTATTATATATCTTACATGGCTGTTTATTTGTATATATTTTAAATTTTTATATATGGATGTTTAATGATGTTTTTACGGTGGCCCACACTTGTAATGCCTAACAAAGGTTTGGTGAAGTAAGAAGTAAAAATTAGATTTGGCAAATATTTGATAGCATCATTCCTTCTTTTTCAAGAACCTTTAGAAACAAATTAGTTAGTGGAGAGGAGGAAAAGGGATAGGAACGCTGGGCTTGATTTTTTTGGAGGGGGGGTTGGAAATGGGAAATTTTTGGGAAACTTAACAGGGCTTGTTGAAAATAACAAAAAACCTCATGTGATCCCAAAATACGCATCCATCTATTCATTCTACACGATTCTAGTGTTGCATCCTTTCAATCTGATCTCTGGTGGGCCAGATAATTTGGCTGCATGGGGTATGACTTTAAAATACAGTCATTGGAAAGATACTGAAGACTAAAATACCCTCACAGAAGATATTTACTGCAGAAGGAGCACCAGACATGTGGGATGACTCCTCTGAGCTGGGTAATTTTGCTTTCATCGCTGAGTGGACTAACCTAGCATCTCCCAATGTTCCTGAACTACAGCTCCCATTATGTCTCAGCATTGGCCTTGTATTAAGAGTTCAACAACATTCAGAGGAGCACAGCCCCACCCCCTGTCCCTGTTATAAGTAAAGCATTTCCAGCTGTGAAGCTGAAGTGTGTGTGTCCAGTTTTAATTCCGAACAAAAAAGGATTCCTTGCTTATTAGAAGTCCGGAAAACAGTGCGCTGCGACAACACAATATGTGTCAAGTCAATATGCTTCATTTTGTTGACAAGTCATCTTCAAATTAAAAAAAGGTGGCAGAAGTGTACACATAGGTATGTATTGCATTACAAAGAAACCAGTGACTGATCATTAGTTTCTCTAATTTTAAACAGATTTTATTTCAGAAGTCATGAAGAGTATTTATCCATTGGTGCTTCGGCTGTTATCATCACAGCTGCTTCTGGCATTTATTTGCGGGTGCCAAACCAAACATCCATCTCTCAATCTACAAAGGTTTCTCATTTGGCTGGTGGCATATTTCTGACACTTCCATGGTTTCATTTTCTCTGGATTTGGCAGTAAAGGCTCATTGAAAACACCAGACCAAGAACCTGGAAAAGAAAGATGTTTATGGTATGATTTGGCAGCTTCAGAATATCCTCCACATACAGGCAAATGCACAGCAAGAACATTTTGTTTGCAAATTTCTTGGATTTACATACAGATGAAATGTGCTATGCTGAAGACCATTTCCAAAGTAATTTTTAGAAGTATGACTTGAGAATAGTGGGATTTTAATTAAACCCTTATATACCACACTATGGGAAACTTAAATTTATTCTGAAAGATGGATTGCTTTAATGGGTGAAGACATTGCCTTCTATGGAATTTGTACTGCTGTTTTTTGCTGTAACGTAGGGAGGGAATCAAATCTCATAGTAGCTAATAAAGGTTTTTCATACTACTTCTCTCTCAGAGAGAACCGTCCCAGAATGAAGCCCTTCGGTTCATCAGAAATGAATCACGATGTTATTCTAATGACTTGTTTAATAGTGACTTTGCCATAGAGGAAAGCTCTCACACTGAGGCAGGATGGGGGCACTCAATTTTAGCAGATCAGCCCCTTACCTAATGCATCCCTCTTCACCATTCTCCGTACCATTCCAGGGGGTCCCCTTACTTCTTATGAAAGCCATTCAGCAAATGCAAATATACAAAACAGACTTTTTAAAAAAACAAAACATACTATTTCCCTTTAAGACACACACTTTCAGGTTCAGCATGCATATGGATAAGGGGTCATCTCAGGATCAGTTTTAATTAGAAACCTGTAATTCTTTTCAATTAAAAAGAATTTAATTAGAAACCTGTAATTCTTTTCAATTATTTAATTTAAGAATTTAATTAGAAACCTGTAATTCTTTTCAAGGGACGCGGGTGGCGCTGTGGGTAAAACCTCAGCGCCTAGGACTTGCCGATCGCATGGTCGGCGGTTCGAATCCCCGTGGCGGGGTGCGCTCCCATCGTTCGGTCCCAGCGCCTGCCAACCTAGCAGTTCAAAAGCACCTCCGGGTGCAAGTAGATAAATAGGGACCGCTTACCAGCGGGAAGGTAAACGACGTTCCGTGTGCTGCGCTGGCTTGCCAGATGCAGCTTGTCACGCTGGCCACGTGACCCGGAAGTGTCTGTGGACAGCGCTGGCTCCCGGCCTATAGAGTGAGATGAGCGCACAACCCTAGAGTCTGGCAAGACTGGCCCGTACGGGCAGGGGTACCTTTACCTTTACCTTTAATTCTTTTCAAACCTAGCTAGTAAGAAAAAGGCTGCGTGTCTGACTCCTCTAGTAGCGAAGCAAATGGGCAGCCGTGTAATTCCTCACCTCCCAGCCCACATATTTCCCACATCATTAATTACCACACAATTATCACATGATTTGTCATCAGCTCATTTTGTTAAACATTTGTTATTCCTTTTTATTAGCAGCCGTTTATATTATTACATTTCACGGCTCCTTCCAGCTCCAGATGAAATTTAGTAGCAGTGGTTTAAGTGACAATACAGCTGATTTGCAGCAGTGTTTGGATACTGACAAAGGGGGAGTTGGCCATGGGCTCACAACATGCACAGGACCACATCTGGGCTAAGAGTGGATATTGCTGGGCACCATGCATTGCATAGTGACCAGATTAAACCAGTCTGTGTGGCTCCATGAGACAGCAAGGTCACTCTTCCAAAAGAAGACCATCTGTTGTGGCTGCTGATGCTGGTGGAATTCACAGATCAAGGGCCACCAATTCGCGCCAGTCAGGAATGGCAAAAATACAAACTGATGCAGAAATGTGGTAAACTGTGTTTAAGGTGGGCAGGAAATACTAAGTGGGAGAAACTGAAATCAACAGATTGGTTCATCTCTAGCTGAGACAAACTGTTCTTTGGCTCCTCCTCTCCCAGAGGAGTCTTCTTCAGGTCAAAGGTTGGGAGTGGAGGCAGCACACACCAGGATGCCTCTCCTCATTTTAAACCCACACACATTTACACAAATGCCATTCTAGGGCTTCTTAGTCAGCCTAAAGTGCTGCACAAAAGTGGGGCATTTCCCCAGAGCTCCTTGGAGAAAGAGTGAGACAGAAAGAGCAAGAATAGCTGTAGATATACCTCAATGAATGCCAGCCCAAATGCTATCCCCATAACAATGACCATGTTATTCTTGAAGAACTCCATTATTACTTCTCTGCAAGGCTGAAGGATAAAAGAGACAAAAATTAATGCAAGTGAAATGTTCGCTAGTAATTCATAGGCTTCTAACATGAACACTTAATGGGAATGAACCGAACTAGTGGAATCTCCCATCTTGTGCCAAATATAAGCCATTTGCGGCTTGGCACCAGAAAGGCAAAACAGTGCACAACAAATATCTATTGTCTTAAAACATATATGCAAGTTTAATCTTAATTGAATGGTTAACAAGCTACCCCTGTGCACATTCATCAGGCCTTATGGAGAAAGTGAACATAATCCTTCCAGGAAGAGGGAACTATATATACACAATTTTCAACAGGCCTTGAGGAATATGCATATCTCATGTGAATTTTCAGCATTCTCTGGCTATTATATGTACATAATCTCCAAACAGGTGTTGGGAATGCATATGTGTTGATGGAGGTGACTCAGCTGGGTTCCTCTTTCCTCCTTTTTGAAGCTGGCAGTGCCGGGGGGGACAGGACCCAGAGAGGTCTGATGCTCTTCTCTGTGAAACTCATGCTATCATACCCTCCAATATCCCACTGATCAAAATCTTGTTTTTTGGTCCCAAACTCTCACGGGAGCCAGCTGATGTGCAGAAGAGTGTGAGACCACAAAAAAGCATCTTTTGGTCCAGCGTTCTGGCATGACCCAGCTGACTCACGTTAGAGCACCGGACCAAAAAATGGGACATTCCAGGATCCAATCAGAAGCCAGGATGGCTTCTGTAACTGTGATGTTCCACTCAAATCAGGATGATTGAGGAGTATGAAACCAATATCTGTTCAAGTTAATGCAGTGAAACTTCATACTAAGCCCATACGGACACACATATACGTTCATGTGTGTGTAAATAGACCATACATCACAGAAATGCCAGAAGTCTTTGACCTTCATTCCAGGGAAAGTACCTGAGTTTATAACTGTGATATTGGAGTTCTCAACATTCAGAAAATGGAGGTATTGGGAATTCCATCAATGAAGAAATGCAGGATACAAGCAAAATGCAACAAACACATCACATTTGTTGAAAACTGTACACTGAATGTGAAGCCATGTACAACTTAGAATTTTAAATAGCTTGTAGTATTTTCATTCTCAATTTTTTGCAGACTTTGTTTCTTCTTCTCAGCCCTCCATTAACACATCAGGTTCTGGATCGCACGCTGTGTGCTATAGTACAGGGGAGATGCTACAGTACTGTATGTTTATATTTAATTCTGGAATGCAATACATGACTTGTTGTAATGCATAATACAGCAGCAATGATTAGGAGGAGAATTCCAAATGCGCACGCCAGAAGCAACCCATTCCAAGGTAGACAGAACACAATGTGCAATGCGCATACATTTTGTGGTGGGGCCATTACTCTTCTTCAGATATGTCACATGGCCTCTAACTAGTTCAATAAATAGGACTGCAAGAAAGGCAACAGAAACATAAGTTTTCACCTTTCGAGGTAAGAGGTGACAAGTGTTTGAGGCAAGTAATAGAGCAACCCTTTACCACTATGTAATTTGCCATGTCGCCATGAATATTCAAGCAGTCCAAACAACAATAACCCTCAAAGGAAAATTATGAAACACATTTTCATTCTTCTTACCGTTGTATACTTATCTCCTTTGCAAACTGATGTCCCTGCGTCTTTACTGTCACATTGACAGCCATTATATGTGGACTGTGCCTTTCCCCAGTCACTCTCTCCCTTAAGCAAACCACAGCATTTGTTCTATAGGAGAGGAGAAAATAAAGAGACAATGAGAGTTCCAAACTAGGATGGATAGATAGATAGATAGATAGATAATAATAATAATAATAATAATAATTAATACCCCTCCCATCTGGCTGGATTTCCCCAGCCACTCTGGGCAGCTTCCAACAGAATATTAAAATACAATAGTCTATTAAAGATTAAAAGCTTCCCTAAACAGGGCTGCCTTCAGATGTCTTCTAAAAGTCTGGTAGTTGTTTTTCTCTTTGACATCTGGTGGGAGGGCGTTCCACAGGGCGTGTGCCACTACCGATAAATGGCATGTGTCAAGATCTCAGAGAACTATTTTAAAAAACCAAACCATGTGACTAAACTTGCATATAGGGGGGAAAAGGAGAAACAATAATAATGGCACCGCGTTGAATGGCTGTTCTTCTTGCTGTTGCAGTTAAATGATACTCACCAAAACTCAATGGGAAGCAGGGAGGACTAAGTGCAACAAATAAACAGAAATTCTCAAGAGAAGCAACTTTCTCAGAATACTAACTATCCTTTTATAAGATATGTGTGAGCCAGAGAAATCACATTTTTCTTTCAGTTATCAAAACTAAAGCAGATTTCTTTTAGAATTTTGGTCCCATTTTATCCAAATGTCCACTTTTCATGAGGAGAGAAAGGTTTTGACTTTGAACTTTATTTTAAAAAAATCAGCTGGTGCCACTCTTTACAAGAATCAAGGCTCACAGCTGTTGTAGTCAATTTAATGGGGTGTTTATGTAGGGATGGGTGAATCTGCCAATTTAATCTTCTGTAATTTTCTAATTTTTCCAGTCTTTAGCTCAGTTCATCACATGTTCAAACAAACTTTTTTTTTTAAGTCCTCATGAAAATTCACCAGCCTTTCAGTGCAACACAGCGAAGTTTGCAATAAAAGTTCTCAACTTAGGAAAACCCAAGAGTCCTGTGTTGCTCCCTGAGTTTTCTACAATTTCTGACCATTTGTGTATATCTGTGATGTGTATAATAATGCTTTAATCGTGTTTGTTTTAATACGTTTCTGAGACCTGTCTGCTGTCTGCTGTGTGTGTGTGTGTGTGTGTGTTTGTTTGTTTGTTTTTGGCTATACAGTGGTACCTTGGGTTACATACGTTTCAGGTTACATACACTTCAGGTTACAGACTCTGCTAACCCAGAAATAGTGCTTCAGGTTAAGAACTTTGCTTCAGGATAAGAACAGAAATCGTGCTCCGGCAGCTCGGTGGCAGCAGGAGGCCCCATTAGCTAAAGTGGTGCTTCAGGTTAAGAACAGTTTCAGGTTAAGAACAGACCTCTGGAACTAATTAAGTACTTAACCCGAGGTACCACTGTAACCTGTATTTAGTTGGTCAATAAAATCTAATGCATGCAACTATACACATTTGCAAAACATTTTTTCCCTAACATTATGTGCTTTTGTTTGTTGTTTCTACTTATATATGAATTTTCATGCACACCTTCCCACAGTATATGTAGCTTGTATACATTTTTTGGCTGTACAACTGTATGACAAAATTTGGAGAACCGTGAATTTTGCAGGAAAGGTGTGCTTTTGTTTGGGTATTGTTTGGGGAACTGCAAATTAGTCTGAAGCAAATTTCTCTCCCCAACTATATTTTTTATAAACTATGGGTCGTATCTAGCAGAGCCCTCCACCTGTGCAACAGAACTTCCTCCCACTCTTTTCTCTGCATGCACCTCTCCAAAAACTGAACCATAGAATCATATAATTGTACAGTTGAACGTGACCCCGAGCGTAATCTAGTCCAACTCCCTGCAATGCAGGAATCTCAACTAGATTATACATGACAGGTTGCCATCCAACCTCTGCTTTAAAATCTGGAGGATTAGGGAAACTCCTGGAGTATTTGGGAGGGCACATAGGGAGAGAAGTGAAAAAGGAAATATCAAATATCAAAAGTCCTTGCACTAAGGAGATGACTTTTTTTTTTTTATAATGATACACTAAGGAGATGACTTTCCTAGATGCAGCCCTATTTCTAGTGAATGTCTGAAGGCAGCTCCTTATAATTTCATGCACTGGTGACTGATTAAGAAGTAGAGGGCAACTAAGAGGTAATCATTTCTTTTCAACCCCAGCATAGCTACTGCTTTAGGAATACAACCCTTATTACTAGATTAAGATGGCTTATTCCCAACATTTCTATATTGGTTTGACATTGGCTTACTATCCTTCCTCGTTTTGAAGCCATTGGCCATAGTTTCCTAGTTCAGATGAAATGGGAAACTAATTAACGGAAGGCTTCCAATTGATTTACTTGTTTGTGCAAAGAGAAGAGAGAAGGGGCTGTGTGCACACCCCAAAGTCTTGCTGGTATCTTGGCTTATTAAACCAAGATATTATCATCCAAACATGGCCATTAGGAAATACCATTTTGAAATACCAAATACCATTGCCATTTTCTTTGAAGTAGAAGGGATACCAGCCAGCAGTGGAGGAAACAGTTTAACTAAACGAGGTTAAGAGTCTGCATTCTGTAACTCTGCATTCTTCCATTCTTGTCCCCCCCCCCTTTCATAGTTTTGTTCAGTAGAAAGTTGGTTCCTTCAGCAGAAAGCAAAACTGAGATGTTTCAGGCACCACATAAACAAGAAGAGGAACAGTCATCCCAGCATAAACTGAAACAGATGCTTGCCATAAGTTCTTACAAAGACACTGTGATAGTTTCAAAGCCTATGTATTTGCTGCATTCAGTTCTCTAATGTGAGAAACCCAGGTCTCTCTTATGATAGGCACCTTGAAGCACTTTGGCCATGAGGAGCAATGGGTGTCTCCTAGCCACCTGCCCCTTGAGCCAGTCACTCAGTAGAAGCCCCTCTCTTACCCACCTCCCAACTTTGAACTGGCCTTGGGTGAGAGTAAGAATGAGTGAGATTTCTAAAGGCCCAAACACACTTGGGTTTAATGAACGTTTATCTTAATTCGTTTGCACAAAGTTTGTGAACAGGAGATACAAGGTTGGCTGTTTATCAAGCATTCCTTCTGATTTGTTTGCGGGGAGGTTATACGTACAACAAGTGAGTATTACTCTACTCTATCCACTGCCTTTCCCCCATCACTTTGATTGCCACAAAAAGTCTGATTAATTTACTTATATTTAGGAAGCAGGCTTCTTGTGCACCAAATCCACTTTATTTTTACAATCTGAATGTGCTGACACATGACTGATTCCCACCTACAAAATAGCCACAGTGTGGAAGTGGTCTGACTTAATGCATGAAACTGGTCCAGATTTCAGATCCAAGGCTTGTAACAAACATAGATTTAACCATTAAACAGCTTGGTTCCCCAAGAATTAAGGGTCTAGACATATCTTGAGTCCAAGCACCAATGAGTAAGAATTTCAGCTTTTAGCATTTTTTAAAAAATGTTAATATCATGTTTGTTTTTATTTTGTCTTTAAAGTTTAAATATATATTTAATGCATATATTTAATGCAATTAATTAAAAATAGCATATGGCTGCATTTACACTTATTGGGTTAGATTTATTGGGTGGGTTTACTTGTATTCCGAAATAAGTTAATATGACTATTGTCACAACCGACCAACCTTTTTCAATCTATTCACAAAGAGTAGAGGTTGTGTTCTTTTTCCAATTTCTTGCTATCACTATTCTTGTAACAGTTTAAAAAAACAACAACCCTCATTTGCCTTTATCTCAAATAAATCAGTAATATCATTTACCGCTTGCTCAAATTTGTGAAAACCGGCCTGGAAGTCTTGATTGTTGCCTGTAGTATCCTGCAACATTTGAACCTCCTCGGTTAAGGTCTTGTTAACAACTTCTTCAACCTAGAAAAAGGAACACAATATCAATCAGCATGTTTGATATACTTTCTTCGAAACAATTAAGCATGACTAAAAAAATGTGGTACCTTAGATTTATACACTCCTCCCAAAATACCAGCTACGATTTGAAGAAGCAGGATTATTAGTAGTCCAATGAAAAACTGTTGAGGGGAGAAACAAAAAAAGAGAACAATTAATTATCTAAAAGCAGGGTAAAGGTAAAGGTAAAGGACCCCTGACAGTTAAGTTCAGTCGCGAACGACTCTGGGGTTGCGGCGTTCATCTCGCTTTACTGGCCAAGGGAACCAACGTTTGTCTGCAGACAGTTTTTCCTGGTCATGTCAGGGTAAAGTAGATTTCTGGTAATCTGGCCATTGTATGACATATTTTGAAGTGAGGTGCAAATGTAATTAAATATATATATATTTATTAGTTGCTTGTAGGCTCCATTTTACAGTTGGCTAAGCTATTCCAAATTTTGTCATTGTTCCTTTTGCAGTTCTCCTCTTCCTAGAATTTATATATATATATAGTTTTATGATGTTGGTATATTTGGTGACTGATCAATGCATTTATTGATTTGGTTCAAGCATATGTATAGTTTACTGTTGTCAGTCATTTGTGGGGGGGGGGGTGAGCAAGTGAGATACAAGCCTTTAACATAAATAAAATGGCACATAGATCTTGGTCTACCATTCTGAGTGTTATCATGATGCACCCTCCAGAATAAACACCACTGCTGATTCTGTACTTGTCGCCAGATTTGTCCTATTATACCTGTACCTAGCACTGTTCATGTGTTCAAATGTGTAGAAATGAAAGCATTAAGAGAAGACTGATGGTACTACATGTTGACTCCAGTCATCATTCATTTGCACAGCACCTGCATGCATAGGCACCCATATGTGGAATCCATACTCTAGAAAAATGGAAGGTATGGCCTGGCACCAATTGATGGATGGTTTGAGTTTACTTATATGTCGCTTTCCCCCATAATGAGCTGTGCCCAAATCTGCTTTCAGGAAACATTCAAAAACATCCAAATACAGGAAAATGGAAAGACACATGAAAGGAACACAGAACATGTCAGTAAATTCAGAAGTGTCAAAAAGCAATAAAATAAAATAAATGCCAAACAGAATAAATTCAGTACAGTGGTACCTCGGGTTACAGACGCTTCAGGTTACAGATGCTTCAGGTTACAGACTTTACCTCAGGATGAGAACAGAAATCGTGCAGCAGCAGCGGGAGGCCCCATTAGCTAAAGTGGTACCTCATGTTAAGAACAGTTTCAGGTTAAGAACGGACCTCCAGAACAAATTAAGTTCTTAACCTGAGGTACCACTGTATTACAAAACAACAACAACAACAACAACAACCCACCTAGGCTTAAGTACATAAATACTTAAGCAAAACAAAAGTTAACCAACCAAGTTTCTGGTATTGGTCTTGCTGCACTCCAGGGAGTCTGACTTGAATTCAGTTCAGAAGGGAGGGATAGATGACATGCAACTGGCTCCCATAGTTTTACTCCAGAAGAGGCTGACAACAGGCTGTGTATGCTTCCAAGTTGTATATGCTCTGGCTGTGTCCAAACTGGGCCCTTGAAAGTGTGGTAATCAGGAGTGGTGGAGTCATTGGGTGTGACCCCAATTCATCGCCTCTGTGTAAACACTTCTGAACAGGGATTCAGAAATGTAAAAACTTCTCAGCCTTTTATTGATTCAAGAGGTACTCTTTATACATTATCCCTAATATAATGGCTTGTGAATTATGCATGCTAAACTATATATTTTTATTGTATTGTGTATATTTGTTCATTTAGATGGTACGTCTCTTGGGGTATAATTTCATGTTTTAATTGTATAGAGTCATGTGTGCTAATGGCGCTATATAAATAAATGATGATGATAATTCAATTAATAACAATAATAATCCGAGTCAAATTCCTTTACTGTATCCTTCTGTCTCATGTTTCCTTCATAGTCCACAGCTGCAAAGAAGGGAATTCTTGCCTGTCGCTTTGGAACTTTTTAGAAACACTAAATCATTTCATTGAATATACAGTGGTACCTCGGTTTTTTAACATCTCCGTTGACGAACGTTTCGGAACTCAAACGCCGAAAACCTGGAAGGAAATGCTTCCATTTTTGAACATGCCTCAGCGGTCAAATGGCTTCCGCTGAGGTACCACTAAGTTTTTCTCAAATTTCTCTGTAAACTTGCAGGCTGCCCTTTGCACCTCAGTTTTCAAACATTTTGGAAGTCCAGAACAGATTACGTTCGAAAACCGAGGTTCCACTGTGGAATGTTCCACTGTAAAATGCTCCAAATCACAGACAAAGAAAGGAGACAAGAAGTGAGCACACCTATGTAAACATTGGTGTGGAGAGGCTAGTGTTGAAGTTCCCGTTATTGAATCTCTTACCAGGAGGAGCATGCATTGGCTTTCTTTCATGGCACCACAGCAGCCGAGGAAACCCATCACCATGATGATAGCGCCCACGGCAATGAGGAGGTCAATCCCGGCAAACATGCCACTGCCTTTGTTGAATGACTGTGGAGACAGAAGCAAATATGGTAAACAGAGAAAGGACATTCTTCTTCAAAAGCAATGTGAAAGGTAATCAACAACTCTTTCCTCTAGTCTACTGTGGATGGGATCAGCGGGAAAAGGCATTTGCACCAGTGCAATTTCATGAGTTGAGCCACAGCATATATCTTACACCCAAATACCCAAAGGGCACTGCAGTATTGTTGCAGTTTAGGGCAAAGCAACTGCTACAATGCACTGTTTTGCATTGCTCAGGTATGAGTGGAGAAGGGGCACAAAGCAGCACAGGGGGCGTGGAACATTTTTCATGGCCCTATTGGCTTCAAAAAGCAGAGACACCATGCTGCCAACAAAGGTCCGTATAGATAAAGCCATGGTTTTCCCAGTAGTGATGTATGGAGGTGAGAGCTGGACCATAAAGAAGGCTGATCGCTGAAGAATTGATGCTTTTGGATTATGGTGCTGGAAGAGACTCTTGAGAGTCCCATGGACTGCAAGAAGATCAAACCTCTCCATTCTTAAGGAAATCAGCCCTGAGAGCTCACTGGAAGGACAGATCGTGAAGCTGAGGCTCCGATACTTTGGCCACATGAGAAGAGAAGACTCCCTAGAAAAGACCCTGATGTTGGGAAAGATTGAGGGCACAAGGAGAAGGGGACGACAGAGGACAAGATGGTTGGATAGCATGAGTTTGACTAAACTGCGGGAGGCAGTGGAAGACAGGAGTGCCTGGTGTGCTCTGGTCCATGGAGTCACGAAGAGTTGGACACGACTAAACGATTAAACAACAACAACAACAACAAATCGGCTTCAAAGGCCTGTTCACATGGGATATCCCCTCAATATGTACACATGGCTAATGGGGAATAGGAAGGTGCTTGCTCATTGCATGCCTGACTTCCATACATTCCGTGGAAGGTTGAACAGAACCTATGAATGTACATGTGTGTGTGTGGGATTGTAGACTCTGCCTTTGCTGGGTCTCTCACTGCAAGAAGTGTGCCTGAATGCAAATGTGGGGCTTCTCTCGATCTGGAAGCTGAAGTTAGTGAAGATTCCTGCAGCCTGATTGCTGACAGGAGTGAGACCCTGTTAAAAGTGAGATAAATTGTTGCAAAAGTAACAAAAAGTTGCAGAAAAAGAGGATAACTAAAAGAGGGAGCAGAGGGTAACTACTTTGTGACTTTAAAAGGTCTTTGATACAACGAACGGTCTGAGCGAAGTTATAAAGAAAGAAAGTCACTTCTTGGTACTTTCGGTTTTGGAAAAAACTGCGCAACGAAATAGAACTTTTGTTTCTCCATTTTAAGTTGAAGGAAGTCATCCAGCGACAAAAAATATAATAAAGGGATGGAAAGACAATATTGAACAGTAAAAAATTTTCTTATATGATTGGATACCTCTGCATTTAATTTAATTAAATTTGAACGCTTAAATATAAAAGGAAAGAAAAAAGGACTATGTTGGAATGAGGCTATCTACCCAAGTTGTTTTTGCTTTTTTAAGTTTTTTTTGTGTGAGTCCGCGGAATGAACTGAGAAAGAACAGCTTAGCTATCTGTCTTCAGTACTATATTTTTATTTGGGGCTAAGGAAAATTGGAGCTGAACTAATCACTCCTCCGTGTTTCATTTTTATTTTTATTTTTCATTTCCCATTATCGGATTAGTCTGGACTGTCAAACTAAAGATCACTCCTCCTTTTCTCTTCTCCCTCTGTTTTTACATCTGAACTTAAAAATATTGCTGTTTTCACATTTGAACTCAAATATCACTCCAAAATAAGGAGACTGGCAGCCTTTATAATTATTGGCGGTCAGACTCCTTTAGATACTTCTTCTTTATTTCCTACCTCTGGATACACCTGGTGCCCCTTGGACATTTCTGGATATAATTGGAACACCTATCAGCATTTTTAATAACTTTGGCCACATAATTGAATTATAATTTTGGGGATACAATATATAACCATTGGATTACAAAAATTTAGACAGTACAGCAGCATTATACGGAGGGTATTTCTTCAATAAGAAGTAGGTATGGATATAGCCTAAGTGGTGGCAAGAAGAAAGAAGAAAGGAAGTTAATTTCTTTTTTGCAGTGGGAGATTGATCTTTTAAAAGTGTGAATCTTAAAAATTTATTGGTGTTCCCCCCTATAAGTATATATTTGTGAAAACTATTTTGGAAAAACTGATATACATAAATTGAGTAATATTTAGGTTTAAGTGCATGAGAATTGAGAAGGGTAAAAATTCTTATTTTTTTCTTTCGACGCCTTTTTTTTGAAAAGAAGTGATTTTATGATTTATATTCAGATTGAATATTGATTGTTATTGATCATATATATATTGATTGTCTTTGACTGTATATCATATCAGGTGTTCGGAAATTAATTACAATGTCTCATACACAAAAGAAAGGGGGGGAGGGAGGAACACCGGTAGAGAGGAGAGGATCAAAACAAGAAGCGGATTTTAAAGGAGAGATTTTGAAAATGTTTGCAGAGATCAATTCCAATATTAAGCAGAGTGAAAATAATATAGAAGCAAAATTAGAGCAAATGGACAAGAGAATGGGCCAAATGGACAAAAAAATTGATGTTACAGTTAATGAACTGAAAGGGCAATTGAAGGATGTGAGTAAGTGGACACAGAATTTGGAAGACGGATTGAAAAAGACAAGATTGGAAATGAGGGAAGTGAAGAAGGAGGAAGAAAAAATAAGGACGGGAATGTCGGAAATTAATAAAACACAAGAGGAAGTCTGGGATGCGATTTCTATGAACAAACTCAGGCAGAGAGAAGTGATTTTAAGATTGAGGATGGTTCCAGAGGTGCAAGGAGAAAATATTAAAGAGAAGTTAATAAAAGAGATTGCACAATGGATGGAGATGAATGTAGATGAGGTGGCAAGATCGGTGCAAAGTGCTTTTCGAATGAAGATAAGATCGGCTAAGGCAAGAAAATTTCCGGGGGACTGCCTGATTACCTTTAAGGACAGAGAGATGAGAAATTTGATACTCCAGAAAAATAGAGAGAACAGGCTGAACATTGAAGGAAACTACATAATCATTTTTAAAGACATCCCGATCAGGCTACTTAAACGGAGAGACCCATATAAACCAACAGTTCAGATTTTAAGGAAGAATAATATAGAATTCAGATGGGAATACCCGGAAGGAATCTCTTTTATTTACAAAAGTAAAAGACATAGACTCACGAGCCCGGAAGAAATAGGAAACTTTTTAAGAAAATATAAAGAGCTGCGAAGTGATGAGGAAGAAACAAGAGAAGTGGAACCAGGAATGGAGGCGGCAGGAGGAGTGGACCCGGATGAATTAGAGGAAGAAAGAAAGAGGGAAGAAGAAGAGAAAGAAGAAGAGGTAGACGAATTATAAAATTTGTAATAAAGAATTCAAAATGGTGAAAACGGAGCTAAAGTTATGGACTTGGAATATTAATGGGATTAACGATAAAAAACGAAATAAAGTCGAACAACATTCAAAAAAGAAAAATTTGGATATCATTTGTCGACAAGAAACTCACGTGGCAAGAAGACATAAAAAAAATTAATTAATAAAAGACAGGGAAATGAATTTATATCTTCGGATAGGAGTAAAAAAAGAGGAATAGTTTTGTACATCAGAAAAAAAATTGAAGCTCAACAAATTTTTAAAGATGAAGAAGGCAGAGTTATGGCAGTTCAAATTAAGTGGCAAGGAGAAAAAATAATAATTGTCGGGATCTATGCACCAAATGGAAACAAAACAGAATTTTATAAAAATTTAGAAGAAAGATTGTTCGAATATATGGATCAGAAAATTATAATAATGGGAGACCTGAATGGAGTGGTGTCAATGGAAATGGACAGACTGAGAACAACAGGGGTGAGCAAAGATGGGAAATTACCTAAGACTTTTTTCTCAATGACTAAGAATTGTAATTTGATTGACATTTGGAGACTTAGACACCCACTGGAGAAACAATTCACGTTTTATTCAGAACCAAACCAATCCATGTCAAGAATAGACCAGGTGTGGGTCTCAAATGAATTAACTCCAAGAATCTCGAAAATTGAAATTCAACCAAGAGTGATTTCGGACCATAGTGCAATAAAATTTGAACTAAAGGGTTTTGAAGAAAGAACGTTTAGATGGAGAATAAACGACTATCTTCTAGATGATCAGAAAGTAGTAGAAAATGCTCAAAAGAACCTGTCGGAATATTTTGTAAATAACTGTAATAAGGGAACAAAAATGAGTACGGTCTGGGATGCCAGCAAAGCTGTGATGAGGGGCTTTTTCATTCAACAAAATGCCCTGAAAAATAAAAATAGGGAAGAGAATAAAAAGGAAATATTGAGACAAATAATGGAGAATGAAAAAAATTGATAAAAAAACCAAATAACGAAAAGATAAGACAAAACATAAAGACTTTACAAACACAGTTTGCAATGATAATTGTGATGGGATGATGAGCTGCTTGTGCGTAAAAGCGTATCCCCTCAGAGTTTGTACAAGTCCACAAACCTCTGTCTGTGACGGAGCCCCTCAGACATGGCCCCTCTAGTCACTAGCAGATTCCGACAGTGGTTGCTTTCGTAATCGCTTCCAACATAAAAGCTCCTTAACGGAAACACGTCTTCTGGAATCTCTGCGTGACAGTTTCCGGCGAGGAGTGGGTGTTCTTACAGGAGGTCCTGAAACCTCCCCACTGTTTTCGCTGGAAGTGTCTCTGAGCCATCCCTCCAGCTCAGCTCCTCTCACCCTGCTGGTTCCCTCTTCAGCTGCTGCGTCTCTCCCAACCTGTGTGAGCCCTTTCACCTCCCTGCTGGTTCCCTCTTCAGCTGCTGCGTCTCTCCCAACCTGTGTGAGCCCTTTCACCTCCCTGCTGGTTCCCTCTTCAGCTGCTGCGTCTCTCCCAACCTGTGTGAGCCCTTTCACCTCCCTTCCGTCCGATGGCAGTTCCCTGACATCCACCTCCCCTCCAGGGCCCCCTTCACCCCCTCTCGCCCCCTCCTCTACGGGCGGTGAGGAGGCAAAACCCCGGAATGAACTTCCTTCATCTTCCAATGTCTCGAACACTTCTCTCAACCTGTTGCGGTTCCTGGTCTCGAAGTACACCTCCTCCTCAGAGTCCATCTCCCCTTCCCCTTCCGAGTCCGGGAATCCTTCCAACTCCTCCCCTTCATCAGTGGTCCCAAAGTATTCCCTCCGGAACCTCTCCACAGGCTGAGGTTTCCTTGGGAACCTTTGATGGAACGTTTCTATCAATACCTCGTCATTGATATCTTCAGCCATTACCCAAGTGTTTTCTGACTCCGGTTCTCCTTCCCACGCTACCAAATACTCCACCTGATCACCCTACCACCTGGCGTCGAGGATTTCTGCCACATGGCTGCTGCATTCTCTTTCTTCTACGACCGGTCCCCGAGTGGCCAGTCCTTCTCGTCCCCCTTCGTACGGTGACAGTAACGACCTGTGAAATACTGGGTGCAGCTTCATGTGGTTGGGTAACTGGAGCCTGAAAGCCACTGGATTGACCTGTTGAATGACCTCAAAGGGACCCAACCTCCTGGGTCTTAATTTCTTATAACCTCCTTTGAACGGCAACCCTTGGGTTGACAGCCACACCCTATCTCCCACCCTTATGGTTTCACCTTCCCTTCGGTTCTTGTCTGCCTGCCTCTTGTATTCTTCCTTCGCCCTTTCTAAGTTGAGTTGGAGCTGACAATGGATTGCTTCCATTTCTTCCACAAAATGCTCGGCTGCCGGGACGCTCCATCTCTCCCCATCTCCCCTGGGAAAGCCCTGGGATGACACCCATAATTAGCCAAGAAGGGGCTCATCCCTGTGGACACATTCTCGGCATTGTTGTAGGCAAATTCCGCCAGCGCCAACTTTTCTACCCAGTCATTCTCTCTGTCATTGACATAACACCTCAGGTATTGCTGGAGGACACCGTTTGCTCTTTCCGCCTGCCCGTTGGTTTCAGGGTGCCGGGCAGTCGAAAAATTGACCTCCACCTGCAGTAAGCTCATGAGCTTCCTCCAGAACCTGGAAGTAAATTGTTTTCCTCGGTCTGAGACCACCCTCAATGGCACCCGTGCAACCTAAAAATGTGTTCTACAAATAACTTCGCTGTCTCTTCCGCCGTGACTGCATGCGAGCAAGCTACAAAGTGGCACATCTTTGTTAGTAGGTCTACCACCACCATGATGGCTGTTTTCCCTTTGGACTTCGGCAGATCAGTCATAAAATCTATCGACACTGCCTCCCAAGGTCGTTCTGGGGTTGGTAAGGGTTCTAATAGCCCCGCCGGCGCCCGCCTTTCCCCTTTGGCTCGCTGGCATTGCTCGCACCCTCTTACATACTCACGTACATCTTCCCTCACCTTAGGCCACCAAAATTCCCTGGTGACCAACCACATGGTTTTGTGTTGTCCAAAATGCCCCGCCGTAGGGCTGTCGTGCAACTGCTTGAGTACCCTCCCCATTAATTCTCCTTCAGGGATATACAGTGCCCCTTTGTAATACAAAGCTCCATTTCTTTCCTCGAAACCCCCTGGTTCCTCTCCCTCACCCCTAAGACCTCTGAGCTTATTCTGGGCGTATTCATCATTCTCTGTTTCCTCTACCAGTTCTCTTTGTCCCACCAATGCCGCCCCACACACCCAGCGGTCCTCTGGAATGACATGTCTCTCTTCGGGTGCCCCTCCCCTCCAAATATTCAGGTTTGCGTGAGAGAGCGTCCGCCCTAATGTTCTCTGGGCCTGGCACGTAACTAATCTCAAAGTTAAATTTGGAGAACTCCTGGGCCCATCTCACTTGCCGTTGGTTGAGCACTCGTGCCGTCCTCCAATACTCTAGGTTCTTGTGGTCAGTGCACACTTGCACCTTATGTTGTGCGCCAATTAGCAGGTGCCTCCATCTCCGGAACGCCTCATGAATGGCTAGTAGTTCTCGGTCATACACCGTGTAGTTCCTCTCGGATTTGTTCAGCTTTCGCGAAAAAGGCACACGGTCTCCACTCTGACCCCTTCTTCCCTGGCTGCAGAAGCACCGCCCCAATCGCTCTGTCTGATGCGTCAGTTTCCACTCTCATCGGTTTTTGTAAATCCACATGCAGGAGTTGTTGTTCCGAGGCGAAGGCCCTTTAGTTCCTCAAATGCTCGCTCCGCCTCCTCAGTCCACACGAACTTCTTCTTACTGCTGAGACAGTCCGTAATGGGCGCCGTCAGGTGGGCAAAGCTTCGGATGAACTTACGATAGAAGTTCCCAAATCCTAGGAACCTCTGCACATCCTTCTTTGTTTTGGGTGTTTTCCATTCCAGCACCGCCTGGACCTTGCCGGGATCCATGGCCAATCCCTTGTCTGACAGGCGATACCCCAGGAATTCCACCTCCTTGGTGTGAAACTGACACTTCTCCAGTTTCACCCACAGCTGGCTGGCTTGCAGCCTGCTCAACACTTCTCTGACGTCTCTCACATGCTGCTCCTCATTCTCAGAATAAACCAACACGTCGTCTAAAAGGCCACACAATTCTTGTAAAGCAAAGGCCCCAGGACGTGGTTCATAAACGATTGAAATGTTGCGGAGCCTGCTTGTAGGCCGAAGGGCATAACCAAATATTCAAATGCCCCTAAAGGGGTGAACATAGTGGTTTTCCATTCATCCCCCTTCCTTATTCGTACCAGGTTGTACGCCCCCCTTAGGTCCAGCTTTGTGAAAATCTTTCCCTTCCGCACCCTTGTCAAAATGTCGTCAATCCTGGGCATAGGGAAGGCTACTGGTTCTGACACTGCATTTAAGGCCCTGAAGTCACACACCAGCCTCGGCTTGTTCGTGTTTTTCTTATCCACAAAAACACTGGGCTGCCCCCACCGCCCTGGACTCTCTGATGAACCCTCTCTTCAGGTTCTTGTCAATGAACTCTCTTAACTCCTGCATCTCTCTGTCTGACATGGCGTACAGCTTGCCTACAGGGAGCTGTGCTCCAGGGAGTAAATTGATTTGACAGTCAAAGGGTCTATGCGGGGTAGTTGGTCAGCTTCCCTTTCGCTGAAGACGTCACGGAGATCTGCATATTGTCGTGGTACCTTCACGTTCTCTGTTACTTCAGTCCCTGCTAGGGTGGCTTGGACCCCTGCCAAACCCTTTCCCTCTTTGCAGTGTTCTAAGCAATGTGCTGAACCAAAAGAAACCACTCTCTGATGCCAGCCCACCAGCGGATCATGTAACGCTAGCCAGCTCATCCCCAATATAATGGGAGCTCCTCCCAAGGTGGCCACATTAAAAGCTATCAGTTCGGTGTGCCTTGCTACCTTCATTATCATTGGGACGGTCTGCAAGCTGACTTCTCCCCCCAACAGCTCCCTGCCATCGATCGTGGTCACCTGCTTAAAGGGATTGTCTGTATCTGGTGTTCAGCTGCAAACTCTTTGCTCATGAAATTGCAGGAGCTGCCTGAGTCCAACAGCGCCTTTATCTTTAGAGGGTGTCCGTTTGGCAGCTCTAGCGTCACTTCTATCACTAGGGCGGGTTTAGGAGGTTCTGGCGTGGGCACTCTCACTGCTCTTTGGCCTGGCTGCTGTGCCCTGACAGTGGCAGCCAGGCGTTGGCTTTTACTTGCTCCGGTATTTCTTCCTCTCTTCCATCCACAGCTCCTACCATCCCTTGCCATTCTTTCCTCTGGGGGCAGACTCTGGCAAAGTGACCTGGCTGTTGGCAGAGATAGCATTTCCGGGCGCCTTGTACCGCCTTATTTGCCACCTCTCTGGGCTTTGTAACTGCGCGCGCGCGCGCTGTTCCGATTTCCATCTGCTCTGCCGGTGGGAAAGTTGGCTCTGGAATGTCTGGAATGCGGAACTCCTTCCAACGTTCCCCTTTCCCTTCCCGCCTCTCCAATGCTCTCGCCTCCTGGCGCGCTCCTATGGCCAGCGCTGATTTGGTCAGCTGGTCCATAGACTCCGCCCTGGGCGCCCGGGAAAGTTCGTCTTTCACAGCCGAAGAAAGCCCTTCTTCAAAGAGCATTTGAATGGGTTCCGCCGATAAGTCCCACCCCAATCTGTGAACAAGCATGGTGAACTCAGTCCAGTACTCACGGACAGATCGGCTCCCTGTTTGCAACCCATTAACTGTCTGCGCACCACTCCCTTTTCAATATCGCTGGAAAACATCAGATCCATGGCGCGAAAGAACTTCATTGTGTCCTTTAGGACGTCACTATTCGCTGCCATCAGGGGTCTAACCCAGTCTCTCGCCCCCTTTCAAGATGCTCAATCACGAAAGCCACTCGTGATTCCTCGTCAGGGAATTCATCAAACTGCAGATTGAGGGCATATTGCATTTCTGTCCGAAAGCCATGATAGTTTTGGGCTCCCCAAACTTCTGCACCAATCCTGGTACCTTTCTGGCGAGCTGGGTGGCTTTCCCTTTTGGTCTGCATCCTGAGCCCTCCTCTCCTCAAGCCTCGCCGTCTGCATCGCTAGCTGGACCTCCAACACCCGGTACCTTTCTTCCAGGCTTGGACCCACTCCAGCTCCTGCTTCTCCGGTTCCGGCTGGGTTGCTCATGATGCCTTCTCCTGCACAAGCTGCTTTCAAAGACTGTCGGAATGCTGTGATGGGATGATGAGCTGCTTGTGCGTAAAAGCGTATCCCCTCAGAGTTTGTACAAGTCCACAAACCTCTGTCTGTGACGGAGCCCCTCAGACATGGCCCCTCTAGTCACTAGCAGATTCCGACAGTGGTTGCTTTCGTAATCGCTTCCAACATAAAAGCTCCTTAACGGAAACACGTCTTCTGGAATCTCTGCGTGACAGTTTCCGGCGAGGAGTGGGTGTTCTTACAGGAGGTCCTGAAACCTCCCCACTGTTTTTGCTGGAAGTGTCTCTGAGCCATCCCTCCAGCTCAGCTCCTCTCCTCCTGCTGGTTCCCTCTTCAGCTGCTGCGTCTCTCCCAACCTGTGTGAGCCCTTTCACCTCCCTGCTGGTTCCCTCTTCAGCTGCTGCGTCTCTCCCAACCTGTGTGAGCCCTTTCACCTCCCTGCTGGTTCCCTCTTCAGCTGCTGCGTCTCTCCCAACCTGTGTGAGCCCTTTCACCTCCCTTCCGTCCGATGGCAGTTCCCTGACAATAATAAATAAGGAAGTAGAAGGGAACATAAAAAGAATGAAACAAAGAAATTTTGAATTTGCGAATAAATCAGGAAAATGGCTGGCGTGGTAGATAAAGAAAAGAAAAGAGCAGAATACAGTAAACAAAATCATAATTGAAGGTAAGGAAATAGAAGACCTGAAAGAAATTAGAAAAGGATTCCTGGACTTTTATAGACAACTATACAAAAACAAGGAAAAGAATAATATGAGGAAGATAGAAAGATTCTTAAAGGAAAAAGAAGTGCAGAAGATCCCGACGGAGAAAAAAGATAACTTGAATGCCCCAATTGAAACTGAAGAAATTAAAGAGGCGATAAGCAAATTGAAAAAGGGGAAAGCCCCAGGACCAGATGGATTCACAGCTAGATACTATAAGGAAATGAGAAGCACCCTACTTATACCACTGAAAGAAGTTGTAAACAATATCTTGAAGAATAGGGAAATACTGGAAACTTGGAAAGAAGCCTTTATTACACTTATCCCAAAACAAGAATCGGACTTAACGCAAGTTAAAAATTATAGGCCTATTTCGCTGTTGAACACTGATTACAAAATCTTTGCAAGTATATTAGCAAAGAGAATGAAAAAAGTACTGCAAGACCTTATACATAAGGATCAGGCGGGTTTCCTTCCTGGCAGACAGATGAAAGATAATATAAGAAATATAATAAATATAATAGAATATCTGAATGCCAGGAATGAGAAACAAGCCATGTTAATCTTTGTGGATGCGGAAAAGGCCTTTGACAATATATCATGGAACTTTATGTTAAAAAATTTGGAACATATGGACGTAGGTACGGAATTTTTTAATGGAATAAAGGCAATATATACAGAGCAAAAAGCGAAGTTGATAGTAAACAATTATACAACGGAAGACATTAAAATAACAAAGGGTACAAGACAAGGATGCCCATTATCACCATTATTATTCATCTTGGTGCTGGAGGTTCTGCTAAAATCAATAAGAAAAATGAAGAAATAAAAGGGGTGTCTGTAGGGAAAAATGAATATAAAGTCAAAGCATTTGCGGACGATCTTGTAATGATGGTAGAAGAGCCAGTGGGAAGTGTTAAAAGAATCCTAGAAGAAATAGAACAATTTGGTCAAGTTGCAGGTTTTTATTTAAACAGGAGAAAGACCAAAATTATTGCGAAAAATATGGACCAAGAATTAATAGAGGAAATGCAACAAAGTACAGGGCTGGAAGTGGTGAACAAAGTGAAATATTTAGGAGTATGGTTAACCCTCAAGAATATTGATTTGTGTCAAAATAACTATGTACCTGTTTGGAATGGGATAAAAAGGGATCTGGAGGTGTGGGGAAGATTGAAGCTATCTTTTTGGGGAAGGATATCTACGATAAAGATGAGTGTGCTGCCAAGGATGTTATTTCTATTCCAATCACTACCGATAATTAAAGGGGCATCAATTTTCAAAGAATGGCAAAAAAATAGTTTCAAGATACATCTGGCAGGGCAAGAAGCCAAGGATTCAGTTTAAGTTATTAACAGATGCGAGAGAAAGAGGTGGCTTCGCCCTGCCAGACTTGAAACTATATTATGAAGCATCATGCCTCTGTTGGTTAAAGGAATGGATTAAATTAGTGAATGGAGAGTTGTTAGATTTAGAAGGATGTGATAATAGATTCGGGTGGCATGCATATCTGTGGTATGAAAAGAAAAAAATTCATAAAGGATTTGAAAACCACATCTTCCGAAGATCATTGATAGAGGTGTGGGAGAGGTATAAAAATTTGTTGGAACCAAGACTCCCCCATTGGCTTTCACCATTGGAAGTGATGAGTGTGAAAAAGATAAACATGAGGGGGAGGTGGATAACTTATGGAGAATTGATAGTAAGGGGGGGGGATGGAAAATGAAGACTTATGAAGAGGTGAAAGAATTTGTTTATGATTGGTTGCACTACTACCAGATTAGTGAAATGTTTAAAAAAGACTGTAAAATGTGTGGATATGAAGGAAAAGAATCAAAATTTCAAATAAAGGTATTGAATAATGAGTATAAAAATTTGTCTAAAATGTATAGAATGTTGTTGGAATGGCATACAAAAGATGAAGAGGTGAAATCAGTAATGATACATTGGGCCAGAGACTTTGGTTATAATATACAATATGATGATTGGACGAAATTATGGAATGAAAGGTTAAAATTTACGGCGTGTACCGCGTTGAAGGAAAATGTAATGAAAATGGTATATAGATGGTACATAACGCCAGTTAAATTAGCTAAAATGTATAAAACATGTAACAAGTGTTGGAAATGTAAAGAAAAAGAAGGAACTTTCTATCATATGTGGTGGGAATGCAAAAGGTGAAAGGCTTCTGGGAAACGATATATAAGGAATTGAAAAGATGTTGAGATATACATTTGTTAGAAAACCAGAAGCCTTCTTACTAGGATTGGTAGGTAATGAAATTAATAGAAAAGATTGTAAACTTTTCCAATACGCTGTAACAGCTGCAAGAATACTTCTGGCGCAAAGATGGAAGCAGGAAGAAATTCCAACTGTGGAAGAATGGAGAATGAAACTGACTGAATATGCGGAATTGGATAAACTGACTGGGAAGATTCGATATCAGAAAGACCAAAAGTTTATCGAGGACTGGGGGAAATTTACAGATTATCTGAAAAGCATATGTGATGCACAGACAACGCTTGTTGGTTTTGAAGAGTCTCTGTGAAAAATTAAGAAATATTGTAAAAAAGAAAGTAGGAGAAAGGAAGAGGAATGGTTAAAGGCAATAATAAGTTCAGAAATGCGTTAACAATAGAAATTTTAACGAAAGATTGGCAGAGAAACTGAGGGAAGTCAAAAATTGATGAATGTGAGAGTTAATATGAGTTGATTGTATAAAAATGTTTGGAAAATGAATAAAAAATTATTATTAAAAAAAAAAAAGGAGTGAGACCCTGTCAGCATACGACACCACTGGTCAGAGGCTTGCACTGGTTGCCCATTTGCTACCAGGTAACATTCAAATTATTACTATCAGTTTATAAAATCCTTAACAACTTGGGACCAGTTTACCTGTGAGGTCACCTTGCTCTGTATATGCCCACTTGACCGCTTCAATTCGTGGAATGGGCACTGTTACAGAGACCACATAATACTCGTTCTGCTTTTGTAAGAAATTAATTTTTTAGTGCAGCAGAGCCCACACATTGGAACTCCCTGCTCATTGATATCACTGTATTCTTTCTGGCAGATGCTAAAAACATTTTTATTTAGACAACATATGCCTACCTAGATATCTCGATGTGTGTTTTAATCTATTTTTAGCTCATCATTGATTTTAATTATTTGGGAATGCTTTTAAAAAAGCTGCTTTCAGTGACAATATTATTGTTTTATTATTCTTTTTGGAAACAGCTTTGAGATTATTATTATTATTTCTTACAATCAAGCAGCGTAGAAATGTTCTGATGTAAATAAACATAGGGATAACGGTGCAGATTTTGGGCACCTCCAAATATCCTTTTTTTATTGCGCACGGTGATTTGTGCTCATGATGGTGTCACTGTAGTTGCAACTCTACTTCCAGGATTGCCTCTCCAGTGACTTCAGTTAGTGGAGGCACCCAAAGAAAGGTTTCAGATGATGGTGTTGGAGGATGGACAGGTTTTTAGAGGAGAAGATGACTGCATTGACTCCAGCAGCAGGCCAGTCATAGCCCTGTTTAGGGAAGTTTTTTATGTTTTATGTTTTATCGTGTTTTTAATATTCTGTTGGGAGCTGCCCAGAGTGGCTGGGGAAACCCAGCCCGATGCGTGGGGTATAAATAAGAAATATATTATTATTATTATTATTATTATTATTATTATTATTATTATTATTATTGGATTTGGCTTAAAATGTATACAGTGGTGCCCCGCAAGACGAATGCCTCGCAAGACGAAAAACTCGCTAGACGAAAGGGTTTTTCGTTTTTTTGAGCTGCTTCGCAAGACGATTTTCCCTATGGGCTTGCTTCGCAAGACGGAAACGTCTTGCAAGTTTGTTTCCTTTTTCTTAACACCGTTAATACAGTTGCGACTTGACTTTGAGGAGCAACTCATAGGACGCGGTGTGGTAGCCTTTTTTGAGGTTTTTAAAGACTTTGGTGATTTTTGAAGCTTTTCCAAAACTTTCCTGACACCGTGCTTCGCAAGACAAAAAAAATCACAAGACGACAAAACTCGCGGAACGAATTAATTTCGTCTTGCGAGGCACCACTGTATGCATATTACTTAAAATGTAGCATGCATTCATATACTCATCTACATTCCTTATATTATGTTTAAAGTGGAAATCAGGTGTCTTGTCCTTGATCACATAAATAAAATGTCTTCAGCACACCTCTTTTTCTCTCTCTCTTCAAAAGAGCATTCAAATTAATACAACTCGAGTGCATCTCTGGATTATTCAAGATTTTAAACCTGCAATCCTATGCACAGAGTAAATCCCAATGAACATAGTGGTACTACTTACATCCCTACCTCCCACCCCCCAAAAATCAATTGAATGATGTTTTTCATTATGTTTCTAAGAATGAAATATATTTTTGAAGCAGTGGGTAGCTGAGATAAGGCTCACACTTTAAATGAAGGAGGTTTCTCTTCACAGGAGCCCAACACATGGGACCAAGCTTTCTTCTTTCTCAAATGTGTCTTGAATCAAAAGGAGGTCAAGGCAAATTATGGATTTCTAAAATTATATTTCTAAAATTTTAAAAATGATAATTTAAAAAAACACCCATTATTTCTTGGAAAGCACAAGACTGGATGCCCAGACCATTTTGGGATCAACAAATTATGGAGAAATAATATAGAAAAATAAGGATAAATAATATGGTGAAAAACAAACTTACTTCTTGAGCATCTTTGTTCACACGCATGTAAATAGAGGCTGCCAGAATAGCACATCCACACATCTGTTTATGGAAAGACATTGATCAGCAGTGTAAACAGAATATAAAACAATTACTTTTCAACAGATGCCTGCTTGCAAGTTCAGTGCATACAATCACATGGAGTAGATATAATAATATCATGTGTTCCAGCTCTCCAGTCTCAGTTTGCCAGGAACTGTCCCTGGCTGGTGTTTTGCTCCTAATTTTCCTTTAGAGGAGAAGAAGAAGAAGAAGAAGAAGAAGAAGAAGAAGAAGAAGAAGAAGAAGAAGAAGGAGGAGGAGGAGGAGGAGGAGGAGGAGGAGGAGGAGGAGGAGGAGGAGGAGGAGTTGATATCCCACTTTATCACTACCCGAAGGAGTCTCAAAGCGGCTAACAATCTCCTTCCCTTCCTCCCCCACAACAAACACTCTGTGTGGTGAGTGGGGCTGAGAAGAAGTGTGACTAGCCCAAGGCCACTCAGCAGCTGCATGTGGAAGAGCAGGGACGCGAACCCGGTTCACCAGATTACGAGCTTACCGCTCTTAACCACTACACCACACTGGCTCTTTAGAGGATGATTTGGTCAAAAATCTGACAGCATGGACCATGAACACACAGAGTCAAGTTTCCCAGGTTTCAGCCCTCTTCCAGGTGTCCAGTTAACATCTTCATCTGGGCTTAGAGCACATGCATAGATGCAACCAGGGTGATGGGGTAGGACCTAATGGCCCCTCTCCCAACAGCAGTGTTACTGTCGCTTACCGTGATGGTCTGGTATGGGGCAGGACAGCAGAGAGGAGCAAAACTAGTGCTCCCAACAGTTTGCCCACAGTCCCAAATTTGCACCATCCCAGTAAGTGGCAGCAACACTGCTGTTGGGAGACCACTGCCACCCGACCGCATGGCCACTCCACTGTGCCGCCCATCAGCACACCGCTTCTCTTCCATCTCAGGGTCACTCCCCACCAATAACTACTTATTCACATACAGCAGGTGGATAAAAACCCTCAGCTATGTGTGGCGTGGGTTCCAGCACTGATCCTTGGTCTGAAACCATACAGTGCTTCACAAGACATGCAAACTCTGAAACGTAACAGCAGTCTGCTCCATGTGTTAGCCCAAAAGTTGATAAGTAGATCAATTCAAAATGGCAACTATGTAGTGCTGAGGTGGCAGCTCCCAGGCCTCAACCTCGGGTTGTCCTTCAGCAGCAGTGAGGAACCTGTCTAAATGTGGTCCCCTAGGCATCTCTGTTTAGCTCTCAGGACTCCCCCTGAGGCCACAGCCCTATCCAGTCCTGTTCCATGTTGTCCTCAGGTGCTTTCATCTAGATAGAATATGATTCTGAACTATCCAATGCCTCTTGCCTGTCTGGTTAGAGTGTGTGTATCTGTGTGTGGAAACCTCTGGCTTTTGTGTGGCTAGAATGCAGCCTAGAATACACAGGTACAAGTCATAGCTGTTGCTCCACCCACTTTTACAGAGAGGCTGCACAAAATCTTGGTGTGCAGATATGGCTTAAAGACTGCAGGTTGTGTGTGTGTGTGATTGAGTGAGTGAGAGATCATATGGTAGATAAATTCTGTACTTCTAGAGGTATCCTCATGCTTTGACAACTTACAATATGCAGGCAGCTCAAGGGCAGATTTCCACAAGCAGGACCGGATCATTAACTGTACTTAAGTGCAGACTAACCAGAAGCCCCAGTCTGTACAGTTGTTTGAATGGCTGATCAACAGATACCTTTCATCAGGTTGTATTAAAATTATCTGCAGCTGAGAACACAGCGGCTGTTGCCTTATCACATAGTGGAAAGGCTGTGGCTGTCTTTATTTAAAATATTGCTAACCTGCCCATCAGCATAACAGAGTTCAAGATGGATTAGAAGCATAAGGTGTGCATGGACCTCTTGCTGTCTGTCTGTCTGTCTGTCTGTCTGTCTGTCTCTCTCTCTTTGTGTGTGTGTCTATATTAGTCCCTCTGAATTATTCAAAGCTGGCTCCAGATTTTGGTGGGTCCTGGCCAAGTGATTTGTAGTAGGCCCCGTACCCACCACACAGACAGGGGCCTAAACACACAACTTGCCTAAGCCTCTGGTTCTTGTGGGCAGCAGAAGCAAGAGGCTAGTGCTGCAGGATGATGGGATGGCATGTATCTAGAAAAAGTGGAACCGACAAAGCTGAACGGAAAATGCAAGCTACATTCTTTTGTCCCCCAGTCAAGCTTTTCTTTTATTTACTATTCATAGAAAAGCTAGGTGCTATGGCTTGAACTTGGGACCTTCTGCATGCAAAGCTATAGTTCTTCTCCACAACCGTAAGTGGGGAAACAATGAGTGTGAAGAAAATAGATATAAGTTTCTGCTGGAAGGCAAGAAGTACGATGAACTAACAATGCATATACTAGAAAGCAGGTCTGTATGACAATCAGTAGGGGGGATGCATCCTGTTTCGCCTTGCCCTGCTGCCACCACATCTCTTGCCTAGGTTGTGTGGTGGCAATATGAAGCAGTGGGGCACCCGTGGGGGTGTTGCCTGAGGCGGCTGGTTCACCCTGCCTCGTGGGTGGGACGGCGCTGAGAATCAGTAGAGTTCATAGATTTAAAAGGATGAATTTTGGAGATGTTATAGATGGAAAGCCAGTAGGCCATGACTAAAACAGAGATATAAGCAGGCAGAGAGAGAGAGAGAGTAGGAGAAGGATGAAGGATTATGTGTGTTGAAAGCGAGGGCTTAGGCCAAAATAAAGCAAAACATTATAGTTTCAATCTGAGGAGGAAGTTACATGATAAATGTTTTAGACATAGGAATATCTCTAAATGATTTTTGTGACTGGGTACATATTGCAATATGTCTTGCTAAGAATTTGGGAATGGGATTTACTCCCAAAAGTTCATACAAGTAACAGCTCTGACCTGAAGGGTTTTAGTTCACAAACGCCTCCAGGGATATCATGAATGCATTTGCATTCTCTCATTGAAGTAACTTGAAAAGAATGAGGAAGTCATTGATTCTGAGGAAGACATTATGGGTTTTTCCAGTATGCACCAGTCATAGCTGTCAACTTTTCCCTTTTCTTGTGAGGAATCCTATTCGGAATAAGGGAATTTCCCTTAAAAAAGGGGAAACGTTGACAGCTATGGCACCAGTCAATAGACCATGGGCGTTGCCAAGGGGGCAATTGCCCCCCAATCAATAAAAATACTTAACCACCTGAGGGTTCTGCCCTCCCCTAACATAAACCATGCCCCCCAATATAAATCCTGGCTATGCCCATGCAATAGACACACAAAATACTGAAGTTTCAACTCTGTGCCTTTCCATTCCCAAGCCACTATTACAATTAGTCCTAATTTTGGTCAAGATCTTCAGAAATCTGAGCACTAATCATCTAGAAATATCAGGAGAGATAGAAGTTTCACGCTCCTTTGGGTTGGTGGCAGATGGCTGACTGCATGCAGGTACCCAACTGGTGGTCAGTGTATTATTAGCAACATTAAAACAATGCCTTTCTTCCCCCAACACCCTTTTAATGTGCTGTCCGACCCATGTGCTTCAGCTATACCAAACTACTGAAATATAAGTCATTTTGGCCACATGAATTTAGGGGGCATTAGAAAGGCCTGGGTTCTGAGCTTGCCCTTGGAATTTCACCCTACTCCCCACCCAATTGTGGTTTTTTAAAAGTTATGAATTGCCTTTCACGTGTATCTCAGGGTGATTTACAAACATATTTTTTAAAAAAACAGCAACAACACTCAACTAATTAATGAATTGCCTTTCACATGAGTCTCAATGCAATCTACTAACATACAACAGAAACATACAATAATAGTTTTTAAAGCACTGCCAAAGGATAGATTTAAAAACAATACAAAATGAACACCTTTACATCTTGCTAGAAAAGCATGTTGAAATGAAAGAGTCTCCAACTGTTTCCAGATAGCAAGCACCTGTTAAATATCAGCAATAATGCTGTTCTACAAATACCTCGTTATTGTTTAACTGCTGTTTCAGTATCCCTTGAATTCGCTTTGTTTCGCATGACAATCATTTTGAACAATTCAGACTTACCCAGAACAAAAAGTTGAAGATGAACATAGAGTACTTCATGCAGCTGCTGACACCAGCCATTTTTAATTTTTTAAGAAAAATTCAGCAAGATCAAGGGTGGTTATATAAAAGTAGCACTTCTTAGAACAGTTCCCCACGTCGAACTATTTCTGATCCGCGCTCTTTGAGTAATCGGCTAGACCACTTCCTTACTTTCGAAAGCAGAAAAGGAAGTTCTGAGGAGAAAAGAAGTTCAATTAGTCAAGCCGTGCATATCTTGTAGCTAAATATTAACCAGGCAATTTTAAAAAGCACCAGTCAGAGCTATCTCTAACGCCTGTGTGTGTGTGTGTTCGGTTTACAGCAGCAACATACATCACAGCTACGTATAGTCTTACTAGTCCAACGCCTGAAAAGTAAATGTACTTATTGGAGCCTGGTGAAGGTGGTGGTGGGAAAATCAGAGTGCAGAACTTTAAAGGGCTAGTGTGTTAAGACCAGATTTGAAAAATAAAAACTTAAAAGAACATGTAACAGTTTAAAGATTTTCCCTTTCACCCTCCTTTTGGCATAGAAGCCATATTTACTATTAGAAATGGGATACATGAAAGACATCTATATGTAACAATATTCCAAGGGGAGAACTTGGAGGTGTTTGCAGAATACAACCCCCATGCTTTTCATTCCCATTTTATGGTTTCAACTCTCTTGAAGACTTTCTTTTTTCACACAAAGGTAGGAGTTGTTTCTGAATGAACACCAGGTTTTTGCTACGGCTGTTTATTTCATATACAGTACCTCCAAAATTAACATCAAATTAAGATGGCTAGGGGTCCGGGAGCAAATCCTTAAACAATGTCCCTTTCTTCCAAAAAGGAACACATTAAATAAGGAACCACAAAATAGGGTATCTTACGTATTAAGGCACAAGTTATGTGGACTACAAAAAATAAGCTGAGCATGTGCAGTTTCACATTTTAAACTCATCACTATTTTTCTTCACATCCTGCCTTGGACCACTCACCAACTCTCAGTCCAACCTTTCTCATGTGGCTGTTGTGAAGATATATAATGAAATATAAAATGGCTGCAAAGTTATACTAAGTGCTTGTATCATGGGGATCAAATTTTGGTTCCTTTAACCAGAGCGATACATCTTTGTACTATATAGGGCATGTTTTTCTACCCTCCCCCACATAATTTAGTACACCTCCAATGCTTCAACCAATCTTAAACTGATCTAACTGTTGCATGTTTTAGATGCCTAAGTCCTGCTTGTGTTCAACTGAGCTTACTCCCAGGTTAGTGTGCAGAGGGAACCACTTCCTTCAGCCTGTAGTTATTGGGAGTCTGAAGAAAGCAGAAGGAACTGCTTTCATTTTTTAAAAATGATTTGTTTCTATTTTACTTTTACAGGTAAAATAATACATCCCAGTCCAATTCCTTAAATCAAGGGGCACAGAAAAGTAGTGTACAGGCACCCCAACAGGAAATGAACCTGCTGAGCATGTTCAGGAGTGTCCAAGCTAGTTTTTACAGGTCTCTCCTGTTTTAAGTGATCCCTTCCTGCTCCCAGTTCCACTCCTGTCCATTCTTCACAAGGTCAAGCTTGCTTGAAATGGGAGGACTGGTAGGGAGGGCTGGGGAATGATTCTGCTTTTGGAAGGAGGGGTGGAAGCAATCTTCCTAGTGCTTGGCTTTTCTCAGCTTTTATGGAGAATGTTGGAAAAGCCTGCTCTCTTTTCTCAATAATTATCTTGGGATAACCTGAAAGCATTCGAAGGCGAGCCAGAGAGGAACTCACCCATTTACAGGTAGGCTACAACTTTGACTCTTTCAGAGAAAAACAAAGCCTCTCAGCTAAATGATTAACCCGAACCTGTTCAACTGTCATACAAAAGACACAGTAACCATTCTTATAAGGGACAGAGGGTACCACGCCCTTCAATGCCAAAAAAAATTCCAATCCTCTGCTAGTTTCAGTTGAGTTATTTACTTTCACACCCTATTGTAAAGCCCCATTGTTTTTTTAAAAAAATTAAAGAAAAAACTCGGCATGCCTTGCTGTCCTCAGGAGCTATTCACAAGACGCTTGCTACATAAAAAGCAAAGGTGTTGGTTTGTAAGGGGGGAAAACATCAACATCCAGTTAGGCAATTTTTTTAAAAATAGGGCTAACCAAAATTTCACACAAATGTGGCAAGCTTTCAAGTTCTCCAGAACTTTTCATCAGGCAAGATGCGTGCAAGGAGAAGAATGAGGAAGAAACAAAGAAAAACAAAAGCAGGCGGAATTTTGTAGCCGCGGGGTCAGCCTGTAGACTCGGTTCCAAAAGGGAGACTGCAGACTGAATAAACTCCTCCCTGATTGGGGTGGGGGTGCCCTCATCTAATAGTAAGTGATGTGTCAAAGATAAAGGTTCATAGGGCACCTTTCTCGAATGCAGCTGAGAAAACAAAATGTGGTATACTGAATACTCCAAGTGGCTAAAACTAATCAAAGTCACGATCTTGTTTTGTAAGGAAGTTGTGTCTGAATAGAGGTAACGTTCATGTTCAAAGTCTAAGAACTTCCTTGTTCTGGGCTTCCCACCCATATGACTCATATTCCTTTGTCTCTTATAGGTACAGTCAGTCACTAGATAAAGGTGTGAGGCAGCCTGCTAACCTCATAAAGATTTGGTGAGGATTTTTTTTTTACTTTCCCAAGAAAGGGCTGAGGATGTACTGCCAACCGATTGAATCTCAATCCAGATAAGACTGGGGCACTGTTAGTGGGTGGTTCCCTAGACCAGATGGGTGGGAGGTTGCCTGCTCTTGATGGGGTTACACTTCCCCTGAAGGAGCGGGTTCATAGCTTGGGGGTACTCCTGGATCCTTTGCTGTCGCTCGAGGCTGAGGTGGCCTCAGTGGCCCAGAGTGCCTTCCATCAGCTTTGGCTGGTGGCCCAGCTATGCTCCTATCTGGACAGGGATAGCCTAACTACTGCTGTCTATGCTCTGGTAACCTCAAGGTTAGATTACTGCAATGCGTTCTACGTAGGGCAGCCCCTGAAGACAGTTCAGAAACTTCGGCGGATGAAGAATTCAGTGGCCAGGTTGCTCACCAGAGCAAGACGGTTTAAGCATATTACACTGATCCCAGTCCAAATATAAAAGGTAAAGGTACCCCTGCCCGTACGGGCCAGTCTTGACAGACTCTAGGGTTGTGCGCTCATCTCACTCTATAGGCCGGGAGCCAGCGCTGTCCGCAGACACTTCCGGGTCACGTGGCCAGCGTGACAAGCTGTATCTGGCGAGCCAGCGCAGCACACGGAACGCCGTTTACCTTCCCGCTACTTGCACCCGGGGGTGCTTTCGAACTGCTAGGTTGGCAGGCGCTGGGACCGAACGACGGGAGCACACCCCGCCACGGGGATTCGAACCGCCGACCATGCGATCGGCAAGTCCTAGGCGCTGAGGTTTTACCCACCCGCGTCCCATCTAGTCCAACTATACTGGCTACCAATTAGTTTCCGGGCCCAATTCAAAGTGCTAGTTTTGACTTATAAAGCTTTAAATGGATCAGGACTGCAATACCTCAAGGACTGCCTCTTTCCATATGAACCTACCCGGATCCTGAGATCATCTTCTGAGGCCCTCCGTCATGTACCCCCTCCTCAAGAGGTTTGGAGGGTGGCAACACGAGAATGGGCCTTCTCAGCAGTGGTCCCTCATGTGTGGAATGCTCTCCCCAGGGAAGTTCACCTGGCACCTTCATTATACACCTGTAGGCCCCACGCAAAAATGTTCCTTTTTAACCAGGCCTTTGGTTGATCCGATTTACATCTTATGCCCTTTTTAAAATGTGGGTTTTTTGGGGGGGGGGTTAATTGGGTTGTTGTTTTTATTTGTATTCTATATTTTGTGGTTTTATATCTTGATTTTATTATGTGAACCGTCCTGAGACCCCTGGATATAGGGCGGTATATTATTATTATTATTATTAATAATAGTAATAATAATAATAATAATTAAAACTGAATAGCCTAATTCTGTCCCATTTCAGTCTCCCTGGCACTCAGTCATGGGCCTCTTCTGCCCTGTTTTGTGCAGTTCTTTTTAAAGAACACATGAAAAGTCTGTATTTAAATTGTACACATTTTCCATCCTTTTTTAAAAAACCATTTTAACTACAATTGCCAAAACAGTAGAGCAGCTAGAATTAATTTTTATTGAACCTTTTATTGTAAACAAAACCATAAAGGGAACATTTCCTCCCAATTCCTCCCATGGACACACTCCACACACAAACAGTGCCATCAACTCAGCTATTTCTTTCCCCTCACAAAGAGTAGCCAGCCAGCCAGATACCAAGACAAAATTCAAGTTTTTATCACAAGTAGTGGAAGTAGGACAGCAATAGGAAATGAGCAAAGGAAATAAAATGTGCATGTGCTCATCCCTGTTACCCAGAAATATTAAAGCACGATTAGTCAATGTGGTGCCCTGGATGTTGCCAGTCTACAGGTCTCATCATCTCTGGCCATTAGCCATTCTGGTTGGGGCTGATGGAAGTTGTAACCCAACAACACTTAGAGGACACCATGTTGTCTACCCCTGCATTAAAATATAGTGTTGTTAGGGCAGTGCGTTTTATGAGAAATGGTTGAAATATATGAGTTTAGCATGAAGAAGAGAAAAAAAGGCATACATGATAACTGTCTTCAATAATTTGAAGGCCTGTAGCACAGAAGATGGAGCAGATTATTCTATATTAGTCATCTAGTGTGGGTTCTAGGGAAACCTCTGCAGGAAAACATTTGGTTAAACATGAGGATAGTAGTGGACAGCTTGGAGGGGTGGCAGCACGTACCTGACCTCCCAACAGCTGAGTTGCTGCTGCTTACTAGGAAGGACAACAGGAGGGGTAAAGTGACAGGGAGGTTGCTACCTAGTGCAAACACACCAGCAGAGCCAATTCAGTGCTCTTGCCAATGTGTTAGCACGGTGCCAACCTCCCTGCTTTCTCATCCCACCTTCCTGGTAAGCAGCAGTGACTCAGTTCTTGGAATGTAAGGTGAGAGCCATCACTTCATCATGACACCGGCTACTGCATTAGGAGAAACATCCTACTGCCAAGTGCTCTTCAATGGCGCTTCAGGAAGTGGTGGAATCTCTTTTGCTGGAGGTATTTAAGCAGAGGCTGTCAGGAATACTGTAGTTGGTGTTGTTCAGGAAGTGAGACTAGATAACTTGCAAGGTGAATCCTAAGTCAAAAATTCTATCATTCTAATATTTCCACTGTTAATAGAGATATATAGAAAGTGTAATATAGCGCAGTGATTGTGAATCAGAAGAGAAGGGGTTTTGTTTAGAATTATGGTGCTGGAGGAGACTCTTGAGAGTCCCAAGGCCTTCAAGAAGATCAAACCTCTCCATTCTTAAGGAAATCAGCCCTGAGTGCTCACTGGAAGGATAGATCCTGAAACTGAGGCTCCATTATTTTGGCCACCTCATGAGAAGAGAAGACTCCCTGGAAAAGACCCTGATGTTGGGAAAGATGGAGGGCACAAGGAGAAGGGGACGACAGAGGACGAGGTGGTTGGACAGTGTTCTCAAAGCTACCAGCATGAGTTTGACCAAACTGCGGGAGGCAGTGGAAGACAGGAGTGCCTGGTGTGCTCTGGTCCATGGGGTCACGAAGAGTTGAACACGACTAAACGACTAAACAACAGTCTGGAGAGCTTGATGAAAGGAAACGCTAGGGGAGGCACAAGGGATATTTAACCACACACAGCCACATCTTAGGAATGTTTGAAAGGAGTGTTAATGAATTTCCTGGGGATAATGAAGACTGGTTCTGGCGCTGCATTTCTGTACATGGAGATTTTGATCAATTGTTGTTTTGCAGAACCTTTACTTACAGTGGTGTTGCATCTTATCTGCAAGCACACCTCAAGAAACTTAATAATGAATGGGTGGCCTTCAGTACTTGGTACAGAACTGATAAGGAAATAAGGTTCACTACTGTGACTCTTCCCAGGAGAGATGAGAAATTAAGTTTTAGCACTTGGAAAGCCAACACCCTGGATACTTGGCTGGCAGCCATAGCAGTATGCTAGGTGCAGGAATAGGTAAAGGCAGAGACACCTTCCCCCTTTCATTGTTGTTTGTGGAAGAAAGTAGGCGAGGGGTTCAGTGGTTTATTGAGGGAGAGATCGGACAGCATTCAGTTGTCAGTTATATGATCAGGTGTGTAACAACCACAGTTTAAACTATAGCTCAATTTTCAAAGCCCATTTATAAGCCTGAAAATAATTCATCCCTTCACTAAGAGCAATGGATGCAGCTTCCTGGTCTGCATAGAGTGATTCATGGGTACAGAGAAGACTGCAAAAACTACCGACTGACCCTGGAGGCTCTTTGTAGAGGGCATGCCCACTATGTTCCTTCAGCACTTTGTCCTCCCAAAGGTGCACAATGACATAGTGCTGCTGAGATAGCAGCAAGAAACAATAACAAGAAAAATCAGCAGACCAGCCTGATTCAGGAAGCAATGAGTCACTGGATTTAAATCTGGAGCTGCTTAGAGTCCCGTCCCCCCCAAAAAATAGCAGTTACTAATAAATAATCTAGGATCTGGCTCACACCTTAGGGAAACTGGCAGTCTTATATGTTACATGAAGAGCTGGTTCTTGCACTATGCACCATATAGATGAAGTAGTATGTGACGCAAGGGCAGGCGTCACAATAATGGGACATGTGGGCGTACAGGCACACTGCCTGTGCCCCAACTCACAGAATCGTAGAGTAGGAAGGGGCCCTGAGGATCATCTAGTCCAACCGCCTACAATGCAGGAATATGCAGCTGTCCTTTACGGGGATCAAAATGTCAACATTGGCATTATCAGCATCATACTGAGCTATGTATGTACAGTGATGGCTACATCCATACTTAAGGTAAAAAGGTAAAGGGACCCCTGACCATTAGGTCCAGTCATGGCCGACTCTGGGGTTGCGGCACTCATCTTGCTTTACTGGCCGAGGGAGCCAGCGTACAGCTTCCAGGTCATGTGGCCAGCATGACTAAGCCGCTTCTGGCGGACCAGAGCAGCGCACGGAAACGCCGTTTACCTTCCTGCCAGAGCGGGACCTATTTATCTATTTGCACTTTGATGTGCTTTCGAACTGCTAGGTTGGCAGGAGCAGGGACCGAGCAACGGGAGCTCACCCCGTCGTGGGGATTCGAACCGCCGACCTTCTGATTGGCAAGTCCTAGGCTCTGTGGGTTAACCCACAGTGCCACCTGCATCCCTTTCGCAGCTGTCCTTTACGGGGATCAAAATGTCAACCTTGGCATTATCAGCATCATACTGAGCTATGTATGTACAGTGATGGCTATGTCCATACTTAACCACGCATGTAAAAATGAGTTTCCCAAAGGAGTGAACTGGCCCTAAGTCACTACACAGTGAAATTACTCCATCTTAACTCACTTGTGAATTGCAAGCAGCGCAGTCGGGCCTAGGAGCAAAATAGTGGCAAGCACCTTATAAACAAAGGTGGGTGGTGAGTGAAGGAAAAACCTCACAAGTTGCGAATGTTCGAGTAATGGGGAAAGAAATAATTGCCATTCAAAATAAACGTGCATAAATGACATTCTGTCCAGCCACACACACTTTGTTTAGTCAATGATTGATTATTTAGTTTGTCTGGTCTCCATATTTATGACAGGAAGAGCTTTGCCAACTGGAGCTGTTGATTAGGTATGTGCAACAACAAATAAAAATAATACGAAGTCAGCTGGAAAAATGTGTTTCTCACTTAGCTAAACTATTGTGGCCAGAGTAAAAAGCTGAGGCATTTGATGGAAAACTTTTATCGCTATAAAAAATCTCCCATAGATGCACTGCACACACTGTGCAGCCCACATTCCTTCCTCGAGCCTCCAAAAAGTAAACTAATTGGAATTGGAGAGTGCTAATCTTGGGGAATTAAACAAAGAGTTGGCTCTTGCAAGTGGTGAATAAACCTGTGAGAGAGCAAGAACACAGAAATAAAGAAGAATCATCAATCACGTCGGTGTAAGGCAGAGAGAAGCGTTTTGAAAGGGGCAGGAGAATCTGGAAAATGTTATGAGGAAAGTGAATGCAAGAAAGTGCTCAAGAACTGTGCTCATAACCAGCACTGGTTATGGTGGAAGGATCCAAGCACCCCACAGCAAAGTGGGCTCCCTCATACGTTGCAACCACACATAGTCATCTGCCTATTCACTTCCCTTGGCTTATCTGGAAGCAGCAGCTGTAACAGGGAAATAGGGATGTGCATATATGTCCAATTTTGGTTTCTTTCAGTTCCATTTTTTTTTTCTAATCTCAAGTCCCCTTCACATTTCCCCATCAGTTTGCTTTTTCTAAAGTCCTCATGAAAATTAATCAACCTTGTGATTCTAATACCTTCTCATATATATCTATATTTATGTTCCCTTTTGCCTAATACACAAATTTTCACAAGCAGTCTTCCCATATATGGTACCTATTATATTATTTTCAGTAATATATGCATTTATCAGCACACTTCACACACAAACATATGCATTTTTGTACATCTAACTTGGCTGGAAAACTGCATTGCAAAATTCAGAGATGGCAGAATTTCAAAGAATGACCCTGTTTCAGTTTGCGTTTTGTTTCAGAATTCGATAGGTTTGCCTTTAAATGTGAATTGAATTCCTTTCCCATCCCTGCTGAGAAGGTACCCACCATTTATATTTCCCATAATTCAGTAGTACACTGGGAGATTTAAAATGGCAGGCAGTTTGGCATTGGTGCCATCCCTGACAAGAACAGACAAGAAGGGATCAAGAACTGAACTGTTAATTATTATCAAATATCCTCTCCTGGATGAGGGTGGAGCTCTGAAATTTGTTTTGAATATTTGGCATTAGGCCTGCCATGTAAAGTCACAATAAATAAGAAAATGCCTCTGAGCATGTATAGATTAGTAATTTCCCTTTGTGTCAGGCTCCACACAGCTCATCTGAGCTTGGGGGGAAGTAATGTAAGCAAAGGAACCCATGAAGTCTAGAAGTTAACTAATATCAATATGGCACAATTGCAAACATCCTCATGGTGAGAAACATGTGTCAATCATGGACATAGAAAGTTCACAAATGTCACATTTACAATGTATGCAGATACATCAAGCCCTTCAGCCTTTCATAAGCACTTGTCACAATCAATTTTTAAAAGCATCTGTTTTAATAATCATATTGCGAAAGAATGAGAGCGTTTGAGCTTATATGCCAAGGCAGAGCAGACCTTTTGTCCCTCTGAGAGCTCTGAGGGATGGCAACATTCAGAAGGTGCCTTGCTCCCATTATTTCACACTATGACAGAAGCCCTTAAGCTATCTTAAAGGGACAGAAGCTCTGCCGCTCTTAGCATACAGGCTTCTAGGCTCTGCCAGCCACTCTGAAAGGTTTGAATGCAAGGGCTATAATCATGGCTGATGTGACTGGATGGCAGTGGAAGTAAACTTTTTTTAAAAGCCAGATCACAGTACTACTAAGATGCAGTAGATGGCAGAATAAAACACAAAAAGGGTACTAATGGAACAGGTATTTGGTGACTGCGAAAAAGCACGGTAACGAAAAAAGAGAAGCGGAGGCTACTCCACATCTGGCCCTTCAAAGCAACATTCAACAACATGGGGTCCTCCAATTTAAGCATGAATCCAGAAACTATAATCTCCTAAATTGTAAAATATATGTTAAAAAGGGGGTGTGTGTAAGTCTTATATAGTGTTCATATATAGAAAGATTATATCTTATGTGGAAGGATGTGTGGATCCAGAATTGGCCTCCACAGTCACTTATGAACTCACTGTTAAGACTATGTTCATGGAAGTCAATCTTACTCGGCTATGAGTGATTGCCAGAGAGGAAGAAGAAGATATATACATATATGGCACTTTTTGTTGTAATTTGTTACACACCCTTTACCCCAAGGTCCCAGGCTGGGTTGCAACAATTAAAACACAATATTAATACTTCAACACTATTTGCTACAATGCCCTTTAGATACTGTATATATATACTATCCCCTAGTAAAAAAATCCCTTGATTACATCCTTCATTCTCTTTCCAGCTGACCTCCGCTTGAGCAAATCTCTATTTTGCTGGCTGGCAATAATGTATCTATTACTGCACTGATTGCAAAATTTGCCTTGGCTGCAAGTAAGTTGAGAGCCAGGCACCAAGACAAGTACCAAAATGGGGAGTATGAGTTGTGGGGGTCACGAAGAGTCGGACACGACTAAATGACCAAACAACAACAACAAACTTACGCAGGTGTGATTTTTGCAGTTTTGTGTGTCTGTTCTTCCGTTGTTGCAGTGCAGTTTTAAACCAATTATTTGTATTCTATACATTGTGGCTTGTGTCGATTTGTGATGGGTTATATTTATGGCTTTTAGCCATAAATATTATGCATTCATTCATTCAATATTAATACTGAAACACAATATAACATAATAACAGATTTAAATAACTTAAAATTACAAAATTTAAGGTGGGTCCCTATCCTAAAAATATACACTTCAAGTGCCAACAGCCATGTACATCTTCAGCATCCAGCGAAAGTGTATAGTAAAGGTCCCATGTGTACCTCTGTGTGAATGGGAGTTCTGCAGCTTACAGGCCACCACAGATAATGCTCTATCGGAGGGTGGTGTAACAACCAAGCGGGCTCCCTCAGCTGATCCTAGCACCCAAGAGGGAAGGAGGCAGTCTTTCAGATATTTGGGGCCTGGTATATTTAAGGTGGGATGCGGGTGGCGCTGTGGGTAAAACCTCAGCGCCTAGGACTTGCCGATCGCATGGTCAGCGGTTCGAATCCCCGCGGCGGGGTGTGCTCCCGTCGTTCGGTCCCAGCGCCTGCCAACCTAGCAGTTCGAAAGCACCCCCGGGTGCAAGTAGATAAATAGGGACTGCTTACCAGCGGGAAGGTAAACGGCGTTCCGCATGCTGCGCTGGCTCGCCAGATGCAGCTTGTCACGCTGGCCACGTGACCCGGAAGTGTCTGCGGACAGCGCTGGCTCCCGGCCTATAGAGTGAGATGAGCGCACAACCCTAGAGTCTGTCAAGACTGGCCCGTACGGGCAGGGGTACCTTTACCTTTATATTTAAGGTAGGGACGTGGGTGGTGCTGTGGGTTAAACCACAGAGCCTAGGGCTTGCCGATCAGAAGGTCGGTGGTTCGAATCCCCGCAATGGGGTGAGCTCCCGTCGCTCGGTCCTTGTTCCTGCCAACCTAGCAGTTCAAAAGCACATCAAAGTGCAAGTAGATAAATAGGTACCGCTCCGGCGGGAAGGTAAATGGCGTTTCTGTGCACTGCTCTGATTCGCCAGAAGCGGCTTAGTCATGCTGGCCACATGATCCGGAAGCTGTACGCCGGCTCCCTTGGCCAATAAAGCGAGATGAGCGCCGCAACCCCAGAGTCGGCCACGACTGGACCTAATGGTCAGGGGTCCCTTTACCTTTACTATATTTAAGGTATTTAAATAGCAACTTGAAATGGGCCCAGAAATGAACTGGCACCTGTTTTAAAAGAGCTTACATGTTTACATGGGAACCCCAACTAGCAATGTGGGTGCTGCATTTTGGACCAACTCAGGTTTTTGAGTCATCTTCAAGTGCGTTACAATAATCCAATCTACAGTTCAAGAATCCAGAGCATGGAGTTCAGTGGCCAAGTCATCTTTCTCCAATAGGAACCGTAGCTGGTGAACCAACCAGAATTGGGGAAAAAGCATCCCTAGCCACTTGAGCCTCCAGTGAAAGGACTGAATCCAGGAGCACCTCCAAACTATGGACCTGATCCTTCAAAATGAGACCAATCCCATCCGGAGAAGGCCTTCTCCCTACCTCCTGGACAGGAAGACTTGGGACGCATAACACCTCTGTCTTTTCCACATACAGCTTCAGTTTATTGCCCAACATTGTGAAGCTCATACATACCTTCAGGATTCATGCCTCAGTCTGTGGTTCAGAATTCAAAGTCAGCTTGTTTTTCCTCATCTGTCTCACCGCTGCGTCTGAGGACAGGTCCAAGAACTGCATGACTTTTCCCAATTCACATGTTATGGAAAAATAGAGCTGAGTGTCACCAGCAGATCAATGTCGCCCTGCCCCCAAATCCTAAAAACCTATTCTAGCGGCTTGTAAAGAAAGCAGGGAAGATCTGTGGCTGAGTCCTGGATTCAGGGCATAAGTGGTGTTAGGGACACATTGTGCCTAACTCGTCCCTGACTGAGCAAATAACTTCAGTCAACTCTGTCTTCATACAGATATTAAATAGGATTGAAGACAAGATAGTGTCTCTTCATATAAAACTGGCACAATTTTATATGAATGTAAAATGAGAAACTCTATTTATAGTTGTGCAGTGACGTATGAGTAGCTCATGTTCTGTCAGACAACTATGCTGGATGTTAATTTTACTTTCAGTTGAAGAGCTCTCAACAGCGGCGTTTTGAAAAGTTTGCTCCTTTAATCAGCTAAGGGGTTGTTCATTTTGCTTCCCTTTGAAAGCCTTTCAGGAGAAAGGGTTTGAAAGAATACGAAGGAAAATGAAGAAGGGAAAGTATTTTTAACTTTCCAAAGGAGTATTAACTAGTAGAGATTAAAGAACAGAAGATCTGAAACAACTTGATGGTGTCTTTTCAAGTGAACGTGAGTAGGTTTTACACATTCACATATGCCCTACAGGTGCCCTCGTCCACTGAACCCAAACCAAATTACAAAGTGTGTCGTTTACTATAAAATGAATTGAACAAGTTCAGTCTCTTGTAATCATAGAGGTACCACAAGGGTCATCTAGTCCAACCCTCTTAATAACGTACAGTACTCATAATAAAAAGGTAAAGGGACCCCTGACCATTAGGTCCAGTCGTGACCAACTCTGGGGCTGCGGCACTCATCTCGCTTTATTGGCCAAGGGAGCCGTTGTACAGATTCCGGGTCATGTGGCCAGCATGACTAAGCCACTTCTGGCGAACCAGAGCAGCGCACAGAAACACCGTTTACCTTCTCGCTGGAGCGGTACCTATTTATGTACTTGAACTTTGCTGTGCTTTCGAACTGCTAGGTGGGCAGGGGCAGGGACTGAGCAATGGGAGCTCACCCCGTCGCAGGGATTCGAACTGCCAATCTTCTGACTGGCAAGTCCTAGGCTCTGTGGTTTAACCCACAGCACCACCCGTGTCCCTGTACTCATAATACATATTGCAATTGCTGCAATTGTTTTGCCACTGGAGCAAACTGAGATGCAAAATGCTTGATATTTACCACTGGCATTCCTGGAGCAACCATTACCATACCTTGCCCAGAACCGTGAAAAATAACTTATAGTTTAATATAAATCCATCTTTTCTTGCTTCTGGGCAGATATTGGCTAGCAGCACTTGAGAAGATGTTGACCAATGATGAGATAAATAGTAAGAACATAAAATCATAAGGGGGAAATAATTGTGCAGGGGAATGAACGAGGGAACTGTGTTTCTTATGTGTCAAAAACCAGCACAACAGGTATCCTGGTGTAATTTCCATGCAACAAAGGGTTAAAACCTAAATAAAGGATTTTTACCTCTCATTGTGGACTGTTTGTCTGGAATTCATTGTTGCCTCAAACTGCAATAGTCTGAATTGATTATTTATTGATGACTAGTGAAATTGGGCGATTTTTGAAGGTTGTGGGGTTCTTGAAATGTACCAGTAAATGTCCAAATTTCTTTGGGGTACTTGCCAACTTTAATATCATTGTTGACTTCATAGAAATGAGGATGAAGTTTGTACATTAGTTATGCCAAAAATATCTGCTTGGCCTTGACAAATGGAAGATTTTTTTTAAAATCTCTCTCTCTGGCCTAGTAATGACAAGAACTACCAGTAATATCAATATTTGAGTTTCTGACATTTATTGTAACTTATAGTTGAGCACAGTTTAAATCACAGCTGAGAACATTCAAGAACTTATTATGACAAGACCTTTAATTTACTGGCCAGTTTTTTTGAGGGAAAGGTGTGTGTGCCAGAGATCCACATTTAAACTTTGGATTGTTTTGCATTTTCAGTTCAGGTCACAAATACCTCCCACTTCTGTCTCCATTTTGTTCATTTGTGAGGACCTTGTTAACTTTTATAAAGAGAAAGCTCGCCAGATCATCCTGACCTTTCCAAATCTCCCTCTCCCTCCTATTCTTTCTCTCTTTTATTTTTCTCCCCCACTCCCACTACCTTTCTTAGACCTTTGCCTTGACCCCAGTACGCCCAGCTCGTAAATGCTATCAGAACCTTCTCAAGACTTCTTCAAAGGATGTAAATTACTTCCTTTTCTCACCATTCATCAGTGCTTTGAAATATATTGAAACCACTAACCACTAACCACAACCCCTCACATGTTATCTTCTTCTTCTTTATTTGTCAATATAGCTTTCAGAGTTATGAATTTCACGTTGCTTAATAAAAACCATATGTAACATTTGTACTATGCAGTGCTGCATCTTAGGGCCAAACTACACGTGAAATGGAAGATCTGGGATTAGGTCTCCCAGTATTTTCGTCTTTACTGGATTTTTTTTTTAAGTTCTGGAGGAAAAGGGGTGGTTTGGACTGAGAACATAAGGTAGGGGAAAGAGGTCCCAAGCCAGTGCAAACTATCCCCTGGTGGCACTATTCACTGCAGAGGGGGAAATATACAGGTTCTGTCTATCCCACACCACTCTGGCTGCAAGTAGCCGCTCAGGAGGCTAATTTGCATCAGATAATGGGAATGGTGGGGGGTGAATTCTCCTCCCTGCCACCACAGCTCCAATGTGATTGAGTCCTACTCAGAAATAGTGAGTGTCTGGAAGCACTCTCAGAATCCTGTTATGGACGCAGGGCAAATAACATCTCAGGAAGAATATTCATTTCTACGCTTCACTTTCACTTTAGAGACTATGAACATTTGAAGTCAGACTATTAGTACATCTTTCTGACTGACAGTGGGTCTCCAAGGTCTCAGACAGAGGTCTTTTCCAGGTCTGCGAGCTGAGCGGCTGTGATATGGAGTTGCCAGTTACTGAACTTAGAACCTGGTGTGTGCAAAACATGTATCTTGCCAATGACCCACAGGCCTTCCCCCAAACTGCAGGAGAATTAGAGCCCATGGAGTTAACAACAGCAGAGAAGGCAATAGCAGCTACTTTGTCCCCTCAGCAACTCAACTCAAAGTCAGGTCTGGAGAATCTGTGGCCCTCCAGATTTTGCTGGACTCCAGCTTCTATCAGTCCCAGCCAACTTGGTCAATGGTGTGGGATGATGGGAGCTGTGGTCCATCAACAAAGACCACAAGTTCCCCATCGCTGCTGTGGCATAAGTGAAAGCAACTGCAGTGTCCATGAGGTTAGACTTGCCCTTTGTGGCTAGTCATAAATGAGATCACCATTGACTCATGCGCTAACCTTACTATTACAGAGAATGGGGTAAGAAAATAGTTCAGGATTTTTACATGGTTCAGTGGGTGTCTATTTATAGCAAGAATGGTGCAGTGGGCTTTGCCATAAAACATAGCCATACCATATAGATGGATCAGCTGAATCCATGTGGTAGTAAAGCAGGGAAATACCTTTTAAAAGTTGGACTATTGTTTCGGAAAGATATCTAAATCTATGTCAACCTTTTGGCTCTTGAGATATCTGGAAAACTTGCAAAATTAAGTTCTCCCATGAGAAACATAATCCTTCTTTGATTCAGAGAGGCCAATAAAAATACCACAAAGCAGTCTGTTTTGCTTTCTTCTCCTAACTGAAAGTACAAAATGAATTAAAACTTCCAAAGTGTTTAGCTCTTTCTTTTCTTCAACTATCCCAAACTCTACCCATATTAACATTTAGAACTCCATGTTTGATCTAGGCAGCTGACATCATGAGAAGATGATTCCCATTAATGTCAAACACCAGATCATGATATATATCCTCACCAACCTCAATATTTACAATATCAAGCAGGGGAGAAATAGATCACCCTAATCAGAGAGAATATCACCCTAAGCCATTTGCTGGCACCCACAGTCCTTTTATCAATATATGAGTATCAGCACTTTGGTTTGGAAAATATGCATGCACACACACACATAGCCAGCCAGAACAAATTCTTGCCATTGGCGCTTTTGGTGTGGAGTTTCCTCCGTTTCCCTGGGCACATTTGATCTTGCCTGTAATACTGGTCTCAGTTCAGAAAAGTCTGTTGTTCAGCTTTCCCTCGCAGCTCCTGCCATTGTGCCATCTGTTTAGTTTTAAAGCAGAGGTAAAAAATCACAAAGCGAGATCCTTTGTGCATCATTATAGCCAAGTGGCTTGATATCTTGGCAGCCTGGTTAGCCAGACTTTCATCCCACTGTACCCAGGGATCCAGCAACGTGATAGTCTTTTGAATATAGGATTTCCACTTTCCTGTCAGAGAGAAAAAGACAACAGATAAAGGTGGATTGAACCTGATTAAAACCAAAGCTAGGAAGTCAGTGTGTTTCTGTTGAAACTATAATGGATTTTTTTTCCCAGAATCAAGAATTTTACTGAATTCTGGATCCCCTAAAATTGTAAAAATATATTATTATTCATACTGATTATTCAGAAGGGAAATTCCTGTCCTGCACAGTGCTGTGACCTGGAACCTTCTGTAAAAAAATGTAATTGTGGTTTGAGAAAACAGTTATAGGTACCAGAAAGCAGATGTCAAGACCTGTGGAAAGTGAGTCATGCAGCAGAAATACAGGAACTGTACAGGCTGAGGGGAAGCTGTGGCAGCCTAGATATGGCTAACAGAAGTTAGGTTTCTACCTCTGCTAAAGCTGAGTTTACTGGGACCTATACAGTGTTGATGATAAGAAAAACCCCGAGGTAAGAGACACCACCTTGCCCTACTGTCTCAGAGAAATCATTAGTGTTTCAGGGTCATTATAAAGACATATTAGCTGCAAAGCAACTGTGCTTTGTTGCTGAATTAGACCCAGTGCATGTGATCTCAAGACATCCGAAGGATGGCAACACGAGAACAGGCCTTCTCTGCAGTGGCTCCCATCTGTGGAATGCTCTCCCCAGAGAGGTTCGCCTGGCGCCTTCATGATACAACTTTAGGTGCCAGGCAAAAATTTTCCTTTTTAAACAGGCCTTGGGTTGATTTGATTGACATCCTATGCCCTTTTTAAAATGTAGTTTGGGGGTTTTTTTGGGGGGAGGAAGGGGTTGTTGTTTTTATTTTGATTATATATTTTGTGGTTTTATATTTTGATTTTGTTCTGTGAACCACTCTGAGACCTCCAGGTATAGGGTGGTATATAAATTCAGTAAATAATAATAATAATAATCTCAAAGCGCTGCTTTGGCACAAAGTGCAGTCCTTGTCAGTGGTAGTGAGCTGCAAGCTTTCTTTCTTCTTGACTATCCTGCATTAAGAAACAGGTGGTTTTTTATTTTCATATGTACAAAACAAAACAAAAGAATAAAACGAAGTCCAGGTGCAAGAAATGTATTTTTTTTATAATAAACTGAATTTCTAATAGGCAAAATTTCTAAAACCTGGAGTTCTTCTTCCTCATTTTTTTGACTCTTAGTGGTGCTATCCCAGTTTGGTGGTTGCTTTTTTGTTATGTGGCCATGGATTGCTTGCTTACTCTTGGGGAAAACATTTCATCATAATTATTAAATAGAATAAGAAAAGGGAATTTACTGGGAGCAGGACAACCTTGCATAGCTGTCTGGATACACCAGCTGGAAGAAGATTGGAAAAAATTTAAAGTATATCTTCAAAAATATTGTAATATTAAAGACTGTTAGAAAGATGTTGGAAAAAGAAAATTAGGTAGTTTTGGTAGATATGATATAAAGGATTAAGCAAAAATGAGTTGATGAAATTGATGAAGAGAGGATGTTAAATTATAATACTTTAAATTAAACTACGTAAATGCAAATAAGGTTGGAAGGATTTGCTGAAAAAACGATCTGAACTAGAATACAAAATTGGGAGGTGTGAGGAGGTCAAGGAAATAAGTAAAGGAAAAAAGTTATGTAAAGGTTTAATCTGTTCTTGTTCTATTTCAATTGAATGTATTTTTATACCATCTTTTCTCTCTCTCTCTCTCTCTCTCTGTTATTGTTATATTCTTTTTTGTATTTTGTATTGTTCTTTTTTCTTTTTGTAACTTTAAACTTTGAATAAATATTATTATTAAATAAAATAAAAAAAGGGAATTTACTGGGAGCAGGACAACCTAGCATAGCTGTCTGGATACACCAGCAGAGCCAATCCAGCACCTGCACAATTTCAACCTTAGCCCTGCTCTGCTGTCACCCTGCCCAGGTTAGCGTTAGGGTTACCAATATCAGGAGAGAGGCTCCTGAGCTCTGCCCTGCTACCCAGGCTGCCTCTGCTTCTGCACAGACATGCCTAAGATGGATACGGGAGGATTAACATTCCGCAACATTCCTCTTGTGTTATTTTCTTTTTAAATTGCCACAGATCTCTGGCAATCTCTAGCACGGATCTCATTCAAACATCTCTTACATCTCTGGTCACAATTAGTATTTGTTTTGTTTTGTTTTTGTTTTTTTGTTTTTTTGTTGTTGTTTTTGCTTTTTCCTCATGAGTTTAGTAAGGATGCCAGATTTACAAAGTGTCTTGTTTTAAAGAAAGTACCACCTGGACTTCAAGAGTGAAAATATTACCACAATATCACATCTTAAAGGAGGGGGCAACTTCTGAGGGTGCTCTCACCGCTGGTGTTTGAAGCTGAGTATGCACGACATTAGCCACAATCTGTATTTATCCTGTTGTTTCATAAAGAATAGTGCTAATCAGGGCTTTTTTCCAGCTGGAACTCCCCAGAACTCAGTTCTGGCACTTCTCATGTGGGCACCACTGTGATTATAAGAGAACAAGGAAGGCATTCATGGTGTGTTCTGTCACCTTTATTTTTCTAGAATAACTGCACTGCTGCTAGTTGATGCGTTTTGAAAAGACACATTCCCTTTGCAGTTAAGCTGAGGTGTGTATAGGGAAATCAAACAGGCAATGCACACCAGGTAAAACTATCCCTACCCCTCTCTGGCATGAACAGCAATATGCAAACCTTACTTGAAACACAGCAGGGGGAAATAACCTCACTGCAATTTAAGCTGATAATGGGTGCATAGCCTGAGTCAGAGATTTGTCACCGATATCTTTTACCTGTTCAGACAGCCTCATTTGTGTGCCAGGGATTATTGTTGCCCGGGGAAGAGGAAAAGATTGACAATTGTGGCAATTTCTTCTTAGCCCAACTCTCATCGCCATTCACCACTGGCCATGCTTGTCCAACCCCAGCTAAAGGACCATCCATGCTTCAGTCCAATAGTTATCTATCGTGGATGTAGCACAGGCCTTGAAATCCATCATTTCATCGTCTGGCAAAAGGGTGTGATGTTCTTGACATCCCACACACAGAAAGAGGCTGTTGAAACTGTGCGGCTGCCAGCAAGAATTTTGGAAGGAATCCTGTCCCCACTCAATTGTTTCCACTGACTTCACTGAAGCATGATTTCTTTCATTGTGTTCGCTCCGTGCAACTCTCGCTGAGCCATCCATGGAAGTCTCTGCAAGTCAACCTGGGAAGAGGAGGTGGTCCTGAACACAAAGAGGCTAGTATGAAGTTATTTGTGCAAATCAGTGATTAGAAAGAAACTTCTCCAGTCTCTGAAGTCCCATATGATTCGTCTCTCGCAGCAGCTTTTCATCACCCTGCAATTTTTATATTGTTTTTAGAGAGGTTTGGCTTTTAAATCGATGGTTCTGCTAACCGGGTGGAAGAAGGCAGGCCAGCATCCACAGCTTGCACACACGAGAGCTTTTTTCTGTGTTCAAATCCTAAAGGACGAAAAAATGCTCAAGATGCACATTTTTGCAGCATCTAAACATTCTGTACAACTCCAGCACGAATCAGAAGGATACATGTCTTCAGCCCCACATAGACTCTCTGGCTTTGACAAAGGTGTGTATAAGGTGGGTTTTTCCTTCAAGTTCCTTCCCCAAGTCTTTAGGAAGCAACAGTAGTGTAGTGGTACCAGGCAGAGGGCCTTCTCAGTAGTGGCACCTGCCCTGTGGAATGACCGCTCCCCGCTTAAAATGGGGGGGCGCCCTGTGCGTGGACGCACGCAGCCCCTAGATCTGGAGCGGCTCCATCAGCATAGGCTTGGCTTTGCCTTCCCTCAGGTGGGATACCTGGAGGTCTCCGCCTACCTCAGTCAGTTGTCCAATCCCACCTGGGAAGCGTTGCCAAGGAGACCAGGCCAGGTAGGGGAGGGATTACCTGCCCACACAATAGAGGGAGGATCTTACCTGGGAATCCTCACTTGGCTCCAGAGCTTCTCCCACCCTACCCACCCTCAGTTAATGTCTTATTTTGCAGGTTAACTTTTCTTCACAGGTTTGCAGGTTAACTTTTCTTCACAGGTATGCGGGCGCTGCTACGTTAAGGTCGCTGTTAAAGGGCTGGAAAGGAATTTCCCTGCATTGGCAGGTTTCGCCTTTCCCGTAGCAAAACGTCACAACTTTGGCGGTATCAGGCCTTGGGCGGAATCCTTTAGTCCATCTTCCTCTTTGCGGCGGCGATACCAGGGTTCCCCATTAAAGGGGTTTCTGAAGGGAGGCTTTGACCGTACGCCAAAGGTCGTCATTGCTCTCCCCTGCGGCGGCGGCGTAGCGGGGCGGCTATCTCTGCTTGAACATATGTTCTCCAGAGCCGGCCCATCCCCCCACACACACTGGATAACCCTGATGCTCCCTAGGTCCCCGGCTGGGGACTGGGGAAGGAGAACGCCCAATGCCTGAGCCAAGGTCTACTCACATTTGAAATTTAATAAAGTTGTGGCCAATTTAATCCCATAGCACGTTGTCTTGAGTCATTATTCCACATGACGGGGGGGACCGCTCGGGATCTGGGGACTCAGCCTGTCCATGCAACACCCTCCCAACAGATGTCAAGGAAATAAACAACTACCTGACTTTTAGAAAACATCTGAAGGCAGCCTTATTTAAGGAAGTTTTTAATGTTTGATGTTTTATCATGTTTTTAATATTCTGTTGGGAGCCGCCCAAATGCGTGGGGTCTAAATATTATTATTATTATTATTATTATCATCATCATCAACTGCAAGAGCTCATCATGACAGCTCCACAGCGCCATCTCCAAGAACAGTTCAAAAGTGCAGGCAGTTGTGTGTGTGTGTGTATATGTGTATATATATATATATCCAAAAATATTGTTGCCTGCAGTTAAAAGTTACCACTGTTGTTTCTTAAAAGATTTATATGTGCACACTTGCTCTGCGCTAAACTGCCACAAACAACAGTAAAACATGAAAGCCTCATCATCTCACATCACTAACAAGGAGGGATCTTCAGGTACAGTGGTACCTCAGGTTACAGACGCTTCAGGTTACAGACGCTTCAGGTTACAGACTCTGCTAGCCCAGAAATAGTACCTTGGGTTAAGAACTTTGCTTCAGGATGAGAGCAGAAATCGCACGGTGGCAGCACAGCGGCAGCGGGAGGCCCCATTAGCTAAAGTGGTACCTCAGGTTAAGAACAGTTTCAGGTTAAGAATGGACCTCCAGAACGAATTAAGTTCTTAACCCGAGGTACCACTATACCTTGGTGCTCTGACACAGGAAATCATCGCTTCTGCTCTGAGAAAAGTTCCCAGTGCTGCACTTTTCCACATTCCCCGTCCATGACTCCACCAACAAACAACTAAAAACTGTAATATTGAGAGAAGCCCTCAGCAAACTTGGTTTTCTCATCTAGGTTGAAACTTCAATCAGCTGAGGGTGGTCCTAAACATGCCTGTCTCTACTACTTTGCTGTATAGGATGAAGGTGAGGTGAGGATTTGCTGCCCGCAGCCTTTGAATTAGATCAGTAAGGAAACCAGCATTCTGGGACATACCGGTACCTGAATTTCTCTGCAAGCACACAGTGGACACTGGTGCAGTCCTATGAATGCAAATTTGCCACACAGTGGCCCTGTCTGGAATGCAGCAGCTTTTAACACCATAATTTAGGGCTAGCCCTTCGAATGTAACAACCAGACTTATAAGCCCCCAGTGTATCAAGTGCACTCAGATTGTTCTACTTTCAGCCTTTATTGGTTTGGGATTTTCCAAAGCTCTAAGCTGCTTGATCAAGACCACATGAGACTGCCGAAGTGTCAAAGGATATCACTGGCAACATCCCAGTAACAAATTTTTCCTCCTTTCTTGCATGGTCCATTTAATTGAACACCCCTATCAGTGGCAGATGCATTGCAAAACACATTTTTCACTTTTATGTCTCTCTCTCTCATGTCCCTTTTATGAAAGTTGTAAAGTTATATGCTTAAGAGACTTTGGCTAAAATGTTTTATTGTGAAAATTGATAACATTTACTTTGCTGGAGCTGGGGCAAAATGTTCATATTGTGGACAGACTCTCACGTTATGACTTTTTTATTATTAATGTTCCTATTGTTTACAAGCTATAGCCAGATGCTGATTTGAAATGCACTCTTGGAAGATGAAAGGCTTTCTACTGACACATGCATATGCGTTCTGCTCACTTCAGCGCCACATAGCAGGTACCTGTTCAATACTTGGCAAGGCTATTCCATCTATGAAATCAGACGCTCCCCCTCCCCCATTTTACACCAAATATGCTGGATTCCAGCATTTTGAAAGGCTTGGTCTGAACCTCCAAAGTTCATTTGGCTATCCTCACTTTCCACAATGTTGGCACCAGCTTGAGAGGACCTCACACTAGGAAAAGCACAGGTCTGTGTTTGTACGACAGCAACATTCCCATTGACGTCAATAAGAGTTAGGCGTGGCTATGAACATTTGGGACTTGGCCCTATGTGCTCCTTTTGAAGGAGCCTCTGCTTGGAAAACATGGGTGGATTTCATGAGATAGAGAAAGCAAACTAGGAATCCCCATCTTTGTTTGGACTAACTTCTGGATCTTTGTGCAAGAATAAGAGTGAGGCTCAAGGTTGGAAGTAAGTCAAAGGCAGAAACACACAATTCCTTTCCATACAATCTACAGCAACATAATGTGTTCAGTCGCAGTTTGGATATTTCCTACCCTGCTGTCATTATTTATTCCGCGGCTCGGTAGTAGAAAGTGGGTGTTGTGGTTTGGGGGCACTGAGGGTAGGAACTCAAACCACATCACACTCCTAGTGATGGGAGCATGCATGGGCCAAACAGAGCTCCCAAGTGCATTTGGAATAAACCAGGCTATTTTCTGCTTGTTTGAGGGAATTGCTTGATTTGTTCAGCCCAATTCTAAACCAAAATAAATCACTAATCTTATAGTAGGAAGCTTGCCGGTTGGAATTACCCAGGCTTTTAAACCTGAGGGTTGAGTGTGGGGAATAGTGGAGTCTTCACAGAAACATGGGGAAATATATAAGCAATCTTTTCCATATGGGGGAATAAAAATAAGTCTGTGAGTAAAGCAATCAGAACTCCAGCATCAATCTGCAGTCACCCAACTGGACTGCATGGTTTACAGGTTTATTCTCTCACAATAAATTCCTGGTGTTCTTTTTTTAAAGAAGATAAAAAGTGCATTCATTTCTATGACTTTTTGCAACACAGGAGAAATCTCTTCCTGCCTTCCACCCCAATAGTATTCAGTTATTCTTTGGATAGGGAATGAATGAATGAAACTTTATTTGTGTCAGCCATCGGCCATAGCAACAAAAGAACATTGCAATATACACAGAACAAAATAAAAAGTCGATTATATAAAACACAGTTTAGGGTCCTGAATCAGCAGTCAAATAGTGGGCCTTATTCTGATTGCCCCAGCTAGAAACCTTGCAACCTTTGCAGCCATCTGCTCCTCTTGATCTGCCAGGAGAAAAGACACTGTGGCAGTGGTTGGGCACCCCAGAAGAGACAATAAAAGAGGTGTAATAATCTCATTCCTCAGATCTTTATAAAGAGTGCATGTCAGGAGGACATTCGCCACTGATTCGGTGCTGTCATCTCTGCAAGGACATAGGCGATTTTTGTGTGGAATCTGTTGGAATCGTCCCTCAAGTACAGCTGAGGGCAATACATTCAGTCTTGCGAGGGTAAAGGCACATCTATATTTTGAAGTTGCTAGATTACACAGATAGGGTGCCAGAGAATCAAAGTGGGAGGATGGGAAATGGTCATACCATGGGCAAAATTTCCTTGTTGTGACCATTTGTTCTGACGCTGGAGATCATTTAGGCGTTGGCAAATAAAACTGTTTGCTTTACTATGACCCACGGTGAGTAGCTGCTGTGGGGATAAACCTCAAGAGTGAAGTTTTTGATAGACAATTTTAGACCAGGCACTCTTGTGACAGTCTTGTTGCACTAGGGATAGTAGAATCATAGAATCATAGAGTTGGAAGAGACCACAAGGGCCATCGAGGACTGGGAGGATTTGAGTTTAGGCGAAGCCAGAAGTTAAGTGTCCTGCGCCAGATCCGTAATTCTACCAAGGGGAGATTGGCTTCTAGGTGCAATGATGTGTTTGGGACACAGGGTGGCACAAAAAAATTTGCCTTAAGAGCTTTGATTGGACAGCTTCCGTAGATCCATGGTAAGTGCCAGTCCAAATCTGAGCCCCATATAATAGCTGCGCTAGGGGTTTAGCTGTGGATAGGGACTTGCATGGCAAGGCCCTGGGCCCCACAGTTCCCTTAGATAATAAGCACACGGACATGAATGTTTAGGTTAATGGGATAAAATAGGCCACAACTTTATTGGCCACGCCCCCAGCTATCCTGATTGGTCAGCCAGGGGGGCGTGACGCAGCTGGGGGTCCCTATGATGCAGGCGGCATCCCTCCACCCACAGCTAGGTCACTGGGAGGTCCCGGATGCCCTCCCGCAATGCCGCCCCCTCGGGGAAGGGCAGTGGACATATTTGTTTATGAGGTGACCTTTTCAAGATGGATCCACAGCTGGACAGGTAACTGGAGACCCACATCATTTTATTGTCTCACTCATTTGTAACATGCAGCACCCAGGACTAATATACGTATGTTGAGATACGTATCTTGGAAAGAATTTCTTGTACTGTGTGTTAATCCCATCCTCACAGTACACAATGTATCCACAGCCTCCTGCCAAGGAAAATAAAATGCACAACATTCTTAGGCTAAGCTCCATTTCCAAAGCAATTAAACTGGCTGTTGCTAATTAATACAAATGTCCTTAATACATACGAGACCCCTGACATGCATCTTAGCTCAGGAAACAAAGGTGCGGGGGAGGAAAAACCTCATCTCATGAAGACTTCACAAATACAAAATATTTTCAGAGCATACTATCCATTTATCTCATCCTCTCGGGGGGGGGGCGCTTTTAAAACAAACTCTCTTTATTTCATCTGCTTCTTTTGGCTTTTAACCTTTAAAGCAGGGACATGGATTGTTGGCTCTCCCAAACCAGAAATGGCGTGGCATGGAAGATCGCCACATTGATGTTGTACCCGCCATTTATAAAATATCCCCTTGATGGTTCTAAAAACAAGCTTATCTCATGCTGTATTTCTTGTCAGAATTATACTGGTCAATCTCTTCAGATGTGAGGGGTTCTGGTGGGCAGGGAGACATGTAAGGTACAGATCACTGGAGCTCAGAAATGACTATTGTCACTGGACCTCGAATGTCTGGTAACTTAGTTCCTAATTCTTTGTTAAGGATCCTTGCTACCCACGCCAAATAACTGATCACAAGATACTGCACATGCCCATCATTTGAATGGCAATGGCCATCAGCTTTGAGGGCCCCTGGTCCCCTCAAATATTTTAGGCGAGTCGAAAGGATGTCAGTCCCCAGGATTTGGCTACTACAGTAGATGTGTACCTGAGGCTGAAGAGAAAGGGCATTTGCTTCTATTTTTAACAGACCGGCTGAACATATTCTCTGAATACTAATTCAGTATTGAAAAGGCTCACAGGGCAGTCAGTGTACCACCATAATTAGACTCTGAACTGACAACACTAATTGTCTGCTTTGTACATTGCTCTCTTAAGGAAGAGTAAGTTAAGCTACGGCATAACTACTCTAGGAACTCACACAATACTGGATTCGTATTTTCCCTGATACAACCCAAGATGTTGTGGATAATAATAATAATAATAAATAAATTTTATTTATATCCCACCCTCCCCAGCCAAAGCCGGGCTCAGGGCGGTTAACAACAATAAAACAGTACAACAGTAAACACAACACTCTAAAATCATTCATTATAAAAGAAAGGTTGCTTGTTTTTCTAAAGCCAAAGGTTTTGAGCTGTAGAGAGAAAAGCAGACTTTCTATATAAAAAAAAAAATCATGTTGCTTTATGCACTAAATAGATGGGCAGATAGAGGAATTCTCTCTTTCAGCAAGCAGCGGCTTTATGTTTAAACTCTGATTGCTTAAAACTTCTTGGTACTGAAACAGGGGCTCTGACTAGCTTTGGGACACATGTTATTGTTGAACTAACTCTGAGGTTATTCGTTTCCTAAATATTGTTTACATGATCTAGCAGCCTTCATTTTAGACCATGAAATATTTTTGACCATGAAATTGTGCTAGCAACAACAGAGACCACATCAGAAACAGATTTGGAACCTCTGGATCTCAGGCTATTCGTCTTGCTTTCAGTTCTGGTTCCATATATCTATATTCAGTGCAGCCAAGCTGTAGTAGTTAACTTTTGCTGAATTCTACCAACTCATCACACAGGTGAATATGGCACCTTCACTGTACAGCTTTTGTTGAATGCTGAAGACACACCTCTTCAGCCTGACCTTTGACACTTGAGATGTATATTCTTAGGACCCACCCTATTCTTGTGGTTGTAGTTTGCTTTAAACTGTTCGTTAATGTTGCATGTTAAATTGTTGTGACCTGCCTTGGGACCTTGGGGTGAAGGGCAGGTAATAAAATAAAATAATCAGTGTTCCTGTTATTTAAATCTTCGGTGGGATGTTGAAGCTGCCTGCCTGCCCTTAGCTCTATCTGCCTTTTACCTTAAGGTTACCAGATGTCCCCATTTTCCGGGGACAGTCTCCAGATTTACAAGTCAGTCCCCTGACAAAATCCATCTATTTAGTAGGAAGTTGAAAAGTGTCCCCGGATTCATTGAAAAAAATCTGGTAACCTTATTTTACCTTCAATCTACAGATTACTTGAAGACCATAAAAAAATCTTATGTTTAAGAATGTTTGACCAATACAACCACAAATTCACTTAAACAGGAATCTGGGACAGGAATAGTGTTATCATTAGTTCAACTAGGCAGGCACCTAGGGCGCAGACCTCAGAGGGGCACAGTTTTATACAGATTAGCTTTTGTTATATCTTATATATTTTGGATAATATTTTTCTTTTCTTTTCTTTTTTGAAGAATTTTATCATATTTGAAGTACCGTACTTTTCCATGTATAAGACTAGGGGTTTTTTTTACAAAAAAAATAATGTTAAAAGTCTTATACCATGGGGCAAATCTCTCTCCCCCCCCCCATTTTCTTAATTTTGAGTCCCCCAAAATAGGGGACGACTTATACACGGGGGCATGTTATACACAGAAAAATATGGTAATTCATACATTAGACTTGTTTTTTATGTGTACATGAAATAGACCAAGTTGACTGGAGGTTATGTAAAATACACTTAATTTTAAATCTTATAGTCACATCTTAATCTTATTTAGAAAATGTATTCATTTTTCTAGTGAGTGATGGCTGATAAAACAACAACAACAACCCTCTGGAGCCCAGTACCACAAACGAAAGGCAGAAAAAGCTAAGGAGGAAGCAAAGCTAGAGGGGTTCTTCCTGAAAGACCTTTGTACACTGAAAGTAACTGAAGACAAGAATATGACTGAATTTTTCTTGAAGCTAGCACTGAGGGAGTTGAATGTGGTGCTCCTACTACAAATGATATAAAACTCTAAGATAAAAGATTACTGCAAAGTCAGCAAATAAGACGGTATTGTGTCTGACTTGAACTTCAGGGCCCTACTAACTGGCCTAACTATGGCAGTGATAATTTGTGATAGATTATAATACAACACGGACAACAGCAGATAGCATCACGTGATTTTCCCAAAGATTGAAAACCAGAAGATTTTTGTCCTGTACGCTACCATAGGAAACTAGCAAACTGGTTGTTTGTACATCTGGAGACATTTATCTTGCTCTTGTAGGGAGGTAGTATTATAGGGGTTGGGGTGGCGGTTAGGCTGTATCCCTGAGTCCTTCCCAATTCCTGGATCCAACAAGGATTCAATTGCTGGACTAGCCAGACATGTTTCTTGATCATGCCTCCACTCCCCCAGTATGGGTCATTAATGTAACAAAGGAAGTGGCTCTGTACCAGAAGCCAAAAGGGTGGGCTTCCCTCCTTAAACCATCAGTTAGAAAGACAAAGGCCAGAGTTAATGTGTATGCGAAGTTGAAGCGAGAAGCAAGGCTGCAGGTTGGGCAGCTTGGAGACAGAGCCATGCCTAACCTCTGCTTGAATCCAAGGTTGTGGCTATGGGAGAAGCACAACCTTCTTGGGGTGTTAATGCTGTGAGCCCCTCCATCATAGGCTCAGGTTGTATATACAGTGGTACCTCAGGTTAAGTACTTAATTCGTTCCGGAGGTCCGTACTTAACCTGAAACGGTTCTTAATATGAAGCACCACTTTAGCTAATGGGGCCTCCTGCTGCTGCTGCGCTGCCGGAGCACGATTTCTGTTCTCATCCTGAAGCAAAGTTCTTAACCCGAGGTACTATTTCTGGGTTAGCGGAGTCTGTAACCTGAAGCGTATGTAACCTGAAGCGTATGTAACCTGAGGTACCACTGTATGTGCAAATAAACCATGTATCATAATGACACCACAGCCTCTGCTGTGCCTCATTCTGAAGGAAACCAAACCCTGGGTAAACGCCTGGAACCCCTGGAATCTCATATCACTTGGAGATTGGGGTGGCATGCAACAATATACTTCAATTGCTGGCTGCGATTGGAACTTTCACATAAGCAGGATGCCCCACTCTCGCTTGTCCTCATAGGCATTCTGCCCCACAGTGATCAGGTGGATTTCAGAAGCAGTCTTTCAACTCTAAAGCTGTCTAGTCACTCTACTTTAGAGAGAGAAAACTCTTTTTCCCACCTAGTTTTTCCATTACCCCTTTCCAAGCATCATTTTCTTCCCTGCCTCCTTGTCCCTGGCAACTGTTCCCTGGCACCAATGGCTTAGGAAGGGGGTTGCGGTGGGTGGGGGTTGCCCCGGGTGTCATCACTAAGGGGGTGACAAAGTGACTATGGGCTACGTGAGGGCATTTTTAACTGTCAGGTCAATTCATAGAAGCAATCAGCCCAAAATGAATGCCTAACAGAACAATTAACTATATTGCTGGAATCAATCAAGAGCAAAGGCATAGCTAGGGGGCGGGTGGGTGGGGGACAATGGGTGCCACACCATGGGGGGGCAGCACTTACTGCGGCGCCTGCAGCATGCCCAAGCCACATGTCTCTCCTGGGAGTAACCTGTGGCTCAGGTAGCTGCAGGCCCCACGCTGCCCAAAATGGCAGCATGGGGTTTGCATCCGCCCGCCACCTCTCCCTCAGCCATCCTACAGCTGGGGGGGGGCAGTGGTGAGGCTTGATGCAGTGCACCCTGCCCCAGGACACCCCGCCCAATGGGTGGCTTGCCCCACCCCTGGGCGGAGGGTACACACGGCACTCTGGGTACCTGAGCAGCTAGCCCCGCCACTGCCTGGCACCTGTTGCCATTTCTCTTTCCCCTTCCCGACTGTTCATTGTCCTGCCTGCTGATATACCAAATACTTTATATAGTCTGTGTTACAGATGTGTGTTTCCCCCCAGTTATTCATATGAAAAATTCTTCACAGATGCCTAACTACATTGCAACATATAAACAAACACATGGTTGTGAAAGAATATCACAGGATATTATATCGGCCCTTCTTACACTTCTTACACATGATGGGTTATTTTATTATATAAATTGCACTTCATCAAATCACAGTTTTCCATTTTCCTTCCTTTATGAAAATGAGTATAATTTTAGTGCATGCATAAATTTACTGCATTTTTTTTAAAAAAAAATAATATTTACAACTTAGCGCTTGAGCTAGAGCTGGAGTTGATAAAGTTCATTTGGAAAACAAATTTGTCTAGCTCATAATGCCTGGTTGAATTATAAATTGCCATTTTCTCCAGAAATTCTTCCCCAGCTCAGCATATAGGGTTCCGCACATGTGCTGTCAAGCTGGCCGCACTGCTTTGTAGGCAGATCCACAGAACTTCTTTAATGTTAAGCCTTTGCTCTCAAACAGTCATCGGTTGCTGTGAATTACCGTATTTTTTGCTCTATAAGACTCACTTTTTCCCTCCTAAAAAGTAAGGGGAAATGTGTGTGCGTCTTATGGAGCGAATGCAGGCTGCGCAGCTATCCCAGAAGCCAGAACAGCAAGAGGGATTGCTGCTTTCACTGCTTAGCGATCCCTCTTGCTGTTCTGGCTTCTGGGATTCAGAATACCTTTTTCCTTGTTTTCCTTCTCCAAAAATTAAGTGCGTCTTATGGTCTGGTGCGTCTTATAGAGCGAAAAATACGGTACCTGGCCAGACTATTATTGGATACGATGTGGTGTGTTCTGAGCACTCAGCTAGGCTCCAGGAACAAATTTTCAGTCTTCCCACCCCCATGCTTTCCCAGTTGACTTAGAAAACTCCCAAAGCCAAATCACAGAGGTCCTCAGCGAGTTTGTACTACAAGAGGTCCTCCTTTGGGTTTTATACTTCCGGTTCCAAACATACGTCCTCTGCAATAACCACTCTTCTATTACTAGGGACAGAATATCATTATTATTTGTTTCATTTATGAATTGCTTACCATGAGGCATCCCAAAGCGACTTACAATATAATAGCATATATGTGTGTGCTATATATGCTGTTACATAGATAAAATCAATTTGAACAATTGCATCTATAAAACAGAGAGAGAGAGAAAGTTTAAAGCAACGACAGCACATATATAAAATCTATTAAAGTCCAATACAGACAATAACTGGGATAAAGAGCTTCATGTAGAAGGCTTGTTGAAAGAGGAATGTCAGTAGCAGATACAAAATAGGGAAAGAGCCTCTCCGATATATATAATTGGAGGGAGTTCCAAAAGGTAGGTGCTGTCACACTTAAGATTCCATTCTGACCATACAGAATGGACCTCTGGTAGGATGGTATCTGCAGGATGCTGTCTCCTGTAGAATGTGTTGCTCAGTTGGGTATGTAGGGGATAAGATAATATTTTGGGTGTTTTGGTTCCAAGCTCTCTGCTTTTGTATACCAGTATACCTTCTTACACCTTGAATCTCTATCCCAGTAGCTAGTTGGCAGCTGGTGCTATTCTTTCAGCAGCAATAGTCCACCCCAGTGAGTAGTCAAGCCACCACATTTTGCACTAATTGCAGCTTCCAGGTCAGTCTTAAAGGCAGCCCCACTGTTAAGGGTATCAGGTGGTTGTTTGAGAGCAATCAGGCAATATGCCTCACTAGTCTGTTCTAAAGCTTTCTTATTAGTGCAAACAAAACCTTTACAATGCAGAGTGCCTCTATTCCATGTCTTGCTCATTCACTGGCAGAATCTGAGAGTGGGCGGTCCTTAAACCTTCCCCAGCAGAGTAGTTTCTTGACGCCCAGTCTGCGCCTCCCCTCTCTGCGCAAAAGCTTACTGCGCAAGGAAGGCGTGGGTAACGGGGGACCTCTCTCCTCCCCGCTTTGCTCAGGCAAGGTGTCCTGGCACCGCCTTGCATCCTCCGAGCCCTGCATCTCCTCCCCACTAGAGGCGTGGTTTCTTTCCTCCGCTGAGGAAGTGCTGCTTCCCACAATCTTTAGGGGCTCTCTGTAATCCATCCGCCTTTTCCCCCTCTCGCCCCTGAGCCAATGGCAGTTCCCTGACACCCACATACAGCACATTTGACTAATCTAATGTAATTGTTGTATAAATGCTATACAGTCGTACCTTGGAAGTCAAACACCTTGCAGGTCGAACGTTTTGGCTCCCAGATGCTGCAAACCCAGAAGTGAGTGTTCTGGTTTGCAAACGTTCTTCGGAACCCGAATGTCTGTCGTGGCTTCTGTGGCTTCTGACTGGCTGCAGGAACTTCCAGCAGCCAATCGGAAGCCGCGCCTTGGTTCCCGAACGCTTTGGAAGTCGAAACGACTTCTGGAACGAATTCCATTCGACTTCTGAGGTACGACTGTATCTGTGCACTGTGTGACCAAGCAAGTACTAAAAGGTCCTTTTGGTTAGCACTTGTAACATCATTAATGATGAGAAAGAAAGTCTTCTTCCCCATAAGCTGCTCTTTCATTGACCTTTTTTCCTCATAAAAATGTAAGTACTTGATGGCAGTGTGTTATGAGCAACATGTAGTATTATTATTTTTAAATCCTCTGGAAAGTACCTAAAGGGAAAGAGGTCACAAGCTTTCATGATCTTAACACAGAAATTATTTGAATAACAGACACCCATTGTCTTCAAAGTGCTGTAGTTTTAACGCCACACTCATTTTTGTTTGCTCAGTTAAGGTGATTTCATTTGTGGTTTGAAAATATTTGTAATAAGAAGCCTAACCGTACTATGTTGAACAGCACAACTGATAAGGCTGTTGATATCCGTTTCCAAGTTTGGTTTAATTATTCTTTCAGATTCTTTGTTTCTGCTGAAACAGGTAAAGAAATTGAGAGAACTGGAAGTCTTGAACCATGACCAATAACATGATCTCCAGAGCGCTGGCATGGAAGGGAATTTTTGCAGATCACAAATCTGCAAGGCACATGTTGGTGTTTTCCAAAAATATGTCATTAAATAGCTGGAAGAATCCTTATTTATGTTAAGCATGGTGTACTACAAGGCTGAATTATAAAATGGGCACATTTCAAACAACAGTTTTTTTTGTTTAAAGAGAAGTGGTAAGCTTATGAGAATGAGAACCTGCTGTTTGGAGATGGGGGAGGAAACCTCCTTAAAACAATTAAATTTCAGATAAAACCAGTTGTCATCTTTCTGTCTTTGCTCATCCATTTGTCATAGAATGCCATCTCAAATCTTCAGCTGGAAATAGCATTATGAACACTAGCTGCTTTTTCCCAGACATACAATTTTAACTCAATCCCTTGCTATGAATTATCTCATAGTTCTCCACTGCGCATTCCACTTGTACTTAAATCAGAGCATAATAACATTTGGACATAGCCAAACTTTGCTCACCTAACGCTCTCTGGTGCTTATATGTTAAAGCGAGGACAGTGCACCTGATCCAACTGAAGCCTGAGTCCCAAACTTAATCGAGCCAATTCAGGGGGAGACCAGGAATTGCTAGAGTCTGTTTGAAATAGCCCCACAGGTTGGGTCAGGCAGCCCAAAGTAATCCAGAGGTGTCTGGAAGTGGCACATTGGTCAGAAAGGAGAGGTAGGTGTTGGACAGGAAGCAGGAGAAGCAACAAAAAGCAAAAGAGTAGTAGAAGCTTACCTAACTGGTTGTGTCTTCCCAGGAGAAGGTAGAGATGGGGGGGTGCCTTTGGATGTGGACTGTAAGATGCTCCTTTTCCAGCAGTTTCCCCACCTGGCCTCTCTCTCCTCATGCCCTACCACCTGAAGCAGCACCCCAAAGGACTGGATCCTCAGCACAACAGCTGGTATGTGAAGGTTTTTGATCTTGAAGGCTTCTGGGGGGACTTCCCTGCAAGTAAAGTGCTTGCAATGGAACAGAATCCTGAAGGATTGAACTCTCCTCTGGGTCAGGAATGGGGCAAAGTACCAGAGCATCTCCTTGTCTTACTCTCTTCCTGACCATCTGTTTAACTGGGGTTTTAAAACTTTTTAATCACATTCGTTTCCTATCTAATATTGTTCATTGGCATTGTTTCCATTTGTCTTTGTTTCCCGCCGATTTCAGTGGGAGATTCAGCTCATCTTCTGCTTCCTTGTTGTTTCTATCCTCTTGGCACTTATTCCACTACCCTTCCATAGTATCAGACCCACCAATATTAAGTGTATACATTATATAGGCAAATTTAAACATTGGCGGATAGTAGTTCACATTTCTGCCTTGCAGTTTTGTAGTGAAGGAGATAAACTATTGTTTTTCAGGCCAGTTTTAAAAACACATAACTGATATTCTCCTTGGAGGATTTTCCCCAGCTTAAACATACCGTGACTTCTCCACCCTTTAAAAAAGTAAAGAAACTAAACTGAAAACTTGTTTTGTTTTTTGTTAAATAGGTCAGCAGAGTGCAAGGCTTTCTAAAGCTTTGTCATTGCAATGGAAAATATTTGTTAATACTGCAACATTATGGACAGTGGTTGAAATTCAAGATTCTCTTGAATATTTGGGGGAAATGAAAGATGTGCAAAGATTTTTTTTACCAAGGAAAAAGCATCCTTTTAGGGTGGAATTGCAATTTGCTTTTGCTGATGGCAAAGATGCAATGTCTGAAACTGTAACTGATTAGAAGGCAGCACAACAAAGAGCACAGAATTATTTCCTAATAGTTTGGATCACCAGAAAACACTGAAAGCCAATTTAGAGGGGACGGTTTTTAATAAATTAGAGAAAGCATCACTATGATGGCCATTTCTGAGACACGACTTCTGTTATGAAATAAGTACTATACTTACATAAATGTACTTACAGAAATAACTGGGCTTTTACTTAACTGTGAAGTTTTTTCTTACTGGAAATTTTTATTCAGCTGTGGTGAGATCCCCCCCTTTTTTTAGATCTGTGTTTAGTTTGAATATGTTGACAATTTGGGAAGATCTGAGTCAAAATTATTTGGATGAACTTTAGTTTGGTAAACCAAAAACCAACTAAAAGGTTCACAGACCCAGAGTTGGTTTTCCCTAGATGGTCTCAACAACTAGGCAAATTCATATGTGGTCTGGTCCTAGACCTTTTCAAATATATTAATAAGATATTTGAACTCTGCAAGTGGTCACCCTGGAATCTAATGCCTAGATAAGCAATTGAGTACTACATGGTACTTTAAATGTCATTCAGTTTGAACGAATAAATTAAGCAATTTTAAATATACTTGTGCATATATGCTTTTTCACTTTGACTGATTATGTCTGCCCCCAATGTACCTGTAGCCTCTTGCACCATAACATTTCTGCCAATAGGCCTGTCCTAAACATTTTCAGATGTATTGCAAAATCCCCACCCCACCCCAATTTTATTGGCCTGTCTTTTCTTCATTCAAGTTCTTAGGAAATGCAATGTGTCAAAATCTGGTCAAAAAAGCCAAAGATTCTGTATGGTAGCAAAGCCTGAAGTGGCCAGGAAATGTATATTTGGATCATAGTCAATGTCAATACAGGCTGTGGCAGCTATGGGAAGGCAAATTATATGTTAGGGATCATTCGGAAAGGGGTTGAAAATAAAGCTTCCAGTATCATAATGCCATTATACAACCCAATAGGGAAACCACTCAAGCAACTCCTTTCTGGGGAAAGTTTACAACACTTGGGGTGGGGGTTAGTTTGGAAAGAAGTGAATAAGGGGAACATTATAGAAGTGTATACAATTATATATGGTGTAGAGAAAGTGGGCAAAGAGACTCCCCCCCTTCTCCCATAATACTAGAACCTGGAGGACATCCAATGAAGTTGTATACTGTTCAGGATAGATAAAAAGAAATACCACATTAGCAGTGGCAAAGTTTTTATCGATGGTTGCAAGAACAAATGATCCCTATATTCTGAACAAAATGTTTGTTTAACCTGGAGGTAGGCTGTATGAATTGTGTATTGCTTTGTAATGATTTGTTGGGTCTCTGGACCGTAATAAAGATTGATGATGAAATACCTTGATTCCTGAACGCCTTGGAACTCGTACATTTCAGCTCCAAACAATCGAAAACCAGAAGTGAGTGTTCCAGTTTTCGAACGGTTTTCAGAAGCCGAACGTCCTGTGTGGCTTCTACAGCTTCTGATTGGCTGCAGGATGCTCCTGCAACTAATTGGAAGCTGCGCTTTGGTTTTCAAATGGTTTCGGAAGTCGAACAGACTCCCGGAACGCATTCTGTTCAAGAACCAAGGTATGACTGTACTTCTTGACACAGTGCATAGTTAAAAATACAGTGGTACCTCGGGTTAAGAACTTAATTCGTTCTGGAGGTCCATTCTTAACCTGAAACTGTTCTTAACCTGAGGCACCACTTTAGCTAATGGGGTCTTGCGCCGCCGCCGTGCGATTTCTGTTCTCATCCTGAAGCAAAGTTCTTAACCCAAGGTACTATTTCTGGGTTAGCGGAGTCTGTAACCTGAAGCGTATGTAACCCGAGGTACCACTGTATGGAATTTGGCACCACAGGATGTGGTGACGGTCACCAGTTTGGACATCTATGAAAAGGGTTTAGAAAAATTCAGAGAGGATAAAGGCTGTCAATAGTTACTACTCATGATGCCTTTGTGCTACTACAAATAGGGGAGGCAGTATGCCTCTTAATACTAGTTGCTTGGAAGTGCAACTGGGAAGAGTGCTGTTGTGTTCATGTCCATCTTGCGGGCTTGCCCTGACATCTACTTGGCCACTGTGAGAACAGGAACATGGATTAGATGGACCTTTTATATGATCCACCAGGGCTCGTCTTATGTTCTTCTGAAATGAGGCTGGGCAAGATGGTCTCTGAAGATCATTAGCAAGCAGAGGCCCTTTAGTGCTCAGACCAAAGGAGGAGATCTTGCCTGGAAGTTCTTGTCTTTATCCAAGTAGCACATGACTTTCAGGGACAAAGTAATTCTGGTAGATGTCGCTAGTTATCTTGCAAATCTCAGCATTGACCAAAGCTCAATGGTTGAACACAGGCTGAATTACTGACTGGCATCTTCAAGGTTCAGGCCCTACAGCTGACTTCACCCCAGCAACAAAAGACAAACAATAAGACTAGTTTGATAGCTGCCAACATCTTTAAAGAGTTTGGCAGTACATATGGAGTGAAATGACTTTCCTTTTCTTGATGATTTTCACAGCATGCAAGTATTAGCTTCAATAGCACCTTGGCAATAATCCACAATCATATCTGCGTAATTTTTGTAATAGTCAAGAAGTTGAGCAAGCCTGTTCAGAAAAGATGGATCTTATAAAGTTCAGCATCTCTGGATGGTAACTGGGAAGCAGGGATGGGGAAGAAGTTTAGATTCGCATTCAAAGGTGAATCTATCAAATCCACACTTTATGAAACGATATGCGAATCAGAACAGTTTTGCACTTATCTAATTTTGTGCTTTTGTACTCCAACTGATGTTTACAAAAATGCATATATTAGAGAAAGTGGGGGAAAAATATACAAGTGCATTGTATATGGGGAAATTGCCTGAAAAAATGTGTAAATCAGTCAAAACTGCATATAAAATGTGTTTATCGGGAGAAATTTGCACTAAAATCCTGATTAAATTTCATAGGGATTTTTAAAAAAATAATAAAAAATGCAAATTGCTGCAGATATGTGGAGAACTGAATATAAGATTGGGAAAATGATAGAGAATCAAAATGGACAAATCCTTTCAGGCCAGCAGCATTCAGTTTAGAAATCCCTTTACTTCACACACATACACTTTACAAAAAATGTGTGTGTGTGGCTAATTAAACAATCTATGGCCTTTTTAAATGGTGGAGATTATTGTTTTTGTTTGTTACTATGGTATGTATTTTTGTGTTTTAATAGTAAAGCACCCTGTGATCCTCGGATGAATGACAGTATGGAAATTTCATTAATAACAATAAATGAGATTTCTAATCCACACCAGAAAATTGCATCATATTCTCAACTGTTTTGAAGTCAGCACTGTATATGCACAAACATTATTGCTCATATTTTAAGTAATTTTTAAAATCCACATTACTCAAAGATAATTTATAGTCTTCTAAGGTATACATACATAAAAGAAGTTTGGCTGATATTAATGGAAACCAAGCGAGTATGAGCTATGTATTTTACTTTTATTTTAGACATTTTGTGAGCTAGTTCTCATAAAACTATAGATCAAGGAAATAAATTATCAGTGTATTTTGCTTGTGTAACAGCCGCAGTGAGGCTTTTTACAATACGTCCTAAATCCAGGGCTGAGTCATAAACCACCCATGTAGATTCCATTTTCAGTTCCTACTTTTTTGAGATGTGTGAAAGTAAGTTATAGATATAGGGAAATGTATGTGCTGTTGTGGCTTTTCCCCAAAAAGAATATTTTCCTAGGCACATACTGTCCCGGATCTCTAAAACGCATGTGTAAGAATAAACATTTCCACTGTATATTCAGAACTATCCTTGAAATCACATAATGCATTTGATCATTAGGGAGAAGGCAATTACTTCAGTAGGAAGAGGAAACAAAAGTACAATGAAGACAAGTTATGAAAGTCAAGCTGGGATATTTTACACTCTGGTTTTCTCAGTATACTTTAAATGATTAAACCTGAGGGAAGCATGAAGTCATTTCATTAAAAAAAGAGAGATGTGGAACTGCTTGCTGATGAATAAATGGTGTTTCAGTCAATTGAAAAAATCTCCCTAATAAATATACAATGTTAACTTATCGTCAGCATGATAAGATGCTTCCTTTTTTCCAAAACATTTGTATTTTACTGTTGCTACTTCATAAGCACTTGTCTTATGATTTTGATACTAACCAAATTTCACTTGGGCATTGTGTAAAAGCTACATAAATTGTTTTTCCTAAGTCGAAGTACAGAAAACTATTGAATGGATGTCCTTTTTAATTTATTCATTTTTAGAAGATTTTGTACAAAGCAAATGTAAAGCTTCTTTTTACTGCAGGGATGATTAATGGTTGAATTAGAAGCATTGCAGGAATGGCAATAGACTTCAGGGAATCGATAAGGCAGTCTCCTAACCTCATGTTTATATCTGATAAGTGCTGAAAGTTATACCATAGGGGCTCTCCCTATTTACTGCAGTGACAGCTTGTTGCTCAGAATAAAGCCAAATCACACACTAAGTTCCAGGGAATGTACAGAGTTCGAGCTGAACAGAGCTTCTCGGAAACACATCCTAACTCCCAGGACTGGGGAAAGGAGCCAGATAGCACCATTTTCCATGATCATTACAGAAGGCTTATTTAACCAATTCAGCTGTTCAGAGAAAACTACCAGTTTATGGGTTCAAAGCTGAAAGATTAGCCCTTGTCCTCAATTTCATCTTCATCATTAAAGTACCTTGCACTTTAATAATTAAATACAACCTCACAGTAATCAACTGTACAAAAAGAAAGAAAGAAAGAAAGAAAGAAAGAAAGAAAGAAAGAAAGATAGATCAGGTTTTTGGTGAGTGAGAACTTACTGCAAGTTGTGATCCAAACAGTGAGACTGAAAATGATGTGTGTGGCTAACAAATGTTAGGATTCCCCACTCATGTAAACAGAGGCTCTTGTTCACCTGCACGCATCCAGAAGTAAAAGTATACAAGCACATCTGGACAAAATTCAGTGACATTATCTTTAATACTATGGCAAAGAAAACAATTGGAATGCAAAAATGCAATGGAAAAATCTATGGAACATTCCTGTACTACTTTCTCTGCCCTTCCTCCGATCATTAAAAACTATTGTTTCCCATGTATATTATGACAGATATTTCCCTGGCAGGAGGAGTACTTTCATAGCGAGGATGTCTAAACTGAATTGCTCTGACAGTGATAAACTGTTTAATACTTTTCTATTTAACATCAGCAATCATTTCCAGAGTATTTTTGGACAGCAGCTAATAATAAATAAGCCAATTTTTAAGTCAAGTGAATATATTTAATTCCTACAGTACCTGGTGCCAGTCAGCCTATTATTTCTAAGTTACATTTTTTTGCTGTATCTGTTTTTCATTTTAAAAGCAGAGGAAACATTTTCCTGGAAGTGGTTTCTTGGAAAAAGAAAGGGCAAGCATTTGGACCATTAGTTATATTACTGAAAGAGAAAGGCTTACCTAACTTCATGTAGTGAATCTCCACAGTGTTCTGCTCAACAAAACCACAGCTGTCTGAACTTGTTACTTACGAATCATGCTATTTCATATGACTGATCAGAGAGAATACTGAAATGAGATCTGTAGTTATTTATTAAACCACAGATGAATGTAGTACTTTGAATATACATCTACTTAATAGTTTAAAAAATCTTTCCAGTTGATATCTTTGTTTATGCATACAGAAATGGGTTTTCAGAGAACAAAAAAAAATCCCAACAACTTAGAACATCTTTGGATCTTGTTACCTTAAGGATTTACCAACTGAATGTTTTGACACATTTTTTAGGTTCCATAAATGAACCCCTGGAGGATATGAGACAGTAATAAAATACTCAGTTCTTCTCTTGCAGAAAAGGGAACTATCTAGAGTAGGTTCCACATCAAATCTGAGACTGATAAATTGTGGGGGACAGGACTCCAAATCCAGCTAGAAACAGATACTTGATATACCTTTACTGACATCATAAGCATGCTAATTTCTAAAACAGGGGTGGCTGATGCAGTCCCTACCAAACGTTGCTGGTCTAAAGCTTCCATAGGCAATCGTTGTTAGGGATAAATGGAGTTGGAGTTCAAAACATCTGAAGGGTACCACACATGTTGCCACTGTAGCAAAGTATCCCTGCTTGCCAGCGATACCTCTATTTTAACTCAATGTTTTAAAATGTCCCCATCCCACTTTTCTGTATGTTCTGAAATTCATAGGTTTGCTAGCAAGTGTAAGTGGCCATTGCCCTGTGTCACTTGGCAAGCTAACAGTCAAGAGGTTTTCTTTGTCAATCCTTTGCCCCCAAATTCACCTACCACGCAACTGGCCTCAGTCTCACATCAATGTGAATTGACCCGGTGCTGGATTTAAATATAAGCTAAACAAGCTATAGCTTAGGGCCTCACTCTCTTGGGGGGCCCCCAAAAAATTAAAGGAAAAAAAATGGATGTACATTTCCAAAATATGATAAAAAACAAATAAAATAAAACCTACATACAGCAACAGTGTTTTGTGTTGTGTAGGCTCCTATGATGTAAGTAATGGGCCCCGTCTGCTAGCCTGCTCCCTAAAATATCACCGGTTTGCTCATTTCTGTATCAATTACTTTGATAAAATACATATTTTGTTATGTGCAAATGGCTTTAGATACCTATTAGGTCCATAAATTACCACTTAGCATATATTCAACACAAAAAACAGCAACAATTTGTTGCTGAAAAAGGATAGCTGGATATATAAAGGGCCCCATTACCTTCAGTAGCTTAGGGCCTCATCAAATCTAAATCCAGCCCTGAATTGACCCAGTTCCACTTGATATCTACCTCTGTGTACTCAGGAGACAGAGCCCCTTTTCTGTGACACTGCCAGCTAGGGAAGGGAAGAGTTACAGTGGCCAATGAAGGTGACAGTGTCTTCCTGCATTCCTGGAAGACATTCTGATCGCACAGTTCCTGGAAGACTTCCAGGGGACTCCCAGACAACATGAGACTTGAAGCAGGGAATTCTCATGGCAGCTAGCATCCCCCAGCTTTCATGACATTTGGGTCCTAACATAAATGGGGAGGCCTATAGAAGGTCTTGTCAATTGTGGCTCAAGCTCCTTTGGGGTGGTAGCCAGCCTGTGTAGTGGTAGCCAAGGGCATCTAATTGTCTTTTGTATTCGTTTATGAAGGGAAGGTGTTCCTTAGCCTCCAAAGAGTAGCCGTGATAGTGTGTTGTATCAAATACAAGTCTTGTGGTATCTAAGGGGATGAAGATACATGAAGTGGGTAGGTACATGGGTAGGTACAGTATATATGCACTCTGAGTACAGAGTGGTTTGCTTACAAAACAGATCTGGCATTTCAATCAATGCTAGAGATAAACATGGGTGTGCCATAGTACTATGCTGAGCCCGGACAAGCAGAGAATTCAGTCAAACACCAGATCTGCCTAGTCAGGTGTAAGTCACTCTTGCCTAGAGAGTGCTGGTGATTAATGGGCATAGCAAGAATAAAAGTGTAAATAGAGAGACAATTACCTCCTTCAGTGACTTTGGCAAGTCCTAGGATTTGTTGAGACCGATGCCAAGGTGTCAAATTTGCTAATGAATCCCGACTCCATGGGGTTGAAGTCTTTCTCTGGGATCAAACTAGTTATTTAAAATGGCAGTGCCCTGAAAACAATGGGGGAGTGTTTCAATTTCTCAAGACAGTATTATGTAGTAGAGCTTCAAGTCACTATTCACCAAACTCAGTTTTCAAAATACCACTCCTAATGTAGGCAAAATAGCGGTACCCAATGAGGACCAAGCATAGTGCAAGGGCATCGAATGCTAAAGACTGGGGTGGTGGTAATGGAATGGAGTCAATGTGCGTCAGCTTGGATTACTGACAGAAACAGATAAAATTGAATAAACAAAGAAGTCATCCTTGGTTTGTTATTTAGCTTTCTAAGTACTAGCACAAGCTTCATGAGCAAGTGGCGTAATGTGCTTACTACTGTGAAGCCTCTAAACTGCCAATCCATTGCTAATGCATCAAGGCTTTCCACATTTCACTAATGCTAGTTACTGTAAGCTATTTCATTCAAAGCCATAAATCTACAAGAACATCCCTGGATAATTGACAAATAAGATTCATCATTCCTCTGAAACTGTTCTGTTTTCTCTTTGCTTTCCCCTCCTGCCCATAAACAAGTCCAGTGGGATACTCAGCAGAGATAGTTAAATTGTTTTCGGTTCATTTGGCAATTTTGCATGTCCTTCAGTCTACTGCAGATGAGAAGTAGCAGAAGAATTGGAGCTGGAGTAATAAAACATTTTATATAGTCAAGCTGGCATAACTAAAGTGTTTGTGTCAAAGTGAATCATTCAACTGGCCAGGCTGAAACAGGGCTGCCCCTTGACCATTTTCATTTTACTTCTAAGGGCATTTTCTTGTTGTATAACTTTGACCACACATGTTACACTATATCACATTATTGTTTCGCATTGCATTTTATTGTTACATTGTTGGTTTCTGCCTTGGGTGGATTTGGTCCGGGAAAGTGAGTTATAAACATTAAAAATATCAGATTGCTAGTGCAATGCTATCTATATCTACTCAGGTGTAAGCCCCAGTGAGTTCCTACCAGGTAAATAGGCATTCAGTTCACCTTCATGTGAAAATTTATCAAATACTGGTGCTGTTTTACTAAATCAGGGCTGGGACATCTGTGGCCCTTCAGTTGTTGTTGGACTACAGTTCCCATCACCCCTAGCTAGCATGGCCAATGATGAGGGAAAATGGGTGCCTGACAACTTCTGGAGAGCTAAACATACCAAAATATCTTCTAAACACAATGTGATGCCCTGCTAAATACAATAATCTTTCCTTTGTTTTGGAAATGAGTGGAAAAAGATCAGATCCTGTTACATTTGTGACCTCTAGAGGCCAACAAGAATTAAATTGATTTTATTTATGCAAAAAAGAATATAAAACTCTCTCTGGAACACCACCATTCTAGATTAGACAAGGCATGCTGAGATACTGCATGCTGCCAAGGTCTTCTGCTATACTAAATGCTGGGGTTGATTAAATTTCCATCTGCTAGCAAATGGCAAACAGGGATTGACTAGAGAGCAAGTGATTAAATTATGTCTTTTTCTAGTTAACAACAATGGAGTTTAAACTACTGCCAGCATCCTGACACATTTTTTCCCCCCTATAAGGGTATTCTTAGGCATATTTTTTCCAGCTTGCATTATTCTTGTATAAAAGACACAGGAGTTGTGGGCATAATATTTTGTAGTCCCTATTGTTATAAAAAGTGAAACTGAGTAGCATACAAAATTTGGCTCTCTGTAGGATTACAAAGGATTAAAATTTCCTGCTTTCAAAAACTTGGATCTTTATATCCATTCCCATTTCTTATGTATGGCTGCAAATCCCATTATCTGACATGAAACTTGAAATGCTTTTTCAAAAGAAGAAGTTGGAAAAATTATACCTATGGAGGAAGCTAGGAGAAATTTCTGGTGGTTAAATCTCTTTGAACTTGTAAATAATGAAGTAATTGTATTTCAAACAGCATCTGCTACATCCTTTGACATTTGGACAATCCATTTTGAGAGGTGGAACAAAACTACTAACAAATCAGGTTGATGTATTTGGTCTTTGAAAATGGAGAAGTAAAGAAAATTTGTCACAATTTAAAGACCAACCAATTTTATTATGGGATAGGCTCTCATGGACTAGAGCCCACTTCAGATGTATGGAGTGTGGTCCTCAGTTGTCAGGCATATATGGATATAAAGAGAAAACATATATGTAAAAGGGGAAAACAGGAACAGTAGAATTAAATGGCAATGGAATGTAAAAGAAATGGAAGAAAACGGCAGGGAAACCTGTGACTCTCCAGGTCTAGTTGGACTAAAATTCAATTTTTAAAAAACTCAATTGGTCATGCTGCCTGCTTACTCCATTTGCCTGGGAATAAATCCCACTGAATTCAAAAGGACTTACTTCTGAGTAGACATGGCTAGGATGGCACTGTTAAACCATATAATAAGCATATCGCCACAACCCAGTTAAGCATCTTAGCTGACATTATTTCTAGTGAGAGAATTAAGCACAAGCTCTCTCCTGCTGAAATAACTAAGGATGTTTTTTAAATGGCAGCAGCAGCAACTTAAATTTGGCTGAATTGTGCCCCAGGGCAGATGCAAAATGAAAATAAATAATTGAGTTGTGTTTCTCTCCTGCCCCATGTCACATGATAAATCCACTTGTTTCCTCTGTTTTCAAAGTTCAGAAGTGAGCATGGATTCTTACGGAGCCACATGGCACTGCACAGAAGGGGCCTGTCAGCAGACTGGAGGAAATCCTAAAGTTTGCAGTGGTTAAAAGGGGGAGGGCGGAATGAAAATGGGAAAGTACATCTTTAAAAACCTGTCCAGAGAGGACTGATTGTGCACAGAGGTCACAGAATACTGATTATAGGGGAGGGCGGGGAAATCAGTGGGAGGAGGGATGGAATGGAGTACCACAGAGGAGGCATGGTTGACTCACAGGAACAGTGAACAAGAGCATTCCACACTGCAACCTTTTGTTGTTGCTCCTGTTTAAATGTTGATGTGCAAGTGGAAAGCAGGAAGGACAATGGAATGCACTGTGCACAGGGCTGCATCTGAATACAGCAGGAAGAGTGGCTTTTCAGAATGCTCAAGCAAGGTCAAAGCAGTGACGGACCTCGAGGTCTCAGGTTTCAGTGGTGCCCTGTGTGACACCAAAAGTCTTCACCCCCGCCTGTCGCTTTCCATTCTATATCATAGTTGTGGCACCCCCTGCAGTGACCCCCAAGCTCTGCGCCTAGTGCAACTGAACCAGTTGCTTTCCCCTGTCCGACTCTTCGTGACCCCATGGACCAGAGCACGCCAGGCACTTCTGTCCTCCATTGCCTCCCACAGTTTGATCAAACTCATGCTGGTAGCTTCGAGAACACTATCCAACCATCTCGTCCTCTGTCGTCCCCTTCTCCTTGTGCCCTCCATCTTTCCCAGCATCAGGGTCTTTTCCAGGGAGTCTTCTCTTCTCATGAGGTGGCCAAAATAATGGAGCCTCAGTTTCAGGATCTGTCCTTCCAGTGAGCACTCAGGGCTGATTTCCTTAAGAATGGATAGGTTTGATCTTCTTGCAGTCGATGGGACTCTCAAGAGTCTCCTCCAGCACCATCCCCTAAATTAGCCTCTGGTAAAATTCAAACAACCACCCCAGAATTTCCAGTCTGTCTGACTTCAGAGGAAATACCTTCCAAACCAACCGTGTACTAATTACTAGACCCCAGAGCATGCATGTAGGAATTAAGAGCCAATCTCCAAAATATATTTTATAGGATGAAGTTGGACATTAGCTTCTATAATCACATTATGGAAAAGAATGGAGGACTGAGGGAAGGCAAGGGGGGGGGAAGCAATGAAATTTATTTTTCCAGTGGTAATTCCCATTTGAGAAGATAAAAACCAACTGGTAATGGAACACACTTAATATCTCTAACCCACTTACCAACTACAAGGCACACACACAAGTCTAAGTACATCTGGTGGAAGAATGCTAGACCAACTGCACCTTGGAAAGTGATCAGTAATGCTTTTAGACTTCTATATCCGTTTGATACTTTTATCAGATTTGGCAATGCACCTTCACTTTGTTTGAATTGTCAGTAAGTTTAGGAAATGTTTTCCAAGGACCTTAGTGCAACACATGTGTTGGGCTGTGAATGTTATCAAATGCATTTCTTAATACTAATATACCCTTTGTCCAGAAATGAAAGCCTCACATCTGAACAGTAATTGTAATGTCCTTTGCTGAACAGGAGCACATTTCGGATAGCTAGCACAGATTTTTGTATTTTTACCCTGGGCTCATACTTATGTTCTGCTTCTTCTTTCCTTATTTCAACACATTTTTTAAAAAATAAACTGTTGCATCTATAAGCAATGTGCAGTATGACTGTAGGAAAAGCACCTCTACTCTTCAGTTTCCCTTTTGTTTTATAAGTACAATATTAATTCACTATCTGGAGGTATGTTGTGAGAAAGCCATTTTCTACTGAGAAAACCTATATAATACCTGGCTTTAAGTACTTTCCATCACAGTGCTATGAGCCTTCATCCAGGCAGATATAGCAGCTCACAGAATCAAGCTTATGCATCCTAGCATTGGCAGGAGGACATAATATCTTGGGCTAGCCATGAGAACATGTATTCTGAGGGGGGAAACATGCTTAGAGATGCAATGCACAGAAATATAATGGCCTAGAATTGAATGAAAGCTCTGAGAGAAGAAAGATTCCAGATTCAATAACTCAATTTGTTCTCTAGGTAATTCTCTCTGAACATTCAAAAGGCAGAGTAAATTAGAACTTACTCTGCCTTTTAAACATTCGGAGTCAGTTGCCTTGGAAAACAAATTGAGTTATTGAATCTGGAATTTCTGTTCCCATTGAGTTTTCATTCAATTCATCATACTCTAGCTCTCTAGCTCAACATTTACCAGTAACTCTCATTTTCCAAGTGTGCATGGATGTGAATAAGACATTGAAACTCATTCCTGAATAGTGTATAAGGGAAATGTGGCAATCTGTAGTTTTAGCAGTAAAGTCCATCATAGTTTATCTAATATTTTGAGGCCAAAACAATCATTTTTTAAAAAATATCAATGTCTGCTTTATGCAAAAGGTGATGGCAACATGTTCCACAAGCAGTAGATGATATTTTTAAACTTTGTAAAAAAATATAACACACTCTAAGCATTTTCTGCAGGCCTTAATATTACACTACTTAGTAGATGGGGGGGGGGGGGGAAATTCCTCTAGAAAGAAGAAGAAGTTAAAGCATAAATGTTATGGGCAACATTGTCCAAGTGTGAGTAAGTGATGAACCAACCTTGTGTATTTTTATTAGTCTTTTCCATAATGAGCATTCATTTGAAGGTACCACCCCTAAGGAGGTGTTACCCCCAGGACAAATCACACTGTGTGGGTCGCCCCAGTGTCCTCATCTGCCCCCTGCCTCTGCTGCCCCTTCTCCTCTTTGTGGTGCTTCATCGTGGATTACTTCCACAGCAGCAGCACTTTTGGGGCGATGGTGGCCTCTGTCCTCTCTTCCCCTGCCTCCCCAGCTTACTCCCTGCCACTGGTTTAGCAGTGGCAGCAAGGACCTCTGCCTCCTCCCTCCCTGCCTTGCTTTACAATGCAATAAATGAAATCATCATCTTCCATTGGTTCGACCATGCTCACAGTAAAGGTAAAGGTAAAGGGACTCCTGACCATTAGGTACAGTCGTGGCCAACTGGGGTTGCAGTGCTCATCTCGCTTTATTGGCCGAGGGAGCCAGCGTACAGCTTCCGGGTCATATGGCCAGCATGACTAAGCCGCTTCTGGCGAACCAGAGCGGCACACGGAAACGCTGTTTACCTTCCTGCTGGAGTGGTACCTATTTATCTACTTGCACTTTGACATGCTTTCGAACTGCTAGGTTGGCAGGAGCAGGGACTGAGCAACGGGAGCTCCCCCGTTGCGGGGATTCGAATCGCCAACCTTCTGATTGGCAAGTCCTAGGCTCTGTGGTTTAATCCACAGCGCCGCCCGCATCCCGCTGCCTTGCTTTACAATGCAATAAATGAAATCATCATCTTCCACTGGTTCGACCATGCTCACAGTAATTTATCCTAAATAGTTAACCAAACCAATCTTACCTGTCTGCATCCTGCCCTGATTAGTCCCAGCCTCCCAGTACCCCGACATAAAGAAGTAGGAAGAAGTTGCAAAGGGAGCTAAGAAGCAGCTTGGATGCTTGTCTACCATCCAAGTTGCCCCCATCTCTCACCCAGCTACCTTCTTATGTGAACAGTTTCTGCAGCGTATTGCTGCCCCACTGGTGTGTCACCATGCTTGAAAGACACTGGCTCTATGCCACACTGCATGGAGAAGCTCAAACCACCATACTGGTGGAACCCACTGTGCTCAACATCCGCACCATACATTTAAAGAACATTTAGCACGTGATTTCCCCCCAAGTTTCCTGGGGAACTTTAGTTTGCCCTCACAGAGCTGCAATTCCCAGTATGCTTAACATGCTGCTGTCTGCCACTGCTGTCCATGACTTTAAGGCAAAGATGATCAAAGCAAGAGCACACAATCACACACACACACACACAGAGAGAGAGAGAGAGAGAGAGAGGAGAGAGCCTGCAAATAGGAACTGCGAAGCAACAGCACTTTTTGCCTCTTTGCCAATATGTTTTGCTTGCATCTGCTGAAATGCAAAGGGTTGAGACGAGAAGCATTTCTCATGGCACTTACAAAGTCACAGCAACATTTTTGGCCTCAGGTAACAACAAGGCACAAAAAGTAATATTATTTCATGTTCAACTCTCTGAGATTATGTCCATATAGAGGTAATAGCTATGACAACATAACACAAAATCATAAAAATATTTTAGTAGATTTTAGGAGAAAAGGAAAGAAGGCTCAGTTTTGCTCCTCAAAGGTTGTGTATGAATCATCTTAAAAGATCCATCTTTTTCATTTTGCTAGAATCATCTCACACTTGGAACAAACTATGAGGTGGGAATATTTTGTCTTTTTTTTTTTAAGTGGAGACTTCTGCAAAGTCTTCTTTCCATGTTAGGGATGTAGAAAATGTAGTTTTTGTGTGAAGATATAGGTCTTATTAGGGTTTTGTTTATTTATTTCAGCACTCTTACACAAAAAATAGCATTTCAGAATTTAAATATCCCCACTAGTAATATGAATGTTATAGGCCACCTTTACAATGACATCAGTAAAAACTGACCGGACTAAACCCATCACCCTCTTTCTCTAAATCATGTTCTTAATTTTGAGGGCCTACTCCAGAGTAGGCTTTGGAGTAGGCTGATTTTATACTACAATATGTAACTCACAATTTCTATTTGGCCAGCAGAGGGAGCGCATGCTTTCAACTTTTTTTCCTTTTCCTCACATGCAAATTCTAGAATTCCTTTTTTTAAAAAGCCTTTTAAATTATTGTTGTTGTTTCTTTAAAAAAATCTGGACACACATACTTCTTGCATATGTGTAGAAGTTAAATATATATAGCTTGTAAGACTGGTAATATATTGGACTTCTCTAGCTCTGAATTAAAAACTAAACAGCTTAAATATTCAAGTTTTCAGGGTGGCATTTACAGCCTCATTTTGTTAGTGGACAGAGAGTACAGAAACACCTATACTAACTGCATAGAAATATAGGTTGAGAAGGAAGCAGAAGACTGTAAAATCAAGTACAGAGTGTGTCCCAAGGAAGCATCAATGGAGGTCCCAAATCAAGGTTAGGGGACTTTTCTCCAGCTTCTTTAAAAAAAATCATCATTATGCAGTCTGAACTAAATTTGACAAGCCAGTATTATCACTATTGAACCTTGGTGTGTTTCCTAAGAAAATAATATGCATTCTAGGTAACTAGGAAGAAGACTAGATATGAAAGGCTCCTTGTTCTGTGAAAAATGACTCCCCAATCTGATTGAACTTTCTTCACTTGAGCTAAGGGGTTCCACTTGAGTACAACAAGAACTCTCACCTAGCTGTTGCAATTTGGAGCACTGTGGCTTACTTGGAGAAATCATCTCAGAACTGGCTTAGGGGAGGGAGGGGAAACCCCAAGCCCTTGCCACAGCTTTGAAAGTTTATTTGCAAATCAGCACTGGTATTCTATTTCGGTGGTTTCATGTGGATGGGGGAAATGCAACTTTATTGCAGTGGTGGCATACTTCTGAATTTGTTAGAATACTAATGTTCTGATAGAGTGGATGGTGAGATGTATCCAACTATAATGATAGCAAATAACTTGTTGGTTTGTTTTTTAATTAATGACATGAATTTGGAAGGAACCCATCCCATTTCCTTTTCCTTCCACTTCTAGTACTGCAAAGGGCAAGTTGTAATTATTTAAATGTAAAACATTTTAAAATTTAAACTTCAAATGCTTTTTTAAGGTGAATGCTCTGCATTTCAACCAAGGAAATGTACTGGAACAAATACGTGTGTGTGTGTGTGTGTGTGTGTGTGTGTGTGTGTGTGTATCAGTGCCCACCTTCTTACAATACAATTCATATTGTATTTGGACACATCCCTGCCCCACCCCCAGCTTCTTGCTTGAGGAAGAGCTAGTGATATGACCCAGAATGACTCACTGAGTAACCTGATTAAACACACACTGTTTCAAAGAGCCCGATTCAGAGATCAGACGTGGTAGTCTTATAAAAGTAATGCAAGTATAGGCTCAAATGTATCGGGCTTTTGGATACCAGTGTATCAAATTCTCAAGGTGTGGCATTTATCGCCCACTGGAATTTGCTGATAGGTTTATATTATTTGGCATTTGAAAAGTGAATTGAGCTTAACTATACATGTGTGTGGTCTGGAGGACTGCAGGTGCATTTTATATGCGGCATCTGGGTCTCTCAGAGTGGCAAAACTAAAGGGGGCACCAATACATTGGCATTTTATTCACAAGGCGCTTACACCACAGCATCCCCCATCCCATTGCGCATCTGGCCCTAGTCAGTTAAAGCAATAGTTTTGGGGTGCCTGTTATGATTGTGTAGTCCTTGTAAGGGCACAGAAGAGACAGGCATGGGCAGGAAGGCTTTCCCATTTCGTTGGAAGCTTCCCATTTTGTTGAAACCAAAGTGCGCTTTCACTGGCATACACATCACTAAAGCTCTCCCTTGCATGTTCTAAGTCATGGGTAGGCAACCTAAGGCCCGGGGGCCAGATTTGGCCCAGTACCTTTCTAAATCTGGTCTGCGGACGGTCCGGGAATCAGCGTGTTTTTACGCGAGTAGAATGTGTCCTTTCATTTAAAATGCATCTCTGCATTATTTGTGGGGCCTGTCTAGTGTTTTTACATGAGAAGAATGTGTGCTTTTATTTAAAATGCATCTCTGGGTTATTTGTGGGACATAGGAATATTTTTAAATATAGTCCATCCCCCCACAAGGTCTGAGGTACAGTGGACCGGCCCCCTGCTGAAAACGTTTGCTGACCCCTGCTCTAAGTTCTATAGACAGATGAAGAAAGATCATGCAACAATCCTGGATATATGAGATCAGGATTCCTCGAGTGGGTCATGTATACTCCTGAGACTGGCTGTAACAGAATCCTATTCCCTGTTGTGACTGGAGAAGGGAGGAGAATGCGGAGGAAGGCAATCCATTGACTTATATAGCAATGTTTTGATACCTGTTTTAAGGCATATGTTACACCACTGGAGTGAGTGGGAACTCTAGCACTCTCCTGAACTTGCATTTCTCCCTTGCTATGCTCCTGCTGCTGCACCATCATGGTAGTACTCTGCCCATGCCATGATGTAGCTGGTGATAGAATCCTACCAGTGCAAAGGTATCACTAAGCTGGTGGTTATTTGTTCTGTGATACTGCGCTTCACCATTGTGGGGTAACTCTACTCAGCTGCCCATCAGGTTTAACTGAGGAATAATTACTATTTCCCCCTAACACAAGGTGATGGGAATCATCAGACTAAATGCACTCAACAACCTCCCTGCTCTGTTCTCATTATATTGTATTTTAGGGAAGGGGTTGTTGTATCATACACTGCATGGTTGATTTTAATTGTTGTTAGTTACCCTGAGTGGTGCACAGGCACCAGAAGGGCAGGGTGTGCATTTTTTATATTAATAAATAAAGTTTAACTTGATATATTTATTGACCATTTCCCCTGACCATTGCATTACAAAGAATCACACAGGATGGAAACCATATCCTCTGGGCATCAATGTGTCAATTTTCACAGGAAATGTTATAGGAAATGTTAAATAAAAACAGGAATCAAAATGAACTGCTAACAAAGCAATCATACAGTATTTTCCTGGGCAAGCCAAATTCCTTAGGTTTGTAGAAAGTTCATTGGCTAGAGATACACTTGCATATTACATCCCAGTCATATGATCCATTTGTATATCTAGCCCAACCATATAATAATACTCTTCGGCATTTATTCTTGATTAACTGGCTACCCCTCTTCCCAAAGCCAACCAAAAGTGGCTTAAAATTCAAAATAATTTTAACAATAACGATAAATCAGTAAGTAAAAACCCCAACAGTAACAGCAAAAGCAGAGTTAGAATCAACAGATATAATTGTTCTGGGAAAATGTAAAAGGACTTACCCAGCACCAAAAAGTCAACAGACTCAATACCAAGCAAACTTTCTTGGGTGGCAGTTGCAAAGCTTTAGCATTACCAAAGGGGAACCTTTATTCCCAGTGTCTTCTCCCCTCACCTCCGATAGTGGAATAACCCACAAAAGGGTTTCCATGGCTGGAGGGAAGCAATCTATGTAATGTGTCTTCCATACACATAAAAAGTCTACTCCAGAAAAATTAGTAAATCACACTGCTAGCAACCCCAGGAGAGCGTCCCCAACATATAATGTCTTAAATGAGAGTGGAAATAGTGTAATTTCATACATGTGGAATCGTGGAGCGGGGGGTCTTACATAAATAGAACTTCAAACGATGCATATGGTCTGATTATAGTACAAATATTTGGCATGCAGCACAAAATAAAGAATTCCAATCCAATCACATCCTGCTTCCAATAAGGACAAAAAAACCTACCCCAACACTAGACTTATTCAAAGGTTAATATTTGTATTAGCAGCAACTAAATAAAGATATGTTAATATTGCACACTGGCCTATTAGATAATCAAACATATGCATAAAAAATAAATAATGTCCAAGCAAAATATCATTTTCCCCCTCCCTCTCAATTATTAATCAAACTGCATTTATCAAAAGGAAGTAGCGATAGCAAGCCTAAAGCATTATTTCCTCAGCATGAAAAGAGCAAGGTAAACAGTGGACATTATACTCTTTTGGAACAAATTAAATATGCCTATAACAACCCAGCAAAGAATGCAAATAGTGTTTAATCATATGTTTGAAAAATATTTACTTATCAGTTGACTAAAACTATGCAGGCGTGGTATTCTTTGGTAAAGTACATAGATGACTGTTGGCACACACAATGAATGGGGCTGCCATCTTGCCTAAGACAAACTGCAGTTATTCAGGCAACTGCCATTTTAGAAATTAATGGAACTGCAAGTGTCCCGTTTACTCCAAGTTACTGAGGATTTTTCAGAAATTCCCACAGTTTGATGAGAAATGTTTGCATTCTGTACAAGCACCACTGAATACCTGAAAACTACTTTGCAGCGGTGCATATTCCTTCTGAAGGTCATTTGGTTTATATCTGCTTGTGATAACTGGGACATCTGAGTCCCTCAGATGTCACTTGCCATTTCTCTGTGGTTGATAAGTGTGTCTATCTAGGATTGGGGAGACGAGCGTTCAAATCCCCACCGAGTCATGAAACTCCCTTGGTGACCTTTGGCCCGTTGCTTTTTCTCAGCCTAACGCACCTCACAGGGTAGTTGTGAGGATAAAACTGGTGTAGGAGACAGGGGCTGTGTATGCCATCCTGAGGAAAGGGAAGATATATATTCAATATAAATATGTAATCTGGTAGAGAACAAGAGATTCCTTCCTTCTTTCTTTTCTTTTCTTTTCTTTTCTTTTCTTTTGCTTAATTACTTCCCCTCAGATTCCTGCATTCCTATCCAAGATCCTATACCGGACCCACAAAAATACACAGCGTTATTTGTTTATAGTTGCGGAGGAGGTCAAACCCTCCTATTTAGCCAAGAAATAGGCTAAAACTTCATCCAGTGCCGAACAATTGAAATGAATCAGGATTTGCAGGCTCAAATGGTCCTCCCTAACAGATTGAAATTGATGCACAACTTGCCCATCAGGGATAGAACTGAACTGCTATTTGAACGTTATATATTTTTTAAAAACTTGATAATTAACAAGTAGACTTTGTTCTACTGTGGTTGTTTTTTCCCCCATCAACTCTTAAGTTTTTAGACTGTGTGGGGAAAAAACCCTGCCTTACGCTTGGGGAAGAGTAGATGTGGGAGACAAAACTATAGTTCTGCTTCTGCAGTAAGGACATAATGTTGCCGATCTGGTCGCCATCACAATGGGATAAATATCTGAAGCCGCTCCGTGACACCTCGGTGAGATTAGTAACCCTACCCACTGCCCACCTCTGGCTATGACTGCCACCAGACAGATCTTCCTGCGAATGCCTTGAACGTATATTTATATGTAATTAGCAGGCTGCTTAAAGAAAACGCTCTCTTGGGAACGGGGACTGAAGAGACGCTTCACACGTGTCTGACCCCCTGTTTCTTTAACAGCTGCAGGGTGGTCAGAAAAGCTGCACCTGCTGAATCCCCGCCACCATGGAGCGGTTGAAGGTGAGATGTTTGTGGGGCGGCGGGAATGGTGACTTCCGTAAGAACAAAGTTCCCGCAGACATTTGACGTGAGGGGCTTCGGTTGCGCGGGGTTTGTGTACGTCGAGGGGAAAACTACGGCCGTCCCGGGCTTTAGTTGCGTCAAGGACTATCGCCTCGCAGCTCTGAGGCGCTGCCAAGCTGGCCTTTTCCCGCTTGGCACACCAAACAGCAGCAAGGAGAAGGGGCGGGAAGGGAGCGAAGCGCGCCTAAACTCCCACTCGGCGCTCGCATTTGCCTTGGCCAGCTTCTGTTCCCGCCGGGCTCTGGCAAGAGAGCGCACAAGCCCCACCCCCTCGCGAGCTTTCTGTCGCTCACGCAACCACGCCCCCCTATCCCCGGCGCTGGCAGGAGCAGGGAGCGCGGCGGCGAGGCGACGTCGGGGCGACGTCAGCGGGCGCGCGCGGTTCAGACTCCAGCTCTTTAAAAACAGCGTGTAAACTGAGATGCTCCTACAAAGAGCGGCTGGGGCTTACGGGAGCAGCAGCAGTCGCCGCCGCAGTCCCTTCAACTGCAGTTTCATGAGCTGCCAGCCATTCTAAGCGTCTCCTCTCTCGCCCAGTTTGAGGCTATACATTCACAGAAGAGCGAGAGTCGCCTTCCCACCTCAAAAAGCCGAGCGCGCGCCTCCGAGCGTCGGCAAGCCCCCGCGCCGTACAGCTGAAGGGGGAATGTCAGCGGCTCCCTCGGCTTCTCAGGAAAGGAGCTCCGCCGTTTTCGCCCCTCGCCCCCTCAGCGCTGCCTTGGCACCATGGACACCTCCTCTGCCGCCGCCGCCGCCGCCCGCGCGCTGCTCCTTGCCAGCTTGCTGGGGCTCCTCGGCGCGGTGGTGCCGCTTGCCGGCGGAGGGAGCCCGTTCGGAGGGCGCCCGAGGAGCTGCCCGGCCGCTTGCCACTGCGAGGAAGACGGGATGCTGGTGAGAGTGGACTGCTCGGACCTGGGCCTGGCCGGCGTGCCCGCCAACCTCAGCGTCTTCACCTCTTACCTGTAAGTGGCTTTGGCGCGCGGGGCAGGCGCCCTTTTTTTTGCAGCTGTGGGAACGAAGAGCAGGGGAGGCAGGGCGGCAGGGCAAGGAGAAAGCCGCTACCTTAGTCGTTGGTGAGGCTAGGGATAGAGGGTGATGCTATGATTACGCCATCGGCGTGCTTTACGAAGAACAGGTAAGACAGGTCCTACCTCGAGGGTTTACAATGTAAGACCCACTGAAACAACGGAGGAAGGGGGGGACATGCGAGGAGGGCTCTGTGATTCTATTTCAACTGCGCAGACTTTGGCTTAGTTAGAATAAGGGATAAGAACTAGGGGAGGATAAAGGATCTCGCCGATCTCAGTCCTTTGCGCGATGGTCGCCCGTGCCAGAGCAAGACCATGTTCTGCAGAGGACGTGATGTCCTAGATTAAGCAGGGGACAGCGGTATCCGAAATAAGCCATGCTGCTTAAAGCGATGGGTATCTAGTAACCTAAGCAAAACCCTGCGGTGTGTCTACTGGTTTAGGTTTGTCCCTCTCAAAGGGAACTTCGTGAAAATGGTTGTTTTTTCCTGTGATCCTGTTCCACAGTTACGGTTACTTTTTAAAAAAAATATGCAGATGAGCTGCTCTGAGAGACTGTTGCGTGAGCGCTAAAAACAATTAAGGACATTGTGGAGTTTGAGTTTGTTCTTTAGGAGCAGTGGACTTTCGCAAGTCCATCTCAATAGGTTTGTTAACCTATGGGTGTTGTGGGATCAGCACTCCTCACGTATGCAATTCCTTCACAGCACCCTCAGGATGTCAATGGCATAAAAATGCCAGCCTATGCATTTAACTGGGATTTAACCTTTCCATGGAAAACCCAATAGATTGTACTGTTGCCAACAACACATTTGCATTTTGTGGAACACATCCTAACATGACATGGAATCAGAGGCAGTTCTTTAAAAGTGGGGCTATCTGACAGTCTCGTGTCTGTCCACCACTCTGACTGCATCAGATATAACGGAGAAGGGCAGCACTGTGTAATTCCCAAGTTTGAGGCACTCCAATTTTAGACAGATGTGCCTGTTTTCCACTACCAATGGGCAACAAAAATCCAAATGCACCATGGAGCCTGACAGAGTCTTGGGAACCATCCTCAAGAGCTAAAAAATCTGATTCAGCATTGCAACCAGCATCGTGAGCTATGATATAAATATTATTGTAAAAATACACACATTAGGATTGAGCATGATCCATGTCACTTTCAAATCTGTAGGCTGCAATCATGCATTCTATTACATTCAGTGGGGCTACTGCAAACTAAGTGAGCCATGGTACTTGTTACAGCTCTCCAACACTTAGTACTCTTTTTTGTATATTCTGAGCTGGAAGGTACCAGGGGATGGAGATGGTAGAGTTGTGAAATATGTTTAAGGCTGTAGTCCTATAGAAACATGCCTGGTAGTATGTATGGTTGAACTCAGTGGGTTACTTCTTAGCAGAGACAGTCAGGATTTACAGTGTCACGTAAGGTAAAGGTAAAGGACCCCTGGATGGTTAAGTCCAGTCAAAGGCAAGTATGGGGTGCAGTGCTCATCTTGCTTTTCAGGCTGAGGGAGCCAGCGCTTGTCCACAGACAACTTTCTAGGTCATGGGGCCAACACAACTAAACTGCTTCTGGTGCAACAGAACACTGTGATGAGTGCTAGGTGCACAGAAACGCTGTTTACCTTCCCGCTGCAGCATTACCTATATATCTACTTTCACTGGTGTGCTTTCAAACTGCTAGGTTGGCAGAAGCTAGGACAGATCAACCGGAGCTCACCTCATCACACGGATTCGTATTGCTGACCTTCTGATCGGCAAGCCCAAGAGGCTCAGTGTGTTTGTGTGTGTGTGCGCGCGCTGTATGTTTATATTAGTATCTTGCTGTGCTGTCAAAGTACATGGCAGATTTTTATTTCTTTTTGTTTGGTACAAAGATGTAAAATATGTATGTGTTAATTGTGGATTTATAGAGCCTGAGTAGAAAAAAAAGTATGGTTGAGAATACACTTTCAGATTAACAAAATTTATACATGAAAAGTGCTTTTATATAGGAATTAAGCTACAACCACAGCCTGCATGGTTTGTTTTATTGTTGTACATTCACTGAGAAGCTGCTGTCTAGGCTAGGGCACCGCAATACAGGTGTACTGGATGATCACACTTCACTCTACTATACCTTGAGGTGGCACAGAGACACCACTTCAAAGCCAAATCCATGCACACTTAGGGGGTGTATGCATTCAGAACCATACTACAAGGGGCAACCTAGAAAAGCAATCAATTTCTTGCCAAAACACCTGTGTAGATGTTGCTTTATAGTGCAATCCTAATGAGTTCAATGGGGCTTACTCCCAGATAAGAGGTTATATAGGATTGCAGCCTTAAACATCTGTTTATTAGAAAATAGGATGTAAGCCATTTAAATACTTTTTTTTTTTGTCCATTCAAAATAGGTACAAGTTACATATACAAGCATCTTGTATGATTTGATGGTCCACAGGCCTGATCCGCCAGGCTCAACAACTTTTGTTGTGTCTTGGTTTTTACTCTTTGAAATATGGCAGCCCTATCTTATGTTCTTTTGGGTACTTATACCAATCCACTATATAATTATGATGCATTGTTTACAGAGTAGTTAAAAATGAAGCAAGAGCATAAACTTAGTTGGCACTGCTGGATGCTATCTTTACCTTCGCTTCCCAAGGCATGGCTTTGAAGTGCAGTATTTTATTTAATCTTTAACTGATCTCTGCCTAAGACCAGAGCAGGTGCCCAGGAAGGCAGATCAATCTTCCCTTTGGATTTACTACTCAGTCTAGCCAAGGAAATTGTAGTCTCCATGTCAGAGATAAGGAAGCTTTGACTTGAGGGGAGGATGTGGCAATTCAGGCATCTCTGTCTGGCTCTTGGGATGCTTTCCAAGCTGTGACCTGACCTGCCCAGGCCACCCCGCTCTCTGGCTCTGCTCAGATCCTTCTTGAGTGCCTCTGCCTGGCTTCAACTGGGGAAGTTGCTCTTGCTTGCTGGGATGGAGAGGTTTGTTTGTGTGAAGAAATATCTGACTTCTGCATGTGGACAGCAACGTAGCCTTCTGCATTCAGTGTTCCACCCACTATAGGCATGTGACCTCCATTAGGTTTCCTATGAAGGAATGTGGACCTCAAGCTGGAAAAGGTCCCCCACCTCTGTCTATATGCCACTTATCAAACCTGGTGATAAACTAGAGTGTTTTTACTTGATCTGACATTGGATACCCACCCCTAATCTTCTCTGGTGTGGCTACTGGGTAGAAGGTCAAAGGCATTTGAACATGATGGATATCTTTTTTCCCCCTCAAGACAAAACAGATTTGGACACAGTAGAGTATGAGACTTTTATACTGGAGGCCTCCTTGATATGTGAAAACTGTTCTTCCAAACCAGGAGGTGATGTTGCACCACTGTATTGTGGATTTTAGGTCACATTTATATCCACCCAGTTTAATGCTTGAAAAATGTGCAAGCTCCATTTGTATAGGTTTTGGCATGATGCAATGGGCTAAAGGTTTATTGCTGCACTTTTAAAATAATTGTATGACTTCGAGAAAAGTGCTACTTTTCATGAAAGTGAATAGACGAAACATCAGTTTGTTGCTATTATCATGACATCAAGATAATTGGGTGAAACTTTGTGATTACCACTCTTTTTTTTTCTTTCTCAACTTCAACCATTGTTTGGAACATTGCTTTGCGTTATCGGTCATCGTAGTAATTCTTGGTAGTGAAATTTCTCCATTTAAAGCCAGTATCTTTTTACTTTACTATTGAGGTCAACTTCATTATTCATAGAGCCAATAATGCTATTTCAAACCATTATGACAAATCTCCTTGCAGCCTTGCCTGAAGCAGTGGTGGTGAATAACCTTTGCAGCCCTTTAGGAGGCTTCAAGAGTCCTAACACATGTTAAGGCTAAAGGAGATGGTGGGGCTAAGGTTGGACTATTTAAGCCTCCTCTCCTCTCCTACAGCCTCTTCCATTCCTTGGCACCCACCCCTTATTCTTTGTTCAATATAGGCATTGCTAGTTGTCTTCTGGGACCAAGTAGGAATTTTTTGGCTTTGCTGATTGACTTTTTTGCCTATACTGTACTGATTTGGTGGCTGATGCTCTTAGCAGGTGGCAACCATTGAATAGGTTAATTGGCCACATAGGCCAAAATAATTAAGGTTTGCTAAGCCTCCTTAGGCACCTTTAAGAGTAACAGATGTAGTCCTGAGATTTGTCTTTGAGGCTGTGGGTAGGGAGCACCTTTGGGGCCAACCTATGAAGCAGCAAGGCCTCTCGGCTCAACTGAAAGATGGGGCATAAGGAAAGGGGTAGATGAAATGCTGCTCCTCATTCTTAGCAGGGCTGGCTTGACCACAGTTTGCCATATGCAGTTAATATCCCACACCATTTTCCCCCACCGCTGGTCCATATTAAATGAATAAGGTAAAGGTAAAGGGACCCCTAACCATTAGGTCCAGTCGTGGCCGACTCTGGGGTTGCGGCACTCATCTTGCTTTATTGGCCGAGGGAGCCGGTGTACAGCTTCTGGGTCATGTGGCCAGCATGACTAAGCTGCTTCTGGCAAACCAGAGCAGCGCACATAAATGCCGTTTACCTTCCCGCCAGAGCGGTACCTATTTATCTACTTGCACTTTGATGTGCTTTTGAACTGCTAGGTTGGCAGGAGCAGGGACTGAGCAACAGGAGCTCACCTACATTGTGGGAATCCATTGTGGGGATTCGAACCGCTGACCTTCTGATCAGCAAGTCCTAGGCTCTGTTGTTTAACCCACAGCGCCACCCGCGTCCCTTTAAATGAATAAACGTGGCCTATTTCACACAACCTTGTGTCTCGCCTCCTTATTTTCCACTGTTGGTGCAAATTACTGTTCCTAGCTGAATGTTTTGTTTGTTGTTAACCAAGTAAAGCTATTGACTAATAACTTCATTCTATGTAACAATTCCTCACTGGAAACAAGAGTGGCAAAATATATAAATCAGAATAAACTTGTTAGTTATTAAGTTGCCACAAGACTGATTGTTTTGCTGAAACCAACAAACACAACTACTCCTCTGGAAATTTTTGATGCTGTGCACCACAGGGACAGGCAGAAGGACACACATAGCAGCCAAGTGGCAAAGGTATCTGCCTTCCTGAAAGTTGAGGATTCAGGTACAGTGGTACCTTGGTTCCTGAACAGCTTAGTTGTAGAACAAATTGGCTCCCGAATGCCGCAAACCCAGAAGTAAGTGTTCGGTTTGTAAATGTTTTCGGGAAGCCGAAAGTCCAACGCAGCTTCCGTGGCTTCTGCGGCTTCTGATTGAGTGCAGGAGGCTCCTGCAGCCAATCGGAAGCCATGCCTTGGTTTTCGATGGTTTCGGGGGTCAAATGGACTCCCAGAATGGATTAAGTTTGATAATCAAGGTACCACTGTATTGCCGCAGACATCTGTCGTCAGCCTATCCAGCCTACAGATGAGACTTGATGGATAATATGTATAAAACACTGCTTTCTTTCATGTGCTGTAGAACATGGCAAAACATATTTATTGTAAAGTATTTCATCTGTGCTGTTTGGAGTCAAGGATAGTGAATGTATAGGTTGGAACTATACATATTTAGTCAGAAGTAAATTAAAATAGGATCAACCTATAGCTACCCCGGGGACCAGTTGTTTGAAGAATGGTGTGCATATACATTAAGCAAATAATGTAGGTCTTGCTAAGTTCAATAGGGTTTACACCCAAATAAGTGTGATAGGATTTTAGCATTAGTAACATAAAACTTGCAGGCCAGGACTGAACTGTTAAAACCAGAGGATGGGGAAAGCTGGAGTTATGAACTGTGCAACTTATTTTTCAAAAGTAGCTTTCTAGTAATTAGCTATATTAAAGCATAGCTGATTCTGAAGTGTGTGTTTTTCTTTTGAAGAGTTGAAAAAAATTGAGACAGGAAATGCCCTTCAAGATAGGTTGTCTGCATTATTTCAGTCATCCTGCACAATGCTTAATAACAGGATCCAGTGACATAACCCTTTGCTATTTGCATCAAGTTGTGATTAAACTGAAGTTTGCCTAATTATGTAGTGGCTTAGCTCTAACCCATTTGCCAACTCTCATTGATGACTAAAAGACACAAGATAGGGTTAGAAAACTCCTGAACGTCTTGTTTAAAAATGTGATGCTGGTACCTTTAGAATACTAAAATATTGTGCATGAAGGTGTGATAAGAAATAGCTCACAGTCACTCATATCCCCATAGTATTTCGGATTGCTTTGATTGCTATCTGGTCTCAAGTGTTTCAGATAACATTAAGCATCAGTAGTGTGGCTCAATTCAGACTACATGCCAAATCACAGTTAAAGAAGGTTTCCATCATGGTTTTGTGGCTAACTGTGGTTTGTGATCCTAGTTCTAGCAACCCAGAATAGTTTAGGGCTACTCTCATTTTGACTCAAGAGAATCACCATTTTATAGTTCAAATTGGGAAAAATAAATACAGTAAATGGACAAAAGTACAAAGATTCACAAAAAGTTTAGGGGTATGTGTACCACTGCATCTCCGCACCCCCCCAAAAAAACCTGGATATATATAACAAAAATGTGTTTTTGCTGTTGCCAATGCGCAGACTGATTTGAGCTATATGTATATCAAGGGCAGTGGAAAAGGGAGACCAAGGTTTGTAATCAACCACATCCTATTCAGAGTAGACCCACAGAAATAAATGAAACTAAGGACTCAGCTACATTAATAAAAAAACAATGTTTTTAATGTGTTATAAACCTGCAACACCAGATGGCGCAGGAGAGGGGGGGAAATATGTGCAATTTTTACATGGCGTTTTTTCCCTGTGTGTAGATCTACCCTGCCAGCCATAGCCATTAACTTCAGTTTGTCTGCTCAGAGTTGAATACCATGCAAACCATATAATTAAATATATACTGTATTTAATTATATATTGCTTATAGAAAGAACAATTCCAAAACATTTTTATTGTTAGACTGAACTTTTCTGAGGTGGATTTAAGTGCTGTCCTTAGGGTGACAATATATATCCTTCTGGGTTGGAGGAAACCCATATCCATATACTTTTCAGTCCTAAGCATAGCTGAAAGAAGCAAGTGTGATGGGAGATTTTACTTCTTCTCATTTTTGTTTAAACATTTATTCTTCTCTAAAAACTTTTTTAAGTACAGTTAAAAAGTAGATTGTTATATGGGCCATTGAAAACAAAAATCTAAAAAGACAGTGAAAGAATAATGTATAATCTAAGGAAAATTCTGGCTGAGTGAAAAAATATCAAAAAGGTGCAGTAAAGTGAGGAGTTTCTATATCTGATTAACACCTTTGTACATTCACTGTTTTGGCTAGTTTACAATTAATAAATCATGATAGATCAGATTTGTTTATTTGTATCTAGTCATCAGACCACCACACAACAAAAGTTTAATAGTATAAGGTAAGTAAATAAATTCACCATATGTCATAAAAGGTTTATGATATTCTTATTAATTAGAATGGCCCTGTATGGTAAGGTTATCTAGATCACGGTGGCTAAGCTCAAGGATGCTAGCATTATAGAAATACATTTTAGTCAGTTCTCTTTTCCTTGACACGTATAGATTGGCAAACTATGCTGCTTTTAAATAGTGGGCGATCTTGTACTTAAATAAAGCACAACTAAACTAACGTGTTGCATTCCCTGTTTGATAAATCTATATGCATTGTCAGGGTTGTGTGACTTTAAGGGGAGAGCCTGAAAAAGTCATTGCATAGCATACACCCGGTATTCCTTTTTTGTGGTGACTGCTCTGTGGAAGTGATATGTAAACTGACAGGGTGGTGTGGTGGGGGAAGGAAACTCCCTTTAAGCTAGTAAAAGGCAAGGGTCTGGCAGAGTGAAGGCACCTTCAGTTTGGCTTAGTATCTGGAGTGCAGAGGACAATTGACCTGACAGAGGGAGCCCGACTCCAGCTGTGAACGCGTGCGTGAAGCTGACCTTCCCAGTCAACATGCCAACTGAGATTAGACTTCCTTCAAGTGTTCCCTTGTTAACTTGGCCTTTTTCCCCCAGTGGAGTTTGTCTTTCAAATGCTTACCATTAAAATTGCTTACCCAGATCTGGAGCAACTTGGAAAGCTTTCTTTTTATACTCTCGGCAGCCTCTGCCCGTTATTGTTTAAAGACTGCAATTGTAATCATTTCCACCGAAATCAGTGGGATTTGTATCCAAGTGAAGAGGATGGGAGGGAATGTTAATTGTTTGCAGGCATTTAAAAATGCCATTTATGTTTCCTTGTTGTTATTAATATAAGGAATAGTATTATCGTGATTGCTGAGGTTTTGAGGCGAGTTCCATTGCTGCCAAACAGAGCAGAATTCTTTGGGTTTGGGATTATGGTAACTGAGAAAGCTTGAGTTTGCACTACTGATCATGAAACAGCTAAGGTCTGGGTGATTAACCCCCTTCAGTAATAATGCAGTGAACTTAAGCGGTAGAGGGTCTGGACTACAACTCAGCTGGTCAGATCAGTTCTGTGGGGTGCTACGCAAATGTCCCCAATATGCATGTGTGCATACAGAAACTTCTCTTCATCTAGGTAAGCATGAGGCTTTATAATATTTAAAGGATATTTTCAAAATGGGCCAAAGTACTTTTAGTGCAGAGCAGGGTCCTGGAAGTAGGGATTGTGGAGGGGTACATGGCCTGGGTACGGTTCAGAGGGCTGGACAGACAAGTCTGCAGGGTCTCAGCCATCCCTGGGCCTGAGATTCCCTCACCCTAATTTATAGCAACCCTGGCTGTTCATGGCATGGTAGTTGAAGTCTGCAGGTATGCCTGCTGTTCACTGGGGATAAGCATTCTGTGTTGACTTAGGGCAGGCCATTTTGTTGATTATACCCAGGGGTGAATAATTGCCTGAAAAGGACAAGACAAAGCTTTATGACCTCTGTGTAAAACAAATGAAAAATCAAATATTGCACTTAATTATTCATTCATTTATTGTTTTCAAAGCCCAGCTATTAGCCACCATCATGTAAACAGAAGTTTGTGTTGCCACAGCAACTAAAACATAAATGCTGTGGCTTTTATGTGTTTGGATCTGTGCAGTTCAGTATATGTGGAACTGCAACTGAAAATGGTCCAGAAACCTCAGTTAGTTCAGGACAGGGCATCAAGATTATTAACCAGGACCAAACAAGTTGAGAGCTTTACCCCTGGTGGTCTTTTTCAAGCTCAGTTCAGAGTCATTTCACAACTTTTAAAAATAGGGTTATAAGACCTATATTTTAAAGACAGCCTTTCAAAGCTGATGGAAATTTAAGCGTGAAGATACTGCTGTGAAATTATCTGGTCGTAATGTTTTATAATTGTCTTTATTGTGTCATAAGGTGCCTCAAATGCAGTAGAGACAAGATAGAATTATTTTAAATAAATAAATATGGATAGTTTGGGACTCCATTACATAGAACATACTTTTGATTTCTTTTTAGTTATTTAACAACATTTATATGCAGCTTGATTGTAAACATAAGCTCTAAGTAGTCTACAAAAATAAAGCAAACATTTAAATCAATAGAAGGCAAAGTTTAAAAATTCATAATATAATTAAAATCAACAGTAAAGCTAAAAACAGGCTATTTGTTATTTATTTATTAAATGTCTATACCCGTCTTAATCCGATGATCACAGGGTGGTTTACAATATAAAAATACAAAAATAGATAGCATAGTAACAAACAATAGTATCCCACCACACACACATGGTCCATAGATGGTTTAATTAGCCAAAGGCTTGGGAGAAGAATAATGTTTTTGCTTGGTACCTAAAGATATGTAACAAAGTTGCCACGTGTCAGCTTTTACATATCTGCATAGGCTTATCTGAATGAAAAGGGAGTTACAAAGTGTAGGTACAGTCGTACCTCCGCTTACATATCCCTCTGGTTACATAAATGTCAGGATATGTGAGCGGCAAACCCAGAAGTTTATTTCCGGGGTTTTGCCACACATGCATGCGCAGAAGCGGTCTCTCCAGTTGCGAAAACCTCAGGATCTGGCCGGACATCCAGAACAGATCCTGTCCGCAACTCGAGGTACCACTGTACTTATATGCTAAAATGTTCATATCTTTGGGGACTCAGCTACATTTACTAAAGAAAAAGTGCTTTATATGCATTATAACACTGTGACAAGGGACATGGGTGGCACTGTGGGTTAAACAACAGAGCCTAGGGCTTGTGGTTCGAATCCCCACGACGGGGTGAGCTCCCATTGCTGAGTCCCAGCTCCTGCCCACCTAGCAGTTCAAAAGCACAAAGTACAAGTAGATAAATAGGTACCGCTCCGGCGGGAAGGTAAACGGCGTTTCCGTGCACTGCTCTGGTTCACCAGAAGCGGCTTAGTCATGCAGGCCACATGACCTGGAAGCTGTACGCCGGCTCCCTCGGCCAATAAAGCGAGAGGAGCACCGCAACCCCAGAGCCGGCCACGACTGAACCTAATGGTCAGGGGTCCCTTTACCTTTTTAACACTGTGGCACTAGGTGGCACAGTGTTCCGTCTTTTGCCAACGAGGTTTCCCACTTTGAGGTTTACAACGCGTTTTCCTGAAATGCTTTTTTTTATGTGTCTAGATCCAGCCTGGGTCCCTTCCAACTCTACAATTTTATTATTCTAAGTGCAGAGCAAATATGTGACACCTGGACAGTGCCAGTTCCACAGACTGAAGCAGTCAAATGGGCATATATGGGGTAAGGGGATCTTGTAAGTTCCTGGTCCCAAGCTGTTGAGGACTTTATATACTTTGAACTTGACCTAGTAACAAGTCAGCAACCAGTGCAGAGGTGTTAGATGTTGGACAGAGTCTCACTCCTCTCAGCATCCATGCTGCAGCATTCTGTACAAACTGAAATTTCCAAACCAAGCACAGGGGAAATCCCACACAGAACGTATTTCAGTAATCCAATCTTAAAGTCACGAGTGCCTAAACTACTGTGGTCAAACTCTCCTGGTCTAGGAACAGCCAAAGTTGTTATATCAGCCACGTCTGGTAAAAGGTGGTTCTAGGCCCTGAGGTTACCTGGGTCTCCAGTGACAAGGATTCAGCAGCACTCCCAGACTGTGTACCTGTTCCTTCGTGGAGAGTGCAACCCCATCCAGGGCAGGCAGTTGACCAATTTTTCAGACTCAGGAACCCTTCACCCACAGTGCCTCTGTTTTACTAGGATTTAAGCTGAGCTTATTTTCTCTCATCCATCCTACCAACTGCATCCAGGCTGCAGTTCAGAGCCCATACAGCATCCGCTGATTCAGATGTTATGGAGAAACAGAGCTGAGTGTCATCGGTGCATTTGTAGCACCTTGCTCCGAAATGCCTAAAGACTTCCAGAGGCTTCATATACACAGATATCTTTAAAAGTATTGGGGATAAAATAGTATCCTGCAGCACCCCATAGCAGACTTGCCAGGGGGGCAAAAAGCACTCTGCCAATGCTACTGTCTGGATTCAGCCCTATAGGTAGGACTGGAACCATAGGAGACCGTTCCCAATGAAATATTTGAGGGGGGGCCCCTCACTTAATCGGCATTGCCATTCAAATGGTGTGTGTATGGCACATCATGTGATAAATCATGCAGGCAGGGCTTCCCTGCCCCCCCATATTTTATTCAAGTTGGCACCCCTAGCTGTAACAGAGTGCCTCCAGTTCCCATCCACAGAGTCTGTCCAGGAAGATACTATGGTCTGTGGCATCAAAAGCCACAGGGAGATCCAGAAGAAAGAGCAAGGTCACACTCCCCTTGTCCTAATCTCTTTAAAGATCATCCATCAGGTGACCGAGGATGACACAGTCCCATGGACCAGTCCAGTTTGGAATGAGTCTATATAATCCCTGCCATCAAAAAATGCTTATAGCTGCCTCTCCGTAACTCTCTTAACCACCTTCCCCCCAAAAAGGGAGTATTTGCAACTGATTGATAGTTTTTTGATGTTCACAATTGAATCATAGATACATGAAGATTGAGATGCTCAAGACCCAAGTAACACATAGCAGGCTGCTTGCTTTTTTCCTAAAGGGATTCATCACTTGCTGACTAACTATAAGAATCCACCATCACAAATTGTGACTCAGAATAATGACCTCCAGCCTATTTTAGGGTTATGGTGGCACACTGAGGCTATGATTCTATATCTGCTTACCTGGGGAAAGGTTTCATTGAACTCAGTCATGTAACTGTTAAAACATAGTCTCTCTCTTAGGCAAAAAAGTGGCAGACCTAGAGTTGGTTTATGACATAGAACTTGTTATACTCTTTCCACAAACATTTCCTTTCTTATTTCCAAAGTGATCTCCCTGCAAAAGTGAGCAGCTGAATGGGAACTCCTATCTGGCTCATAACAATTAGGCAAGTGAAATACCATGAAATACAGGAAATGTTAGTTGAAGCAGTTCTCCAGTTTTGTTTGCTTTAGAGAGGAAGTGTTTATGATTTTTGTCTTTTTTTTCTTTTTAAAGAAATTCAGTTGGTTAAACTACTTGGTTTGAAGCATTTGCACGTGGTCCCTTTGCTAGCAGCAATTCCCAAGATCATGGTACATGAATAGCTTGGTTTTCTATTCTTAACACATTCAACCAAATATGTCCTTGCTACTTCTTAAACTGATGAAGATTAAGGACTTAGAGCTCCAAAGTTCTTATTGTGTTAGTGCTGAAGTAATTGAATATATTCATTAAAAAATAATAATGGGAGGGGGGACGGACGACTATATGTACATAGATCAGGGGTGATGAATCACCACAGATCTCATTTTGGGTCATGAGGCTATTTCCCCCAAAACCATGCCACCTATTTTCCCCAAAACCATGCCACCTACCCCATCTGATGTCAGGAGTGGGCTAAGTATAGATAAAGCTTCCAATGCACAATCCAGACTCTTAAAGTGCAAAGGATTTATATCACCAGCTATCAGAGGATAGGTGGTGACTTCAAGCCTGCTAGATCAGCTTCACTACCTAAGGTCATGCAGCCGCCCCTGCAGGAAACAGAGCTTTGAGTCTCACCGCCTACCAGTTTATGGGTGGCAACTTCATGCCCCAGTTTTCCCTCTGTAAAGTATTATAGATTATTTATCCCATCCATCAATAGCTTTGAAAGGTAGGCAAACTTGTGCTTGGAGAAACTGAGGCTGAGAGATAGCGACTTGCCCAGGGTCCCCCATGAGCTTGTGGTAGAGTATACAGTTTGAACCCAGTTCTGCCATATGCAAATCCAGTAACTTACCTAGGGGACAAAACTGAATTAGGATCTTATCACTCTGCCTTTTGAATCCATGGCAGCTATGGTTTCTGTCCATATTTCCTTCTGCTATATGTTGACATAGGCTGCACCACCATGGAGTGAGTGTTGTTGTTGTTGTTGTTTTGCACACCAATCCAAAAACTGAATCCAGCTGTTTCATGATCAGATCAACTTCTGGTTGCACAATTGGAAGCTGAAATGTCCTTGCTGAACTACATATCTGTCACAAACCAAAAGTCTTTCAAAAGTTGGCCCTTGTTTCTGGACCAGCCTAATGACTTGTTTCATTCTTCATTTTGTCACATGTTGTCTTCATTTTGTTTACTTTTCCCCATGTCTCCTAGAAGTATCCTTGCTTCCTTGTCATCTCACCTTACTAGATATAGCCACAGGATCCTCAACCTGTTCAAATGATGTACTGGTCAACATGTTTCATAAAATATTGTCATTTTTTATTTCCCAAAGCTACACTATGAATTTGTTTTTAACATTTCAAATATAAATTAAATTAAATTGCTTTGTTTGCTTTATAGTTTAGACAACTCAGTAGGCTGCCTTGGAAGTCCATTCAATCCATTAACATTAAATCAACAACTTGAGCTTCCTTCTGTCTTCCTCCAGCAGGATTAATGGATTTTGGCATGATTGGGACATCTAACAGTAAAAGCTCTTGCTGGGAGAGCTAGGAAGCTTGACTAATTCCCAGCAGTGCTGACTTCATAAAGTTTTATTTCAAGGTTTTAAGTTTGATGGAAGATTAAAGGTAATGACTTCATGCTGATACCTTTGAGTGTGGAATACATGAACACCATTATCAAATATGTAGTGCAAAAGCTGCCTTTCTAACTGGAATATGAACAAGGAAGTTTTACCTATTACTCTACCGCATTAGACTTTTCGTATTTATTTGAAGCAAAACTCTTGTAATCTGTTAAGCAGTATCTTTTCCAAATTTTTGAGTCATACCTGATAGGTAATGCCAGACAGCCTGACACTTAGTTTCAATACCTGGCAGAGAGAGAACTATGTTTTGTTAAGAACAGTTTATGTTTTAATAGAAGAGCTGTTGATAATGTTCTTGTAACAAGACCATCAATTTTCACCAGCAAATCAAACTCTTATTAAAGCTTCTTCTCTCCCACCCAGACATTTCAGACTTGAGAATGAGAATTCAGGAAAGACAACAAAAAGTTGGAGGGAGATGGAAAAATATTTTCAGCCTGTCTGACAAGACTGCATAAAAAGCTTGTGATCAAAGCATATTAAGTACATGTTACTGGTGTGACAAACAACATTTTTGTCCCTTTATTAGATTTATTTTTCTCTTCTGAAAACTGCAGTGACCAGTATATAGATTGTGAAAGAAGGCTGGCAGGGTAGTATTCTTTGATTCCTAATTAACACCTTCGGTCTCAAAAGAGAACTAACAGAAATACCATAAAATGTTACAGCTGCATTGTTATTCCGCTTGGTTGGTTTGTTAAAAGTCGGCTGGGCACTGGCAGCTGCAATAAAGGGAAAGCTCAATGGATGTTTTGTATTGTGCCCACTGAAGTGAAAGAAGGCAACCATTTTATTTTCAAATGGGCAGCTGCATAGTGAAGTTTAAATGGATCTAAATACAAGATCTACTGTTAACATATAGTAATTGACAATAAATAAAGGAATAGCACAGCCAACTTCCATCTGTTTTGTCTCTGGCACACAAATTTTAGGAAAACTTTTCACGAAGAAACAAACACATTTGCAGAGTTTTGTGAACAGAAAAAAACAAGAGTGCAACACATTAACAGGGTGGAACATTTAGAGTTAAAGCAGAACTTTTGAAGCATTTTAGAAAGCCACTATTTCAAATAACACATTTATGGGATACACAATATCAGGACTCCCGGCGCCCACTTTTATTTATTTTTAAATCATTTCCCCTCCTCAAGTGTATAAATTGAGACATCATTATCATTCCAGTCCTTCACATTCTTATTTTGCCATAGTAGTGAAATAAAGAAAACATTTAAACTCTGGTCAGATAAGATGCACACACATTTAGAAAATGCAATTAGGGAAATATGGAAATCTAGATGTTTCATCAAATGCTTGCTAAGGAGTCCTCTGTTCTTTTTGTGCACAATGACTGAACTAAAGAACTTCAGTCGCTGTGTAAGAACCATTGTTCCAGCCACAGCACTTATTAGAAACAGAGTCCAGACTGGCGTGGGAAATACCTATGTATTTGACATCGCCCCTGTTTTGGAGAGAAATGGAGTGGAATAGAAAGTATAAGGAGATTTTACTGTTGCATTCTAATCAGCCATGATCTGTCTAATTTGTTTTGCTTCAGAAGATAAAACTAATATTCTTCTGGATAAAAGTAATTAACAAGCCAATAGTATCATGTTGAATACGGAATGGAACAGCAGACACTGTAAGTTTTGGGAGCATAGTACTGTACTGTATAACTTTTCAAATCATCAGAGAATACTTTATTTCATACTACGATGCTGACATAGGATAGGTTTTAACTAACGGTTCTGTTTCAAATTGGGAAGAATAAGATTATGAAACTAAAACAAGACTTCAGTCGAGCTATTATCATCTGTATCACTGAATACAGGTTCTGCTATCTGTATTTAAATATTAAAAGTGTCTTGGTTGGAATATAACATTGTATTTTCCTAAGTTCCGTAAATTTATTACCAGTGATTGGAATATGGATAGTGTGCTACTAGTCAGCCATAGTTAGTATTTTATTTAACAAATGCATTTGTTAATTTATACCATTTACTTATAGTAATCATATTTAATTTTTTTTATTTATACACGCACATGGAAATATGCTTAGTTTTTATTGCCTTATACAAATTAACTCAGTCTTTCTTGATGGTTCTTTCCTTCTGAGGTCATGTATCAAACTAAATAGTTCTATGTTGTCAAGTACTTTGGGGACTTAATGACTGGACCCACCTGGATTAGTTGCATGCAGAGGTTTACGTACTATAGTTTGTTTTATAGTTAGACACCTGACATGGGGGGGGGAGTGAAACTTATAAATATGGAAATGGAATAAGATACTTGTTCTTCTTCAACCCATTAGCATCCTCTTCTTTATTTCCCTGCTTCCCCTTTCTCTGTGATTCTGTTAACCTCCATTTACCAAGTCTCTGCTTTCCCCTGCCTCATTTCAACTTTCCCGTTTTGTGTTTCCCCCTATCCTTACCCCCATTTGCTTTGGGGGCCCTGCTCCATTTTCTTCCTGTTGTCTCCTGTGGAATAATAATGAGGCAGGTGCCAAACTTGGGTTTTCTACAACTTTATTAATCGCAATCCTAGAATCACGAAATGATTTGATAGGTGGTGGTGGCGGGGATCTCTCTCTTTCTCTCCGCAACTTTATCTGAGGAACTGGGCTGGCTCTCCAGCAGCAGTTGTCCCTCAGGTGTCACGGCTTAAACTGTACAATTGTTAAGGCAGATTAAAAAGACATTATTAAATTTTGAACAGTGCAAAATGTTACTAAAACCAGCATGAACTAGCATGGCCATGCCAGAAATCTAAACACAGACTCAGTCTAACCTTTAAAAGCAGCAATAAAAAGGTCTTTAAAGTCCACTTAAAGATCTTGAGCAGTGGAACCTTCACATGGAACTGTGGGGCTAACTCTAAGGACGTCTCAAATAGTGCCGCAAATCTTTCAATCTTGAAATATTTTCAGTTTATGTGATTTGGAGAGCAGGAAGAAGGTGCTTCCAGCTATTTAAAAATGTCTTAATCTTTTGCCTCTTGCATCCTTTTTATGAAAGGAACAAAATGAATAAACAATGGAAGTCTATAAAACAAGGAAAAGACAAAACATACTAAAACAATTTTTGCAAAGGTCTTTTTAATTGCATCAAATGCAACATCTAAGATGTTGGAACTCATCTGGGAACAATAAAAAAAATGTAAGTCAAACCACCCTATTTGTCCTTTATCAGCATCATTGCTGAATTGTACCTTTCATTTTTAAAATAGCAACATAATTGAACAATTGTCAGTTTAAAGTTCCTGGATTCAAACTGATTATACATAATAAAAATAACAAGCCATGACAAATAGGCAAATAGATTTCGATAATTCACTAAAGAATGTCTCTACCAAGCCTTTGTGGCGTATGTCTTGTTTGCAAGACAAATGCAGAGTTGAAATAACAACCCATGAATACCACTGGTGAAATGGCTATGTACACAAGGTGAATGCTAAAGCTTTTCCTTCTGAATGGACCTTTTAATCTAGGCATTATCTAAACTCTGAAAAAGCCTTCAGTGGCCTTACATACAGATTAATGGGAAAAGCTGAGACCTAGAGTTGGGCTATTTGCAGAAAAAGTTTTAAAGATTTACTGATGGTTGACAAATGCCATTTAAGTTTCAAAGCCATCAATAACCTATTGAAAAAGATTTAAAGGGAAACCCTCCCACTATAGAAAGAGACCTGACTCTGAAATATCTCAGCAGAAGCTCCTTCTCTTCCCCCCACCCCAAGCTTTCCCTACATAACCTCCACTGACTTTCTTTGCTATTTGGAACCCTTGGAACAAGTGACCTTGGAAAAGAGGAGGTAAGGCCCCTTTTAGAGACATTTGTATATAACTGATTGTGCCAAACTGCTATTGTGCAGGCATGAGAATTAAACAGAACTGTTTCCAGAAAAGTCTCTGGGATCATGGACAGGCTTTCAATAGCCTTTCTGCTAATAGTTTTTTAATGTGGGAGATGGGAGTGGCGGAATAAATTTTGTCAAGAATTTTGTCGAATCTGAAACCTTGTCCAAAACCTTTATCTTAACCTGTGTGAAGTTTGAGAAGCTTGTTTTTCTTTCAACTTTCTTAACAGCTAGTCAAACTCCAATTTATATGTATGTGGTATATGCCCTTTGCAGATGCATTTCTGCAAATATGACCCATACAAACAAGTTGTTAACATTTTGGTGCAGAAAAGAGGAAGAAAAGCAATTACAAGTCATTCATAAATTCATTTTTAAAAAAACCAAAAAACTTTTGCTCTTGTGAGTTGTATGGAGAATAAAAAATATAATTAATTTAATACTACCAGGGGATATTGAGATAAGTATTAATTCATGTTTCTGATTATCTTTATTACAGTATGGCTAGGTTTCAGCATTGAAATAGCCTTGTTTGCTTTTATGGATGTGTTACGCACAACCCAAGTCTCTAAGCAGTGAGAGGCTTCAGAGGTTCCTATATTGACCCAGGGTACTGTGGTCAAAAGGGACGTGGGTGGCGCTGTGGGTTAAACCACAGAGCCTGGGACTTGCCGATCAGAAGGTTGGCGGTTCAAATCCCCGCAACGGAGTGAGCTCCCGTTGCTCGGTCCCTGCTCCTGCCAACCTAGCAGTTCGAAAGCACGTCAAAGTGCAAGTAGATAAATAGCTACCGCTCCATCAGGAAGGTAAACGGTGTTTCCGTGCGATGCTCTGGTTTGCCAGAAGCAGCTTAGTCATGCTGGCCACATGTACGCCAGCTCCCTTGGCCAATAGAGCAAGATGAGCGCTGCAACCCCAGAGTCGGCCACGACTGGACCTAATGGTCCCTTTACCTTTACTGTGGTCAAAGATACTGTGGTATCTTTAGGATATGTAGCTTTAGTTGCACCCACAGACATATATATAACCTGAGCAAAGGATAAAGGAGCTCACAGTTTTACCACTCCAACAGATCTTATTTCCCCATTCGGTTTCCAGGGGAGCACCAAATCTAGCACATAGCAAGACAAGTCACTGTCTCTCCAGCTTCCAGCCAAACTCTCACAACTTTCAGATACGCCACCCCTCTAGGCCTGTTGTTCTCCATCCTGGATGACATGGCACCAGCCAGGTGAGGTAGGAAAAGGCCCATCATTTGTTTCTCCTATTCTCATTTTTCCCTTTTCCCTAACTGCCTGCCTCTCCCTCACTCTCGCCTCCTAAGTTCATAGTAGCACCAATGTCCTGGTCTCATATTGTTTATTGCTCAGCAGCAATGGTCAAGCAGTACAGACTACCCTCTCTGTACATGTGTTACCCTGGCAACAGTATCCTGTGCGAGAAGACAGGTAGGGTACCTGGAGGTATTCCAAGGAGCAGTGTAATCAGAAGTTGCTAGTATCTCTGCCTATCCAAACCCTATTGTGCTGTCCATTTTGTGGGGACAGGATTACTCCCAGTCTCTAATGTAAATAATATTAGAAACATTAGATTTAATGATAACCAGTCGCTTCATCATCCTTTCCCATTACTATAAGGTAATTGTTTGATATTTATATCTTGCAAACTATTAGCCAAAAATCTGAATTTGTGGGGGGGGGGGGGGTTGAAGCTGCCCTGTTAATATATTGCTCACAATATTGAATTTTCTAGAGTGATAACATTGTGTCAGTATACTTAATATGCTTAGAATACTCCTACCGCTGAAAATAAAAAGTCAACTAGTTGCTTGATTGATTCACCATTGTATATATGTAATCTGACCCTTCAGTTTCACTTTCTTGAGATCTCTGGTTATTTGGTCACTCCTACGCCCTCTCAGTAGAAAATGGAAAAAATATACCGTATGTGAAAAGATTAGCCATCCATATCTGAGGATGCACTATAGCCACATCAGTATTGCTTTAAAATACATTTAAAATACATTTACCTGGAGTACTGTGTCCAGTTCTGGGCACCACAGTTCAAGAAGGACACTGACAAACTGGAACGTGTCCAGAGGAGGGCAACCAAAATGGTCAAAGGCCTGGAAACGATGCCTTATGAGGAACGGCTAAGGGAGCTGGGCATGTTTAGCCTGGAGAAGAGGAGGTTAAGGGGTGATATGATAGCCATGTTCAAATATATAAAAGGATGTCACATAGAGGAGGGAGAAAGGTTGTTTTCTGCTGCTCCAGAGAAGCGGACACGGAGCAATGGATCCAAACTACAAGAAAGAAGATTCCACCTAAACATTAGGAAGAACTTCCTGACAGTAAGAGCTGTTCGACAGTGGAATTTGCTGCCAAGGAGTGTGGTGGAGTCTCCTTCTTTGGAGGTCTTTAAGCAGAGGCTTGACAACCATATGTCAGGAGTGCTCTGATGGTGTTTCCTGCTAGGCAGGGGGTTGGACTCGATGGCCCTTGTGGTCTCTTCCAACTCTATGATTCTATGATTCTATATGCTGCACTAAGCTCCTGGGAGGATGCAGGAAGGTTCACCTATAAAGCTAAACCATGGTTTAGTGTTATGGACACAAGCAGGGGTGCTGCCAGGATTTTTTGGGCTCAGTAAGCAGTATGTGGATTAAAAGGTAAAGGGACCCCTGACCATTAGGTCCAGTCGTGGCCGACTCTAGGGTTGCGGCGCTCATCTCGCTTTATTGGCCGAGGGAGCCAGCGTACAGCTTCCGGGTCATGTGGCCATCATGACTAAGCCGCTTCTGGCGAACCAGAGCAGAGCACGGAAACACCGTTTACCTTCCCGCCGGAGCGGTACCTATTTATCTACTTGCACTCTGACGTGCTTTTGAACTGCTAGGTTGGCAGGATCAGGGACCGAGCAATGGGAGCTCACCCCGTTGCGGGGATTCGAACCACCGACCTTCTGATTGGCAAGTCCTAGGCTCTGTGGTTTAACCCACAGCACCACCCACGTCCCTAGTATGTGGATTAGGCACTCACAAAAGAAGACATACATTTGCATAAAAATTGCATATACTTTGTCATATGCAAATTTGTGCCCTCTTTTGCAGAGGAACCAAAGGCACATTGGGACCCACATACAAGTAGTAAGATGTCTAACAGAATGTAAACATATGAAGCATTCCCCATAATCATTTTTCAGTACTAGAAAGGGTTTACTCTGTTAAATTTCTGCCTACCCCACAGCTGCTAAAGGCACAAGACCACATTGCATTTGTACTAGTGCAAACCAATTGATAAGAGCATGAGGTTCTTAATCTCAGGGTCATGGATTTGAGGCAAAAGATTCCTGCATTGAAGGGGGATTGGACTAGATGATCCCTAGGATCCCTTCCAGCTCTGCAATCCTATAGTTAACATTAATCATGGTTTGCAAACCAGTTTCAGCTACACGGTTTCGACCTATCATTACAACCACAATTAGGGCAGCCTTTGCAGATTGGTGCCCACAGCATCAGGACCCTGGAGAGTACACAATAAACCAGACAAAGTTAAAGCTAGCAAGTGAGGCTAAGAGCGAAACTACATGTTATAACAACAATCCTTTTTTTAAAAAAAGTATACATAGACTATGTTTTATTTTGAAGAAAAACCATGCTTGGAGCCCTGATCTGGAGTATGTTTCCCTGCTGAAAGCTATTTGTCCCCCAAAGGTGTAACAGCACATTTAGGGCAAATTGGAGTGCAGGGTGGGGAACCAGATTGGGGACATGTTCTGGACTGACATCCAAAATCTGCTTGTTATTCACAGTAAAAGTAGCCAGTTTAAGTACACTTGGGGGGGTGCTTTGTCATGATGTAGCTCAGCCCTTGAGTAGCTCAGACTGTTGCTTCACTGGTCAGAAGCCTACTGAATGCTGATATCAGGTGTGAGTACTTGGGACCCAGCTTCCTAATGGAGGTCACCTGCCAGTCGAGGAGGATAACACTGAGTTTCTGAGGGCTGCGCTACATCAGTGGTGGAAAGTCTCCTGATCTCCACCACTTCTAGGACTGGTATGTTGGTGAAGGCCAGAAGTTGAGGGAGCTTCCAAAGAAGAAGAATCTTCTCTGAGAATGACAACTCGTGATGGGAGAAAGTCTGGTCCTGAGGAGAAGATGGGGTGGGCTTAAGTAGTGCAGCGTCCAACCATAGCAGGATGCAAGTGCATGCATGAGGCCAGATGCCAGGACTTCGCCTTCCCAAATTGGTTCCAAAGGCCACCCACAGCCAACTTGGGGCACAGCAGCAGTGAGATTGTGATAGTTGCTCCCAGGTGTGATTTTTGCAACAGGGTTTTTTGTTTTTTTTACCTAAGCCCGATCTGATTTTTATATAAAAATCTGCAAACTGGACACTAATTTCTTAGGTACGTATCAATATTGGTCATAGTACAAATTTGCAGGGTCTTTGTTTTTGCAGAAATTGGCCCTATTCAGAACATTTCCCTTCAAATGTGTAGTACAGTGGTACCTCAGGTTACATACGCTTCAGGTTACATATGCTTCAGGTTAAAGACTCCGCTAACCCAGAAATAGTGCTTCAGGTTAAGAACTTTGCTTCAGGATGAGAACAGAAATTGGGCTGTGGTGGCACGGCAGCAGCAGGAGGCCCAATTAGCTAAAGTGGTGCTTCAGGTTAAGAACAGTTTCAGGTTAAGTACGGACCTCCGGAACGAATTAAGTACTTAACCCGAGGTATCACTGTATTCATTTAAAAAAGCACTGTTGCTGGTATATGTACAAAATACGTCATCACCCGAAGGCTTTATCTTATTGTCCATTAAAATATAATTAATTTGACTGGGATTTCATTTGCTGTACTTTTGTTCCTTTGCCAAAGAAAATCTTTTGTTCCTTTGCCAAAACAAAGGGGGTAGTAGCCAACTACTGAAGAGAAAGAAAGGCATGATTAAATATTACAACAAAAGAGGGAATTTAATAACTACTCTGGTGTTGTTTAATAAATTAGCTTTTGAAGTGACTGTTAAACAACACATTGAGTTGAAAATGGGTAATTGTTAATATTTCTTAACAATAAAACTGTCATTTATTTCCAGGTTTGCCCTGTGTAACTGTATGCTGTCAAATGAATAGCTGTAAACTAGTAAAATGTATTTCTGCATTAAAATGTTGGCTAAAAACAGTGTGAGCCTCTGGTGTGAATAATCAGCATGATAAGAACTTAAAATGCACACCCAGAACACCTGCTTAAAATAACATTTCCCACAAAATGAAAGATGTTCTGTATTAAGTATCATTTGCTGCCAGGTCTACAACCTGAGTCCGCTGAAGCAAGATGTTCTAAGTCTGAGGCTGACTTCCTCCAATACAATCAGTGGCTCAAACTTGTGTTCCCCTGTAGCTGGATTACAGTGCACACTATTAGTATAGCAGGACAATTGTCACTTTCCTAAAAATAAAAATGGTGATTAGAGCAATTGTTTGTATTTTATATATGCTGATTTTGGTTGTAGCAATACTTATGCTACTAGTTAATGATTTTACACTTCTTAATTTGGTCTTTTTTTAAAAAAAAAATAGTGTTGCTGTTTGCAATGTTTTTATTCTTTATTGTTCATTTAACTTTTTTATTGGTTTTGATCTGTTGCGCGCAGTCTTGGTGGTTTGCAGAAAGGTAATATAGAAATATAATAAAATAAGTGAGGTATACAAGTGGCACCTGCAAAATGTGGTGCTGGGTAGAGTGCTGCTGTTCAGGGTTCAAGCCAGTCAGCCATGTATTGTTCTTTAATATTCTGTTCCATTCTCCCCTTCAATGGAGTATTTTCTGTTCCCTCCCCAACCCCACTTCAAGCAATCAGTCAGCATTCCATGGCCACTGTGGATGATCAGTCTTCACTGGACTGCTTGGAGGGGGGCGTGTTCTCCCTTCACTTCTCCCCCCACCCATGAAAGACCCCTCTCTCTCTCTCTCTCTCTCTCTCTCTCTCTCTGTGTGTGTGTGTGTGTGTGTGTTACTGTTGATGTTTCAAATTGCTTCAGGATGCTTTATGGGAAGTGGTTCATTAAAAAAATAAATAACATGTGCACAAATAACATGTATCCATTTGCTTGGATAGCTCCCATTCATATGGGGCTTGTGCAGGAAAGCCCCACAGTGGGCACAAACCTTTTTAATGTCTTGTATAGCTCCCATGTATTTTAGTGAAGCCTTCGCAGTGAAGCCACCGTAATTACACTGTACTAGCATGAGGAGGAAACAGGCTTTTTAAAAGTATAATTAAGTGGAATACTGCATAAAAGTGAGGTTGATGTGACTTAGGAAAACCTGTTGGTTTCCTGTGCCAGGAACTACTGTGGAACCCCACCAGGAAGTGTGCTACAAGCAGGATCAGATTGCACCCTTGTTTTGTGGTTCATTTCACTTATTTAATGCAACTTGAGAATCTGCAAAGGGAGCCCATTAAAAAGAGAAATGTAGGGGGTGCTTGGTTTTCTGTGAGTCAAAATATTTGCTATTATAGTATTAGGGCAGTAATATAGGGCAAAATTCCTTTGTTTTGCAATCTACAACTAACAAGAGTGAAATACAGGTTACTACATTGTTTTAAAGTATATTTAAATATTGTTTTATCATGTTGCAGTTTTTCTACCATAGGAATCAATTTTCCTGTAAGAAAGCAAGAAGCAACCTGATTGTGCCAACTATTTTAATTTCTTACTGTGGTGTATTGAAATCGGTAGCTTAATAATAAGAAAAGGCAACCAAAAATATGTGGTAGTAGTTTAAAAATTGTATTTAATAAACCACATCTGCTGTTCTAAAACCATTTGCTTCAAAGCAATTCCATAGAAATTTGTGGGATCATCTGGAATAAATGGCTTAAATACTTCTGGTTCATCTGACTTTGAAAGGGACCTATTTTTGTTTGTTGTTTTGTTAATGTGCTACTTTAAAATGTACAAACAGCTGTATACTGCAATTACGTATCCTGTATTAAGACTCTGTCTCTTTCCTTCCTCAGCGATCTCAGTATGAACAACATCACTAGACTGTCCTCAAACTCGCTGCACAATCTCCGCTTCCTGGAAGAGCTGTACGTATCTTTGTATTCTTGACTGACATAGTTGAGAGAACATTCTTAGGCACTTCTCTGGGAACCAGATAACACAGCACAGAAAAAGCTGTGAGCTCTGACACGTTTGGCACATGCGGAAACACTTAGCTGGAAAAAACACACACCAATTGCTTGTGATTCTAGAAATACACTTACCAAAAAAAAAAAACCCCTAAAAACCCTAAACGAGTTACCACGAGGCTACAACTTTTCTAAGCAGAGACAGGGCTGTAGAAATTAATTTTTTTAAGGGTTGTTTAAAAGAGCCGGATTGCTATTTGGAAATAGTTAAGCAGCAGGATATTAAAAGTTTGAATACCAGCTCATGTTTATTAAAATAGTAAGTGAAGTTATAATCAAAACCAAAACCTGCTGTTTGGTTCTGCCTGTGTCAAGGACACTTGCATTCACATTCCATGGTACTAAGTCGTCTTGTTGTAATCACTTTTAATTACTGTTTCCTTATTCTTTAGCTTTTAGCATCCCTCAAGGCTGGCTATGAAACACAGAACCCTGCATAGCTTAATTTGTTCTATTTGGTGTTTTCTGGTTTTTTTAAAAAAAGAAAAAAACACTATGCTATAAAAACTAGTTAATCAAACACAGGATCACAAGTGGAATGTTGATTAGCAGTGATGATGGCCAGCCAGAAGAGGAAACCACTCTATGCACATAAGACTATATGTAACAGTGACCACAAAACTAAGAATTTGAAAATGCTTTGGATTTTCATTCTTCATATCAACAGTAACTCAAGGCACAGGTATCCTGGTGAGGTTCACTAAAAGCAAAGTGTTTGTACCTCTGCTTCTTCCCTCTGATACTCACTTGTGGCATCTAATTAGTGGCAAACCACAAAAACCCACATATTGTGGACAGCTGCAGTTTTGTTTATGCAAATCAATGTATCACTTCCTCTTCCTGAATACCCAGAGTTTACCTGACTTAGTAGTGTCATGCAATATGAGCTACTGTCTAGAAACATGGGGGCAAGGGCGATCGTATCTAGTGATCTTGCTCCAAATGTGAGACCTGATCAGTTGATACTGGGATGGCCTCTATTCTCATTATAACACACTTTCTGTCTAGACAAGGGTCCAAACTTGCACTGGGATGCATAGCTTCATGTGAGGATGTCCTGATGGGAATCCTAAGCTTATTGACTGCAGCATCTGTGCTCTGAATGCCCAGTGCCTTGTTCTGTTTTACAGTCTCGCCATCCAGTCTCCTACAACTGCCTATGACTGAGTGAATTACACAAACTATGTAGAACCTGCAGCCACATGATTGCTTTTACATCTCTAAAGGAGAAAGCCAGAAGGCTGCTGGGGCTAGTTACAGAATCATTGAATAAGACATATCCAGTTTCCTTTCTAAGACTGAAAAATTGGGCTTTGCAAACAAAAGCAGTGTGGGCAAAGCTCCAAGCAGTTTTTAGTACACTTCTCAACAACTTTACAGCAGGTGCCCTTAGTAGAATAATGCACAGATAAGTTCACTTGGGTTGTCTGTTTTGTTTCCCCTCTCCCTTTCAACAGAATGATTTGAGAATTAGTTTCGGGTGACAACCATTTTGCCAACCAAGTGACAAAGCTGCCTTAAAAGTTAGCTCTGTCTCAGTCACAGGTACAAACCAACAAGCTAAGCCTCATGCCTTTTTTTTAAATGACAAATATGTGTGACTCCTGTGTGATTTCAGTTTTGTTAATCTATTGGTGGGGGGCATTAGTGAGAACAATCTTTCCAGGACTATTCGGTAATTCCATAATGAAGTACAAAGACACAGCACAAGTGTAAAAGAATGCAATTACAATTTTCAGAAGAAAAATGCTAGCTTTTTAACAGTAGATGTCGAACAATTACACTGTGCCTGAAGCAGTAGCGACAGATGGCATTTGCAACCACTTAGGGAGGGCATTCAGCCTCTTGTGTGCCCATGCACGCTGCACTGCAAAACATCTGCACCTTTTATCCAGTATGGACATTAGCTGGTTGTTTTTCAGGAGGGCGAGTAGAAATCTTTTGCATGTCAGCTGGTTGGCTTTGCTGGCTGCTTTATTTCACCTGTTCTGTACTGGGTTTCCGGCAGATGTCCTTATCGGATGGTTGCTTTTAAATAGGTTAATTGGCAACATTGGCAGGTAGGTTCAGGAAGTTAATAGGCAGTTAAGGTTCAGTGACCAGTCTTGGGTACCTTTAAAGGTGAAGGGAGCAGATGCAATACCTTTCAGAACCGTTGGACCTGCTGCCAGGATAAAGATGTCCTTTGAAGTCAACCTGTAAAACTCGCTTGCAGTTGTGGTGCTCTGAGAGGGGGTGAAGCAGTACTTCCTCTATATTCACCTGGAAGGCGGGACTTAAGGAACAGGGTAGATTAAATGCTACCTATTACCCTTAGCAGAATTGGCTCACTCAGTTTGTTACGTGCAGTTGGCACTATTTTTATGGGGGTTTTTTATACAAGTGTGGTGGGTAAGCAATATAAATTGCTATGAACAGCAAAAAATAAAAATAAAAAGTGCCAGTACTCTGTATCAGCGTATACCTATACACTGGAGGGGCCAGTGTGGTGTAGTGGTTAAGAGCGGTAGACTCGTAATCTGGTGAACTGGGTTTGCGTCTCCGCTCCTCCACATGCAGCTGCTGGGTGACCTTCAGCTAGTTACACTTCTTTGAAGTCTCTCAGCCCCACTCACCTCACAGAGTGTTTGTTGTGGAGGAGGAAGGGAAAGGAGAAAGTTAGCTGCTTTGAGACTCCTTCGGGTAGTGATAAAGAGGGATATCAAATCCAAACTCTTCTTCTATATGGTCGCAAAACCTAGCAATACTAGAGGAGCATAATCTCTCACAAGTCATATCTGAATGAGGTGAGGCATATGAAAATGGCTGTCGTAGAGCAGATAAAAAATGTAGCCTTGCCATTGTTCCATGGAGAAGGATTGCCATGCCTGAGTAACTGTGTAGTGCAGTGATGTAAATAAACTTTGGGAAACAGGCAACATCAGAAAAATTGACTTATCTGACCACACCCTCCAGAGCAGAATTGGGGTATGTGTAGAGGGTTTCAGGGAGGAGGGGAAAGAAGGGGAAGTCCTGTCTCACCAGCTGAAGTCATTCTGCTGGTGTGCAGATACCACTGGAAGTTGTCCAGTTCATATTATAATCCTGTATAGAAAGGGACATGCAAAGTAAAGATTATAATAGTTGTATTCAAAGTACAGTATAGTAGCTTGTATGATCAGACATGCATGCCTCCAGGTTGGCAGACAGCCAGTGACACATAATAAATTCCACCGTCACAAGACAGGATTGGTATGAAGAACTCCACAATATTAGTTAAAATAGAAAAGCCCTGCTCAGCAGAACACAGCATTTTAAAATTGATGTATTTTTTCATATAACTATTTGGGTTAATAGCCAAAAAGTATTACTTTTCTTTGTTTCGTGCATGTGCTTTTTCTGACAGAGGATTATTCTAGCAACAATAACTATTATAAAAGCTAACTATTTTCAAAGCAATAATAAACTGGATATCCAAATGTATTTGAATTCTCATGCATACGGCTGTTCAGACAGCTGTAAAGTCTGACTCAGCCTCTTCAGTGGCCTGTCCTTTAGTTAATTTAACCAAGGTTCCTGTTTACAGTCCATTTGCTCCTCCGTTGTCTCAGACGAGATGCAGCCAAGCAAATAAAATGCAGGTTATGGTTTAGATTTCTGTCGTGTTGCTTATTTAAAAATGGAAGCATTGCTTCAGTTTGGACATATCCTGAAGCATTTATAGCAATAGTTTTCCGCTGCTGCTAGTATAGCACTTTGGGGAACAATGTTGCCACTACCCAACCGTTAAAAATCAATAGAATTTATTATATTTTCAACTTGTAGAAGTTGTGTTAGTCAGAGTGGCTATCTTGATTATACAAAAATTGAGGCAACTTGGGAATTTGCATGGTTTTGAAATTGCGTTTATTGTTTGTTTCATAAAATTTATACACCGCTTGATTAAAAAAATTAGTGTGGTTTACAAAAAGGTAAAACAATTAAAAAATAAAAAATACAACCCTACTTTCAAACACACAGAAGTTAAAATACTAAAACGTATTAAAATTCCCTCAACTTCCTAAGCATATGGGTAGGCTTGTTGAAAACAAGAATCCTTTTAGCATGTGCAGAAAAGAATACAGTGAAGGCACCTGCTTGATCTCAATGGGCAGCGAGTTCCAAAGTTCAGTTGCTGTCACACTAAACGACTGACTTCTTACAAATGTGGAACTGGTATTATGTGGCACCTATAGTGGTGCCAATTACACTGATCGATGCTTTCAAGTGAGTGCATGTGGGATAAAGCGATCTCGTAGGTAAACTGGTCCCAAGTTGTTAAGGGCTTTATATGCCAATAGTAAATACCTTGAGCTTGGCGCGGTAGCAAATCTGTGCAGATCTGAGCACAGGCATTATATGCTTGCAAGGGCTCACTTCCTCCAGCAATTGTTCTGCAGCATACATTTATGATGGTCGTATGTGTTTGGGTTGGTTTGTTTTAAATAAATCTGCAAACAGCCCTGTACCCGGAAAGGTACGTTAGAAATTGGTTTGTCTACTTATAGAGTAATTCACACTGATGTTAGTGTGTTATAAGAAAAAACTGCTCTTTTCCCTTATGGGGTACCCAAGAGCCCATATAAAATCCTTATGTAGGTTCTATCAGTAGGAGAAAATAACAGAGGCTAACCAGAAAATATTGAGAAGCAAAGCAGCTAGTAAGTCTGATCTTTATTAAACTATCGCAACAGGGTGCTCAACCCACCATGCAGGAGGGAGGAGGAACCCAGAACAAAGGTGTGCAAGCCCTTATACAGTGGTACCTTGGGTTAAGTACTTAATTCGTTCTGGAGGTCCGTTCTTAACTTGAAACTGTTCTTAACCTGAAGCACCACTTTAGCTAATGGGGCCTGCTGCTGCCGCACCACCGGAGCACGATTTCTGTTCTCATCCTGAAGCAAAGTTCTTAACCCGAGGTACTATTTCTGGGTTAGCGGAGTCTGTAACCTGAAGCGTATGTAACCTGAAGCGCATGTAACCCAAGGTACCACTGTATAGATTTTTGAAATTGCCACCCTATAGCTCAAGGCCACCTCCAATACATCATACATACATCACAGAAGGAGCGGTCTACAGCAGAATCCTGTCTGGCAGGAAACCTGTTAATGGGTTTACCTGGACAGCCTGGCCATTCTTTTGTGATGATAAATACTTAATTCCTGAGTCCAGGTCACAAGCTCACCCTAGTCATACCCAGTTGTACCCATAATGCAGGATTTGTGAGCACAAAGACAATGGGGAGGCTTTTCCCATTTCCATCCAGATTGCAGAGGAATATTTGAGGTCACTGAAGAGTCAAAATGACTTTAGGACTGTTTTCCTGTACTGTTTCAGACACGTGGTTTGTATATTTATATATGTGTTTGCCTGGTACATTTATGAACATTTATTTTATATCTTAGACCTTGTAATTCTCATAGCAGTAGGAACTTGCTTCTGAGTTAAATATGCTTTGATTTTATTGAAAATCGATTAAATCATGAGATTCAAAACCTAAGGCAGAGAGAAGTACAGGCAATCCTGGCTGTTCCAAGGAGAACCTCAACTGCAGCCCGAACCATGAATGAGTTCAATGGCAGTCTTTCATTCATTTCTTCGCTATACCAGATGGGTAGCAGCGATTTAAAATAAAATAATGACCACATAAAACCAGGTGAACCCATGGTTGAAACTTTTTTTTTTTGTCCCACTGACACAAATTATACTAAAGTGAACAATTCATGGAATAACATTGGTGTTAACTTTTCTGGACTACTGTAGACCAAAATTCTCTGGACATTCACAAAAATCAATAAAACACACAGATGTGGTTCGATAGTTACACAGAATCTAGAATACAAAGTATCCTGCACCCCTCCCCCAAACCAGATCAGCCTTTGCTATTTATTTATTTATTTATTTATTTATTTATTTATTTTTAAGGGAAAGCAATTTGGATGCACATTTAAATGCACCAAAGCAAATAATTAAAATTTGAAGGGCTGGCTGAATTAAAAGGTCTTTACCTGGTGGAAAAAATGGCCATAATGTGGATGCACCACATTGCATCAGCTAGTGGGGGGGCAGGGCAGTGATCCTGCTTAGTGCTGGAGGCTGTCTTCAGGTGCTTAAGGTGCTTTTCAAAACTACTGTTTGAAACAGCCCGTGCTTCTCTTTTAAGAGAGCAGGTGGGAAGTGCCTCTTCCTTGCTATCCCGCTACTCTCAGTGATGTACAGTGGTACCTTGGGTTACATACGTTTCAGGTTACATACGCTTCAGGTTACAGACTCCGCTAACCCAGAAATAGTACCTCGGGTTAAGAACTTTGCTTCAGGATAAGAACAGAAATCGTGCAGCGGCGGCGCAGCGGCAACAGGAGGCTCCATTAGCTAAAGTGGTGCTTCAAGTTAAGAACAGTTTCAGGTTAAGAGTGGACCTCCGGAATGAATTAAGTTCTTAACCAGAGGTACCACTGTATTTGAAATAAAAGTTGACATAACACTTATCAAATTCCTCTGATACTCTGCTCAGGTTGACATCAGCAGTTAACATTATTTTAAGAAGCACATGTGTAACACAGAAAGGCAAATGATCATCAGCTCATTTCCACATGGAATTTCTATCCATTCACGACCAGTCGGCTTTTTAAAGCACAACACTCTGAAGGAACGTGCACCATTTTTGTAACCATGTGCTCTCTTGTAGCTAATGAAGCTTGGCAATTTATCTGTGTGCTTTCTATGTCTGCTGGGGAAAATTCATGTCTACTGGGGCAAATGTAAAGTTATGAAAATAGTAGCCAATCTGCATTCTGTAATTTTGCATTGTTTGCTACTGAAGCAGAACAGGTTGGACAATTAGGCGTGCACTGTAAGCCAGGTTTATTGAAGCAAATGCATTTGTACAGCTGACGGTAAATGGACTGTGTATTTACGAAATGTTTCACACGGAATGTTAATGATGACAAAACTAGGATCTTAAACAACTCCTTCTAGCCCTGGTGCTTCCAATATAACTGTCCTGTGTATTTTAACATCCAAATTAATTCCACATAAAATAAAATCTATTTATCTTTTTTCGTTCTAACCCTGCAGACGTCTGGCAGGAAATGGCTTGACACACATCCCCAAAGGAGCATTTTCTGGGCTTTTCAGCCTTAAAGTACTGTAAGTAAACCAACATTTCTATGTGGTTTGTTTAAAAGATCTCGGGGCCTAATACTAAAGCAACACTTTAAGTGAATTGTTCATTTTGATCAGAGTATGACCAGGAAAAGATGGTTAATGCTTTTAGAAAAATAAGGCATTTGCTTCATTGTATTAAACCTTGAAACTTTGAAAGATGAGTGATGTCCCAAAATGAGTTCACTCATAAAGTTAATGTCTCTGTATAATATCAAATAAAGATCTAATTTTGTAATTGTTTCTTTAACTTCCTACAAGGGCAGGTTTTAGTTCTCAAAGTTCAGAGACATTTATAATGAGGATGTAAAAAAGGAGGTCACTTTTATTTCTATTTAAATGGGTGGGAAGATGGACAAAATGAGTAGATTAATTACTTCAAACATCATAGTATTTAAGAAACGTTACGCCCATATCTTATGTTATTTCTTGGTAGATGTCGTCAGTTAAAGATAAACCTAATTCTGACACCTCCTTGAAACATACTTATTTAGCAAGGCCTCTGCAAATGTGTAGTTCCAGTTTTCGTTCTTATTTTTCTAGATTGTTTTTTTCTAAGCTGCATTTTATTCTCTGAGTTGTTATGTTTTTGTTAAGTATTTAATATTTATTAGATTTCTATACCGCCCTTCATCCGAGTATCACAGGGCAGTTTACAATATAAAAACACAAAAATACATGCTATAGTAACAAACAAAAACAATAACCCTACACACATAACACAGTTCAAAAGGCCATATATTGTTTAGTTAGCCAAAGGCCTGGGAGAAGGGGAGTGTTTTCACCTGGTGCCTAAATATATGTAATGTAGATGATCACAGGGTTCAGGTAAGTTAATATGAGGGGAGGTGGTCCTTAAGGTATTGTGGTCCTAAGCCATTTAAGGCTTTATAGCTCAAGACCAGCTCTTTGAATTGGTTGCAGAAACTAACTAGCAGCCAGTGCGTTCAAGCCAGGATTGGCATTAAATGCTCAAACCATCTTGCTCTGGTGATGAAAGTGGCCACTGAATTGTGCACTGTCTTCAAGGGCAGCACCATGTATAATGTGTTGCAATGATTTAACCTAGAGATTATCAGAGCATAGACAACAAAAGTTAGGCTATTCCTGTCCAGGTAGGGGTGCTGCTGGGCCACTAGCCAAAGCTGATGGAAGGTACTCTGCACCACCAAGGCCTCAAGTGACAACAAAGGATCTAAAAGTAACCCCCAAGCTGCATACCTGCTCCCTCAGAGGGAAGGTAATCCCATCAAGAGCCTCAGTCTTATCCGGATTAAGCTTCAGTTTGTTGGCTCTCATCTAGTCTGTTGCAGAGACAATACAAGTGCCTCACCTGCGGATGTAAAGGAGAAGTAGAGCTGGGTGTCATCAGCATATTGCTGACAATCTACTCCAAAATTCCAGGTTACCCCGCTCAGTGCTTTCATGTAGCATAGGGAATAAAGGTGAACTATGAGGAACTCCACATTGAAGACTCCACAGGGCAGAAGAGCATTCCTCAAGCATCACCTTCTGAAAACAACCATCCAAGTGGGACTGGAACCACTCATCCACAATACGGACAGCTCTTTAAATGATGAGAAGAGGCACACACTTACATTTTATTAATTTATCTCATTAATATCCTACCTTCCTCCATGTATTTCTCTCTCCTACCCATTTTATCCTAACAACAACCCTGTGAGATAGTTTAGGCTAAGAGAGAGTCTTCCAGCTATTCCCACTATGCTACTCTGGCTCTCAAATTATACAAAGTTTTGGTTTTATCTCTAAACCTTGGTTTCAAAATATTGGTAACTAGCAGGTGGTACACTCTGTTTTGGAGACCAGATCTCACACCCATGTTACTAACCATTTTCCTTCTGGGGGGGGTTATACCAGTGTAAGATACTAAACACTGGCCTCTGGTTTGTAGGCTAAAATTGTTTAACTCACTCTCTCTCTCTCTCTCTCTCTCCAAACGCAGAATGCTTCAGAATAATTTGCTAAAGCAAGTTCCTGCTGAAGCACTCCAGAACCTGCACTCTCTCCAGTCTCTGTAAGTATATGCATATACCCTATAATACACTACATGGTTGTTAATGGTGATTATGCCAAAGTATGTCATTGTATAACCTCTGCTTCCATTAATTATAAAAAAATAGCATAATCTGAAGTACAAAGTGACACTAGATGGCAGAAATAAGAGTGTACAAATGAAGCACAAGATCACAACTTTTTTCAAAGTATAATTCTTACTGCTTAAACAAAAAAATAGTTGAATAAGGAATTGCTTCCTTGAGCGTTCTGGTCTCTCTTTCAGATAGAACAGATTCAGATGTACTAATGCCCTCCAATGAGAGTGTCCCCTTTAATATATATTAAAATAATAAATATACAATTAGTATTTTATGCCACAAAGGCATAATCTCTCTTCCTCTTGTGTTTCAAAGGCTGCAGAACAAGGGTTGAGCAATGTATTGCACCTGTGTGTCAACTTAGAATTCTGTCTGATCCAATATTTTACTTTAAATGAAAGTAAGCCTAAAGTCCACATGATTGCTGAAATAAATCTGACAAACGAGACCTAATGAATACTACAGCAGAAATGCATTTCAAAAAGAAACTTTCATTTCAATTTTAGTGATTTTTAAGTCTGTGCGTCAGGCTAACCTATGTTGCTTCCTCCAACAACCTAAATAGTGTTTATTTATATGATAAGCCATATAAACAAAGGGTTCTTTGTGGTGTTGAAAGAGAGTTGAATTTTCAACAGAGTTTCTAAATAAACTATCTCGCTATCTCTCGTTCTTTGTTGCAAATGCCTTTCTAGAAGATAGAAAAGAGGAGGCGAAGGAGAAAGAAGGAGAGAAAACTGAGAGGTTGTGTTGACTGTGTAAGGGTGTTTGGTGACAAAATTAAAATAAAAAGAGAATGAGAGTGGTCAGTAGGAACTTTAAACAGCTGTGGAGCAGACAGCAGATAGGAATGATAAGTACCGTACATGTACAGAGCAGGCTGCTATCAGTTGAAAGAGGATCGTTGGCAAATGTGACCTCTTTGAGGAAAAGAAAACCAGGATTATTTTGTTTCTTCCAAATGACTTAGTGCCCGTCTGATAAAGGTGTGCATAGATTTAGTTTCTCATTTCATACAACCTAGTAATTTTCTATCCATAAGGTGATTTGCGTCTTGGTTTCCGATTTACAATGAGGATTCTTTTGAAACTATTCAAAACCGGGAAACCTCTTTTTTAAAAAAAAAAAAAAAAAAAGGAGTTGAAAGCTTTAAAAGCCAACTAGGAGCTTCTACAAAATGGGAGCTTTCTTTTAAGGTATGACATGGTTTAGAAGTTAGTTCATTCGAAGGTGTTTTATTTGAATTCTGAGGGCTTTGTCCCATTTTGCTCATGTGCCCATCTTATTGCTTGTCTACAGGTTACCCAGAATTGTACAGCTATGTCTATTCTTCTGTCTAGCACAAACAGAGCTATCCCTGCCCTGAAAAGACACATTCTATTCCCTAATGCAGAATTAATTTACTAGATCACCATGGGGCAAACAGGTTTTCTTCCCATCCCCACAAATCCTTTTACCAGTATCTGAGAGGATGATGGGCATTTTGGACTAGGATGAGTAGGATAAGTAGCCTATTCCTTTAAACCACCAGGCATTTATGTCCTAGATATTAATGGGCAGTGCTTATTTAGATCAGGGGTAGGGAACGTTTCCCAGCTGGCGGGTCTCATCCTGCTTTCCCTGCCCCCAGTGGGCCACTTCGACAGGTGGATAAAGCCTATAAAACAGAATTTGCATGAAGGGTACTGGTTTTTTAAAATATCTCTTGGGAACATGGGAAGCTACCTTATACCACATCTGACCATTGGTCCATCTAACTTAGTAGTGTCTGCACAGTCTGGCAGCATCTCCCCAGGGCTTCATGCTGGTTTCCCTTGCAGCCCTCCCTGGGCAGGCGTGGAACTGAACCTGAGGACCTCTGAATGCAAAGCAGATGGTCTACTCTATGGACCTTCCCCATAATGAACATAGATCTTAAACAAACCATTTTAATGTTTAATATTACATTTCATTTTGCATACAAATTCAGTCTGTAGCCTCTGCTCCAGCCACGTGCTGCAATGAGATTCTGTATGAGGCAAGGTGGGTCGAGTTGTCAAGCTTTGTTCCTCCTTCACTTGAAAGCCCTCTACTAACTGCATCCTTATTCTGATTTGTATATATCTTCCTCTGCAAGTGCTGAAATGCAGGGACTGCCTGCCCCACAACATTTAGGAAGACTGGGTTCCCAAATGTGACACTGGCTTCCCATGGTTGCAAGCCCATCTCTTCATTGCCCATCCTGACTTTGCTTGTCCCAGCCACGAGAATCTATTGACCTGTATAGATGGTATATTACACCGGTGAAGCAAGCCAAACTCTGTAAGGTAGATAATAAATGCTGGAAATGTAAGGAAAAAGAAGGTACCCTTTATCATATGTGGTGGGATTGTAAGAAAGTGAAATGCTTCTGGGATATGATATATAATGAAATTAAGAAAATGTTGAAATACACATATACTAAAACCGGAAGCTTTTCTGCTGGGAATTGTAGGTACAGACATTAACAGACAAGATACTAAGCTTTTCCTATATGCAACAACTGCAGCAAGAATTTTATTAGCACAGAAGGGCTAATAAATAGGGATGGCCTCTTAGTTCATGAGCTGCTTGAAGTTGCATCCTGCTAAAAAAGAGCACTGTGCATTAGGGATGCTTGATTCCCCATGTGCCAGAGAGGAAACAGCTGGGATCCTGAAATTGTGTCTGGAAGCAGCTGCAGAAGCGGGTTTCTGACCCACAACTAGGGGATAGACCCAGAAGAAATATGAGAGCCCCAGAAAGACTAAACCTGTGAATTAATCGAAATGGACTGGGAACTGTGTAAAAAAAATCCCAAGGCTCAGGAACTGGGCTGTTTGATTTACTCAAGAGGAAGAATTCTGGGGGAACTTCTAAGCAGTCTGTGGGCTCAGCTACACAGCTGCAAATAAAATGTTTTAAGAACGTTGTAAAGTGCATTATACAAATGTGACACTAGATCGTGATGGTGAGCTATGGCAAATTCAATCTATTTTTCAAGAAGCATTTCCAGAACATTTTTTATATATGTCTAGATTCCACCTGTGTGTTTGGAGGCAGACTGGTGTTCATGCTCTTTGGACTGTGGGGTAATTTACAAAAAGACTCTTCCTGTGAGCTCAACAATGATTTTGAAATGAGTTCAATATTTGTGAATTCTGATGCAACATATGCCTATGTATTTAGCTGTCCACATGGAACTCTTCCTCGCAGGTAACAACAGTGTTATTCAGTCAGGAATGTGAGAGACATCCAGAATTATGTGCACAGTGGTACCTTGGTTCCTGAACTTAATCTGTTCTGGGAGTCCATTCAACTCCTGAAACGGTTCAAAAACCAAGGCGTGGCTTCCGATTGGCTGCAGGACCTTCCTGCATTCAAGCAGAAGCTGCATCAGACATTCAGCTTCCGAAAAACATTCGCAAACCGAAACACTTACTTCTGGGTTTGCGGCGTTCAAGAGCCGATTTGTTTGGGAGCCAAGCTGTTCGAGAACCAAGGTACCACTGTATCATGGAAAACACTGCTTTTAGTTCTGCCACTTTATCTACTCCTCTGGTTCTTAGTGCATGCCTAAACAAAACTATATTCGACTTCATTGAGCAGACTATTGCACATGAAAGTTCAACACCATAGAGCATTTGATTTATCCTCAAACTGCAACCGACTAATAAGGCTATTTCCTGGAGTATTTTCCTTGTGATTCATGGTGGAATTTTTTTCTAGTGTCAGATGCACATGTGCAGATTTTGTATAGCATCTCTTTAAAAATTCACAAATAATATGAAAGGTTTTTTAAAAAAACCACCTATGAAGGTGATCGTGAGGAAATCCTGCCTATACATCTCTTTGGAATGCCCCAAACTGACATCTAGGCCTCAGATGAAAGCTCAAAATAGCCTCTGAGCATCTTTAGTTCTCATTCATTACTTCCTCTTTTAATGCCCTTTATGGCTTCACAGATCCTGTATTTGTATTTTCTCTGAGGTGAATGTACTTCATGGCTGTGTCCCAGAAAGTGCACTGTAGTAGCATAAGGAATCAGTATTTTATTCCTAGATATAACGAGAATAAATGAGAAAGACTGATTGTCATAACTCTTAAAGTATAATATTTTCTACATAAGCTGCAGAGCATATGGCCAGAGCACGCACAATTTGTTATTAAAAGTGACACTAGGTTGCATTCCTTATGCTTCGTGAATTCTCCTTGAAAGATTTGGACATTTTAAGTGAGTTCATGATCAATTTCATGTTATATTCTTCCTTATATGTTTCCTTATATGCTATCTATAGTAGGAAATAGTAAAAAAGTATCCCTAAATTGGCCCACTTTTGAGCACAATAGCTGCTTTTAAACTTTCCACATGTTAGCCATATATTTTAAATTATAAATAAGGTACAGTTTATGAGCTAATGGATTTAGCTTTGAAAGTGCCAAAACTTTGATCAGCACAACTAAAACAACTGAATGAAAACGTTAAGGTTTTCATTGCATGTTTTATAGATCAGCATGCATTATTTACATTATGACAGGAAGCACAATCACTAATGAAAAGTTTTATTATCTGTAACTAGAAAAATGGTACTTAGGAATAAAAGAAAAGATTAGATAACAAAGGAACATTTGTGGCGGTAGGTTTTAAGACTGCTTTGTGAACTCTTTAACTGGGTTGCATTTTCTGTAGTAGTACATGCTACAGTAGCTTCTTAGCGTGGCATGTTAAAAATTAACTTTGCTGGATTTGAATGGGAAATTAGTATAGTTACTTCTGCATAGATGTGTAGTGCATGCTTGCCATAAGCTTAGGTAGGTATATACCCTGTAACATTTAAAGGTTAAAAGGCAATGCACAGAACTAAACCTTTTTTAAAAAGATGTATGACTCCAAAGGGCCTGCAGAGTGCCCACCCTCCAAAAAACAGTGGGATGCTCTCTCTAGGGAGACCTGCCAGTTGTCAACATTGATATATTTTCAGTACCAGGTCAAAATGTACTTCCACACCCAGACATTTAGCTGTTAATTTTTATTTTGTGAGGTTTGATGGCTTTGTTAGTGGCTGTTTAATAGTGCTTATACTAATGTTTGCAGTGGCCGTTGGATGTTTTGTTTGTCTTGAATTTATATAGGATCACTTTTAGTCAGAGATTCTTTTTGATCCTACCTACTTTTATTTTTATTACGTTTTCTCTTCCAATATATAAATCACCTTGAAACTTTATGGTAGAAGTGATTCCTGCAATGCTATGTTGACACACAGTCTGGATAACACAGTTGGTTAGTGTGGGGAGCCAATAATGCCAAGGTTGCAGGTTTGATCCCCATATGGGACAGCTGCATATTCCCTTTCAACTCTACTGATTCTGTAGAATTGTAAATGGGAAATGTAAATGTAAAATAGCTTGTAGCTGCTTACAACCAGATGCTGTGCTGACCACTGGTGCTCTTACTAACAATACCTCCACCACCAATAGAGCAATTAAGGCACAATCCAAAGTTGCTGCTGCCAAGACCCTTCGGGGCAGCAGAGCCACTGCCACATCTGTAACCCTACTGTTCATGACAGCAGAAAGTGGGGAGAGGGCAATTGGGCCCAGCCCCTGTGACAGCTCTAGACAGGCACAGCTGTTGGGTCAAGATTGGCCCAATGGCATCTCCTGACAGCAGAGAGACCAGCTCAGGCATTTACCCTCACTAGATTCAACATGCTGCCATCTGCCTTATTGCAGGGCAGATTCGAGGGTAAACCATACGCAGAACAAGTCTGTCCCTGCAGCTTGATGGAGGTAGAAACTATCTCTCATGCCTTGTTACGCTGCTGTTTCTACAGGGATATACGCTCGGTATTTATTACCCCTGCTATGCAAAAATCTCCAAATGAATCTGAACTTCAACATCTAAAATCCCTTGTAGAGGACAAGGATCCTGAGATCATGCTAAGGGTAGCCAAATTCTGTGTGATTGCCATAAAACTTAGGGAACAAGCTATGCTATCATAATGATTAAGGCCTTAAATTATAATTTAAGGTTATATGTTAGTGACTAAGTTTTAATTTATATATATTTTAACTGTTGCTATATCTGTATTGTCCCTGTTACACCTAATTGCAAATTCAAATGTACCCCTATCGTGTTTTATGACCTCCTTGACCAGCTCAGGATCCAGTGAATCTCTGAATAGCTCAGCCCCCCCTCTGCCCCTTCCTCAGAATGTTCCATTTGCGATGGACTCTGCTGGTGCTGATACTCCAGCATGTGGATGGAGGAGGTCAGGAACCATGGAGCATCGCTTGGGTCACTTCCTGTCAGAGGCTAACAGGAAGCTGACTCAGCTGGTAGATCTTAGCCAAAAGGTGCCACCACTCAATCCGACACCCACCCGCCCCCCAACAAGTCTGGTGTAAGAAGGGTTTGGATTGCTCTGCAAGTCATAACTTTGAATATTTCAGTGGAAATGGTTCATAGGTCTGTGCACATTTAGGAGCAGTCAGTGAGGAGGGAGTGCATCACACGCCTGGCCTCCCAGCAGCAGGCTCTGATGCTTACCAGGAGAGAAAGGGGTGCTGTGATGGATGTTGTGTAGGCACATGGATGCACTCACACAGCAATGACCACCTCACCTTCTCCTAGCAAGTGGCAGAGACGTCACTGCCAGGAGGTCAGGTGTGCAGTGGTGCCTCCTCTCACCCATCACTCCTGTGCACATCAAGTACCATTCCATTCAGCAAGATGACACTTGATGACACTGCAGATGACGCTGGAGCTGGCCCTGAAGTAAATTGCTGTAAAATGCAGACAGCCCATCATTTATTGTTTAAGAGGTTTAAATCTTGATTTTATTGGTGCCTTGGTGCAGAGTACGCCCGCTGCTCAGGCATATCATGCAGGCTCCTACAATCCCAACTAATATAAGCAGCAGTGCTAGAAGAAAGAGCTATAAGATCTAGGTCATATATAAGGCAGGATGTTAGCCCTGCTGGAGAAAAACACACACGTGCGAATTGATTAAAGAAAAGGTTTTTAAAAAGAAGCTTTAATCAGTGTAACTGTCAAGCTGGTGAACTCTAAAGTCCTTGGCTTAGAATGAAACGTCACACAGATGAGAAATGCCTTTCTGACTAAATGCAAAGAAACTTTGTATTTCCATTCAAAGTATATCTCACTTGGAAACGTAGCACAAAATATTCTTGTTGCCCTTGCAGAGTGGGTATTTCTAAACATTTCCAGCTTTACCCATTTGTTGACAGACCTTGTGAGCTGTTTTGGAAGCTGTGTCCCTACAGCCTGCCATGTCAGTTTTCATATTGAAAATTTAATTGTAAAAGGGCTTTGACACTGAACTTTTATAAATTTGTTCCAACTGACCTTGTCTCAGTTATTTGCCAGCCTGGCATAAAGCCACAGAAATTGTTATTTGTTCTCGTGCAGTAGGTAGAAATACTGTGAACAAGTAGATAGAAAGGACCTGACATTTTACATGAGCGAAAATGAAGAAGCAGCTTTAAATAAAGAGATTAACAGGCCTGCCATAAAGCCCAGTTTCTTTCAAATGAGCTAGCTTTGCCTTGTACAAGATTACTTAGTCTGCTTGCATTTTCATTTTGTTCAGTGTAAAAAGAAAACATTTAAGCATATTTTTACTTCATCTTTCTTTTCTTTTTTTGTATAATTTATCTGGAAGCAACCTATTTAGCCCGCAAAGTATTTCCTAAACAAGGGAGCTGGTTTGGACATCACTGTAAACCATGGTTGAGATGGGAATGACTCAGAATGAGCCTTGGGCTTGTGCATCAACAACCTACCTCCGACCAGTATGGCTGCAAGAAGAAGACCAAAAGCTTTTGCTTTCATTATTTTATTAACTGCAGCTTGCCATTTTTTTCTGAAGCAGATGATATGTGGTTAATCTTGACTAAGCCTTGTTTGACAAAAAGCAACTTCAGGCCATGGGCTTGAATCACAGTGTAAAGTTGGAATGTAACACTAAACTGCTGTTGATCAAAAATGGAAGCAAAACTTGCAGCTGCTACCAGAAATACCCCACCTCACAGTGTTGCTTTTTCTTCTTTCTCTGTCTAGTTTGTTTATTATTCCTTTACTTTCTGAGGAACTCAACGTTGCTAGCATGTAAAAGTACTGAAACAATATTTCAATGATAATCCTCAAATTAAATCCAATCTCAAAACCACAAAAAAATTCAGTAATAATTGCTACGCAACCAAGTACCAGATTAAAAAAAAAATCAGCTCTGGGTTCCTTCATCCTTGCCCAGGAAGGCTTCAATTCTATGAAGCTCAGAAGGTAACCAACTCACTGTTCTGTGACCCTTTTAGTTGATTCATTGAAGGTATTTCATTCCTATTGGCTTATCCATTTCTTGTGGTTCATTTCCGAGAACGCTAATCTAAAGAACAAGCCCCCAATGGTGCAGTAGGTCAGTGTGTCCGGCTGTTAATCGGAAGGTTGGTGGTTCAAGCCCACCCAGGGATCGCTGTGGGGTCCCTTCTAACGCTACAATTCCATGACTCTATGAAAGAAAACTACTACATACTTTTAAAAGGAGCAGTTACTTCCAGCTGTAATGTTGCATCAAATATTCTTCCCGGTGCATTTTGGTTTGGGGTCCTTGGGTTGTGCTATAACACCTTTTTCTCTCTCCAAGCAATCTAATCCAATACATCTATGAAATCCAGTAAAATTAATATTGATGCGGATACAAGATAGACGATGGATTTTTTTTTAAAAGTTCTGTATTCCTTTAAAGAGGGATATGACCTCTGACCCTCCAGATGCTGTTGGACTCCCAACTCCCATCAGGCCCAGACAGCATGGCTGATGGGGCTATAGACCAACAACAACTAGAGTGCCACAGGTTCCCTATGCCAGGTTTAAAGAGATTAGCCCTGGATTTGTGTCTCTTTTCTTCTTTTTCCATCCCTGCAAGTGCAGGAAAGCGAAAGACTGTTAAAGGTTTGGATGGGATGCAAAAGCAATGGAACTAGGAGCAAGTGAGGTAACAGGATCTGCTGATCACACTGTGCTGGAACCTTTGTTTCAAAACCACCAAAGAATCTATCTTAGCTGCTAAATAGTGCTGAGAAATTACATCTGTGCTGACTGCCTTATGCAGTAACAAATAGACTGTGCATTGAGGACTTTTGTGGTTTTGCTATAACCCTGCATTGTTTGTTGAAGGAAACTGGTGACACCTGCACTGTGGCATTGTGGAATAAACCCTGTTGCTTTACTTCAGAACTCTACAATTATATTAGTTAAGTGGTCTCAGCACTGGATTTAGCGGGGGGTGCAGGTGGTTCCCCCACACAGGGCGGCAAGCTGAGGGGGCACAAAACTATAATGTAGTGCACTTGAGAGAATGTGCAAAACAGAAGGCGAGAAGAGGGAGGGTGCCAAAACAACCAGAGCCAGCAATTAGGAGTTCTTTCGTGCCTTTAGATTCACCTCAGGAAGAACATTGAGTTAAGGTAAAATAAAGAATTTGATAACTGAAAAGGGACCTTTATTTGCAGCTTGGATTTGGAAAACATATGAGGAAGGATGATTCAGTACCCCTCCAGAACCATTCTGTCACACATTTAAGTTTCTGTTACCACTGGTAGAGCTGCCCAGTACCACACATGGAGAATGGGCCATCACCTTTATATTTAAAACATCGATTCAGTGAGGCAATTTATAATAGTGCTAAGAATGGCAAGTCACTTTTTTATTTTTTATTTTTCTGTAGCCCTTTCTAGCTTACAAAATGGTTTATGATTCTTAACCCATGTGCTTTCAAGCTAGAAATGGCCCACAAAGCTGAATATGGTCCATGAAGTAATTCTCTTCCATATCTGGCCCACAGCAGACCTTAATCAAAGTGTGATAAAATGCTTACAGTTGTTTGCAGCATACAAAAGGGAAGATAAAAGAAAGTAATGAAAAACTGGGTTATTATTATTCTCAAAAGCAGAAACTTGCTACTTGCTCCCTGTTAGATTCATTTATTAGCAGATTTTCTCCTGCAGAATAATTATAATAATAATGTTTCTGCATTCTTTTTTAGACGCCTTGATGCTAACCATATCAGCCTCGTGCCCCCCAACTGCTTCAGTGGCTTGGTTTCACTGAGGCACCTGTGGTTAGATGACAACTCTCTGACAGAAATTCCGGTGCAAGCTTTCAGAAGTTTGCCAGCACTTCAAGCAATGACACTGGCTCTGAACAAAATATACCACATTCCAGATTACGCTTTTGGAAACCTCTCCAGTTTAGTGGTTCTGTAAGTTTTCATTGCATTTCAAAGTGTAACATTTGAACCTTGTTATTTGCATCTTGAAGTAGTTGGTTTAATATAATATGAATAAGAGAGAAAGAATGTGCTTTCAGTAGATGCGAGCAGCAAAAATGTGACATGATTGATAGAGCCAAAAATTGGTTAACAATTGGTTAATGTGGCTAGTTGAATGAAATAGAGGTTGAGATTGTAAATACTTCATTCTTCCCTTTATTCCTGAATCCTAACACACACATACACCCATCTGAATAATATGGCTTCTTTTGCCCATGTAAAAAGAGACAAAATTCGAATTCATTGCCATTTGCAGTACTGAAACAAATTGCTGGCGAATAAGCTTTGATTGCACTTGCTGTTTCAGTAGAGTAGATAGACACTTGGGATCCAGTCTCTGTCACTTGACTGGATCACTTTAAAAACAATTTAATATGGGTTACCAAAAGATCTCTCCCATCACCTATAGAAGCACAAAATAGAATGATACAAATTATTATCCATATGTAGATATTTGAGTCTGCATCCGGTGAAAAGATCCAGACTGAGCTTTCCGAGTCTGGTCTTCCCTGGTGTACCTGTCCCATCGCCCAATAACTGCATGCCGGCCTCTGAGGAATGGTGACAGTCATCATGTGTAGACCCAGATGGGCAATCTTGATACTACAGCGTTATAGTACAGCAAAACATCTAGCCTCAGCCTACGTGTGTTGGACTCCATGTACATAGGCTGCTATATAAATGTGCTAATTCAAGATGCAGTCTCGGGGAGAAAATCAAGCACACCAGGGGGTGATGGGAAAGCATGATTCTGATGCTCTCGTTCTTGAATAGATTCAAGCCCAAGACATTTGGGCGTCTGAGGCAAAATACCCTCTGCCCCTCCTGCAATGGAGGGGAGGGGCGTGAGGCTCTGCAAAGTACTGGTTACCCCCCTTTCTCTCTCCAAAATACAGAATGGGCATGGCTAACATGCAAAATTCATGGGCTGTGATTATGCTAATAGTTATTTTTTTAAAAAATGAATATATTGTTCTTTTTGTGTCATATACCCAAATACTATGCATGTTTTTGACACTATCCTTTCGTATGTATAATTCACATATAGCGCTCCCCCCCCCCTCTGAAAGAGCTATTGCTGAATTCCCCCCTGCCCTGTTACTTTGCAGTTTAAGCCTGCGTAATTTAGCAAGTTATGTAAAACTTCAGGTCAGTGTGAAATCTGATACCATCTTCAATGGGAGAAAAACTGGGCCTACTGTCAATAAAAATGTAAATATAATAGTAGCTTTTGGCAATGCTGTTTTGGGGAGAGAATATGTTTAATATGGGAGGCAGGCCTATTTTCCATCAAGGTTGTGGTGGGTGTGGTTTGTTAGGTTTCAGTAGTTTTACTCGGTTTTACATTTTTCTGCAAATTTTGTACGGTACATCTTCCCATGGAATTTGTAGTAACAAAACACACAATCACCTATTATAGTTATATAAAAGCAGAATGTGCTCACTTCAGCAGCACATATGATGAAATGGGAATGATAACAGAGAAGATATTGAAAAGCAAAACGTCTGCCGCCACCCCACTTTCAGCTGGAGGGAGACTAGGAGAAGAGGGGGAAACATAAACAAAACTTGGGTATGGCTAGCTTGGCTCAAGATAGCTTGAGTGTGTAGTTGCAGTTCCAGTTCAACAGCAGGCAGAGAAACCTCCCAGATACAAAGACATTGTAAACCGTGGAACCTAACGGCATAAATTAAACTGTGCTAAACTGCACTGTGTACAAACAAATAGCTGATTAATTTATCCAAGCATTCTTGCGGGTCTACATGCACATTCCTTGTGTCATACATGCTTAATTTTTTTAATTTTCTTTATTCCTTCTCTCCCAACCTAAACATTATTTTAGATACGTGTGCTAGAAGTTTGTTTTAAATTACAAACATAACCTGCCTAGTTGCAGTATACATAAACAGACACTTAAATATTGGTTTTGCAACTATTGCAACTATACCAATTGAGTCTGTAATTTTTAAATCCGCTTTTAAAGCCAAAGGCCAAGTGAAAGCTAGCGGAAAGGTAAGAGGTAGAAAGCATTCCCTTTCATTATTACCTTTGTGAGAACAGGACTTGCATATAAATCATGCCAGCCTTTTTAAAAAAACAACAAAACTTCTTTTAGATTTTTAAGCATCAAAATGTTTTCTTTTATGTCTACTGCATATAGCTTGTTTTTCTGACTTGTGTTCCTAATGTTCTAATGCAGGCATCTCCATAACAATAGAATCTACTCCCTGGGAAAGAAATGCTTTGATGGTCTCCACAACCTAGAGACTTTGTGAGTTGACCTTTTATTTGTTGTGCTTTGTTTTCAGTGCTTTCACTGACATTATGCAAAAATAAAAAATAAAAGGCAAACATTATTTTGGGATTACTACAGGTTCAGGATGAACATTTGTGATGACACTATAAAAGTAAATTTTGGTATCTACATTTTTAAATTGTTTTCTTCCGATTAGTAGGCGATGGAACATAACAGTGACATTGGAACTTACTTATCGATCTTTGCATATTCTTAAATTGTCTATTTTGGCAGATTTTTACCCAGATTAAACTTTTCACTTGGTTTATATTTGCTATTGCAGATTTAAATACACACAATTCTAATTTGCAACAACTGGCGATGCCTACAACAGTGTTCTTGCTTTGGTTTTGCATTTTTTTAAAAGTGTGTGTGTGTGTGTGTGTGTGTGTGTTTTCCAGTAAGAGTAAGTTAGGAAGCTGACATGTTTTGTAAAGCTCAGCTGTCACTCTGGCATGCTCAGTTGGGGAACTGGACCTAAGATTATTTCTTGGGAATAGATTAACCAAGCACGACGTAATAAATATTGTGGATGGAGTGTTTACAAATGCTCATAAACATTTCCTACTCATCTCCTATTCTTGAAGTTCTATGAAGTTATAGACCTATAAATACAATGCAGATAAAATATTTCCTTGCAAATTCAGTATAATTCATTCATATATCTAATACAGCTATTGTGATTTGATTTTTTTTAACATCCAGGGATTTAAATTACAATAATCTGGATGAATTCCCCGTCTCTGTCAGGGCACTCAGAAACCTGAAAGAACTGTAAGTACTGAATGCAAAATTTCTTAGAATCCCCTTTTCCTCCTGTAGATTGCTTTGTTTCAAATGCTAATTGCTTTGCTAGCATAACTGTATATCCATGTTTGCTAGAAGTGCCAGGACTAGCAACACATCGTTCATACCTAGGAGGGGGAAAATCATTCTGGCTTTCCAGCTTCAAGTGCACCTTTTGTCGCCTGAGCTGGTAGTATTACAGAAGCTCTACAGAAGCTCCTTCTTCTCATGGCCAGGACTCAGAGCCTCACTTGGCTTGACTTGACCACCAGTGAAAGAAAGGTGAAAGATAGAATCCTAAACACTTCTGCATTATTACTGGACTCTCCTCTGCATACTTCTGGAGATGAAACTAGGGCAGCTATGTAGCCCAAGGGTCAGTACGAACTAACTAGTCTACTCTGGGAGATTGCAAAATGGCCATTCCAAGAGTCATAGCAGCCAAACAGACCTGAACTTTGGTATATTGATTGAGTTGTGTCCAACATTAACTCCACTCAAAGTAGACTCACTGAAATGAATGAATGACCATTAATTGGTCTACTGTTGAGTAGTGCTTGGGGCAAGACTGAATTGATTGTATATAGAATATAGGCAATATGTAAATAATGAATGTGACACTATTCATACCCAGTGGAGACATTCTACTTTCTAGTATACTTCTAAGGTAGTTCCTGACATTATTATTTTATTGATCCTCATAGTTATGAGGATTTTCTGGAACTAACATGCAGATTTTGTTTCTGTTGTATTTGGGTAGATTAGTAGGGAATATGATTCTTTACATTTTGATGGCATGGCACTACGATTGGTCCCATCAAAACTCAGATACAATAGGCAAGAGATGCTTTCAAGGCACTCTGTATTGTGCTGTTGTTTCTGGAGGTGCCACTTCCCAAACGTTTGTGTAAAATGTACTCAAGCAAATTCAAAAAGAATTATTTCTTGATAAGTTGGCTTTATTGACCATGTCTGGTTTATTCGCCTTCTTAATATCAACTTGGAGTATAGGAAAGATAAATGTGGCTTGCTGGTAGTACAACCAATAATAAATGGTGCCAACCTATTAAGAGAGGACAAGTATTTTGGTGGGGGGAAACCCCACTTACCTCTGTAGTGTTACACACACAGCTTTTTCACTTAAAAGTGAGGGTCATCTTGCCTGTACTTCCAACCTAGGAAGACCTATGTTCCTCGGTTGGGTCTGTGGTCCAGATGCTTTAGGAATTCAGGTAGGGAAACCCTGGGAGTGGTGGTAGTCTTTCTTGCACCTGCTGCAAAAATATCTACAACCTGAGTAGATTTCTGTGGCCATCAAGTTTATTTTGGTATGGGGTGGGGGGGACTGATCTTCAGCTCTTGCACAGCAGTTTATTTTATTTCAAAGGTTGTCAAATGTTTCAGCCTTATTCAGCCAAGCCACTATATTAAATAAATTGCATTATTCCGGTGAGGTGTCTGCAGTTTTAGCCTTGAAACATCATCCATCAGACTTATAAATTACCACAGAATTTCTTCCAGATCTGGAGGTCAATTGGAACCATATCACAAGGCCTATATTGATAATGAAAATATTTTGCTATTTTCACTGGCTATTTTAAAAAAAGAATTGACCATTTTTGTGGTTTAACAAGGATTCTTGATTCCCTTGTTTATAATGCCATTGAAAGAACTTCAGTGAAAACAGCACTGTAATGTCCTAAATTCTGGGAATTCATAATGTAAGGTGAAAAGGGGCCTGGAATGAGACTGATTCACCTCGTTTCCTTGTGGCAAAATACATAGAACAATTAAATGGCTATAGGGGTAATTTCCAAGTCATCATGTCTAACCTTTTGAACTTGTAAAATGAGTTTTAACGGGTAGGAGAGGATTTATTTATTGCAATTTACCCCTCCAGGCACCCCCGTGTTTGAATTGAACAGGGTTTCAAAATACCACCATGGGCAGCAAAATTAAAAGCGTAGGAATTAGGCTATAAAACCTTGTTTTGAGCAAGTCCAGGTATGAAGTAAGCTGGCTTCTCCCCGCTTAAGAATTTAGCACTATTGAAAGAAACAGAATTGAATGGTCACAACTATTTTTAGTTCCGTTGATTTCAGTGGGAAGTAGTCTAGGCTAACTTTTGCCCAGTTGTATACATGGTGTTTTGCCATACCATCGCAGCACAGTCTTATGCATTTACTCAGAAGTAATTTCTCCTTATTTAATAGGGTTTACTCCTTACTCCTTAGCATGTATGTTTCACATTGCTGCCTGAGGCTTACCTTGTAAGATCCACTGAATTCAATAGGACTTATTTCTAAGTAGACATAATTAGGATTGCACTGTATGTTCCTGCATTTGGTTGAAAGCCATATCAAAGCATTCCAGAGTCAGAAGGCAGCCATTGGCATCAAAGCTTTCCTGCAGTTCTTTCCCTGGTTGTTTGACTGACTGCTGCCTTGACTCCACAAAGGCACATCCCACATGCAGATTTCCAGTACTGATTCCCCCACCCCCATTATATGTACCTCCATGAACATTATGAGTGTCATTTAGCATATGGGAACGTTTTCCATATTAAAAATTATTTGGACCAAAATTCATCTGAATTTTGCCCATTACTGCCACAAGAAGTATGTATTTCCAGATGCTACCAGAATGGCCAAAAGTGCATCTTGTAGACATCAAAAAGAAATCATTATAATCAAGATGAATGATATTTTCACTTGTAACAGACCTTATCAATCCCAAGGCCTTTGAACATAAATTGTGATATCATCTGGAAGGGCTTCCAATGAGGTTAGGGCTGCTTCACACACACAACATTTCCCCCTGTTCAGCAAGCAGCTCTCAGATCCCAAAATCCAGGCAACACACACACAGCTATAATCCAAAAATCCTCAGCAATGACTTCATTTATTTACATGGTGATTCATAAGTAATAGCCAAAGAAAAGAGCAGGTTCTTTCAAGAGTGGCATGTCTCTAGTATGACAGTTGCTAGCAATTGAAAATGTTGCCAAAGCTTTGCAGACAGCATTTGAACTATCACAGTATTTTATATACAGTCCGGAAGGTTACTAATCCACAAAAATAAATAAAAAATACTCACCTGGTTGGGAGAGTTCTGGCCTTCAAACAGCACCCAGCTATATTTCTGCTCTCTGCCCATCTTCTGTCAGTCCACTCACTTGCCTACATGCAATCCCTTGTAGCCTCTGGCTACCAGGCTAATGCTTAAACCAGGGCTGGGTCACTAGTAACCCTCCAGATGTTGCTGAAGTCCAAATTCTGCAAGACCTGGGCACTGACCATGTTGACTGGAGCTGATGGGAGTTGGAAGGACCACACGTTAGCCAACCCTAGTTTAAACAAAAGGTTCGAGTTTCCTCTAAATATAAATCTATAACACAAATTGTACAAGATGATGCCAGTAAAGCCTTTTCTTCTCATCCTTCTTTCCATGACAGCTCCCCAGCCAAGCCTGCTAAACTCATTTTTGCTCTTAGGGTACCTTTTGTTTCATTTCTCCTCTTAAGTCCATATACTGAACTCTGTGATGCGCTGCCTAAGATTTAAAAACTTCCATCTTTGACTTTTAAAGTTCTCCTTTCATCTTTCCCCTTTGACTAAGAACTCCCAACTGTTCAAGCTGTGCGCAAGGGGACCATAATATCTGTTTTTAGTAGCATGCTTTTGTGTACCATACACATTAGGGAACTGGATTTGAAATCATCATAACCTTTTGCCACTCCTATATCTGGTGTGTTTGTGTGCATGCACTCTCAGGGGAGCGGAACCTCTGTAAGTATTAGTTGCCACCACCACTTCCCATTTTGTACCCCTGCTCATAAGCCAGAGGTTGCTGAGATCTACAGAGTTTTTTTTAAGAATAGCGTATCAATGCTTCTCAGACCTGTTGGTCACTGCCAGCCGGACTCACTTTGGATATTCCCACGTTCCCCTCTTTAGTTAATCTATAGCATAAATTAAACTTGTGGGTCAGGCAGGTCCTAAGTCAGTCAATGCCAGGTTTATGGTTGAAAGCATTTTTATTAAAGTCTTTGGATCAGGGAATACATGAAATGGAGGTTGCACTGAAAATAAAAGATAACAGTAATACTGATTCTAAATGGCTGGTGCCTCAAGGATAGATTCAGTAATTTTCATGTGATCAAGGCAAAACACCGTGTTCAAAATGATACATTTTTATGTTCCTGTCCCCAAGAGATGGGGAGGATGACATAGAGGAAGCCAGCATCTAACCAAATAAGAATCTGACTTTCTCAGATTTAGTATGCTCACAAGATGAGATACTCAGCCACTGCGCTGGGAAAAGCACTGTGCTATGAGTTGACTTCCTTTGGGGATCATGGACAACAGTAACTTTCCTCACCAAGAGATTTATAAGAGAGTAAGGGGTATGTGCCTTTACTCTATTACAGCATGGAATAGCTGCAACCCTTTCTTAAGCTATTCCCCCCACCTGCTTAAGGTTGAAATACGCAATCAGGAGGCTGACACGATGCTTCTACATCTGGTCTGTACCATTCCATCCTGCACGTAGGGAAATCAGAAAAAAGCTCCATCTACTAAAAAGGGCCTCTTCTACGCAACTTAAATATGCAAGAGGATGCCTGTTCTTTTTTCACCTGGCCATGCAACTGCACATTCAAAATTGTCATGGTAGGCAGAAAGTTAATGTAAGGTTGTTACTGTATGTTGAAACAACATTAATGAACAAATAGCTAACTTCTACAGTAGGCATGCTCACTGCCTGAATCTTGAAAAACTCTCCTTTACATTCCCCCCTCCTCCCATGATATGATGTTGCAGAGGATAAAGCACTGTGGAAATGTCTGGGTTTTTATATGTAGCTTAGAAATCTTTTTTTAAAAAATAATAATAATTAGTGTTGTGCTCTGCCTCAACTTTAATTGTTCAGGGTTCTGCTCTAGAGATAATTTTCTTGCGCAGCCAGTATTCTGAGCCAACCTACTAATAGCAGCAGCTGATGGTCTTGCCCAAGCCATGCTTCAGTGTAAATCTGGGAAGCTTTGTTCATACCTGACTGAACAAATGAACATTTCCCACACAAATCATTACTGTTCCTGCTGAACACTTCATTGATGCCTTTGTTTCTGACAATAGATTATTACTCATGTGAATAAAATGCTGTAATTAATTTGGAGACAATTTGCTTCCTTCTTAAATGGCAGCAATTACATTGTTTAGCTTGTCCTTTTTAGCTTGTTCATCTAAAATACTTTTCATAAAGAAATTGTGAAAGCCTAAAATGTACAGGATGCCCTGGGATTTTATGTATGTTCGCATTCATTAGCACCCTGATCTGAAACACATTTTCTTGGGAGCTGGTCCTGTTTATTTTAGTTAACTTTGTCCAGTAAGATATTTAGAAGAGTGGCATGCTTGCATGAGGACAGGTTCAGTGGGACCTACCTCCAAAATAAACATGTATGCGAGCTCTGGCTGCAAATCTCATGAACAAAAAATGTCGCTCAGCATAAACTGTTCATAAACACTACTTTACCAGTGTATCACAGAAACATTTCTTCATGTTGCTACTAGAGGGAATGGGCAAGTTCACTTCCTGCAGCTTTTAGGAATAAAAAGAAAGACTGGTGCTGTTGCAAAATTTTCCCCCTCCCCACCCATCCTGATTGTCCATCCATCTATCCCCATTTACTGCTGTAAAGTCTAGAAAACAGAAGACCTCCATTATTACACCTGCTAGCATTCTACAGATTTGAATTTTTTTGTCCCAAGAGACTGTGCCTTTCACATATTTCTTTCACATTTTGTGAGTACAGTGGTACCTCGGATAAAGTACTTAATTCGTTCCGGAGGTCCATTCTTAACCCGAAACTGTTCTTAACCTGAAGCACCACTTTAGCTAATGGGGCCTCCTGTTGCCGCTGTGCCGCCAGAGCATGATTTCTGTTCTCATCCTGAAGCAAAGTTCTTAACCCAAGGTACTGTTTCTGGGTTAGTGGAGTCTGTAACCTGAAGCGTATGTAACCTGAAGCGTATGTAACCCAAGGTACCACTGTATGTGTATCATGCTTTCTGTTTCCTTTCCAGAGGGTTTCATAGTAATAATATCAAGTCAATACCTGGACAGGCATTTGTGGGCAATCCATCCCTTATAGCAATGTAAGTAGTATCAGTTCACTTTTAATAGAAAATGTGGAATTAATTACTAAATTTCGTTGTGTATCTTGCTTCTCTGCTTTCTGTGAGCAGGCCATTGCTTCTCAAACTTTATGAAATCTTGTGCCCCCCCCCTTTGTACACATTTAAATCAAGGTTGGGGAATCCAAATTTTGAGCTCCAGCTCCCAACAGACACATACATGATACAATGGCATTTAGAAGGTGGAAAAGTGAATAAAATGCCATTTTATAAAGAGTTACCTGTCTAAAAGGCCTTACATAGTTTCTCTTTATATCCAAACCAGGAAACTGTTTACCAGGTTGACGTTGGTTTCAGATCCTGTTTTTTCCGTAACCTGATAACCCTAGTTTCCACATTTGGAAAACAGAGCATGCTGGCACAAGTCTTGTGCATATCTCTGCTTAATAAACTGAGATATGTTAGTGTGGAAACAAGATAGGAGAGTTTCGCTAGGCTAGTATGAACACTATCTTCCTATTCATTTCTTACTCTGAATGTGTAAGGTGTGTTCAATTCCATCCCTGCCTTCATTCATTCATTCATTCATTTCCTGCCCTTCACTCTGATGTCCCTAGGCCACACATTTTGTCAGTAATGCACACTAAGGTATAATCATACAGTTGGTCTAAATCAAACTAAACATATAATTGTAATCTGGGGAGCAAATTCAAAAAGCAAGGGAGAAAGGTGTGGCACATTAAAAGAAGTAACTCCAGAGGAGAAGGGGTAATGAATAGATTGCAAGCTAGCTCTTCAAAGCTTCAATAAGAAACGTCCTGCCCTGCCCCCCCCGCCAGTTTATTGCAAAAGTATTTAAAGATATAAATCTTGAGTGTTAAATGTGTCCTCCTCTTCTTCCTCACAGCCATTTTTATGACAACCCTATTCAGATTGTGGAAAAGTCTGCTTTTCAGCACTTACCCGAACTCAGAACCTTGTATGTATCCATAAGTTCACCACTAAAACAACAACTCCTTTGCTCTTTCTATAAAAATAAAAAAATAAAAATCCCACTAATTACATTGTGTTTGTAACTTTAGGACACTAAATGGTGCTTCACAGATAACAGAGTTTCCCGATCTGACTGGGACAACAAGTCTGGAAAGCCTGTAAGTATCAGACAGATAGTTCATGTTACTGCCGAACGCAGATGGCATTAATTATTGCCGATGCTGACTTGCTTTAATGAAGCTGTCCTTCAACCAGTCATGTTCAACCCAGTCTGCAACCGTGATCAATTCAAATTTCGTGGATTTGAGCTAGTTTGATCCTATTGACACTAAGATCTGATTCATGCTCTTACTCCTTGCATGTTGGAGAAACAACTGAACACCCCTCCCCATGCTCCATACTCCATTCAGAAGCCCATTCTCACATAAGCCCGATTCACGGGATCTTCTCTCAGTCCCTCCTCCCTGGTGGGCATTGGCATGAATCATTCTAAGGAGATGTGCCTAATTTCTTAACAGGACCCTTACAGGAGCTCGGATCACATACCTTCCTGAAACAATCTGTGATCAGCTACCCAATCTCCAAGTACTGTAAGTATAAAATACATATTTACGTTAACTCCTAGGAACTTTCAAGATACAACGTTCTCAGAAATGTGTTATATCATCACCATGGAAATTCACATATTTAGCCCTCGTAATTCAAGAGCAAAAATAGATGCATAACAAAGAGCCTAGCAACAATATTGCAGCGTCATGTAAAGACTTAGTACTAGCACTAGATTGAGCATGGTGAGTGCTTAGTGTGTTGGTCCAGGGCTGGTGAGACTGAGCTTAAGTCCCCACTGAGCCACAAAGCTCATTAGGTGACCCAGGACCTGTTGCTGTCTCTTAGTCTAACCCATCTCTCAAGGCTCTTGGGCAGGTGGGATAAGAACTATATGTCATGTTAAGTCCCTTGCAGAGAGGGCAAGATAAAATAAAATGAATCCAGCACTGATCCAGAGCTAATGGTGTATTAAGCAGAGTAAAGGTAAAGGGTAAAGGGACCCCTGACCATTAGGTGCAGTCGTGGCCGACTGGGGTTGCAGCGCTCATCTCGCTTTATTGGCCGAGGGAGCTGGCGTACAGCTTCCGGGTCATATGGCCAGCATGACTAAGCCGCTTTGGCGAACCAGAGCAGCGCACAGAAACACCGTTTACCTTCCCACTAGAGCGGTACCTATTTATCTACTTGCACTTTGTGCTTTCAAACTGCTAGGTTGGCAGGAGCAGGGACCGAACAACGGGAGCTCACCTCGTCGCGGGGATTCGAACCGCCGACCTTCTGATCGACAGGTCCTAGGCTCTGTGGTTTAACCCACAGTGCCACCCGCGTCCCATTAAGCAGAGTACAGAACGTAAATGCTGCATGGCCCCTAGTTGCAGTGCCTACAGTCTGTACTTGATACACAGGATTGTGGTGGAGAGACAATGTCTTTATAATGCTAGAAAAGTAAAACACATGGTGGGACGGCCTGGCAAAATGAGATGAGCAAGCAATATCACCAGTCAGAATATGCTCAGTTAACTGATTGCAGTGACCATAAGAGGGAGAAAATTGAGAATGTATAGGATTTATAGAATGTATGGATTTAAGCAAGCTTCCTCCTACTTTTCAAATAATTTTTAAAAGTCACCCGTGTCCAGAAAGCATACACAAGGGGCCAGGGAAGCCCAGTTTCCATTCTGTTAAAGGTTTTCCTTTTTCCGATAATCACCGAAATGGGGACAGACTCCATCCTCACTTACACCTTAATGTTCCATACCTTTATTTTCTCTCCAAGGCATATTTATTCAATTGGATTTTTGAACACTATTTCCAAGATGTATGGGAGACCTGTTTCCTTATAATGATTAACCAATACATTATTGTAGCTTACAAGAATGCTGCAGTGTTAGTTTAATCACTATCAAAAGTAATCATTCTGTCTACTTCTTTGTGAATGGGCCAACTGCACTTTCCTTTAATGATTACATCATGATGAATGTATCTGGCATTAGTTTGCTTAGCCAACGTTCTAATAACACTAGCTAAAAACATACAATCATAGTGCCAAAATGGCTCTTGTGGGCACTTCTTAGAAAGTTGGGTACTAATTCTATCACAGCAACATTAAATATTGCTGGTTATGAGCTACCTTTGCTCCTCTGGCTTTGGGAGCAAAATGAAGTCTCTTTTCCTGCAAAGCATAGAATAGGACCAAACTCAGTAAAGGTGTTTCAACTGGCAGCACTGTTACCATCACAGATCAACTGTATATGTATAGAATTATCTGATTTAAATTCACATTTGTGGGTTGTTGTTTTTTTAAAGGGGGGAAGCATTGACAATTTTATTTTAAATGCAGAAAAGGCCTACGTATAAACAAAATCATTCAGAAATGTTGGCTCAACTTACGGAATATTTTTCTTTGTCCAGATTGCAAGTTTCTCATTTGTTTCTATTTCGGCATTCCTCTCATGCAATTAACCATCACGCAAGCCTGCTGGTTCCAGCCCTGGCATTATGATGTCCCCTCCACTCCTCCTTCTACTGCCCACCTGTTGTTTTTTTGGGGGGTGGGGGGGGTGGGAGAGAAAGCATCTAAGCAGAGTTTCCTTGCAGCCTCTCCTTGTAGTGTAGAGCCATATCTGAGTAAGGAGGATAATTGTCTACGGGCTTAAAATGTGCAGTGTGTGCAGTGGGTCATATGCTTCCATGAGAATCTTCAATATCTGAAGCAACCAGTCCTTAAAACCAGGGAACCTGACATGCAAAGATTACCGTTCCTCATCCACAGGGTGGCCTGACAGTTCTTTCCTCCAGTGTTTCTGCTTTTTGTGGTTTTGTTGTATTGACCATTTTTACAGTTACTTTACGTTACCTTGGTATAGAATTTCCACACACACACACTGGTAGCCAAAATGACCTACTATAACTTTACCATTTTTGTGCCTCTGCAACTTACACCTGATGAGGTTACAAGTGCAGCTCTTGTGTTTTACTTCCTGCTAAATGAGCATGCCCTTTGACTTTGGCATTGATACCCTTCTCCCAATGAGTGGAGATGGATCCTACGAGAAGTAAATGCTCTTTAGGCGGGGAGCTTTCCCATCGCACCCATACAAGGAGAACTTTAAAATTAACTTCGTAAGTTAATTTTAAAGAATATTAGCCCAGGGACAAAACCTTACCATCTAAGGTTAAAAAACAGAACCAAGGGACATGTCCCTGTGTCCACTCTCATTTCTTTCTTTACAGAGGCAAAAGTCATATTAAGCCTGATGGGAGTTTCCCCTGCGCAAAGGAGTACAGGATGCAAATCTATTTCCCTTTTTTCTTTCTTCTTTTTACAATTTCTGCAAATTACCATGGCTTGTTTTTGATTAGCTATATTATACTATAAATGAGTCCAGATGTTTCAGTTATTCTGCAATTTGTTGAGTTTTGGCTCAAATCATTTGAAGGGCTTTCTCTTCCCCCCACCCCCACCCCGTAGTGATTGATTTCAAAGTTAGTTCTAGTTCCTCAAACCACTTTCCTCAGTTAAAGATATGGCAGTTCTAAAGGTCAGAGGCAAGATTATTTAATTTAAAGTGTAGTCTGGGAAGCTAATTAAATTTCACTGTGATTGTAGTTCGAAAGATCAGATCCACCTAGAAAAATGGTTTAAAACCAAGTATCTAGTAGATTATTTTAAGCAATTAAAAGAAGAGTTGTGTTTTGAAGGAAAACTGAATCCAGAAAGAAGCAATAACCCTAAATATATTTTTACTATTTAACAGAATTAGGCACCTTATATTTTTCTGTATTTGTATTTCAGAGACCTCTCGTATAACCAGCTGGGTGACTTGCCTCATTTTACTGCTTGTGAAAATCTTCAGAAAGTGTAAGGTTACCAAAAATAAAATAAAATAATAATGTATGTGCACATGAGGAAGGTTTTACCATCCCCTCCAATGCAGGGAGTAGACCTGTATATATGAGTCAAAACCTTTGTTTGTATTTTAAACTCATAGTTTTGGGTTAGGGGGAGAAGCATTTGGTGAGGTCTGGTGCATCATGTATCCCATAATATCACCCATTTCTTTTGCATGTTTAATGTGGAAGAATAATAAAAAATATAACTATAAGGGGCTTTTGATGGTGGGGAGGATTGATGATTCAATTTTTAGATGACTCTGTCCGTGGAGCTTTCAGTGGAGTGGATAAGCTCCAACTTTGATCCAGGATATGATGCTCTTCCCATCTAGCTTGCTTCTTATGACGGCTTCACAGCTCCTTAAGCCTTGCTCTCTCCCTTTTGGATAAAGAGACAGGATGGATAGGATACATATTTCTGGAGTGCAAGTTGTTTCTTATGCATGAGAAGACTGGAAATTCTGTTTTTCGTGTAACATATAGCTCTAAATGAAATCTAAACAATGGCCAGGATTCAGATAAACATACAACTAGTTCTGCACACTCAACCAAAGGGGGCTTTGTACCTATGCTTCCTGATAACCAGCCCCAAGTACCGTAAACCAAGCAACTTTTGCATCTGAGAGATCAGTTTGTGATGTGGTACAGGGACTGGAAGTTCAGGGGCAGGAGGAGGCAGTCGAAGTCCCACTAGATATGCTCAAACTCTTGGGACATCTGAAGTAGTTCTGGGATCCTGGGCAGCATTTGAAGTTCTCTAGAAGTTGTTTTCTCTAAAGCCATTTTTGTTTTGCCATTATAGTGATTTACACCACAATGAAATATATGAAATCAAAGTGGGCACGTTTCAGCAGCTGGTTGCCCTACGTTCGCTGTGAGTATAGCCATAAAAGAGCTATTTACCTTGGTACTGAGAAACATGGAAGCTCACATTCCTTTCCTCTGCCTGCTCCTACATATTCTGCTTTCCATTTTCCCCCCTTTGATCATTCAGCTTGCCAGGTTAGATTTGCCAAAGCAAAACAAACATTCTGACGTTGAAAATTTCCAGCAATGAATTCACACAGCCGTGAACAACAACAAAAAACCCCAACCCTGAAATAGCTTCCGCTTGCAGACTTCTCTGAAGAAATAGGAAGTTTGATTTAACTCATATAGAAGCCTCTTATGGGTACACTTCAAAATCCACTGCTGAATGGAAAAGCTGAGTGAATTGTATACAGATGGCAATAGGAAAGAGCAAGGAGCAGAGTGGGTAAATGTACAAAAATTGACAGCCACACTTCATGTAATGGGAGTAATAATTGATCCGTTTCTATAATATTCTATTCAGTGTTGTATTATCCTATGTTGGGTTTTCCACAGGCAGCAGACTCTTCTTATATATGCTGTTATTATGATGAAGCATTGGTGCAAAAAACAGCATGCATCCAGAAGGAGATATGAAAGGGAAAATGTGGGATAAAGGGTGGAAAGACAGAGAAATTGGCATATGAGAGAAGTAGCAGTTGTGAAAGAGGAAGAAGGTCTATTGAGAAGCTAGTAGATAACAGAGAAAGGTTCATTTCAGGTTTAACACTTCCACAAACCATGGTTTGTTAGAGCAGTCTTCCTCCCTTTCTGCCATCCTTTCACATGCCTAGTTTGAGGAGACACTTTCTGATTTATAAAATCAATTTCCTGTAACATCTGAACTAGAAAGCTATGGTTTAAATATAGCCTGTGAACCAGGATTACAAATCAGGGTTTGATGCTGATTGTAAACTTAAAACTGCCTACATTTCCTCATTCAGCTGTCATGGTGATTTAGTAGTTGGGTCTCAATCTGAATGTAACTGAGGAGTGAAGGGAGTGAGAGGAGAACCCAACACTCCCCCCCAATAAACCATGGCTTGTTCAAACAGAAGTTTATCTGAACCAGATCATCCCATGATTTGCTTATTAGGTAGCTAGATCCTGGATCAAGGGGAAGAGATGTGTGCATTCAAATTTGCAACCCCAAATATTTGTACATTTCAGTAAGTCATAAAATGTGCTCCTGCTGTGCTCCCTTTCTTGAGCCAAGAGCAAAAAACTATGAGCCTTGTTAGTGTGATGTGTGAACCAGTGCTTATGGTTTGTTTCTTCCAAACAAACCATAGTAGGTAAGCCAAGAACAAACCTTGGAGGCAAACAAACTGTGAGCACTGGTTCATACAGCACACTAAGCCTAGACTAGTGGTTTGTTGGTCCCAGGTCAACAAAGGGAGAAGCAATCTGGCTGTGTGCAGTAGCATGATCCTCATTCACAGTAAGCCATGACTTGTGGCTTATCATAATGTCCAAACACGGGTCTAAAATTAGCCTACTGGAAGTGATTTCATGCAGTTAATTGTTGTTTAATTTAAAAGATTCAAAGTAAATCTCCATGCATTTTTAAGCATATATAATTTTCTTCCTTTCTGCAGGGATTTAGCTTGGAACAAAATATCAGTCATTCATGCCAATGCATTCTCCTCTTTGTTGTCTCTGATTAAACTGTAAGTATTCTGCTTTTTTTTATGTCTGATGCTGTCCTATTATGATCATTCAAATACCCAGTGGCAAAAAAGCTCTATTCAGTGCAGAGTAAGATGGAATGACAATTTAATGAACAACAAAATGCAAAACAAAGTAGCTTTGGCCTTTGTTTGGCCAGCCATAGTGGTCTTGCATTTCTGCATTGTTTCATGGTATCAATTAGTGATGGAGAGAATGCAGAACAGGAGAGCTTGGGCAGCAGATGCCTAATGTCTAGCACCACATGATTAAATTTGGATCAGACCCAGATCACTCTGGAGCCTGGCTCTAAATCTAATTAGATTCAGTCAGCTCCTGCCTACCACAGTATTTAACTAGAGCCCTCCATGTTGTCCCACATTTCCCCTAGTTTACTAAAGTGGCAAGGACGACTTACATGTCCTGTGGCATGAGGCCTTCAAGTGACTATAGGTAACTGCACAGGTGCTTGGAACCATAGCATCCCATCAGTAGGTGCCACTGTGCATGTTCTTGGCAGCGTGCATAGATACCAGGAGTAGGGTGGGCTCTACTATGTAGAGTAAGCAGCATGACTTGCACGGTGCAAGTTTTTCTCTCTCACTTTATGTTCTGGCTTTTGACACGACAGTGGCTGGTTTGCACAACACAATAAGCCAAAGCTAAGAGCAAACCTTGGCTACAACTTTTGGTTAGTGAGGAGAGAGTTTAACCACGAGAGTCAGTTTTGATGAGCCCAGGTTCAACACAGCACAGGAGTAAAAAAATAATTTAAAGAAAGACCAGGGAGAAGCAAAGGTTCTGTGAGCTTGTCTCCAGGAGCCTGCACATTCACATTCTCCTGGTAAGCCATAGATTGGCTTAGTGTGGCATGTGAACCAGGTCAACGATGATTACATACAAATAACATACCATGGAAAAGTTTGCCTGCTCTTTAAAAACTGTGGGCTGTATCCAACTATGTTTTACTCAGAGTAAAATTAATGGCCCGAAGTTAGTCGAGTCCCTTAATTCTAGGACTGCTCTAGATCAACATTAGAGGAGGACTAAAGTTGGACACAACCCTGTGCTAGAAGGCATCAGTATAAGTAACAATGGCTGGTTTTTTAATTCTGTGGTTGCTGTTGCTAATATCCCAGATGCTGACCAATTTTGCAGAATCCAAGCAAGACAATCTGGTTAGGTTGTAAGCACACTGACATCCAAGTACACATAACTTCAGTAAAGGCCCTTTACGCATCAAAGAGTTGCCAACAATAAAAACGGAGGGAAGAATCCAATAACATGTTATTACAGTCCTATTCCTTTCCATGTGGCTTGTACAAGAGACCTTTCAAGTGGATTGGGCTCTGAGGTGAATCAGCAAATTTACCAGTGACCCATTGTGCATCTTTTGTCAGCTGAATCGTCTTTATGTTTTATCGTTTGCAAAATTTAATACTCTGTGACAATAACAAATACCCTCAGGCAAAATAAAAAAATCCCACCCTTCTGGAATAGTAAACTGGTGTCCCCCCCCCCTTTAATTTTGCAGGGATCTGTCATCCAACCTTTTGTCCTCTTTTCCTGTAACTGGCCTATATGGTTTAACTCATCTAAAATTAACAGGAAATCATGCACTACAAAGTTTGATATCATCTGAAAACTTTCCAGAACTCAAGTGAGTACCTCATTAAAACTAATAAGGCACACTTGTGCTCATGTGCAGTGGGAGGGGTGTCACTGTATAATGTGAGTTACTTCCTATTCAGAGGCTTTGAACCACAGCACTGAAACAAAGATATACATGGTAAAATTATAGACTTACTACATCCTTTTTATCTCAAGAAAATATGATTGATTTTGGACACCCTGGTAGCTGCTCACTTTAAAACACATCTGCTTCTCAGCAATATTCCCCCCCCCAATAAAAAGCCTCTGTTAAAATTTGTCTAATTTGTGTTTTATAGTGGCTAGCTCCCTTCATTTGACCGTTGCTTTATTTTAGCATTTGTGCTGCCAAAGCGAGCACTTGACCATTGCTTTATAAACTACCCCCATTTTGAAAAATGTAGGGAATATATAGCTGCAAACAAAAAGAAAAGAATTGAATCAAGTAGGTGGTTTGAGGGTGGCAGTAAAATACTTTGCCATATTGACTTAATGCAAAAATACTGTAACCAGAACATCTGAGGAAGAGCTATTGGTGGTCTGTTCTTTTGAGAGGTGGAGCTGGCATGTATAAAGATACCAGTCAGGCTCAACCAATGCCAACAGGAACAGCATCACAATTTGATGCAATGCACCAGTGTTGGTTGCCATCATCGAACTGCAGCCTGGAGGCAGCACAAAAGGTCAATATGTCAGCATGAGCCATTCTGAGCTTCTGTATCTACATAAGTCTACAAGATCAAAAGTGTGAGGTTCAAATAAGCAATGTAATTGAGCTAAGGATTATGCAAGGATTATTTTAAAAAACCAACAACCTATAGTTTGGCATCATATTTGAAATATCCAAGTTATGTTTCCTGTTCAGGTCATATAAATCATTATTCTGTTCATAGCCACTCCACTCCAATCTGACTCCCCACTTGTTTTCTGATTCTCACCCCCTGCAGACATTATTCCATAGTTATTGAATAGTCCTCATGTGGATATTTTTCGGTTTCCTTTCCGTTTAGAGTTTTTCTGGTTTTTTTAATGTAATTCTTAGGATTTACACACACATCTGCTGATAATTCCTTCTTGTTCATCAGCAGTGTTGTGTAGCTACATAAGCAACAGTGCTCACAGCCTGAACATTGAAAATAGAAGGAATTATGGCATGTGTACAATGATCTGAAATGTACAGGGATGTGGGAAGAATGTGCTTTCCCTTAATTTTTTATATTTGTTTAATGAGTCAGAGCTCTGCCTCTCTGTTGCTTCAGTTTGATGCTAATGCCGTTTGCGTTTACTTTGCAAAGGATGTAGGTTGAGTACACTGAGATGTTTTAATGTTCATAATCTTGTCTGTTAATTCTAAAGGGTGATTGAAATGCCTTATGCTTATCAGTGCTGTGCATTTGGAGCTTGCGATGGCCACTACAAAATCCAAAACCAGTGGAACAAGGATGAGAACAGCAGTGCTGAGGAATTTCAAAGGAAAGATGTTGGCGTTTTCCATACACATGGTAAGAATCAGTTTTAAAAGAGGCCACTGGAATGTGGCTACCAGTAATCAAATGAATGTATGCCTTTCTGATTTCAGCCTTTAAAATAAAATGCCAGTACAAATGAGCCTCCAATAAGATGCCTATTTTACCCTTGCAAAGTAATATTTTCAAATTTTACCTCTTCTTGGGTTCTTTCTCCCCAGCTTTCTGTGGGCAGACATTGGTAGTGAGGAGCTGCAGGATTCAAGTTTTTTTTGTGGTGAAGGAGAGGGATCCAGGGCTTGGTGAGTTGGGGATCTAGAATTCCTCTTGATTCCCACTCCCAGCTCCAGCAAGGCTTCTCCACTCCAAGGGGAAGGGGTGTGGAATGGGGGGGGACCACATCTGCAAGAGAGCAAGGGCAGCAATGCAGACTTTTGCCTTCTGTGACAAAATTTGTAGATCCAGCTCTGCCTTAGAATCTACTTTTGCTACTGTCGTTAAAATCAATTTCCTGAATTTAACACAAAATGCCTTACTGATTTGTTTTTTAATCTAGCATTGCCTCTGTTCTTTAGAGACTACAAGAGGACAAATGTCTGCCCAATAAGTGCATTATCTAAAATTCAGCCCAGACGAAAGGGAGGGAAGTAGGTGTAAACTGGGATAGAATTTGTTATTTATTTGAGTTAGGTGTCCTTAGAGTTAGTTACAGGCTAAGTTACTGTAAGGCATCTTCTGGAAATACTGAAGTAATGGATAAGCTGTCACCCTTTGTCTGAATGCTTAAGAGATTAATGATATATGGCTTAAAAAGGTAAAGGGACCCCTGACCATTAGGTCCAGTCGTGGCCGACTCTGGGGTTGCGGTGTTCATCTCGCTTTATTGGCCGAGGGAGCCGGCGTACAGCTCCCTGTCATGTGGCCAGCATGACTATATGGCTTAGGCCCAGGCTATTTGAAGGACCATATACTTGCTCTGAGATCTTCAGGGAAAGTGCATCTCGGTAGCACCACCCTTAGAGGTATGTTTAGCGGGGACGAGGGAGAGGACCTTCTCCCCCCGGCTATGGAACTGCTTTCCAAGTGAGACAAGACTGGCACCGACCTTGTTCTCATTCCTCGTTCTCATCTTTTTACAGATGACCGCGACTTTGAGGATTTTCTCCTTGACTTTGATGAAGATTTGAAAGCTCATCATTCGGTGCAATGCTCTCCCTCTCCAGGTATTGATCTAGCTACATCCAATCTGTTGGTTGGTTGGTTTCAAAACTCCTTCGCTTCCTCTCTTGGCAGACTCTGCACTATATTCTAGAAAAAGGAGCTATGAAAAAGCGCAGTGCTCCATGGTGTGCATGACTGCAACTCAGTGCGTGCTTTGTACGCAAAAGATCCCAGATACAATTCCTTTTCTAGGTAGGGCTATGCAGGTAGGGCTATGCAGGACTCTTGGCGGAAGCCCTGGAGAGCCACTGCCCAACCTTTAGGGGCCTGGGGGCACATTTGTAAATCTAAACAGCTGTTGTGAGCACCACAAAAAGCCCATTACACAGAACAAAAAAAGGCAATGCTCAAACCACCACCTCTCTGAAACAGCAGACAAAATGCATGTAACCCAGGGCTGTGCTTTATGGAGCCTCTGCCAATGCCCTGCTGTTAGAAACTCCTGTGCTGCATTCTTCTTTTAGTGGCACCAGCACCACCACAATCCCCTTTCCTTCTTCCCTTAAAATAATAATAATAATACTGTTGCAATAGCAGCAGCAACACTGGCAGTTTCTTCACCACCTCTCCTGGGCTCCGCGAAAGGGCTGGCAGAGGAAAGGGTGTCTTCTTAGGGCTCAGGCACTCTGGGCAAAGTGGCCAAGAGAAGGCCTGTGTTGTTGCCACGGCAGCTAAAAGCACTCATCTTTCCTGTCTCGCCTTTGCAGGACCCTTCAAGCCTTGTGACTACCTCTTCGGGAGCTGGCTAATCCGAATTGGAGTCTGGACCATCGTGATTTTGGCCTTTGTTTGCAATGCATTGGTGGTTGTGACGATCTTCAGATTCCCGCTCTTCATTTCCTCCATAAAGCTCTTGATTGGACTAATAGCCATTGTGAACACACTCATGGGTGTGTCCAGCAGCGTGCTTGCCAGCATGGATGCATTAACTTTTGGAGTCTTTGCTCAGTACGGAGCTTGGTGGGAAGGTGGACTTGGTTGCCACTTGGTTGGACTTCTCTTCATCTTTGCTTCAGAGGCTTCCGTTTTCTTGCTCACGCTAGCAGCTCTTGAGCGCGGCTTTTCCGTGAAACACACCACAAAGTTTGAGACCAGTGCCACTCTTGCTAGCATGAGGGTAGCCATCTTGTTTTGCTTTGTCTTGGCCTTAATCGTTGCAGTGATTCCAGTACTTGGGGGAAGTGAGTATGGGGTTTCCCCTCTGTGCATACCTTTGCCTTTTGGGAAGCCAACTGCTGTGGGTTACATGGTGGCACTGGTCTTGCTGAACTCTCTCTGTTTTCTTATAATGACAATAGCCTATACAAAACTCTACTGTAGTTTGGATAAAAGAGAATTGGATAATGTTTGGGACTGTTCCATGGTCAAGCATATTGCTTTGCTGCTTTTTACTAACTGCATTCTTTATTGTCCTGTGGCCATCTTATCATTTTCTTCCTTGTTAAACCTTACGTTTATTAGCCCAGAAGTAATTAAACCAATACTTTTAGTAATTGTCCCCCTACCTGCATGTCTAAACCCACTTCTCTACATACTTTTCAACCCACACTTCAAGGAAGACCTGGGAAGTCTTCGAAAGCAGACTTTTTCATGGAAAGCATCCAAGCATGCCAGCCTGGTCTCTGTTAATTCAGAGGATGCAGAAAAACAGTCATGTGATTCAACTCAGGCTCTCGTAACCTTTGCAAGCACCAGAATATCATATGATATTCCTGCCAACAATTCACTAGTGCCATCATCGTATCGAATGAGTGAAAGCTGTAACCTGTCTTCAGTAACATTTGTTCCATGTCATTAGCTTCATCTCAGAGTCACCTGTGTTTAAAAATTATCAATCACACATTTATTAAATGGGTGCAGTAAGAGGAAAATAATTGTCTACTACTATTGGGTGGCAAAGGCTTGGCGACCATGAAAATTGGCATCCTAAAGCCTAACAGATACCATCTCAGTCTGGTTTAGAGACAACCACTCTTGAATCAGCTGAGGTTCAAACTCAAGAAAAAATCCAAAAGCCATTGATGTTTACAGCACTGGCTCTGGTGATTCAAAATAGATCAACATTTCTCACTGTCCGTTCATGAATCTTTTAATGGTCACAATGAAACTTCCACTAAGCTGATTTTTTTTTTTTAATGGGACTTCAAATATTAAGAAAATGAGATTATCTTGGAAGTATTTATGGAAAATGTACCACTCCTAGTTGCACAATACATATTTACACATGAACTGGCCTCAATGTTCTTGTTTAACTAAGCGTGAAAGTGAAGAGCCGCTCTTAACTGGTTAAAGGGGTTGAACATAGCACAGCTTATAGGCATTTGAGTTAGAATTTTACATTAAGAAGTCCCATTAGCAATAGCAGACCTGCTTTGGAAGAACCACATTGAATACTATAGGTTGGGAGACCTGAATTGTTTTCAGATTTATCCAGCATCACTTTTCTGAGCTGACACATGCATCCTTGGGAAAGAAAATGAACAAATGCGGAAAGTATGCACCCGAACGCCGGCTGCACGGTTATCATATTCCTTTGTCTCCTTGGATTTTGAAGCAATGCAGCGTGCAACTGGAGCTCTGTTCTTAAAACTACTTTGGATTAAACAAGAGATCATCTGACCATGGCACAATACATACTACAATGTTTATTTAGCTTTACTTTTACTGCGGTTCGGTTATGGAGTGCTGCTTAATGTCAGTGAAACTGTTCCTCACATGAATATATATTCTTTTGTATACAAGAAGTAAAAGAATAAGTCTGAAGACTGGCTCAATAAAGATTCTTTTATATTAAAAATTGAACTTCAGAACAAAAACAGGCCACTATGCATACTATTTTCATAAGCAAGTTTGAAAGCTATAATTGAGATATTTTAATGGGAAAATAATAAAATTCATTTGAGAAGCTTTTTTTAAAAAAACGATTTGTAAATATAGAACTGTATTTATTATTAAAGTAAAATCATACTAAAAATGAGAATAAGCCATGTACAGTTTTGTACTGATATATTTCCTAGATTTCTATTTTCTTCTCATATATTTGACTAAATTCGCTATCTGTACATAATATATGTAAATGTGTAGTGATTGTAAATAGAGGATGTGCTTTCTTTTCTACTGGTGTTTCAAATATATGGAATTTGTAATAAAACCTGCAGCTAAGCAGAAAGAGTGCTTCGGTATCTTACACTCCCAGAAGATAGGCAGCAGTTCCAAATATTTCCAGAACATTTTTACCACCTCATGATAATAGAACTTGCAAGTAACTCTCTTTCACAGAGGACAAAAACATAAACCTAAAATACTTTCTCTCATAACGTTTACAATTTACCTAATCTAATGTTTCTCACATATAAGAGGTATCGGCATTATAGTCCAGGGATTTTCATGTCACATACCTATAGCTTTTAATGTTGGAAGTTTGTGTCACCCTAACAAAATTCTCATGAGGAATTGCATGAAAGGCTATAATTTTAGAATAAGCCAGTAATGGTGAATTACAGTTGCCAACACAAAGGCTCCCCAAGAGGTAAAGATTAGAGGTAGTGAGGAGGAATGTAATCAGAGAAAGCTTAAGAAAACTTTTCCACACTCACCAATACTTACATTTGTTTGTAGTAGCCTATTATTGGGTATTTGACCTTGGGCAATAAACATCCATTGATGGATGTAGACCAGCAATTTAGCCAACAATAATGCAACTTCCTTTTGAGATACAGACTGATCTAGCATGTAAAAAGTTTTTTAAAACCTCCAGTCTCTAAATAAAAGCTGGCTCTGCATTACGTTTGAAGAAATCTGACTTCAAATTATGAGAGATTTTGTGCTGCTTTTCATGATACCCCGCTTTAATAGAAAATGCCAATTTATGAAAAAAGTACTAAATATATTTCTTCCCATTTTGGTATACTCATGCATGGAAACGAGAAGGAATAAACAATGCCATTAATATTTTTTCATCACTAAGATTGTCATGTTGTATGTGGAACTGCACTTGAAAAGCATCCAGAAAATCAAATTAGTGCAAATATCACAACATTTTTTTGGTCTGAGGTTGGCTAGAGTTTATTTCTGAGATGCTGTATGAGCCTGTGATTGCGTGCTCATTTCTAGACACAATTTAAGTTCCTAGTGTTCATTTGAGGGAAAATAATACATATAGAAAGGAGAATTATTGAACGCCAATATCCAAGTTTGGGGCAAGTACTCTTTGGTGAGACAACCCCAACAGATATTTAATGTTACAAAACATGGAGCAAAGTAAAGTGTGGAAATATAGGCTGTTAGACTTTTAAAATATGCCCTTTAAGTTCAAAAGTAAGTTTAAAATGCTTTACTTACAAACTCACCAAAGGTCAGAGTCATGTGCTTTTCAATACAGTGGGCACGTCCAGTTCCCAAGAGACTGTGATCTACTCCCAGTATAAAAAAAACTGGCAGTGATCTACCCATTGTCATTGGAAGGAGGAGGAGTGTGCGTGGGGCGGGTGGATTGCCCAGAGCTGTTGAGCTTTTTTTGGGGATAGGATTGCCCAGAGTTCTTCAGCTTTTATTAACTTTCGATAAACTTTATTTAATCCTACGATCGATAAGAGGATCAGCCGAGGATCTACCAGTAGATCACGATCTACTGGTTGGACATGCCTGCACTACAGCATTCAGAAAAACTTACACAGGCAGTAAAACTTAGTTACAGAGTGGTGAATGCTCCTAAATTATTGGTATAGGAACTCAAGAGTGGCTTGTGAAAACCATGCAGCCTGAGTTGTAGCAATTAGCTCAAACCTCTTTACACGCTGAGCTGCTCAGGCAGACTGAAGGAGACCAAAGGCTTGACTACCTTGTTCCTCTCAAGGTGAGGGGGAAGTGAACATAGCTAAGTTAGGTAGGACTGCTTACTCTATGGTATTAACCCCTTCATGGATTAATTAGACTTCAGCATGTTGGCTACATAAGCTGGTTATCCCACAACGAGTTCAGGTGGGAATCTGTAGACCTCCAGGTGTTGCTAGACTATATATCCTCTCATTCCTGATCATTAGCTACACTGGCTGGGGCTGACAGAGTTGGAGTCCCACAATACTTGAGAGGCCACAGCTTTCTCTATCCTTGTGCTACCAAAAGCCTAAAACATTTTGGAATGCAGGTACATAACGTACTGTCTTCTCTGTACATACCACACCATGCTTCAATCAACAGCCAAGCGCCTAATCCAGGTAAGTGGGTACAAAGACCAGGGAGATGGTTTTGGTTATGGGATGGATTGTAAGGTATGCTCTCTGGAGAAAACCCACACAGCCCTATACTATTATTTTGATGCCTAATGAAAGTTTGGCTACTCAGGCAAGACTTTGAATGAGGCTGATAGTTCTGCTGATGGTTGGTTCTGCTGACTTACCTGTTGGTTTTGCTTTGGGCTACCCGTTTGTTTGACTATTGCTTTATTATTGCTGCTGGATGGGTTGTGTTTTGCTGCCTTCCATTTTATGTTGTGTGTTTTGTACTATTATTTGTTAATTTGCTTTACTGTAAACTACTTTGACACACACACAAACACCACCCTGAGAGCTTCCAGAATGAGTAAGGGAGATAAGAAATACTAAAGTAACTCATCCCATTGTGTGAAGTCAAAGCCAAAACCTCCAGTCTCTGCTGCTTCCCTGTTTGGTTGGTGTCATCCTGACCCCAATCACAGCTATGCTAAGATCCTAGGTTTCTCTATTGTTTTCAATATGTCTCATATCTGTCAGGGGAGGAGAGGACCGTCAGAGGAATCAGAGGTCAGTCAGATTGTGTGAATTTACAAGTGAAGCCTATGGCTTGGAGTAGTTGAGCCACGGGAATGTTGATAGTGTCTGTTTATAATGGAGAAGAAACGACTGATCTGCATGAGCCTGTAAAGCATTTTGCTTTGTTGGTTTTTTATTGCATGTATATTTCATTGCTTTAAGCTGCTTTGAATTTCTTTGTGAGGTGTAAGGTTTTCAAACAAATAAATGAAGGAGAGCAGGTTGCAGAAGGTGGATATTATTATTATTATTATTATTATTATTATTATTATTTCTTATTTCTTATTTCTTATTTATACCCTGCCCATCTGGCTGAGTTTCCCCAGCCACTTTGGACAGCTCCCAACAGAATATTAAAAACACAATAAAACATCAAACATTAAAAACTTCCCTAAACAGGGCTGCCTTCAGGTGTCTTCGAAAAGTCAGATTACTGTAGTTGTTTATTTCCTTGACATCAATGGGAGGGCGTTCCACAGGGTGGGCACCACTACCGAGAAGGCCCTCTGCCTGGTTCCCTGTAAAAAGACTCCCCTCCCTTGCCTCAGTTGTCTGGAGATCAGCAGGAACCAGACTGAAAAGTTTCCATTCAGACTTTGTGTTGTGTGCAAACAGAAGGAGCAGTGAAATAGCGCAAGAGTTTGGACTGTTGTCCAACTGTGGTGGTCCATGTGATGAGTGCAAAGGCACAATTTCCTTCCCCCAACTAAACATAGCCACCAGATTCCCAGCATTCATTAAGAGAGAGAGAGAGTATGAGAGAGGCGAAACGTAGAAATGAGACAAAATGGGGACATCATTGTCTTCCTACGAGCCTGCTCCACCCAGCTCCCTCTTACTTTGCCCTCCTGCCCTGGAAAACTACTGTGGGTGCCCTTGAGTCCAACAATGTAATTAAAAAATTCAGCAATTTTAGTTGTTTGGAGAACAGCCTCCCACAGTGTTCCTTACTTGGGCTATGTAGGGGTGGGGATGTCTTTTACCTGAGGCAGGTGTTGGGAGTGCACTGGAGCCAGAGTAAATGGTAATTTCGACATAGCTTTGTTCTTTTATCCCAAACCAATCCAGATGGCCACCATCTCCGAGATCAGGCTGAGGGCAGCCAAATAATTCTGCCAGCTGAGTTGACCCTAACAGGCAGCTGATGTGAGTTATTGAGTCTCCTGTAAACTGCTCACCTTGCGTCGGTGAAAGATGATCAAAGCTAGATAGGCAGACCGGAGACTCGCTGCTCAGAAGCCATGGCCCACTGAGAAAAATACATGGCACAAACACAATTGATCTCTGGCACCTCACATTTTAGAAATTAAACACTCCATCATTTTTATTTTCCTGGGGGACACACTGAGAATTCTTGATAATGAAAGTCATTAGAGTAATTAGGAAATTATTATCCAGTTCGAGATTGCCCAGTTAAATTCCCTGGCAACCCTCTGCTTCCAGTTTTCCATCCAAAATTCCTCTGGCATACGGAAGACATTTAGAAACATTTAACATTTATGATTTTAAACCGTGCGCCAGCCAAGGGTGACCTTAACTGGCTAGCAAAAGAATCTCAGAGAATGGTTTCTAACAATTAGATCTTCATCATCATACCACCACTACCCCCCAAAATCAATATATTGTTATGCCTGGGTCTAAGGCTTTTCAAGAAGTATGTTACATATTTATTTATTTTTTTAATCACATCCTCTTTCAGTTATTAAATGCACAAAGGGCATATTTGTCCCTAGGGAACTTGGGTAAGTGTAACATGACTGGAAACAGAATGTGTATGACAGATGATAGAACTCTTGCAATTAGAGTATAATTCCTACTCAGTATTTCTTGGAGGTACAGTGGATGTAAATTTTACTGTGGGCCTAACCGAAAAGAGGTGCATGGGGTTAAATTCATGGCCAATCACCTTCCTAGAAAATTTTCTCTTCCATTCATTATCTCTGTCCTATGCTCAGAGCAGACTTGTATGAATGAACCTAAGCATATCCCTAATCATTCAGGGAACACTTCTTAAGTCATTAAAGGCACCATTTGGAAACAATAAAAAGCCCTAACAAACAAGGATGGGAGACTTTGTCCCTCGTGATTTACCTTCCAGGGGCCGCACTGCAAGTGGTAGGTGGGGCCAGAGAGCGAGGGAAGTAGCGGTTTTGAAGCAGAGGAAGAAATGCAGGCTTGCAGCTCTGGAAAATGTCTTTTGGGGACTGCTTATTTGTAGGAGTTTAGCTGCAAAACCTGTATTTTAGAAAATGAACTCAAAATTGGCATAAAATCCTTAAGTCTTTGTTGACTGCTGTTTCCAAAGGAAGCCAAGCTCAGGCAAGCGGTGTCCCTGGCACTTCCACAGCATCTGAACCAAATGTAACAATATATTGAGTTGAATGTGAACGAAACAACCACTGGGAATTATGGAGAAAATGCACTTTTTCGGAGAATACAAGGAACCTACTTACACCGAGCAAATGAAGTCAAACCGGAAGATGTATTACAGACATTGATCAGTAAATGTGTGTACTTTTCAAGGACAGAATGTGTGTGCATACATCAGAAATATACTGTTGAATACTACGGAGTTGCCATCACATTGCGGGAAGGATGCAAAGTCCCTTGGGGTGTGGGTCATTTATACAATTATCCGGTTCCTTAAATGCATATGCATAGGGATCAGGTTTTGTTAACCTTCTCATGTCAGTCCAGCTTATATTAAGTACAATAATATGTGAGCTCATTTAACTAAGGTAGGAATAATCTTTGGGTTTCTTTAACGGCAGGCAGGATCGCCACCTTGATTGGTTGCTGGAAGCTGGAACTTTCAATCACACTGCTAGTTACAAGATTAAAATAAGTGGCAGAAATATTAGTAAACATCATTTTTCAAATAGGTAAGAGCTCAGAAAGATTCAACACAATTTTGTGGAAAAATCAGGACAATCCTTAGATGAAGTTAGTCAACAGCTGTATTTCTGTAGAGGCGACCTACACTTTGATCTAAATTGACCTGATAAACCCCAACAAAAAGCTACTAACTGTGAGGCTCCTTGATGATGTCCCTGAACAAGGGATATAAACATGAGTTTCATGTGCCAGTTTGGATTTTATAGTCCTCAACTGACTCGTGTAGGCTCTATGAATTAAGTTGTTGCTTATATCTTGGAACGTGTCCAAGGGATATTCCGTTTTCTGCAGTATGAGTCCACAAATCTTGACACAGGGATTTTTTATTTTTACAATCGATACGTTCCAAGGCTTCAATTTTCCATTCAGATCATAGCAATTATCTCCTCCCAGCAGAAAGCCCCCAAAAGAGACCAATATCAGCTCTGAAGTTGCCACTGTGGCGTAATGGTTAGGGTTTTGGATTAGGATCTGGGAGAGCAGGGTTTGAATCCCCATTCAGCCTTGAAGCTCACTGGGTGACCTTGGTTAGGAGGAAGCCAGCCCCATGGATCCAAATATTTTTGGAAAGCATTGAAACGACTCAATTATTTGAGGTTCTTCCCGCAGTGGAAGCCTGCCCCCTATAATGTCTTCTTCCTGGGGTATTTCCCAACTTGGATTTCCTAAGAAAAGCTCAACAACTTTGGCTACCCTCCCCCCCCAAAAAAATCCTGACTACACCCATATCATGGATACAACACTGGGGAGGGGGTGTGGGGCTTCAGAGGAGTGAGTCACCAGCTCAACTACTTCATCTTTAGATGGAAATACAGCGCTCAAAGCACACAAATTGTTAATATAAAAATACTGGAAGCAGCCACCTGTGAACAGCATGGAAAGCTCAAATGCACACACTTCTTAGGAAGGCAGCTAAAAATATAATAATCCTGCTTGCTTTCCTTTGACCTCTTTCTACCTATACAGGAAAGGCCTTAAGCTGCCCTTTCTTCTTGCCTGGGACTGTTCTGAACCGACAGGTGCAAGTGTGAAAAAAACTTTTATGATCCAGGAGTACACTCCTCTTTAACGGAAAAGCAAATAAATCTCAGCATTCCATGCCAGCAATTTCACAAGCTTTGATTTCGGTTGCAGTAAGTCTTTATTGTGCCCGACAGCCAGGCAGGACCGTTAAGATTACTTCTGGCAGAAGTTCTACTGCAAACATATAAACATAGAGGAAAGAGGCTATCAAGGCAATTGAACAGCCTCATCTGCAGTCACAACTTCCTTTCTTAGCATCACTGTTGCTTTAGCTGAAATGCCTTCATGAGTTAAACCAATTAAGCGAAATACCATCTTCGCTTTCAACTTTTAAGTCTGGAAGAGATGACTTTTTCTGACACAGGAAATCTGGTTGTGACAATTTAGCATCGTCGTGTTTTTGAACTGTGTGTATTCCAGTATAAATACTAGTATCTATTTTTAAAGGGATTTCTCCAGCACCAAATTAAAAGGAACCAAATGCCTGAAAGTAGGGGGAAGCTCATAAACTTTTCACATGCAAAGCATGTATTCCACCACTGAAATACAATCATGCTGAATGCTCTCCCCAGTGAGGTCTGCCCGGTCGATCTCTGCACGCCTTTTCAGTACCAGGTAGAAACTGAACTTTTTCTCCAGGCCTTTGAAAGACTGTATTGTCTGCTTTTAGTGTGGTGCTAAACCTTGTCCATCGCTGTTACCGGGTGTGAAGGGCTGTTTTCATTTTTACATGTTGTATGAAATGTTAATGTTTCATATGACTTTTTTCCTTACAGTTAACAATGCACTTACATGTATGTTTTTTGAACGCAAGTCGCTCTGCAACCTTTTAGGTGCAAGAGACTAAGAAAAAAGAATAAAGAACCACAAATTCACACCTCTCCAATCTCTCCACAGAGGAAGGGGTGCCCAGAAATATGTATAGGAGGAATAAAAACTCCCAGCAATAGTTAGCAGCTGAATCAGTGTCACAGGAATGCTCCTGATGTGAAAAGGTTGCATCTGCATAACTTTTTCCAGTCAGGGAGCTACCTGCAAAAAGGAAGAAAAATTTCTTTTTTTGGATAGAGAATATGCCACGCCTGTGTCTGCTATGTACTCAGTAAAATATATAACTTTGCTTAATATATTTACCCCACCTCAGGACTAAAAAGGCACCTCTTATTTAAGAAAGCAAACACACTCTACTACTTGTCAGTGGATTCAATGATACTTACCCCACAGAAAGTCTATAAAAGAGCGAAGCTATGCTTGCGTTTATCAAAATAAAATGCCCTACTATTGCAGTTGTCTTCACTCCACATACAGCTTGAGTAGCATGGAAAGTGATTGGTATTATTGGTGTTTGCCCTGAAAACACCAAATAGGATGAAAGGGTTTATTCCCACTTATGAAGAATCGAAGCAGAGAATTGTGCAAGAGTGAGTGAGTAACAAGTTTGTAGCAGCCAGATGAATACTGCATGGTTTTTGTCCATAGCTGGTTCTCCTCAATTGCTGGTGGCAGATTGTTTTCTTTCTATTTAGGCATGAAATGAAGATTCTCTGGCATCCGCTTGCTTTGTCCTCACTTCATGTGCTATCCCTCAAAGAGAGGTTTGCTGCCAGAGACCCAGCATTCGACCTCAGGACACACCATTTCCCTTTAGCGCCAGCTTCTCTAATCTAGTTTGAGAGAATCATGGCCTAAATAGGCAGGGCAGGCATGGTCTTCTCCCACCCCCACCCCCACCCCCGAGTTTATAACCCAGCCTTTTTTCTCCAAGGAGCTCAAAGTGGCTTGTGGTTCTTCCCTCCTCTTATTTAACTCCCACAAAAACCCTGTGAGGTAGGTCGGGCAGAGAGGCAGTGACTGGTCCAGGTTCACCCAGTAAGTTTCACAGCTGAGTGGGGGTTCAAACCCTGGTCTCCCATGTCTAGCATTCTAACCACTACATCACAATAGTTCCTTCTGTTTAGGGAAGTTTTTAATGTTTGATGTTTTATCACGTTTTTAATATTCTGTTGGGAGCCGCCCAGAGTGGCTGGGGAAACCCGGCCAGATGGGCGGGGCTTAAATAAAATAAATCATTGTGTTGCTTGGTGCTGCTAACAAAGAACAGCATTTGGACCAAAGATTAGTTCAATTTCTCTTTAATTTGAAAGTGATGCGACAGGAAAACCAGCGAACTACATGCACAGTCCAACTGGGGAGTGGGGGTACAGATTAACGACGTGACCCCACCTCCTATGGGAAAAGGGCAGCAACATGTGGAACTCTTACCCTGGAGAAAGGGTTAGGGGCAACATGACCTCAGTGTATAAAATCTTGCATGCCATGAAGTGGACAAAGGTTATTCCTCTGTCTCTCGTAACACGAGAATTCATAGGCAGCATGGGCAACCAATGAAGCAGCACGTTGAAAGACCCAGGATACCAAAAATAAATAAATAAATAAACTGTGGAACTTGCTGCCACAGGAAGCAGGGATGGCCACCAGCTTTAAAATAGAGAAATATGTGGAAGGTAAATGCTATCGATAGCAACTAGCCGTTCATGGCTATGCGCTGCGTCGGAGGCTGTAGGCTTTTGAATACCTGCTGCCGGAAAGGGCAGGTGGAGTGTGTTCTTGTGACTGGGTCCTGCTTTGGCGCTTCCCATAGGCATCTGGTTGGCCACTGAGAACAAGATGCTGGACTAGATCGACCAGTGGCTTGATGCAACATGCTCTCTTGTTATTAACAAAATGTTCTCCCCCTTCCCAATGTGTGACTGTGGTTGAGGATTAGCCCATGTAAGTTGTTTCACTTTGTGGCTCCAGGGTGTGCAGTAGATAAGAGTTAGCTCCGGTTCTCCAGTGTATTTGTTTTTAATTTTAACCATCAATGCTCCTATCAATGGGGGGAAATTCATGGGAAATGCGTCCAGTGGCCTACAGTTATTGTGCCTGTATCGACAAGCAAAACCAACCGACCCCCACATTTGCACCAGCTTAATTAAAGACAATGGAAACAGGATATTTTTTTAAAACTTATATTCAAAATATCTTTGTATAAACAATGGCAATACTACAGAGTAGTATTTTAATACAAATCAGTTCAATATTATTAACTGTTAAACTTTTATTATAAATTAAAATTTCTTTACAAAAAATTGCACATAATAAATTGACCACTCTTAGGTTCTGATGCACTGGCAATTGCAACTGTATCTTTAATCTTCAAGTTTAAGTCTCTGCCACAAGTCCAGAATGCAGAAAGGGCAGGAAACCACCCTCAATGAGCCTTCAAGTGCAAAAAGCATACTTGTGGCCATGGCAGTTACTTTCCTTAAGAGCGGCTGCTTTTGTTTTTATATCCTGCAATGAAAACAAATCTCCAAAACGAAACAAAAAGGGATTGGGAAAGAGGGTGGGGTGGGGTTGGGAGGAAAACAAAGTGGACCGATTGTTTTTGCTGTAAACTCAGCCCATATTTTTAGCCCCAAACACAGATCTCTCAGGCATCAGTGCGAGCGTCAAGTGAAATCAGGAACCGCACAAAAGAAAATGAAAAATCGAAAATAAAATATAAAAATTAACACATTTAAAGTCTGTCATTGGGATGAACTATACTTACGTACATGATGTTATGAGAGTCTGGCAGGGCCCAGAAGCAGGCCATAGAGGACATTCATTTATCCAAGGAGGCGATCATGTCAATTGTTTCCAGGTTCAAGGAAAGCAGGCCAGAGAGAGACTTGATATGCTCAGCTTTGCGCATCTGCTTTTCAGAGGCCTAAAGCCAGAGATCAGCCTGGAGAATCATTCAAATGATTTTGGCATTTAATAGGACTTAGCACTGACTGCACCCAGTGTTCAGCGATTCGTGCTTTCTGTTCTGTAAGTGTTTAAATTTAAAAGCTCATCTAGGCTGACTCCAACCTCTTGGCACTTGGAAACTAGTTTTCTCAGGTTATCAGTTTTACCTCCTCCTGATGCTTCAAACAGGAGCTGCTGTAAGAGATGGTGAAGCAGACATAAGATTTAGCCAGAGCTGGAATATCACCACATCAATGGACATGGGATATGCAGAAAATTGAAATGAAACCTTAAACGGAAACATAAGGAGAAAACATTACATCTTTCCACAGGGTTGCGCAAAGAGGTAGCTTCTGAAAGGCTCTCTGATATAAGTGATGGACCTGTAAAGAAGAGACAAGAATCAATCTAATGTTATCCCAACAAAACTTATGTTTGTTGCGTAACATGCACTTTTTCTGTCTTAAGTGCCTGTAACACAGGTTAGGAATGGTGAAGCTATGGCAGGGAAATGCTTGAGGGCTACTGCTAGATTTAAGAGCTTTACATTCTTCAAAAAGTGCTTAGTTTTAAGGCTGTAGAGGAGACATGGAAGCCTGATGATCACATTGTAAATGCATAGAAGCAAGTTAGGAGAGTCCTATCTGTCCCTATTTCAAATTGACTGAATTGGTTTACTACATCAACAAGTTTCTGTGTGCCATATATTCAAAAGTTTGTACTGATCACTGAAGACTCCTTTGTTGGATTTAAGCTTCTTTTGTTATTTAAAGGCTCTGCAATCCTACACCACTTACTGAGGAATTAATTGTTCTGATTTCTTATCCACCCTTCACAGTGAGGACCCATGGCGTAACTATATAAAAATACAGCATTGACATCCACTAAAAAAACAGATTATACTGAAGGGAACAAGATAGGTCCCAAATACATATCTTAGGCGTCAAAGGACAGAGTAAAGAGGTGTGCCTTCATCAGCATGTGAAAAATTACAGAATGAAGATGTCCGACACACTTCTGTAGCTCAGGGACTGCCAAATAAATTGCCACTCCTTGGACACTTATCTAGTTTGTAGGGAAGGAGACAGCTATTTGGGACCTAAGCCTCATTCAAATAATCAGGTTTTGCTTCTGACATGTACAGGATTGCATAGTAAATGAGCATTATGTGAACAAGTGGGAAGAATTAAGTATGTTAAATTAACATCCTAAGTGTCCTTGTGTTGGCACACTACTGTGTTTGAAAGCTGCAGGAATGCACAAAGTCTGTTTCAACCAAGTCTGGCTCTAGCACATTGAGCACCTGACAGAATTAACCTAAAAGGAAAAAAGACTTAGCCAGAACCTTTCTTCCTCCTTGCCGTCATTTGATAACAGACACAATTTCTGAGGAGCAGACCTCTTACTCTAAAGCTAGCTTAGCAAGAACACTGTTCTCAAGCTTCTTCTTTTTTTAAAAGCTGTGGACTAGTTCATTAAACCCAGGGGTGAGGCTAGTTAAGTATCTTTGCAACTGGCTATTTCAATAAGCTTTTCTTACATACCTCTCTCTGTCCCTTTAGAAAGCACTCAGCAGCAATGGCTCTGAAGGGAAGAAATAAAAATGACTTATTTTTTTGCAGAATACCGAATATCTTTATGGGAAGAACACTGAGTATGGGATGGAACTATAAAAGTCCTGGAAAGTAACAGACTAACTCCCAATGATGATAATCTATAGTGAAGAGACAAAAAAAGATCCATTTCATAAACAATCTTACATGAGCAAGACATTTCAGTTGTTCCCATTATGTACAAACACTGCAGACAATGATCAGTTCATCACCACTGGATATTGCTATTATGATATATAAAGGGGAGGGTAGAAAGGAGGAGGGAAACAGAAGTCAATAATTTAATGGTAAACATTCCAAAGCAGCAACAATAAAATTCATCAACACATTTTCCTTACTTAGACACACAAGGCATACTTACTTCTGAAATATTTTTTGTATGGGAAGCAACAGTCCTCATTTTACAACATTAGTGCCAGGAATCTGTCTAAACCAAAGTTTGTGGAAAGACTGCAATAATGAAAAACCTTTCTAGCATAAAACCAAATTTGAAGGCCTACTTCAAATGTAGCTTTATGAAGCAAACCTTATTTTTTTTAAAAAAATTATCTATGTTAACAGGTGTATGACTGTTGAATTACATTTTCCAGATGGCCAGGCATGTTGGGATATTATATGTAAACATCTTGGCTTGTAGTTTCAGAATCTGGACATTGCTCTCTTCCCAGTGTTGTTGAAGCAGCCTGCAGTGACAAAGGAGCAAAGGGAAACATGCAGTGCTGAATAAGAATGTAAAGCAGTAATACTAAGCTCTTTTAAAAGCTTGAACGGGGTGGGGGGAGGTGGGAGAAGAGATGCAAGTGAGAGTGCCGTTAGGGGGAAAAGAAAGTACACCCTCTGTTGTGGTTGTACACATCAGGACATCATATTGTATCATGGTTTATTTAACAAAAATAAAGCCCAAATGGAGAAGCCATGTGTGAAAAACTAAGTACACCTTATCACTCAATAGCTTGAAGAACCACCTTTAGCATCAATAACTTGAAATAATCGTTTTCTGTATGACTTTCACAATAATAGTTGTAATTATACTACTTTGGAATAACAGGTGAAGCCTCTCTGTCCAGTGTTCTTATAAACCTACTGTAGAATACTTGGTCTAAGAATGAGTCCCACAAACCCAGACGTAATGCCAGGGGGGGAAGGGGAGACTGTTCTATCTGGCAAACCAAAATGCTTGCCCTAATGTAATGATCACCTTAGAGCAAGGCTTTCCAAATTTTTCATGTTGGTGACACACTTTTTAGACACACATCATTTTGTGACACAGTAATTGAGTTTTACTAGCAAACTAACCCTTTTCCAGTCCCGGGAGGAGTGTTGAGAAAGTTTGGAAAGCTCTGCCTTAAGAGCAACACTAAATTCCTCTCCTCCTGTTTTTTTGTTAACAAGTATTATTTCACTTTGTAGGAAGGCTTAGAAATCATATTATGTATTAGTTCTCTTTGCTCTATACCAGGGTTTCCCAAACCTGGGTCTCCAAGCTGTTTTTGGATTATAACTCCCATCATTCAGTTAGCAGGACGAGTGGTCAGGGACGAGGGGAATTGTAGTCCAAAAGCAGCTGGAGACCCAAGCCCTGCTCTAGACTATTTATTTCCAGATCTAATCTTTGTGAAGAATTTTTTTTTTCTTCAAAGAAAGCCCCACTCAGCCATCCAGCTTAGAAGATGGCAAGTAACTTTTTTAAAGGGCATTGGGGAAAACAGGTACTTGCTTCTAAATGCTTCCGCCAATATTCTCTTACCTGAATGCAAGTCCAGGATTAGCAGGCATGGTAGAGCAAAATCTTTCCAATTCTTTGGAATGCTGAGACTTCGGAATACAACTCAGATAAAAGAAAATAACCTGTAAAGGTTAATTTTCAAGAAGTTAGATCATTCGAGCTGCCTGCTTTGTTCACAAATCCAACACTGATGTGCACTCTCTCTTGAGTTTGATGACGAAGACAGTGGCACTGAGTTAGTAGCAGCATCTACAAATAGCTCTTCCAGGTACCAGTGGCCCCAAAGATGAACCACAGCAAGAAGAACACAGGGGAATTTGCACTTTTCCAGCAAATGCTGGAGCAAATGCTGGGGTCCTTCAAAAAGTAGGGAGGGCTGGTGGAAGAGACACCAGCTGACGCAGCATTTCAGAGGTGTTAGCCAAGGATGATCTCCAAGCAGCCTAAGGAACCTGAAGGAGGTCAGCTCTGAAAGGAAAGTGAGACAGACAACCCTTCCCTATACAGCAACACTAGGCTTCTACAGTTCGCCAATCCCCAGCCTACAAAACATTTTAGAGAAGTTGATACTCTACAAATTTAGCCACTGCACAGATGTGCACACACACTCTGCAGCAAGGAGCTTTTGTATATGTGTACAGTTCTCATTTCCCTTACAGAACTGGTATTTTAGCGCAATATGTTGAACAAAATACTAAGGAAACCCTACATGTATTTTAGCATAACGTGTTTTATATACAGAGTCCTGTAACTGAATTACCAAAACACTTATACCTTGTTGTGGAATTCATAGTTGGTCCAGTAATCAGCGGTGCTAAATGGAATAGGGTAACGGGTGGGGACTGTAACAAGACATCTGTTCACAAGATCTGTAAAAAGCTTGAATTCTTGAACTTGATTGTTAGATCTGACAACCTTGCCATTGATGAAAACAAGGTAACTGAAAAAGAAAGAAACCCAGGTGTTAACACTTCCAAATGCATTACTTTTACAGTTATAATGTCTCGTCATTTAAACTTACTCTATCCAAATCTGCTGAACTATTTCCTCTTGCATAACTGCTCCCAGAGCTGCCTCATAAGCATCCACTGCATCGCCAGAACTTCCATGAAGAGACTGGTATAAGCTATTTTTCATTGAAAGAAAACAGCGTTAGCTTTTTTGAAACTGTTACATGCCTTTTGTGAAAGAAAAGGGCAATGGAGAAGCTTGACATTATATGCAAGTATAAGCCACAAAAAATGATCAGAGGTACAAAACGTTTCCTAGTTTTAAAAGTGTTTCAACACTTTAACTATTCACAGTGGTTAACAGGCAATAATTAATACTGAAATTAATGTAGTTAATGTAAGGCAGCAAAACAGCTCTTCATCTCTTTTTGACTGAATGTCTGCAAGAGAAATACTGCGGCCAACAATGCAGATGATGAGAGTATTTTAGTAGAAATTCCTTACACTTTATGAATCTAAGCACTTGAAGAAAGGGATTTTGGCAGCTGCCTAAGTACTTCTAAGAAGTTCTCTCTTCCATTTATATATAATTCAAAACTAAAGTGTGGGACACAGGGCTCAAGCAGCACATCTGTCTTCTGATTTTAAACTTAGACACAGCCAACTTCATGGTGTTTTAAGTAAAAAAACTACAACAGATGTTTGTAACACCAAACTGCAAACTAAATAGCATAAGAAAGGGCAAGCAAAGCAGTGCATGGTGTATGTTCATGACAGAAATACCAAAATCCTAAAGGATACTGGCAGAAACTAGGACAACCATGGCACTCCTTATATTTGCTCTTATTATATATAATACAAGATTAACTGCCTCCTCTACAATCTGTAGTTCCCTACTTAGAAAGTGTTGCAATATTAAAAAAATTATCAGACTTTGGAAAAACTCACCAGTATATTTGCCACAAGTAAGGAATTTGCTGGTTTAAAAGCTCTTCTGTAAAGCTTCCCTTATACATAGGCGGTGTGAATTCAATTGGCATTGGGAAATTCAAAAAATATCTAGAACAAAGAGTCCTTATTCAGTGTGACAAATGTTCACTACACCGAAACAATCCTAACCTGAAGCAATCTGAGCAAAGAGTGGACACACCACCTATGTGTATCTCCAAGCGAGTAAGAGCCAGACTAGAATTTGGAAGAAGCACATGGCAGCCACTGAAAACGGTAGCTGCTTGTCTAGTTTTCCCATCTGTAGTGTAGAGCATAGCTGCGTTTCAAAATCATGATTTTCTGCATTCCCTTGCGCCAAGGATTACTGTGGTATCTAGTTTGATTCCAAGTGAAAACAAAACAGTGAAGGAGATACCAAAGAAATGTATTTAAGCTATGCTTAATATGCTTTTAAAGAGATGTCTGAAGAAGGCTTTGTTATAATCCTTTCACAACCTTATGAGAACATATAAATATGTGTGATCTGCCCTGACACCTGCAGGTATACGGCGGTATACCAATTTTAATAAGAAGAATAAAATAATGTCTCTTAAGCAAAATATTATCAATATATAAATATCTTCTCCTTATTGACTATGTTAAATATATTAAGTATGTTGGGGTTCCCCCCTGTGTTTTCCTTATTTGTTTATTCATAATATTCTGAATTAAAATATTAACATTTATTTAAAATTTAGTCATAATATGGTGTATTTTTTTGAAAATTGTGCAATTATTACGGTATATGCTTATTTGCTTGTTTTCCTTTCAAAACTTGTATTTTACGTGTATGGACATATACATACCTATATAAACATGGCAAATAAAGAAGCCTTGCACTATGTGCAACCGACTAATAAACTTTTTACCTCAAATGCAGTGTTTTCATTAAGTTACAGAAACACATAAGGTAACATAGGCTCCCATAACAACCCCAACATAGGGTGCTGCAAGGCTTATTTCAAAAGCCTGAGGTGTTGCAGAAATCTATCTTCCTGTTTGCAGCATCAGTTTCAGCTACGTAACCTGGCTACCTCATATGTAAATGGGGTTTGTGCCAATAATTACAGGGTGCTAAAAGATTCTGGAAGAATATCTGAAGAAATAATAGCTTCTCTCGACATAGCTGTGCACCACTTTCCTAAAAGTATTTGTCTACTTTTATATCACAAGCACTAGTTGCCTTACACTCAACACACAAACTGACAAATAATAAAGTAACATGTGAATTGCTTTTCACTGTAATGAGAAATCTAAGGACAGCATCGCCATAAAGTTCTGCAAGAAACTAAGGTTTGTGCAAAATGGCAGTGTGTAACGTAAGCGTTTTTACAAGTAACCATACAGAAATTTTATAAACGGAACCGAGCAACGCATCACATAAACCGAGCTCATAGCAGCATGGAATGATTAGTTTGCTTGCCAGACTTACCGTAACAGATCCACAGGACTGTTGTCTCGAGTCACACACTCAAAGAATGCTGCAACGAAGGCTTGCAACAGTGGAGGAATACTATCTGATCTATTCTGTCATGAGAGAGTAAGTGACATTGGACTAAAGTTACAAAATGTGAAGAGCAAATCAAACTTCTGCGTAATACATTTTAATGGCTCTTTCAAAACCATGAATGCAGATGGTGGGCAGACATTACCCAAAAGCAGAATGCTACCTAAATTTTCTGCAGTGCTTCAAATGGTTAACATTCAAGGATGAACTTTTTCATCTCTCCATAGGTTAGATTCATCAGCTCACCCTTTTGCACATTACAAAAGAAGGATAAAGAGTCACACACGACTGTTGCAACATCTGTGTCACATTCTAACGCCAGCGTGCCCCAACCGGATGTTTTCCTCTACAGCTCTCACCAACCCAAGCTGGAGCCGATAACAGTTGAGTCCCAATCATCTGAAGAAGGCTGTTCTACATCGTCCAATAAACCACTCCCTTCAGATTCACATTCCAGCTTTCTTTGTTTTTAGCATTTGTGGGCAACAACAACTTTAGGCAAAACAAAAACTCAGCTGCTTAAAGTCTGAAAATCAAACTCCTGGTCAAATCCTTTCACTGTAATGTACTCTGAATGTCACCATTTTATATTAAATAAACTTGGGTTTCTCTCCAACCAGTTACAAAAAGCTGAATAAAGTCATTGGTGTTTTACCTGCAGAATGAAGAATTTGCACATAAAGTAGAAAACCTGGGCATTTTGAGGGTTTTTCTCAAATGCTGTAAGCCACACGTCACATGCTTTTTCCATCTGGCCAGTCTGCAAGTACAAACCAACTAGTGCTTCTAGCAGCCGACAGTCAATGGGGTTTAGTTTCAAAAGTGATTTACAAAGCTCAATAGCAGCTTCCCACCTTGAATGAAAACAGTGAAAAACAGCAATTACTTATCTTATTTTAAAAAAGACAGTGACCTAGAAGAACAACATCCAAGATAATCTTGTGAACTATTACACTCTTTTCCTATTACCTATTCTTTTTTAATCATAACAATGGGCATGAACCTCCTTTCTTAGTGCTGCTATATTCATCTGTGTTAATACCAGAAAAATGGGAAATTGTCACTCACCATGCATTTTTGTACAAAGGATTGTATTCAACTAAATTTTACTCAGAAGAGACCCATTTAAATTAATTGGCTTGGCTAACTTGCAGCAATTAATTATAGTGGTTCTACTCTGAGTAAAACCTAGTTGAATATAACCCATAATGCTTAACACAGCATATAAAAAATAGCAATTTTGCAAGTGACTTACCTTTCTAACAGCTGCTGCAAAATGACCATGTTTCTATATAGCGGAAGACAGAGAACTACTCTTTCATCAGCTGCAGAATCCTCACTGGTGCATGACTGGATGGCATCTAAAAACAAGCAAACATCAAGTACACATTCACAAATACAAAGCTTTACCACATAAAAAGCTTATGTTAATGTATAAATACACCTGTATTTTGGTGGGGTTTTGGGGGGGATGGGGAGACAATGTAGTCATGCATTTCATTTCAGTCATTGTGCTTTAGTTAGGTATAAAATAATTTCAAAGTTTCTTTTAAGAGGTGAAGATGTAAATTATCCAAGCAGACAAAATTAAGTTTTCAATTCCCATTACAAAAATACCAACGAATAATAATAATAATAAATAATTTTAAAAACCGGAAGAGATAAAATAAGATCTGAGTTCCTCCAAACTGTTAAGAAAGCAACAAAGCCAGTCTTCCAATTATCACTGATTTTTCTCAAAGCAAAATTATTTTTTATGAACATTTAAAGAATTTCCTTTGTGTACATACATGTGCATTACTGAACATGCAGGATCACAGTAGGAAGCTGTGTCTCAGTTCAGTTACTTGTTGTAAACAGATTCCTCTTACTATTATTTACTACTGCCTTCCCTGCTTGCTGCGCTCACAAGCCCGTTCCCCTTCCCACATTCTTGACCAACCCCCCTCCCTCCATCCCTTTACACACACACACCCCGCCTATCCTTCCACAGCTCCCCCAAGCCCTCCCCCCTTTGGAAGGAGGGGGAGGCCCTTCACCCAGCTGCTTGCTAAAAAAACAAGGTAAAGGGCCCTTTCCTTTAACCTATCTGCTGGTGCATTTAAGGGAGGGGGAGAAGGAACTTCCCCCAACAGCATGCTAAACTTCAAGATGAAGGGCCTCCCAGCATCCATTCAACAGCTCACTCCAACCAGCCTGCCGTTCTTCACGCTGCAGTTTGTATGGCTATCAATGCTGCAAATGTTACATTTTTTAAACCTATAGGAAGAAATTATCAAGCCAGTCTGCACGATCCACTACAATAAACTGTCTTGCTGCAAAATACATGGATTCTACTTAGAAGCAAGCTCCATGGGATTGGTCCCAGATGACTTGTAAGGACAGAAGTCATGGCTTCTCCTATACATGATAAGCATAAGCAAACTGCCTCTGAATCAATGAAGACCACAAGAGACTACACACTGAAAAGCAAAAGCCCACTGCATGCGTAACCGTAGCACAATTATTTTAGATATTCTATCAGTATTAATTCAAGAAATAAACCACAGCTGAATTTAAATGGGTAACCTCACCTTCAAACACAGCTAACAAAGTATCAGGATCAGCTTTCACATCTTCAATTGTTTTCCAAGGTATTAAAAAAGGCTCCTTCTTCATTATTTTTGAAGGGTTGCTATTGGCAGGATCATAGAACTTGATGGGGAGATCGCCAAACTCAATCAGATGTATATAGGATAACCAAGCTAAGCAGCGGTCACTTATGGTGAGATGTTGCACCAAAACCGGTTCACTTTCTGACTTCAGTGCATTCTGCGGAGAAGAAAGTTATATGATGATTAAATCTGACAGCTTAAATAACGGGCAACCTTGCTATATTATGCCTAGTCATAGAAATATAATCTAGCAATCAAGCTTGAATGTTTTGTTTCACTAAACAGATCCCATGGTCACAATTGGGGAATTCCAGGTTTTAGAAATTTGCCTGGCCTAATTTGTTCTGTATCCAAGTCTCACATTTTTTTAAAAAATGCTTTAAGGTTTTACAGTATTACAATTAAGCAGCATATAAATGTTGTGAAATAAATAAATTTGCAGTTAAAACTATTTCTACAAGGACTGAGATGGCATAAGACACAAATGTTGAAAACTGTATGCAACGGCCATATATTACACTGGGTAGACCATGTGACAGAGGAACATTTACCGTATTTTTTGCACCATAGGATGCACTTTTTCCCTCTTAAAAAGCAAGGGAAAATGTGTGTGCGCCCTATGGAGCGAATGCAGGGAGGAGGCAGTCAGGGAAAGCCCCCAAGAGCCGCACACAAGCTCCGTGCGCTCTTGCGGGCTTTTCCACAGGAGGGAGAAGGGACTGACTGGCCGCATCAGTCCCTTCTCCCACCTCCCAGAAAGCCAAGAGAAGCCGCGATCTCTTTAAAGGGGTTGCGTGGCTTCTGCGGGCTTTTGCAAGAGGTGAGGGAATCCCCCCACCTCCCAGTAAAGCCAGGAAAGCCCTGCGCAGTGTCTCCCGGCAAGGAGAGGCTGCACGGGGCTAAAGGGGAAGCCAAAACAGCGAGCGGGATCCATCCCGTTCGCTGCCTTGGCTTCCTCCATAGCTGCGTGCAATCCCTCCGGCAAGGAGAGGCTGCACGGGGCTATGGATTCTTTAGCCCTGGGCAGCATCTCCTGGCAAGGAGAGGATGCATGGGGCTAAAGGGGAAGCCAAAACAGCGAGCGGGATCCATCCCGCTCGCTGCCCTGGCTTCCTCCATAGCTGCGCGCAACCCCTCCGGCAAGGAGAGGCTGCACGGGTCTAAAGAGGAAGCCAAAACAGCGAGCGGGATCCATCCTGCTTGCTGCCTTGGCTTGTGCCATAGCCCCGCTCAACCCCTCCGGCAGGGAGAGGTTGTGCGCAGCCTGTACGCTGCTCTTTGGGGCTAGGGGAATATTTTTTTTCTTGATTTCCCCCCCTAAAAACTGGGTGCGTCCTATGGTCCGGTGCGCCCTATGGTGCGAAAAATACGGTAATCACAGACAGTATTATAGACTACTGAAGTCCCTGCTCCCTAGAAGACCCAGTAAAAATGGTGGAGATTTTGTGATCTTATATATTTACAAGCATTTTTTCATAACTGTAGGGAAGCACACTCTGGTCCGTATGAAATTGCTCTCATCTGCTACTGAATAGTGCAGCAGGGACATTACCTTCAAACTAGATATATAGGACAAAACAGCAATGGATGCCAAAGCCAAAAAATCACCGTAACATGATATACATAAGCAAGTACCTGGAATAACGCAACAGCATTTTGATATTTCCCAGTAAAAAGGCTTAGGTGAACTCTATACAGCAACATCTCCAGCAAGTGAAAGGACCGAAGATCCAGATTCTCTTCACATTTTGGACTCTCCATCAGGAACTGTAGCATTCTCCCACATACATAATCCTTTCCATCAAATGAGTTTTCCAGATTTAGAAACTGAAGGGCAGTTAAGAAAGATAAAATGTTTGAGGATTCATCTCATTTTGTTTCTGGATCTAAATAGCTGTGTGCAAATGTCTAAAGTGCTTCTGTGTATGCACAGAGACATTTCAGAGATATAACAATAATAATAAGAAGAAGCAGCAGCCACTCTGGGTGGCTTCCAACAGAATATTAAAATACAATAGTCTATTAAGCATTAAAAGCTTCCCTAAACAGGGCTGCCTTCAGATGTCTTCTAAAAGTCTGGTAGTTGTTGTTCTCTTTGACATCTGGTGGAAGGGCATTCCACAGGGTGGGGGCCACTACCGAGAAGGCCCTTTGCCTGGTTCCCTGTAACTTGGCTTCTCGCAATGAGGGAACCGCCAGAAGGCCCTCGGCGCTGGATCTCAAGTGTCCGGGCAGAACAATGGGGGTGGAGACGCTCCTTCAGGTATACTGGACTGAGGCCGTTTAGGGCTTTAAAGGTCAGCACCAACATTTTGAATTGTGCTCGGAAACATACTGGGAACCAGTGTAGGTCTTTCAAGACCGGTGTTATGTGGTCTCAGCGGCCACTCCCAGTCACCAGTCTAGCTGCCGCATTCTGGATTAGTTGTAGTCACCTTTGGTTTGCTTTCAACTACAGCCAATTGCACTGTATCACATATTATCCTGGAGGCATGATGTTGGGGGGAAAGTTTGGGTGCAAGGTAATGTGAAAGGAACCCCAAACGGGCATCCATTTGCCTGGTACATTTTATGGGATTCTATATTCCCTGTGGCAGAAAAAAGGAAATCTTAAGTTTAAGAAGTTTTTGTAAAAGTTCTTTTTGAGCTGTAAAAGCTATTTAGTGGAAGCCTTCAAATGAAACATACATGGAAGTGAGATGTAGAGTGCAAATGTGTACTAACTTCATAATTACTACATATAGTTTTTCCAGTGATCAAACTTACTGTCCACCAAATCTTGTAAGTAGGAGCATATTCCACTGCAGTCTCACACATTTCTTGCACCTCTTCCTTTATTCCTCTTTTTGAAAATAGCTTGAGGTAATGACACCAGACTTCAGAATTTTCTTTGTTATTTTCTAGTGCTCGAGCCAGGACATTTAAAGCGGAATCCAAGCGTTCGGAGGATGATCTTCAATAAGAAAGGAAAGCAATATATTCATTTTCACATTCTCAGTTTCATGGTACAATGCCAAGGCATGCACACGCATTTCCCTTTCAGAAGCTCTCTGCACTTCATACAACACCTTTTTCTCTTCTGTATTTAAAACAGTTTGAGGGATTTGAAATGCAGCAGTGAGAGGAAGAACAGGGAACTTGCACGGTAACTCTAAGGCACTTGTGGATGGTAAAGTACAACTGCAGTTTGTTGCCAATACTCTCAGACACCTGCTGGTTCCTGATGTAAATGTAAAACATCTGAAAATGACTTCTACCATCTTGCTTAAGGAGTTTTCCATTTTATCATCATGAATTAAGAAAACCAACCTTAGAAATCCAATCAATTGTATCCTTCATTTTTCTTAAAATGAAACCCCTTTTCACTATTTCCATGCTGAAATGAAGCACTTTAAAGCATAATAATAATAATTTATTATGCTTACTCTGGACTGTGCACAACAAAAGAGCAAATCAATTCCACTCCCCATTGCTTTAAAACAATAACCTATTTGTACACTGGCCAAAGAAACAAAGCGTCCTTTGATGCTAGCGACAAAGCTTGCTTCCAACAGCACAGGTGAGAAGCTTGAGACAAAAAGTGCAACTGATTTGTTTGCAAAGAAAGAATTACCCACCCTTCATTTTGATTCAGATATTTGTAGGCCAATTTGATCCAAAGCTGAACGTTATATGGGTTCTCAAGTACACTTGCTTCCAGGTTTGAAATGTCATCGGTCTCATTTGTAAAATACCTAACATCATCCGGCGTCACAACAGCATCCAGAGCAGGAAGATTTATTCTGTTCTGTACTGCGGGAGCTGCAAATAAAAACAATTCTCTTTTTTTAAGGATTGTCACAACTTTCATGATTTGAAATCCAACTTTCATTTTAAGTTGCAGCAACTTATGACTTCAGTGTGAATAAAAAGCTATCTACTAAAAGCCAAATACACTTATAAAAATAGTATGTATGAGCACACACACAGTAATTGTTATGGCAAAATAAACTGAGTTACTTTTGTCTAACATTCTATGAGAATTTTATTTAAACATTTTGATTTTTTTCTTATCGTTACGTGAGTCAGTGCTGAATCATGAGTGACAGCAGTGCAAGATGTTCAGGACACTTTCCTCCAATTAACATGACTAACTGACTCAGGCACAGGACTCTTGACAACTAAGCCAACACAGTGACTACAGACACACGTATACTTGCAGAGGCCTTTCCTAGCTCCAGCAGGATCCTATAACAACCCGCCCCCTGCTGAAATTAGGCATCAAAAAAGTCTTCCATTGTAGGCAACAGAATGATTTTTTCAAACCTAAGTTTCACTGGGTCTGTATGGAAATGGTGCCACCTACCTGTGACACCAGCTCTATATGCCTATATCAGTTTTATCATTACAGGGCAAGTAAATGTGTTCGAGTACATTTTTTTGCCCTTTTTCAAAATTACTCTTAACATTCCAGATTTAATAATTAATGCTACCATATTTAATAGGTCCAGAAGACTGTTCCTCTTCACTGCTGATATCACTGTCCAAATGAGTTTTTCCCCAGTGCTTAGGTCTCCATTTCCTTTTGTCTTTCCAAGTTGTAAACGGAGGGGCTATTTGCAAAAGAGATTAAATTGAAGTATACATTAAATTCTTTGCATCGTGTTTTATCATCAAAGCAAATCTCGCTTATCGAGCTACAACTTTTTTTAAAAAAAACACCCCACTGAATACTGCTATAGACTGGATCTTGAGATATTAAAAGTTACTTACTGTGACCTTTGCTTTCATTGACATTACTAGCAAGAAGAACAGCCATTTGATCCATCGCCATGCGATCTTTGTTCACACCGAACAGTTTTTCAACATATTTTTCTGAAATAAGATGGTAGCAATATCTAAGACACATATTGTTATCAGTAATTTACAACTATATGTATTCATACTGTATATCTATGACCAAATCCACAGAACTCTGATGAAACTTTTAACACTACAAATTGTTTCAAAATGGTGGCATCAATGTCCATCAATACAACTGCAAATACTTTTCACTTTTATTATCTTTTGCTGAAAGTTTACACAGGTGAAAAGTAAAAAGCAACTACAGATTTACACATGACAGCAGAAGGCGGAATCACACTTTGTTTAATATTAATATAGTGCAGAGTGAAAGCATGCATTAGGAAGCAGCTTGCTTCCTTAACTTTTGGCTATGAAACCAGAATACCTAATTGCGGAACTAAATTGCTTTGCTGGCAAGACCAACAAGCAACATACCTGTTGCAGTGCTTATCTCTTCATCCGTGCTTTTTTCTGAACAGCCTATGAGAGCTAAATTGTATGAAAGAACATCTTCAAACAGCTGTCTTCGGCTGAGAGTGCAATCTTTCATGTGTTGCCTGAAATAAAAAATAATCCCACTTAAAAATCAGCCAAGGACTCTGTGAACATCATACCTAAAGTAAGTGAATGTTATTTTCAAACAGCATTTAAAACATTTCCAGAAACTCCAATAAGTGTGCAGCTGCAAGCCAAGTGTATAAAAGACAGGATAGTGTACATATGCACTCCACCTAATACTCAGGTGCCACTATTACTCATTAGGACTGACTTCAGAAATCCCAGTGCATTACAGAACACATCTCAAACTTTTTATTACTCAAAAGCAAAGTGAACTTTGAAGAGCATCTCCGACATACTGTACCTCACGTTCAAATGTTAGCTATCATCTGAGTTTAAATAAGGTCACACAGATATGTCAATATGATACGGCTACAAGCAGCTGAATACAAGCGTTTTGAGGGCAGGGTCCAGCCATTCAGGCAACCAGTTTGTAATTCCCAATTCGATCCAGTGAACAGGTATAATAATAATAATAATAATAATAATAATAATAATAATAGATTTCAAATACCATCTAACATCAAAACTGAAGAATGTGTATAAAATGAGAATTGATGAGGAGACTAAATGGGTTATTCTAACACTTCTAAAGGACTGCAAACACACACAAATAGCAATGACTTTCTTTTCCTGTAGGTGTCCCCACCCCACTTCACTCCATTGATTAAGGCTTCTCCAAGAGCCTTGCTTCAAAACCCTAACTATGGGAGAAAGGATCGCTGGGCATTTAACCATGCATATTATTTCTTGGCTGGGTGAATGAGAACGTGCTTTGGGGCTTTGGCTGCCGGCAGTTCAGAACACTGTCTATTGCTCCTGGGTATATAAGTTCTTACCATTATAGTGGTACCTCTGATTATGAACTTACGGTAATTCATTCCAGAGGTCCGTTCTTAAGTTGAAACCGTTCTTATCCTGAGGCATGCTTTCGCTAATGGGGCCTCCCGCTGTGCACACACCTCCGCACAAGATTTCCGTTCACATCCTGGGGTAAAGTTCGCAACCAGAAGCAGCTACTTCCAGGTTAGCAGAGCTCGTAACCTGAAGCATTCGTAACCAGAGGTACCACTGTACTGATTTCTTTAACTGTACCCCAGGTTCATTTCTTTTTACACACAGAGCAGGACACAAACACACTACAGCAAAACCACACCTGAACAGGCAGATTCTGATGCCTTCATATAGAAGCTAAATCCCTTCTGCTCTGGGCAGAAAATGATCTATTTTTCTTGGAACAGTATATTCAAGGGATGCTCAAGAAAATAGTGGCAAAATTCCCCCCCCCCCCCAGCTTGTATTAAGAGGCCTTCAAAACTCTGCAAAAGGCACTTTGGAACTCATCTTCCTGCATCTGTTTGTAGAGCAAAGGTCAGGGATTCCCTCCACTGCCATGGCCAAAAAAGCCATCTGTGCACCTTTCTCCTCATTCCCATCCTTTCCAGGATACAAAAGTGAAACAGGTTATTCAATGAACACTCCTTTTCTTTTAACATAAGCAACTGGTTTGCAGCAGACAAAAATCTTTCTTAATCAAATGACAAATTTGCTTGGAAACCCAAGGCAATAGCCTCTGCAGTAGAGATCATTCAATTAAAGAAGTATGAGGTGAAAGGGAGAATCACTCACCATCGACAATCATCATCATTGCATGTACCCGTTAGATCAAAACGGCAGAAACACTGTTTAGGCTCAATCATATTGCTGTAGGATACTGAACTGAGGTAAAGCTTTTCTTTTGTTCGAAAATAGGGACTAAACCTAAGCAAAGTAAAAACATGAGATGTTAATATTTCCAGGCCAATACAATTAGCTCATGGTTAACACACGAACATGTACTAACGATACTAAAATTGAATCCTATATCACTTTTCAAAAATAATCATAACCATAAGCAGATATGTAGCATCACCTGCTGTTCATCCCAAAAGGGAATAGAAGCTTGTTTTTCTTTCATCCACGAAAGTATTTAAGACCAAGTCAGCTGGTAGTTCTTAATTCTTACCACCCACTTTTAAGAGAGAACTGTATTCTATATGTATTTTGTAGCTGTTTTTGTTTTTTGTTTACATGTGTATGTGTCCTCTTCATGTAATGCATTTAAATTGTCTACAGTTTGGTGTTTGATGTTCTAAATGAAAGTCCAATAATTACAAATACAGTGGTGCCTCGCAAGACGAAATTAATCCGCTCCGCGAGTCTCTTCGTCTTGCGGTTTTTTCGTCTTGCGAAGCACGGCTATTAGCGGCTTAGCGGCTATTAATGGCTTAGCGGCTTTAAGAAAAAGGAAACAAACTCTCAAGAACTTGCAAGACTTTTCGTCTTGCGAAGCAAGCCCATAAGGAAATTCGTCTTGCGGAACGACTCAAAAAACGGAAAACTCTTTCGTCTAGCGAGTTTTTCGTCTTGCGAGGCATTTGTCTTGGGGGCACCACTGTACAACAGCGATTTAGCAACATTTGCTACCAAACTCTAATTTCTCACATCTGCAGAGCTCTTCCTCTTCAAGAATCATAAATGTAGCTATAGTTCTACAACTCTGTTCTCCATTGCTACTCCAAAGCTCACCATCCTTTCATATAAAGGAGTTTACAACAGAAATCCCCAACCATACTCAAAGCCGCTATGCAACATAGCATCCTTACTCAACTCAGTATTCATACCTGTAAGATTTAAAAACAAGAAGTGGGCTATGATAAGGTCCAAATGGATATGGCTTCCCTTCTGTTTGTTTACTTGGAGCTGTGAAAGGGTCTACATCCACTTTTATTTCCTAGGGAAAAGATACAATATATAACCATACAGAGACTCAAGCCGCAGTAATTCATTAAAAAAAACCTTGATCTTTTAGTATTAATTAGTACACTGAATTACCTGCCCATGTAAGTTTTCTTCATTAGAAACCGTAAGCATAGTATTTTCTCTCAAGAGATCTTTTAAGCCATCAGCTTTCCCATGAAGTTTTTTCAGTTCATCAATATTCAGACCCAAAAAGAGCTCGGGTTGTTCTAGTATCTTTTTAGAAAGTTTGCTTGAAGTCTCTTGCTTGGGGGTGTCAATGTGCTTAAGGTTAGGTTTAGTAGAAGAATTTGATTCTCTGAAAGACCTCCTTCGTTCTCTGGTGGAATTGGACAAAATTTCATCATCACAATAATTCTCTTCTGTATCTAATGTCAGTTTGTCTTGTGTCAGATCATGAAGGGAAGGTTGAGGTAGTGCAAATTCAGGTTCCTCTTCTGTAACGGGAAGAATATTTGATCGGTCCTTAGTCTGATGTGCATGGGCCTCCTTCAGCTGCTGAATTTTTAGAGCATATTCATACTGAAGTTGCTGTAATCTTTTTTTCTCCAGTGCAATCAGTTCTGCTGAATGTTTCTTGGGGCTCGACGAAGGAGATTTCTCCAATTTCAATATTTTGTTTGGCTGCCAAGAAAGACACTCAAAATTCTTAGTACTTCACATTTACAGACAAGATAAATAAATAAAAACACTAGCTTTGTAGTTTAAATTCTTACCAGACAATTCACACATACAAATGGGAAAAACAGAACATAATTTACCAGTGGTATAACTATTAGTGTTTCAATTAATCTATGTCATTTCAAATATATTTCCAAGAACCCACAATTTTGCTCTCCGTGGGAAGAGCTCATTCAGTCCTTAGCAAAGGTGACATACCCCAGGCTCTTCCCCAACTTAGACTAGCAGGGAGAGGGGATGGATAATCCAAAGTCCAGTCTGGAATTTGTTTTGACTCTACGCATGTCAGGTGCTTGGAACACGTGCACTTGGCCTACAAATACAGATACAACCTCCAAACTGATCTGTTTGCTTCCCAGCAAGGGCACAGACTAAGCCAGTCTCTGCATCCTCCATGCAGCTCCAAGCTGGTGGGAGCAGATGGGAGTTTGTCTCTGTTCTAATGGGATATTCTGAGCACCTGACAAACTTTAAGCCAAGCCTCCAGCTCTACCTCCTATTGTCCATCTGAGCTGGCAGAAAGAAGTGTGTGGCCTTGAATACATAATGACAGCTTTTTCTTTGCATTTACTAGGCAAGCCTTTATCCTGCTGAGCTCAGTACTACATAGAGAGCAGGGGCATGTTTTCACATTGTTCAGAATCCCTCACACTGCCTTCCCCAGTTCCAACCTTAGGTCTGAAATGGGCAGAGGGGGATTGTCTCTGACATCATGCTGTATTTCAGAGGCTCAGCATAAAGTGAAGTCTTAACAAGCTTTTATGTACAGTAGCGTAAGTTTTAATATTCAAATCTGTTGAACATGATCTCTGAAAGCTATTATTTCCCAGAATGGACCCAACAGATGAGGCGCATTTCATGGGATATTTGACTTTTTAATAGTAAGGATAATAAATGAGCACAAAGATCCCTATGCCGGATCACAAATTGAATTTGAAAATCTCACTTTCAAATTCCATGTGGCAAGGATGGGTGCCCTTTGAGAAAGAACTCCAAACCCTCCTTAGCAAGCAGAAAAAGTAGAATGCTACTTGGATTGTGGCCAATGTTCATAATGCAACAATCTCTTATGCTTTCTCCAATAACTGAAAACTGGTATTATAAAGCACAGGTATGTTTGGAGGTTCATTTCAACTCTCGGTTAATATTCTTGTTTTCTGGTCTATAGTTTTCAAGGCTATACTTACTCCAAAATGATCATATTCAAGTTTTCGTTTTCCAAGTTCTTTGCTAGCCAGTGCTTTCGCTCGAGCAAGCTCTTCTCCATATTTTAATGCTAGCGCTTTTTTTGCTGTTACTCGTTGCTGTACTCTGTGGATCTGAAACATTTATGCATTCTTCAGATGTCACATTTGAACCCAAGCATGGATATAAACCAAATAAGCTAACAAATTAGTCTGAAATATGTCTAGTAAAAAATGACTGTCCGACAACACTATGGTTAAACAAACATGTTTTATAGTGCTATAGAAAATGACAACTTACTTGTTCCTGAAGCTTCTTCAAGAACACTTTATTAGCATTTAATATCTTCTCTGCTGCTTGCAGCTGCTCATTAAGTTTTGCAATCTTGCTTTCAGCAAGACGAACAGACTCTTTCTTCTTTGCCTCTTGCTGCAATAGATGTTTCAACACAGATTCATCCTTCATCAAGAGAAGTCTAAAGAAAAGAAAATGGAGTTCAAATTTCACCTATATTCATTTCTATATACAAAAGCTGTATGAAATTAGAGCCACCATCTAAACTGTTCAAAGTATCTAGGTATTATTTAAGAATACAGTTTATATTAAGGTTATTGTTGGGGGATTTTTTAATGCTGCGAAGCTGCAGTGAGCATTATGCTGGGGTGGGAAGGCACAGGCAGAAAAGCACAGAGAAGCAGAGAGCTGGTGGGGAGATCACCACTGCAGTTTCCCAGCAGACAAGGAAAGCTGCTTGTGAAGGAGCAGCACCATTCAAGATCCAATCCTTCTGCTTAGCAGGAAGTTCCAATCATGCATGGTGCTGCTCCTTCATGAGCAACTTCTCTGCACACAAGTTAAGGGGAGGATCGGAGTCAAGGGTAGAGCGAGGATGGCTGCTGGGGAGAGGCATTGGGAACGAAAACTAAGGAGCCAGGATCAGCGAGCACAGCACCCAAACAGGCTGCCCCCAACCAGCAAAAGGCAAACAAGCAAGAAGAGGACTAAATGAGCTGCTTTAAAGCTGTTGTTTTATTTTCACTGAGATTAAGGAAAGTCATTCTCTCATAGTGTTTTGTTCATAGGCAGGTCCAGCTGTTTCGATATCTAAATCAGCTTGTATGTGTACGGATGCAAAGTTCTCATGTTCAGATAAGGGAATTTTTACGTAACGAGTGGGCAGATAGTGGGACCTGCATGTAGTTAAAGTGAAGTGTCCCAAACACACAAACAACACATACTAACCATTGCTACGGAGGGTTACCATTAAGATGAGGGGACTTACTTGTGTTTTTTGAGTTTTGCCTCTGCATCTGTAACTTGTTTTGTTACTATTGCTATCCTACCAACCCCATCAACTTCAACGTCAGAGTTTGCTGGTGATGAACTTGTCTTCAAGGGTTCAGATATTATCAGGCGTTGTTTCTCCCTGCTAAAATATTCAAGACACATTATTTTCAAAACTTTAGTTTTCAGACAAAAATCTGAAACTTATTTTCCAAGAAAGTAAAATCAGATTTGTTATCACTACCACTTTGAATTAGAACAGCTCACAAGATAATTTATAAATAAAACCAAGGCTTTAAATAAACAAAATAGAATAATTAAAAAATATGGATGACTACATCAGGCCACTGATTTTTAAATCAAGTCAGTTTTTGGCTAACAACTCGTGCTTTTCTTGATTTTCATTGTGCGAAGCCCAAATACCTGGCAATCTCTTCTTTTAGGAGTCTGTATTCAATCTTTTTATCTTCTGGTAAGGCCTCTGGGGTTCTTACAGGATTGTTTTCTTTTTCAGATTTTAAAGGTGCTTTGGGTTTTGAAGCCTGTAACAGAAGAATCCAACACCGTTATATATAGGAACCGAAATAAAAAACTGAAATTATTGAAGAAAGGGAAATTGGATTTACCACAAAGTTTCTTTCTATCTAGAAGACAGGATTAACTCTACTGATTCAGAAAGCAGGGTCAACCAACTTTGCCTCTTTTAAAAGGAGAGTTCCTTTCCAGTTTTGGAATGGGGAAAAAAACTTGAGTAATAACAAACTAAGTGTAAGACTTGAGGGAAAAAATGAGCCATCCACAAAGGAACCAGAATATCCAGAGAAATATAAGGGAAAAGTAAGTAGCAAAAAAACACTTTCAAAAGGATATTATGAATCCAAGTTATAGCTTATTTTAACAGGATGCAACTTGCCCCCACAGCCACCCAAAAGTCAAATCCTTCTCTAGTGCTGGCAAGATCTTACATGCTCTCCTACCTAGCTATGAAGATTCCTTCTGTAAAGTTATGTCCAACTTCTCTTTTTCATTTAATGGTAGAAGACCAGGCAGAACAAGGATACTCTGAAGCAGAACCACATTCCGCAGTGGGTTCCAGAGTAAACAGACTATTATGGGCAATTCTTTGGAAAACCCGCTGTGGCACACACCTACTGAAAGAGGCACACTGCTGCCACACTGCTGGAGCCCAAAGTAAATATGCATGGACTATCTCATATCCCCAATTAAAAATGAGGGCCAGGACAAGAAAGCAGTGCAGTGCTGCCGACTCCTGTGCTCAACTAGCAGTCTTCACCAGCAAGAGTGTGAAACAGGACCTCCTTCACTGAATGAGAACATGAGAAAGGAGACCCGGAGCTCTGACAGGTGATCTGCTTATTGTATAGCTACCCAAAGGGATCAGTGCGAACAATTACTAAGCTCCTGCTTTCACATCAGGTGCAGGAAGGAAAATAAGACAAAATGTACTTAAAGATAAAAGGCTGGCAATGACTTTCACTCCTTGTCAGAAGGTGGGCCCAAGAACTGGGATGAACTCTTCTCTGAAAGGAATAATTTGTTTCTCGTAACTTCTGAACCAATTAAGTCTACCCATACCTTCCAACATTTCTCCAATAAAAATAGGGATGTCCCATTCCATAACGATCATTTTACTATTTATATCCCACACATCTTACTGGGTTGCCCCAGCCACTCTGGGCTGCTTCCAACATATATAAAAACATAATAAAACATTTTTTTAAAAAACCCTCCCTATACAGGATTGCCTTCAGACGGCTTGGGGGTCAGATAATGCCATACCCTCCAACATTTCTCCAATGAAAACAGGGGCGTCCTAAGGAAAAGCAGGACATTCCAGGATCAAATCAGAAACCAGGACAGCTTCTCTAAATCAGAGACGTCCCTAGAAAATAGGGACACTTGGAGGGTCTGTCCTTCCTGTTCTCCTACCTATAGGCAAGGAAGTTTGTTTTACACAGCTGGCAATTGCAGTGCACAGCAAATGCAGGTTAAGATTTTAAAAACTAAATTTCATGTGCTCTTTTCAAAGAATGTCATTTCCACATCCACATCCATTTTATTTACCTCTACAGTCCTTCGAGCTTCTTTGATCATAGATTCTAGGCCACCAAACACACTAGCAGCAGAGATGGGTTGTTCTGAATCCGATTCACTGTCATCTGAATCATTCAGTGTAACCACGACTGACTTGTGCTTTGGAAGCTAAAGAAATAAAAGGTTAAATAATTTTGAGTGAGCAACTCTCTTAAGAATAGTGGCCTTGCTCTTCTTTGAAAGAAACAGTACACAGGAACCAACCTAACCCACCTCCAAAATGCTACTGTTCCCAGCTGCCGAATCAGCACAAGCCAACTACCTAGGTTTTTGCATGTTAGTTTCTTGCCCTACTTTGGCAGTGTTAACCTCAAACATGATGCACCTTCCTATATGAAGCCAAGTAAAAAATATTTCATTACCGTAATCACTGTTCGTGGGAGTCTTGGTACTCTAATAATCTTTGTGTTCTTTACACGAGGTTGAGAAACAGTGTTAATACTGACGGCTGAAAGATTGCTTCTTGGCACGGCATGGGAGTTATTGGGGAAAGGCGGTGAAGGTGGACCACTATTACTTGAGTTCTCCTATAAATAAATAAATAATCAGAAAAGCCGCAGTGAAAGGCTTTTAAATATTTAAATACACAAATGCTGCAAAAACGTAACACAAACAAAGCCTGCTCAACCTGTTAGAAGCTGCCATTTTAGAAGGCATAGATTTTTAACGACAAGAGAAGCCACTGAGCATGGAAATGGCCAACATCAGCGGTAAGTGAAGTAATCGTTGCTCAGATTTCAACCATGTGAAATGTCATAATCCTACTAATTATCCAGCTGAAATAGCTAGGACAATAACAAACAAGTGGGAGGCAACTTGTTCAGTTTACAGCAAATTTAACCCTAACCAAGAGAACTTTAAACTCCTTTTAAGGTTAAAGAACAGATTACGCTGGTTAAAGAACTGCATGCCACCTTCAGGTTGTCCAGTCACACTTTTGTTTTTCCAAAGTAACACAAAAAACTTTTCTGGTGTGATGCAGATCATACTGCACCAGGGCTGACATCTAGTGGCTACATTTAGAAGTGAGAAATACCTCCGGTTTGAAAGCTCGTTTGTTTGCTAGAGATTTAAGTAGCTCTTCTCGCAGCAACATTTCTTCCTCCTCCTCCTCATCTGCAAATGGCGGTTTGGGTGGCTGTTCAGGTTCTTCAGGTGGAAGTGGAGGAAGGGGTGGTAGTGGCTCAAGAGAAGCACTTGAAATACCTTCCACGTACAACTGGCTACCTGGTGGCAAAGCCTTAAAACGTTGGAAAGGAAAAGAGAAATCGCTTAATTACTACTTGACCTTCACAAATAGTGTGCCAAGCACATTTGGCTCATGCTACGTTTCAATACAAAACACCAGCAACTCCAAAAGCCAAGTCACTGCAGTTGAAAATCAAGATTTTCCAAGACAGAAAATAACAGAGAATGACTTGCTTATTCAAAACCATTAGTCGCCAGTACTAGACTGCACTAAGCAGTTGAACTTACTCCCAGGTAAGTGATTTTAATTATTCATTTTAGTTCCTTAAATAACATTTAAGCAACACAACTCTAAAAACGCACAAAAGTTTAGTAGTAAGTAGCTATATAATGACTGGGGATTTTTTTATTTATATTTCCAGTAGAAGAAATAGGTAGCACAGGATATAGAAGCTCAGTGAGTATTAGTACTAGCATTAATCAGTAATAAGAGTGGGACTAGAAATAATTTTGATCCAGGCCAAGTCCCATTTCAATATATACCAGAACAAATAACTTCCAAGACAGCCTGAAGGGATGCACACAAAAGAGAAGCGCATCATAATTTAAAGATAGGCTGGTCTAACAATATTTCTGGTTTCAAATGTTTCTACTTCAAAACGACCATCTTGAAAAAGCACTTACTGAAATCTGTGCTGCAAGAGGCAGTGTTATTTGTGGAATGGTAGGAGAAAAGTATCCAGCAGGGCATTCAAAATACGGAGGCTGCACTGGAGATGATGCTACAAAAGGATTATGGAAAACAAAAAACAAAAGGTTACACTAGGCAAGATTTTATTTATATAACCTTTATATACAGTCGTACCTTGGAAGTCGAACAGAATCCGTTCCGGAAGTCCATTCGACCGTCAAAACCAAAGCGTGGCTTCTGATTGGCTGCAGATAGCTCCTGCAGCCAATCAGAAGCCACGGAAGCCCCATTAGATGTTCGGCTTCGAAAAATAGTTTGCAAACCAGAACAGTCACTCCTGGGTTTGTGGCGTTCATGAGCCAAAATGTTCGAGAACTAAGCTGTTCAAAAACCAAGGTACGACTGTACTTCAATTCATGAAAACTATCGAGATCCAAACAATAGAATAAGCAGGAATTTCTCTCATCACATACTGCTCCTGCTCTTATGCTGGGTCAGCTATTGAATTTTTTATTTTTCATGTAGCAGCCATAACATTAGGTAAATGAGTAAACAAAACAGTGGAACACAAGCTTTAATTATGGCTTCATTAGGAACGCGGGTTCATTAGGTGACGCGGGTGGGGCTGTGGGTAAAAGCCTCAGCGCCTAGGGCTTGCCGATCGAAAGGTCAGCGGTTCGAATCCCCGCGGCGGGGTGCGCTCCCGTTACTTGGTCCCAGCGCCTGCCAACCTAGCAGTTCGAAAGCACCCCCGGGTGCAAGTAGATAAACAGGGACCGCTTACTGGCGGGAAGGTAAACGGCGTTTCCGTGTGCTGCGCTGGCTCGCCAGATGCGGCTTTGTCACACTGGCCACGTGACCCGCAAGTGTCTCCGGACAGCGCTGGCCCCCGGCCTCTTGAGTGAGATGGGCGCACAACCCTAGAGTCTGTCAAGACTGGCCCGTACGGGCAGGGGTACCTTTACCTTTTTTAGGAAATTAGCAAAAATAAAATGTTGTAATCCACACATTAGGTAAGTTAACACTTACCAGGAGAGTTAGTTTCACTTTCTGTGTCCATGGCAACTTCATCGTAATTATCATATTGATAGATTCCTCCTGCACTCTCAGTAGATTGCTTATCTATTGACCGTCTCAAGTCTTTATCTGAAGACTACACAAAAAAGTTTTGTTAGCCTCAGATATATTTTATTTTCTTTCTTAAACACATGCAATGCTGCCTGTTTTGCCTCAAACAGCTGCCCACTTGTAGGAAGAAAAGCTATAGGAAAGATAGCAGTGGCAAACTACTGACTCCTATTTGCTGGATCTTCTCTCATAACAACTGTGGTTTCAGTAAGGGACAGCAAGCAGCAGAACAGTTCGTTTTTACAAAACACTGCATTTTTCAAAGCTACCAAGTCATACTCTAATTATTTTTAAGTGTGTGGGAAGGCAAATCTCCCAACCATTTCCAACCTGCAAAAAAATGAATAATTATGATCCCAAAGGTCATGATAACAGAATGGTATAGTTGGCGTCAGCATATGGCATGGCCTATCACAAGGCTAATGTCAGCCTCTTTTTAAAAAATCACTGAGCGCTGATTGAAGCAGCTACAGCTGCTGCTACTGTAATTATACTTGTCTCCAATGACCCCGGGCTCCTTTCCTTCCCTGGGGTGTACATCAGGTGTGAGGCCCAACTGGCAGCAAGAAAGTGAGCGAGCCACGGACAGAGAAATGCCTTGACAATCCTAGGCAGGTGCCCATCAGTGGAAATAGGCCAGGAAACCCAGGGTAGTACAGAGTGCAGAGCTTCTCCTCTGTTGCTGGCTGGCCACTGCTGCTTCCCCCCGCTCCTAATCCAGGTGACTGACTATGGTATTCTGGGTAAGGAGAGAAGTTGTCATGGTGGTCAGCCATTAGTGGCAGGGGAAGCACTGCTATCTGTGTTCCTCCAGGGTCCCCAATCCCTCAAAATTAAATTCTCTTTCCAAACACTCAATGGAGCACCAGGAAATAAAGAAAATTAAAAGGAACAGGCCCCAGAGGAGGCATTCCTTTTCTGCTGGTGCCCACAGTAACTTAAGTGACAGTTCCTCATCCTCAATCTTGTGTTGCCGGGGGCGGGGGGGTGTCTGCAGAGGGCATCTGGCAGAGAGCCCTCTCAAACCTGTATCTGACCCTGCAAAAACCTAGTTGTAGGACTTGAACTCCACTGTCAGCCATGAATTTGTATTATGGACTCAAAATGAACTTAAAACTACTTCAGATTCTCCTCTGGGGAAGAATGTGCTACAGTTAGAAATATAGTTGGAGGGATTCAGGAATTTCTGCAATTTCTCACTGTTACAACACCTTGCACAGCCAGTTGCTGCTTTTATTCCCCAATGAAAACACAAGTGGAAATTATCCCTTGTGCTTTCAGGATGCAATTTTACACAAGTGCTTGTGGCACTGCTCACAACAGAAAATTCTCAAATCATGGATATTTACACCACCATTCCTAATCAACTTAAAAACATGACTAACAAAATGAGTTTAATATTTACAGTGCCTCAACACAGTTGCCACTAATCTTTAAGGCCTCACTACTTACTAGTGAGAATTTTATGCCTAATTTGGTCTTCCTACTCATCTGTATCAATTTCCATTTGTAATTCCTTTCACAACCATCAGGTTGAGAAAAAACACCCAATGTTAATGACTTTGTTTTTTAATGTGTATATTTGAATTAAAAAGTTCTCGTTTTCCAGATCGCTCAGCATTTTTTGCTTACATAGCACTACCAAAGGTTTTACAACCCTTATTTCATAAAGCCCAGCAAACTAGAGAAGGTGGTCAGTATTTCTGATAGAAAACAGGCTGAAAGACAGCAAGTTGTCCAGGACCAGTATGTCCATATCCATGGAGAGCTAAGACCCTCAAGTCCTAATCTAATCCTATCAGATCATGGGTCACCAAGATGAGCAAACCCCACCCCACCCCCAACAGCAAATTAATTACACAAGTACATCCATGTTAAAGCCATACTCCATGCCTGTCAATTTACCTTGCTTCTTGATCTTGCCTTGCTTCCAACCAGCTTCATAAACCTATTATACTGTTCTTCTTGATTTGAAAGATCACGGATTTTTCTTATTTCCTCTTCCCTTTTCCTTCTCTCCTCCTCCTCTTCTTGTTTCCGTTGTTCCTCTTCCTTCTGACGCCTTTCTTGTTCCTTCTGTTGTTGCAGTTTTTTCCACACTTTTGTTTGCTGTTTCCTCAGTGCTTGCTTAGCTTTAAATAAGAGTATTGATTAATTACACTTAATTTTTCCAAAGACACACAACAAATCTATGGAGAAAGTAAGCTGTCAAATATTGAACATTACAGATCTCAACTTGGAAAGCCACTGCTCACCAATTTAACCATTTACCTGCAGTGCTGGTTTTTTTGGCCGAATGCGATTTTGTGCTGGTTTTGATCTTTTGTGGCACATTTTTTGCCTTTGTAAGTTTTTCCTTGCTTTCTTTCATCACTTGTTGCTCTTTCTGTTGCCACTTTTTACTGGCAGACTGCAAAGCTAGTAGTCTTAGCTGCAACTCTGACACTTCCTCCTCTTCATCAAGCAATTTCTTTTGTAAAATGAAAAGCACAAACACACTTCAGTTCTTTATTCATCATTAAACTGATATTTTAAAAAGGTTTTGACTAAAAAAAAATCACTCTATGCAAAACACTAGCTACAGAAGGATGGTTTTCAAACTTTACAGACAGAATCCTAAAACACATTTTACTCAAGCATCAGCCACATTTAACACTGTAGGACTTGCTTTGAAACAACACACATAGGATTGCACTGTAAGTATACATTAGGCTAGAGCTAAAGTGACTGATGTTGCAGCTGGAAAAACAAGTGGCTCCACTTACCTTCTCTACTGCAGCACCTGATGGGCTAAGATGTTGTTCTCCTTGCTCTTTTTCATCTACTGCTTAAAAAGATAAATGATATATTTTATCAAGCACAATCACAAAGTAAATGAATTTAAGCATGCAAAGGAATAGTCATATTATACATAAATTTCTAACATGTATATTAAGCAGAATATGCTGCAAAATCTATATGCCTGGTTCTTTTAATCTTGCCATGGTCCCAATTTATACTTGCCCAGTGTGCAAAAGCAAGCATACATTCTCCTAAGTTCCTGTCTTCGACTCTTTTTTTATTATTACATTACACAAGAGGTGTACTTCATACTGGGGGAAACTCATGCTCCCTGGTCACCTTAATACTTCCACTAATTCTGTGACCCAGTCTGAAGGCCTAGCAGCATCAGCATCACAGTGTGAGAGAAACTCAAGCAGAGGGTCCCAGGCACCCCCAAACTCATTATCAAGATCAGCTCAAGACCTCAACTCATAGAGCAACACTGCAGATTCCAAACTATCTACCCTTACAGTCAGGTCCAGGCTTGATTTGTCCACACTAGTATTGTAAAGAATGCCTGCTATGCCCTCAAATGAAACATGCAGCATTTCCAACAGCAAAAAGGTAGAAAAATAGATAAACATCTCAAACAAAACAGGAGGTGCCAGAGGATACTACTCTATTATTCTCCAGTACTAAACAGCACTCTAGATTCAATCTGTTCCAAGTTCCCAGGCAAACAATGGTCCAGGAATGGAAAGATAAAACAGAAGTGCATGCCAAAGTTATCAAACAAATGAGGGCATGGAATTCCCCCTACACGTTATTTCTACAATGTACTTTTAATATATGTTAGATTGTTGTTTGATTCTCTTTTTATTCTTGGCTGCGTTTACTTGAGTTATATTCTGTTAGTAAAACAAGATATAAACATTCTTAAGAAATGTTGCATTTTCAAAGCACTTCTGTTTACCAGTAATAAAAGTTAAATAAAAACAACAAACTGTAATCTGTGCCACCATTACAATGTCTGTAAAAATGCGAGCTACTCTGTCACAAGAAAAAGCAGTTTTAAAAATTACAGAAAGGATAAAATCATGAGTTTATTACACATAAAGAACAATTACCTTGACTGGCATCCAGTAATTCAGATTTCTGTGACACTTGCTTTACTCCATCTTTCACTTTTTTCAACTTGCTCCTCTCAGCTAGGGTTGGCAGTTTTTGCCTGAGAGGCTTCAGTTCAAATGCCTGAAAGGTTAACACTTTATTCTTCTCCTCAGGAGACACTTCATTTACAGCATCCTTTGTAATACTGATATTTTCTGTAGATACTTGGTCCTCAGGACTGGCCATTTCATCATTGCCTTGCTGAGCAGTTTCCTCTTTGTTATTCAGAGCCAGTTTCTCATCTTTATTAATATATTCAAGTTCTAGTTGAATCTGCTTATATTTCAACAACAGATCCTCAAAACTCTCTTCAACAGAGTTATCATTCTTAGATGAATAGTTCTGCTTTCTAGATGGAGATTTTCCAAAGCTTTTGGCTAATTTATTTATTAAGAAAATGGTCTAGAGAACATTTGTCACTTGCACCATTGTAAGGAAGTGATCAAAAGCATATAGCCACTGAAACCTTTCATTCCAAACAGCAATTCAATCATGTTTCAACATGCAGGAGATAATACATACAACTTCCATGTTTACTCACACAGTGCTTCCTTACAAGATTCTGCAGTAAGTGAAGCGGCATTCTCTTGTCCTCTTCCCAAACATCTGACGCCAGGCATTGCAACCACGCCTTTGAAGAGGTTTCCTGACCTCAATTCCACTGCCACAACCAGTTTGGTTTATTTCCCTCCTGGGACACGTCAACTCTCATTATACACATCCCAGATGATTTCCTCCCCTAAAGTATTTCTGATCACAATCTTAAATGTTAGCAATACACAAATACTTCTGGCTGGCCTCTTTCATATTTAAATAAGCTGGTGGCAGATCTACTTAAGTATAAGGTGTCAAAAAAACCTAATTGGGTGAACTTTGATATTTTAGGCAGTATCCAACTACACAATTCTGCTAGCACAAGGACTTCTGGATGTGCAATGGAGCTTTCTCTACCTCTGCTTGACATGATAGCCTCTAGTGCAGAGTCTGAAGCAGCCATGTCCAAAGTCAGTTCTGGGGGCCTAATCTGGCCTGCCAGTTGATTTAATCCCATCCATGTGGCAGTTTATTTCCTGGGGTAAAATTCTTAAAAAACCTCAACAACTTCAATCCTAAAAGAAGCTCAACAACTTCAATCCTAAAAAAAGGTAAAAAGGTCAACAACTTTGGTCGGCCCCCATGGCCCTTCACTTCATCAAATCTGGCCCTCTTTGAAAAAGATCTGGACACCACTGAAATTGCCCTCATTTATGACACAGATATACCTTAAGGCTGTGTGCACTCTGTGCTAAAAATAATTGAGTCCATTTGTCGCATATGGAAAATTATTTGGATTTGTATATATAGACCTCTTCTTTTTATACTTTATTCTACTACTGCTCTATCTGCAAATGTTCTGGTTTTCCCTAAATATGGGCAACCAGTAGTGCAGGGATAGCTGCTCACCTCTACCTACCAGCAGTATTAAGCTATCACAGGCCTCTGATTTCACTATACACTTTCAAATATGTCTTCACAAGGATAAGAGACCAGAAAGTTGTTTCTGTTAAATGAAACTCCATATACTCAGGGAGCTAAATTCTGTGGTCAGTATCATTTTATGTGCTTTCTTCATTCCCCTAGAACTAGGGCTTCAGGGTTTTAATTAGCTGCCTACACAGTACTTCATTACAGTGGTTCTTTTGAACAACTGCCTCTGATTGGAAAGCATCCTAAAATACATTGGAACAGAATCCAATGGTGTTTCAAAAACAGAAGCTTACTCATGTGTTACGCCAGCTATGCATTGAGGAGCTAATAGGAGTTAGTCCAAAACAAGAGCCCCAGGTTGGGCAATTCTGATCTAACAGAAAACCAATAGCCGTCAAGGGGTAAAAGCTAGCCAAAACAGACTTCCACACTGAGCCAGTCATAGGCTTGCATTGCAACATGTTGAACTCAGCTTGTAGTGACAGAGTTACATGCAGAGACTGGAAGGCAAAATCCATTTTCTTTTTCCTAAGTTTCTTTCCTCCAGTGATCACAAGAAGGAATACATTGGGTTGTCCTGTTTTATTCTCACAACCACTTAGCAGGATAAGGCAAAGCTGAAAAGACAGCAACTCACCATCCAGGACGATCTGGACTAAGCAGTGTCAACATTCCAAGTCCACCACTATATCTACCATACCACAAGCTTAATTTGGCCATTGAAGCAAGTTATCTGCTTCTAAATAGAATGCAACCCAAGAGAAACAAAAGCAACTCCTTGTGTCATCTTTAGAAGAATAAAACTGGGAGATGAGTAAAAATATACAGTAGCACCTATTGAGAAGCCTCAGCTTTTATCCTATTCTCTTTTAGCATAATTCCATAAAGACACAGAGATACATATGAGGAAATTACTACATGCAGCTCACACAGAACAAACTAAACAGTTCTTTGTATGCCCCCACAATATGCCTTTTTTATTCTTTCAGTTCATGGGCAAAACTGAAACTAGTAAACTGGACAAGAACCACACCCTAGACAATGTGTAACTAAAGAATATGACTCTAGTAGTGAACTTAAATTCAGTTTTTAAAAGTTACTTGTTCAAATAATAAATGTGAAAGATATTAATCACTGATGGAAATTCTGACAATGATAAGCCACTCAAGCAACAGAGTCCTTGAATATACATTTAAATTTAATAGCAAACATAAGCACTCTCCAATTTCTGCTATCTAACTGCAGTTCTGACACGACCATACAGTACATTCATTGCTTGTAAGTTCCGCTTGCCTCCATTCGGTCTTGTCTGGAAATACTAAAAGCTTTTATCAACTTATGCCGTTATGTTACCTGCAGCCATACCTAGATGGAAACAGCCTGGGAATAGTTACACATGCTCTAGTAACCTCTGATTTACATTACTGCAATTGGAAAGGGTCTGGAAACTGCAGCTGGTCCAAAATAGGACATCAAGGCTTTTGACTGGGATATGTTAGCGTGTTAATTATGTTATTGTTTTATCAGCTGTACTGTCTCCCAGTCAGTTTCTGGGATCAAAGTGCTGTTTTTAAATATTAGACCAGACATGGGAAACTTGTGGCCCTCCAGATGTTGGTGGCTTCCATTTCCCAGCACCTCAGTTAACATGGCTAACCAAAAGATCCCTCTCAGAGGTCCTGCTCAAGGTGCCTCCATTTAGACAGGCAGCAACCATGAACTGTAGAACACTCTATCCAGAGCGGCTCATGCAGGCCTAGCATATTCTTTATTACCGTTCTGGCACCAGGTAAATAAACTTCTATTTTCCCTGTGCCTTCACAAACAAAATGTGATTGTACTAATTATTTTTGTGGGTTTTATTTTATTTTTTGTCATCTGGCTTTAAGCTTGTCTCCACCAGAAATTTTAGACAGTATGCTGTTCTCTGATAGTATTTAAATTGCCGGACAGCTTGAGAATGTTATTGGGCAGCCTTATTTAAATATCCTTCATTTTCTGTCCTTTCACCTGGCTTTCCTCTGTGGCCAACGTTTTCACTTATGTTCTCAAAAGCTACAGCACAGGCACCCTGCTACACAAGAAACAACATAATCTTTTCGAACATAAGCCCTAGGAGTTCAATGGGACGTACTCCTAGGATGGCCACCAGAATGAATGTAATCTTTTGGGCATTATTCATAAGTAAACATGCTTTAAAAACTGGATGAAAATGATAACTTACTTCAATAGTACTTTTTAAAAGTACCATTTTAGTACATAGTACTGTATACTAACTGATGCAAGAATTGCATGTTTCCGTTCCTCACCCTCAAAATAAAGGGGGAACTATTCCCCCTATGCCTTCAACATTTCAAGGAAATTTACATTTCTCATCCTAAAAACAGAAAGACAAAAATTAAAAACATATTCTCGGTTGAGGACAAACTTTAAGCATTCCTTGGTTAGGATATTCCCTGCCATCTTCGGTTACACAACTAAAGGCCAGCTGTGTGGCCGGCAAAGTTGCTTAAATGTAAAATCAACACTCATTAAGTGTTTCAAGTATTTCAGGAATCACATTTGAAAGCCAATGAGGCTCCTTCCAAGATACCAGATGGCATCTTCTGTCTCGGACCACACACTTCACATCTGCAGAACCTCCTTAAATCTCTCTCTCTCTCTCTCACACACACACACACACACACCCCCTACCTCTGCATTCATTTCCGCTTTGCCCTTTCTGCTGTCGTCACTACGGCCTCCACCCAGACCAGAGAAAACAAAACAGGCCGCCGGTCCAACTCCAGGACCACCCTGGGGCCAAACTACCCCATGTTGTAAGAGACCAGGACAGGCAACCCCACCCCACCCCACTTCCTGCGAGACGCAGCAGAGAAAGGCCAAGTGGCCTTTTCTTAATGGCAAGGATACATTTCCGAGGAGAGGGTTCCCTCCAGCCCTGGTTCCCGCCGTACCCGCCGCCGCCGCCCCCTCCCCCACCTCCCCCGGGGGGTCTTCCCGGGGGGTTTCCTCCTCGGCTCCTGCCCCATCGGCCCCCGCCCCGAAAAGGCCTTCCTCGGAAGCGGAAGCGGTCCAGGGCGTTGTGGCTGCGCTCCCAGAAGGAGAGCCTGGGGCCGGAGTCCTGGTGCGAGCCGGGCGGCAGCCGCGAGCACGAAGACGACGGAGGCGGCGGCTGCTGCGGGTGCGGCCGGAAAGGTTCCTTGAGTCGGTAGCCGCCTCCTCCTCGGCCATGGAGGTGCCCGAGCTCAGGGGGAGGCTGGTGGCGCAAGTGGGAGAAGCGGCGAGACGAGGAGAGGAGGAGGCTGTTCCGCAGGTCGGGAGGCGGCCTACGCCTGGCGTAAGGGCCCTTGGTGGTGGTGCCTCCGCCGCCATCTCTACTGCTGGGCTCCGGAGGCCCGCTGTCGTTGTTGTCGTCGTCGCTGATTTCCCCGTCCTCCAGCTCCCCTTCCTCTCGCGGAGAGAGGTCGCTCGAGGCCGCCGCCGCCGCCTTCCCCTCAGGCGCAGGAGCCGCCATAAGGGGGTTTACTCAGCCGCTCACCGACGCGGCAGGGAGCGGCTTCGAACTGACGTGCACGCGAGCGAGCGCACCGTTCACTTTCGGTTCCTTGGCCGTGTGCCGCCGCGGCCCAGTCAGACCCCAAACTTGTACGCGAGACACCACCCTTTCCCCGTTTGCTGGCGCCTGCTCTCGCGAGAGCTCAGCTCCGGCTTCTCTCGCTCGCGCTCTCCCGCTCCCCCTCCCCACCGTCGCGCTTCTCTTTCCTCCGAGAAGGGGCAGCGAAAACATCACAAAGGGGACGTCGAACGGCATGATGGGAGTTGTAGTCCTCCGCTATGTGTCGGCAATGGGCAGCGGTGGGGGTCGCCTGCCTGTTCAGCAGCAAGTTCTACACAGCAGAATGAGAAATAACGGTGCTTTTACAGTAGAAGTTTAAAGAGAAAGGGCTGGTTCTAGAATTGTATCCCCTCAGAGCGGCCGTTTCAGTGGACAGTGAGGCGACTCCTTTGGGGCGCAGCAGGGTCGTCACAAACGCCGCTCGTGACGCTTAGAGTGAATCTAGGCCCCAAGCGACTCCGCTGCCGTAAGATGTGGTATCAGATTCACAGAGGGTGAGGTTATCGATAGGGAACGAGGCAAAGATGGCTCTAGGCTGCCTCCAATATCAGAGGCCCCTTTCCGTTGACCCGCTTTCGGAGAATACTGAAGACGCGCCTCCTTTCCCTGACCTTTGACACCGTTTTTTTTTCGGGATCCACCCTACTGTTACTTAACTGTTTTTTTTTATTTTGAAAAAAATTAAATGGTTGCAGCCTGCCCTGGGAACTGCTGCTGAAGGCCAGGTAATCAAACTTAATCATAATAATTAAATAACAGAAAGAACACTAGGAGACAGCTGTTGTTGCCCTCATCGCTTCATGGTGGGGAATCCCATAAACATCTGGCTCTCCACTGTGGGAAATGGGATTCCAGGCTACAAAGGCTTTGGTGTAATCCAGTAGATTTTTGTGTGTTTAGGATAAAGCAATCTAGAGAAATGGTTGTCGTTCTCCAGTGAGGCGGCTACCAATGATGGTGGTGATAATAATACTTTGTTATTTATCCCTCACCCATCTGAAAAAGTTCTGAAGTTGTTATTTTCAAGAGGCGTATAAGGTCATCTGGAATAATTAAAAAGCGTCAGCTGTCAAGCTACAAGACCTCAGTGTAGCTCATACTACTTTTGTCGTTTTCCAAATACACACACGAGTTTTGTGGCACTTTAGCAAATATTGTATGGGGAAGGATCCTCTGCTTCAGTCACTCGGCTAAGTGGCTTACATGGCAGAAGCCCTTTGATGCTACTGCTATACGAGGTAGGCTGACACAACTGTGCAGATACACCAATGCAACGCCACTATGTTGACACAACTCCAGTGCAGCAGCCACACAGTGTGGAGACATTGGCAGGACAGGGAGGAGCAGACCTTGAACGTCTTGAATGTGCCCTCAACAATGGCAGAATTTACACAGCCCATAATGCTGGTCTAAGGAAAATTTCTTCCATTCACTTTGGTAGAAACAGGAGGGGGATCACTACCTACCCACATTGCCTTGATAGATTATAAGCAGGCTGGATCCCTAGATCCAAAGTGTAGGCTAAACAGGAGAGAGCCCCCAGCAGAGTTTAAAACCACAAAATCACACAGTGCAGTGAAGCATGAGGAATATAGGCTTTTAGACCTTTTGCTTCCCCTCTCTACCCCTCTCTCAATGAACAGAACACACTGCTAATAAGTTTAAATACTTTACTTAACAACAAAGATCAGATTCATGCGTTATTCCATGCAGCAGCAAGAACACAGGTAGAAAATTATTGTGTTACAAAATACAGAAAAAAATATTTCTGAGCACGCGGTCTGGACTTGAAGCAGTCGAGTTTAAGTTGAGTGTACTAAAGAACAGGAGATGGAAGATGAGGCTGGTTGAGTGTCTCATGCTTCACTGGACAACTTAAAGGTACAGCGTCAACAGGGCTGCCATCAAGGGTCAGCAAGGTCAGGCACCTGCTGAGGATTCACAGCCCAGCAAGGGGCCCTTTAACAAGAGCCCCCTGGATCTGCTACAACAAAGTGGTAGCCTCACCAAGGGAGAATGTCTTGCTAAAGTGCCCTCTGAAACCTGAAGTTGACAGTGAGCATCAGTCTTAAGCTAGGGTAATGTTTTGGAAACACTGCAATGCTATTCATGCTCCAGAAACAGTACATTCCACTGAACACAGTTTGACTTACTTTTGAGTAAACATGCATCCTATGAGCTTGTAATTTAATTTCATTTTCTAAGAATTGTCCTTTTAATCCTGGGATATGCATATAAAAAATAATTTTTAGAACTGAAACCTGCAGCGGAATATTTTTACTGTTCTCCTAAAATGTACAATTGGTATCCTTTTGGTATATCATTCTAGATACTGATTGGACTGTGGGAACCTGATTAACGATTTACTTTATTTTGCAAAACACGAGGAACAAGTTTCTCCTTGTTTAAGGAGAATGCTTATGAGACAAAGAAGAACTTTTCAACTAGAGCAATCCTATGTCTGAAAGAATGTCATACCACATACTGGACACTCTGCAGCAGAGATGTCTAAAATGTACCCAAATCTTATGTTAGCTCTCTTTTCCTTTGTTATCAGTTAGTATCAGTTTCTGCTTTACATCATTATCTAATAGAGAAAAGGAAAGTGTTTGCTCAGAGGAAATATTTGAAGTTAGTGACAATTAAGTAGCAAGCTACTGTGTGCTTCCTGAATTGGATGTGTTTAGATAAAGTGGCAAGGACCATTTTAAATTTCAGAAAATCACATACAGTACAGTATGTAGTTCTAACCTGCTTAGTACATTCCACTGAACTCACTGGGCCTTACATCTGGAAAACCCTTCTTAGTTTAATGCTGCATGACTGTACTTAGAAGAGAGCTAAGTCGCATTAAACCAGGCTGATTTGCTGTTTCAGGCAAAACAGAAACCTATGGCAAATGTATACCCTCCAACATTTCTCCAATGAAAATAGGGACATCCTATTCAATAATAATAATAATACTAATAATTTTTTTATTTATACCCCGCCCATCTGACTGGGTTGCCCCAGCCTCTCTGGGCAGCTTCCAACATATATATTTTTTATTTTTTAAATTCCCTATAGAGGGCTGCCTTCAGATATCTTCTAAAGGTTGTATAGTTACTTATTTCCTTGGCTCAGGGGTCGCATAGATCCATACCCTCCAACGTTTCTCTGATGAAAATAGGGACATCCTAAGGAAAAGTGGGACATTCTGGGATCAAATCAGGAAACAGGACGGCTTCTGTAAATCTGGGAGTGTCCCTGGAAAATAGGGACCCTTGGAGGGTCTGCAACAAGGCAACCCAGGGAAGCTCCAGCATGCTGAAGGAGGCAGAGGAGAAAAAAGGAAGCTGGAGAGGAGCAGGCCGTGGCGGAGGGGTGAATGGAGGAAGAGGAGACAAGTACAGGAGGCAGTGAACGCCATGCTCCTCAAGGCCTGGATCTGCTACCCTTCCCAGCTGACCCCAGCCTGTTGCCTGAGGTGGTGACTGCCTCATCTAGGCTCATGATGGGTTGGCCCTGCATTAAACACAGTGGTGCTTACTTCTGAATAAGCATGTGTAGAATCTGCCTTATAAATATTAAGCGAACTGTGGTATTGGTTGGCACCTTCCTGTATTTCATTGCTGATAAAAGACACTGGGTGGGTGGATCCCTGAGGTTGAAGGAGGAGAATGCCTGCACAGGCAGGGCTTTGCTGTGAAGCTTGAGGCTTAAGCACGCCCTGACTTCTTGCATTTCTCAGTGCTGTTCCGTCCCCCAACAAAATGAGTCGTGAGAAAATTTAAGTTCTGCAGCACATAGTAGCTGAAACAAGGCGAGTGGAACTAATTTTCTGTGGGTGAAAAGAACGAGCCGGAAAACCTATCCCACTACTCCATCAAGATACTGCTGGTGGCTGCTTAGTTAATATGCTACTTTTGATATTTTCTCAGGATTTCAACCTGTGGTTTTGAGTTACTTTTTTTACCTTCATCTTCTACTCCCTGAATTCATTCTCTGGAACAGGTAAGGAATACTGATTAATTCCCACGCTTTCAGTGTAGTGGCTTATTAATTTCTTGCTATATATTTTGTTTTTAAGTATCATATTTTAATGCATTCTGTGGAATCCTTTGAAAACATTCCTTCTAACACAAGCTGTGTACACACTATACAGTACATTGGGAGCACATTCTTTCCCTCAGTGAATTCTGGGCACTGTAGTTCCCCTCATAGAGTTACAATTCCTAGCAGCCCTTTGTAAACTACAGTGCCCAGAAACCTTTGCAAAGTCCAGCAGTAGTAATGAAAGACAACACAATGTTGCTGCTAGCGTTCTGGGGGAAGCAATTACCAGATTAACTCCCTTGATGTTCTTTTAATCCTCATCTGTGCCTGTTGCTTGCAGACCAACTGTAGCCTGGTAGGTTGCTCAGACTATTTAGGAAGCTTCCTAGAAACATTGGTAGATTTGGGATCAGATGTTCATGTATTTTGGGAGAAAGTCTCTAGGCTAGCACTGCTTGTCAGACTTGCTTTTGTTGTTGCTGTTGGGAAGCCACTTGGATTACCTCAGCCTTTGCCAATCTAGTGACCTCCAGAAATTTTGGACTGCAGCTCTCATCAGCACCAGTCAGTATGGTCCAGGATGATGGAAGTTGTAGTCCAGAGCTTCTGGAGGGCATCTTGTAGGCAAAGGCTGGTCTGCCTGGTTACTCAGCCTTAGAATGTTGGAAACATTCTTGCATAGAGTTTTGGTCCAGGTTTGACTGTCCATTGAAGTCCCCAGTAGTGCTGCACTGTCCCAAGGTATTTTGCTGCCTAAAGCAGAGCTCAGATGTCTCCACCAGCATTTTCCCTAGGGCTAATCCATTTAAATGTGTTGGTGAATTTTTTAAACACCACTTTCTACTTTTCTTTGTGCACCCCATCTAAACCAGATCGCTTCACCTTGCTAGTCAGCAGGACTGGCATTGGTTCCTAGAGTATCCTATCCTATAATGCAGGTTTTAGGAAACTTTGAACCTCCACATGTTGCCAGACTACAACTCCCATCATCTCTGTCCATTGGCCATGCTGGCCGGTTGATTAGAGTTGTAGTTCAGCAACATCTAGTGCACAATCAGCTGAGGAGCTGCATGTGGCCCCTAACCTCATTTTATACACCCTCTAATGCTTCTCAAAGGTGCCCCATTCTTCCATCATTGGATCAGTTACTGTTTGTTTCCTCCTTGTTTTTTCTTGGTTTTGAAAGTGTTTTTTCCTCTCCTCTTTTTGTATAGTTTCAGAAGAACTGGAATGCGCTGTATTGTGTTTGATCAAAATTAATTTATTCCTTTTTTAAAAAATTGCTGATTGTATGGGTTAGGAAAAGTAAGTTGACAACAAATTGGAAGGCTTTTGGCACGTGTGTTCTCATAGCTAGGGGTGTGGGAGAAGTTCAGGTCACTTCATATTTTCAGGTGTGCATATCAAATTTGCACTTTCCAGAACAATATATAAACCAAACCACAGCCATCCTTTGAAACTTGTAATACAGTTGTCCAGCTACGTAATGTGTTACAAAAATGAATATATTTCTGTGAGGGTACATAAAAAGGCATATTTCTGTGAAAATAACATGCAAAATGCATTCTCTCAGTATATTAGGGAGAATGCTTTGCAAAAATATGTTTATTAGGTAAAAATGCATTAAAAATGTATCGAGAGAAATTCACAATAACATGTTGATGAATTTTCATGTGAATTTCATGAGAAATTGTTGCAGAAATGTGGACAACTGAATTTTAAGGTTGGAAAAAGGAGAGAACCAAAATTGGCAGAGCCATCCATCTTTGCCTGTAGCACAATCAATTCAGAAAGGGATTACTTCAGAAAAGGATGAAGCCTACCACATTTCAGAATGGTAGCAGCCGGGTTCTCCTACAAAGGTAGATTTTACCATTTTGTGGTTGGTACAATAGGCATGCGGGGCAGTGGAGAAGAAAAGAACATGGATTCCCACGAAAGGCTGAGGTGGGATAAAGATCACCCCCAACAATTACCCTGTCACTTCAAGAGCTGTAGATGGGTATGGACTTATATTCCCCACTATCGATTTTTGGGGAAACAGCTTTTCCCTACAAGAGAAGTTTCTCCATTGACACCCATAACGAAATAGATCCTTGTGAAAGGCACACATGGTTTTTAATTCCTCCCCCAAATCACTGGAATTGGAGTGACATGCGAAAATAATTCACTATGGTTAGAAGCTAACTCTAACTCTAAACCAGGCACCCCCAAACTCGGACCTCCAGATGTTTTGGGACTACAACTCCCATCATCCCTGACCACTGGTCCTGTTAGCTAGGGATGATGGGAGTTGTAGTCACAAAACATCTGGAGGGCCGAGTTTGGGGATGCCTGCTCTAAACCTTAGGCAAAAGGGAAAGGAGGCAGATTGGGAGCCAACTCCTAGGAACTCCCTTTACCTCCCCCATAAAAGCTGATAGGCATTGCCATTCAAGTGGTGTGTGCATCCACCAAGTATTCTGATTAATTATGTGGGGCAGGATTTACCTGCCCCCCCCATTTTTATATTCAGGTTGGTACCCCTACTTAAAGCTGCTTACTTAAAGCAGTTGTTATCAATAAAATGTGCACTTATGTGCTCAGGACAGCAAATCATTTCCTTGTGCAATTTAGGGAGATGTCTCTCTGGATAATAATGCCATTGGATCATATTCAGAGCCAATTTAAAAGAGTGTTGCATTATGCATCACAATTAGCATGCTCAAATCTGCTTCAAAGAAAGATCAGAGCTAATCTACTAAAAGCTTATCCCTGGTAAGGGTTTCAAAAGCAATGCTGGGATGCCTTCTGCTGTGGAATGCTTATTGGAAGAGATACTCAATTTCAAATATAATATGCTTCTAGTGACTTAAATTCAGTCAATGGAAATTTTCCATTTGATTTACCTACATGGGAGGATATTAACTTCATTTATTTAAATGATCATGAATGTATAGGTCAGGATGGCCCACTTTTCATACCGAGTGGGCTGCAATAGTACTTTGGCATGGAACCCATGGGCTGCACACTGCTTTGTATCGCAGGGCGGGGGGGGGGGGGGCAAGGCTAAAATTTGACACACACACCAGCCCTTGCAAAGCCTACTGCACCAGGCATTGAGAAGGAGACATGAGACTCTGGCAGGTCCAAGAGCCCTCCCACCTCCTTCCCAAAGCTGGGGAAATGCTAACTAGGCTTTGGGAAGGAGGCAGAAGGACTCTAGGACCCTGTCAGCGCCCTCATGCCTCCCTCCTAAAGCCTGGCATCTCATTTTACCCGGCAACAAATATTGCCAAAAAGGCGCAGCCCTCCGGCTATATGGAGGTATTCTTGCACCAATTTGTTTTAATGATTATACAATAAGCCTGATTCATCTTCTGCTTAGAACACTTGCACTACCCACAAATTTATGCCAGACAGCACCTTCAAACATACCTTAGTTAAGCAGATGAAAGAAAAACTGTGTACAGCCTTTCATATGGTAGAACCAGTTAAGTGTTTTTCACATGTCTCACCATATAGCAGAGTGGCTAACCTATGACACTCCAGATTGCATTGGATTACAACTCCCATGATTGCTGACCACTGGTTATGGTGGTTGGAACTGATGGGAAGTAGATCCCAAAAACTGTTCTCTACCACTGCCGCACAAAATTTTTCCATGTTGTTGCAGATGAAGTTATACATGCAGCATGCTTGCTTTCTGTGCTGTAGGGAGCCTGTGATATTACCAGACTCCAGCTCCCATCATCATCAGCCAGAAGTGGTCAGGAATTATGGGAGTTATGTCCCAGGAATATCTGAATGCCCACAGGTCTCTCACCCCCTCCAGTGCCTTAAAAGAGCTATTATTTCAAATATTGCAAAATAAGACTGCTGAGAATGTGGTTAGACACTTTCATTTCAAAAGTACAACTTACACACAAACACGATGACGTTTGGCAAATGAACCATTGACATATACTCCACTCTCAGATCACCCTCAACTTGCCTGAGGGCAAATAAAGAAAACATTCCAGTCAAAGTGTGTACCTTGCCACATTTGAGGTGCTTAAAACTCACTGGGACAGCCACATGGCACTTAGGAAGGCCATGAAGCCCTGAGCCAAAGCTGCCATGGGAAGCTGCAGCCAGATGGACAGTGTACCAATACAATCCCCATTTTGTCCTGTTTGCTTACAACACCACTTACAAGCACCAGTAACAAAGGCTTTGTCCAAAGCAAAACGTGCAGAGCAGGGGCAGGGCACCATGTTCAGCTCAAGCAGCACCTTCTGAGAGACAGCTTTCCAGTCATAGGCGCAGCCAGAGGCCCCAAAGTACAGACCAACAACTGAGAATTTTACCTTGATACATTAGGTTTCTTCCCAATGAGGCTGTGTACGCACCATGCCTTTAAATGCATGCCGAATAATATTGAGAACTATGATTGCCCTCAGAGCCACAATTCCCAGCACCCTTAACAAACTACAGTTCCCAGGAGTCTTGGTGGGGATATGCTTTGAATATGCTTTAAAGGTATAGTGTGTAGACAGCCAGGGTTGTAGCTAGGTGGGTGCAGCTGGGGCGATTGCCCCGGACGCATTTTGGGCGGGGGACATGCTTCTCATGCCACCTTCCCCAAGCCAGCCCTGTGTGTGTTTGTGAGGGTGGATCTGATCAGATCCCAGCCTCGCAAAGCTGCTCGGGGAGGGCAGCAAGAGAAGGACCCCAGCCTTGCCAAGGCTGGGATCGAAGGGTGTGTGTCTGTTGTGTTCTTCTCACTCGTCCTCCCCGGGTGGCTTCGCGAGGAGTGTTTACATGGTGGGGCACAGAGGGCAAATGGAGCCCACTGCACCAGGCCAGCTCTCACCACTGAAGCGAGCCGCAGCTCCATTTGCCCTCCATACCACGCACCTTTCGATACTGGGATTGAAGGATGCATAGCTGTTGCACGTTTCTCATTCTGCCCTTCCCTGAGCTCTCTGGCTAGTCAGGCTCCTTCGCCCTCCTTCACCTGTCCCAGGCACCATGGGAACATGCTCTGCCGCTGTTCACAGCCTGACACGACTTCCCTATCCTCCATCCAGGAAAGCAAGAAGCAGTATCAGAGTACAGTAATTAGTGACAGCCTAGCCGCCCACAGTGATGTATGATGTTAAACCACAAGAAGAAGCAGCCACTATATGTTCAAAAAACTAGAACAATCTTATCAGTGTAATCTTAAGCATGTCTACTTGGAAACAAGTCCAAACTGAATTCAATTAAACTTACTCCAATGCAAATGTGTACACGTCAGGACTTGAGTCAGGTGTAGATCAGCAGCATAAACAAAGCACCCAAGGCCAGTGAAGTTAATTTTCCTTGGTCTGGCCCCAGTGAAGCTGTTGTGAGGTCTGAAGGTCCCCGCCTTCCCACCACTCTCTAAGGCTCCTCCCCTCCAGAGTTTTCCCCACACATTGTCAAACTGCGCTCACAACTGTTTTCTGTTCTTTTCATTTCTCTGTGCATTCTTGGAACCCAGGGGACGGAGACTCCTTGGATTCTTCAGCAGCCTCTTGACCCCGCCCCCCCGCCTCTGCTTCAGCCTCAAAGTCTGAACTGCACTCTGCCACAGCTTCTTCATGTTCACTAAACCCTGTCACCTCTCCTGCAGCTGATACCTCCTCCTCCCAGTCAGCTCCTTCTCCCTCTGACCACTCATCGTTGTCCCACCACTAATCCCCAGCCTCTGAGCCTTCCTCCCCTTGGTGTTCCCTAGGGTGTTTCCCGGCTGCTGCCTCCCACCACTCCTCTGCATCCATCCAGTCCATGACAGTACAGAATTACATTCTAAACCAGCAATGCATCTCTTAATATATTCTTAAATGGACCTTCACCCTCCCCCATCCATTCAAATCTTAGTCACTTGATGGTCAGTCATGTGTTTCTATCTTGCTGACTTTGGGTGGAAAGCAGTGAGTCACCATTTGTACTTAGTTGTTTATTAGTATGCACGGCATATCTCTGCCCTGTAATGTGGCAAATTGTTCGATGTAGTTTATATTAAATATTTTAAAAGTGCATAATGTGCAAAAAAAAGGCTGCTATTAAATATCTAAGCTCTAGGCCCACACTTTTATAGAGAATGAATGGTACATGAGTAGAATCACATCTACCCAGTGTTTGCTCTTTCGTGAAAGTAAGTCTGAGTTAAATATTTTAGGGCCTACTTCTAAGTAAACCTGGTTAGAATCAGATAACAATATGGAAGCATGATCAGATGCAGATAGTCTGTGGGAGCTCACTAAAAGACTTCAAAATGTAATAAGGAAAACACATTATGTTAGATGATGATCAGGATCTTTCACTTTTTATTAATCAATAACAGCCATGGGTGGGAGGGAACTTGAGGATCCCATCCTTTCCCTTTGTGGAGCAAATAACAACTGGATGGGATGGGTCTCATTTAGTTTGACCAAGTACATAATTTTTTAAGGCATTGTTCCCTTCAATATTAGAACTGCCATCAATATTACTAGTCTATGGAATTCATACAATATCCAACTGATATAAATGCACCCTCCCCCAATTAATTTTAATGGTTCAGTACACGCATGATGTGCTATAAGGATTAATCAGCTTTACAAGAGCAGGACAGTTTTATGAATAAGTGAGCTCTTTTATTAAATGGAAGTTTATATGCACAATAAATCCCTTTAACACAGGATGCCTACAAAGCAATCCAGATTTCCCTTATCTCACTCAGGTTAATTTGGAGCAATCCTTGTCAGCTTTGTAGCTCTGTTCTTAAACCCATTCTTCCATATAATATTTCTCGCTCTACTGCTTAAACAAACATAGTGACTGATTTATATTAAAGACGCTCAGAAATAGGCCGGTGGTTAAGATACTGACAGTCACTGACTTCCCAGTCTTGAAAAGACAATGAAGTAATAAAATCCAAAGATGTTATTTCAGAAATGGTAATTCTACAAGTATAGAAGTAATTCTGCCGGGGGGCGCGGGGATTGAACCATAACATTCTAACATCAAGAAACATATGAAAGGTAGGCATGAAAGCCAAATTGTTTTGAAAATAAAAAAGCTTCCTGGCCGAAGTAAGATATTTTGTATCCAGTTACAGCATTTTAACCCAGTACAGTGGTGCCTTGGTTTATAATCCATTCCGGAAGTCCGTTCTTAAACCGAAACCATTCTTAAACCGAGGTGTGCTTTCCCTAATGAGGCTTCCCACCGCCGATGCCCTTCCACCTTTCGGCTTCTGTTTTTAGACCGAGGTAAAGTTCGCAAACCAGGACACTACTTCCAGTTTTGTGGAATTCATAAACTGAATAGGTCGTAAACAGGGCTGTTCTTAAACCCTATATCCACTGTATCCCTGAAGTACCGTATTTTTCGCCCCATAGGACGCACCGCCCTATAGGACGCACCTAGTTTTTTGGGGGGGGAAATAAAGAAAAAAAAATTATTTCCCCCCCAGGCACGGGGCTGGTGCGGGGGAAGCCCGAGCTTCCCCCGACCCCAGAAGAGCCTGCTATCCGCAAGCCTAGGGAGCCACGCCGGTGTACCCAGGCTTGTGGACAGCTGTGCAAAGCCCGGGCGTGCTGAGGCTTCCTAATGCAGGCAGCTCTGTGCAACCCTTCGGAGCCCGGCGCGGCTTGGCGCCGGGCTCCGGAGGGTTGCGCAGAGCTGCGCGGACCCCGGGAGGGCAGGCAGCTCTGCGCGACCCTCCGGAGGCCAGTGCGGCTTGGCGCCGGGCTCCGGAGGGTTGCGCAGAGCTTCCTGAAGCCTGGAGAGCGAGAGCCTCTCGCTCTCCAGGCTTCAGCGAAAGCCTGTATTCGCCCCATAGGACGCACCCACATTTCCCCTTCATTTTTGGAGGGGAAAAAGTGCGTCCTCTAGGGCGAAAAATACAGTATTTTAAAGTAGCTAGACTCCCTTTTTCCTATTTGCACCTGTGTTTTTAAATGAAACTGGAAGCAGTTGTAATCTCATGTACAGTTAGCACGTTCCACTGAATTCCATGTGCCTTTTTTCAGAGTATGTGCATAGAATCGGACTGTAAATGTCTTTTGCATGGCAGACAAAAAATAATGTGGGAAAATATTAATTGTGAGTAATATGCATAGGTACATAGGATACTTCTTAGTAAGCTTTAACTGGCTTCCTTTCATCAGCATATTTTAACAGAGCACAGGTTCTTTGAAGCTTGCTCTCTGTTTTATGGAGTTGTGTTAACTCAGGATATTTCAGGTCAACATTCCAGTCTTTGGGAAGGGCCTATAATAACATGCGTTCTGAACATCTGTCTTTTTAAGGGACTTATCAAGAAAATATTTTAAAATACTACACTTTCCATTCTGAATGTGTTTCTTGTAAGTCTCACTGATTTGAGGATTTACCCCCCCCCCTTATTTTTGAGGGAATGTGCTTAAGATCACAAATGTGATAAAGCGGTAAATCCTAGCATGTAATGCAAACAATCAGGTTGTGGAATTACCTCCCCTCTGAGATGCATCTTATATGCTTTTCAATGATTGGTCAATATGTGTTTCCTTATCCAGGCCTTTTGCTGAATTGAAGTATTCCCTTCTCCTGTGTTCATAAGCACTGCTGCCCTGTTATTTTGTCACTGGTTTCGCTATTTCATCTTTTTAATGTAAATTACATTTCTTTTAATTGTGACATTTTTGTAACCTATCCTGGGATGAAATACAGACTGAGAGTACAGTATAATAAAAAAAAAAATTTCAATAGCCTGATAATGAAGCCTCTCTATTTTCCTATACTTGGAAACACTTGTTTCTTTTTCCTACATTAGAATAGGAAAAACTGTGGTAAGGATGTCATACAAAGACCAAGAGAACTAAAGTTCAAATTCCTCCCTCCTATCTAAACTTTCTCTCAGTTTAACTAATCTTCACAACAATCCTGGGAGGTTGAATCCTGGGAGTGCGGAGGACCATGCATACCCCACACCCTGAACTCCTCGAAAGAAGGGCAGCGTAAAAATGTAATAAATAAATAGTGGACATTTCTAAAATATCCCTACATGATCTCCCTGTACTAAAGGAACTGAAAGGCAAGAGCTGATAGGGCTTTGCAGGTTTTTTATTAAACATGAAAACAGAGTGCAATGGTCTTCAGTTGAGTGTAAGGACTAGCATAAGAAGCAGGATGCATTCTCCCTTGTTATCCAATTGGGAAAGTGAGCAAGGAGTGGGGAACAGAATGGGAGAGTATTATAACAAGAAGTATGCTTTCTTAAGGGTTCTGATCATAGTGCTTAATCTGCTCCAGTGCATGCCTTTTGAAAGGCTGAAGCTCCATTGAGCATTGCTATTTATTTCGATAGAAGTCTTGCAGACTTCAGTGGGGCTTCTGGCCTGGCAAATGTGCATAGGAACGCACTCCTACACCTGTGTTCAAAGCAATGTAAAGGCATTTCATGAGAGTAGATACCGCACCACTAACTTCAAGGGAAGTAATAGTGCCACTGTATTCTGCTCTGGTCAGACCTCACCTGGAGTACTGTGTCCAGTTCTGGGCACCACAGTTCAAGAAGGACACTGACAAACTGGAACGTGTCCAGAGGAGGGCAACCAAAATGGTCAAAGGCCTGGAAACGATGCCTTATGAGGAACGGCTAAGGGAGCTGGGCATGTTTAGCCTGGAGAAGAGGAGGTTAAGGGGTGATATGATAGCCATGTTCAAATATATAAAAGGATGTCACCTAGAGGAGGGAGAAAGGTTGTTTTCTGCTGCTCCAGAGAAGCGGACACGGAGCAATGGATCCAAACTACAAGAAAGAAGATTCCACCTAAACATTAGGAAGAACTTCCTGACAGTAAGAGCTGTTCGACAGTGGAATTTGCTGCCAAGGAGTGTGGTGGAGTCTCCTTCTTTGGAGGTCTTTAAGCAGAGGCTTGACAACCATATGTCAGGAGTGCTCTGATGGTGTTTCCTGCTTGGCAGGGGGTTGGACTCGATGGCCCTTGTGGTCTCTTCCAACTCTATGATTCTATGATTCTATGAACTCACAGTCAGTTTGAGTTATATCCAATGTTATACATACTTAATTCCACTGATTTCAGTGGGTCTATTTTGGGTATGTGACTTAGTCTCGTTAGTACTATGCACACTATGTTAGTGTACTATTCCCTTCAAGTCTCAGAGTTCCCTCGGAAGAAGGACTGGTAGTTAAACCATTCTGAAAATTGTAGCTCTGTGATGGGCACAGCAGTCTCTTGACAACTCTCAGCATGCTAAACAAACTACAGCCCCCAGGAGTCTTTGGGGGAAGCCATGTCTGATTAAAGTAGCATGATGCTACTTGAAACGTAAAGTGCCATGGTTGATTATCACTTATTATTTGCATTAAATTTAGTTTGCTGTGATTTCTGAGGACTTCATCAAGGTTATGGATCTTAACCACATCTTCTGAAAGCTCATTCAAAATCAATGGGAGTTCCAGGATATATGTTGAAAAATAGGAGAGTAATATTTATAGATATTAATTTCTGAATGCCTTAAAAAGTTAGAAGATGTTCAGAACACATGAGATGACATGCTTACTATTTAATACTTTCTTTTGCTTAAGGTTTTAATCCCACATTTCCACCACAATGACTTTCAGGTTGGCTTGCAAATTCTCCTGTCTAAACTATTAACTTTAAAACGGTTCAAGTAAACAAGCTTAAGAACTGATAAATGACACACAAAATAAGCCAGTAGATTAATTGCTATTTAAAAGGACAGACAAATAAAAACAGCAAAAGCAAAAACAATAGCACTGTATTAATAAAAAATGGTTCTGAAGACTTAAGCTGCAGTCTTGAGAGCTAAGCTTACCTGCATATTTTGTAAGCGGTGTGTCAAGGATGCAGGGTTATCTGGAAATTATAAAAATGCTTTGGAAAAGCAGAACCTCGTCTCCTACCCCATCTTGAAGTCTTTAAACCACACCTCATCCCGATAATTAAAATACACTCCCTAGTAATTTTCTTGTCTGCAATTCATGTATACCTCTCTGAAATACACTTTTTATTGGCTGTTTTGCTGACACTGTGATATACTATTTTGTCATATTCTTGCTGAGGTTGACAAACTGGCATGATCTGCTGTCATATGGAGCCTCTGCTCTTGGTGCTAAACCATGTTTTCTATTCCCAGAAATAATATTTGGAGATATCAGTCCCACACTCATGGTTTTCTTTATTTTCAGTTTTCTGCTGAAGCCGTGATTCCTTCCTACATATAATACAGCTTTTCCTGAGGCTCAGCATAAATTAAATGATGAGTAGGGTTTATTTCTAGCATTTGTCACGTCAATCAGTTTATTTATTTCTATCCTGCTTTTTTGCAATACAGCCGCACTCAGTGTTGCTGCATTTTACAACAAATGAAAGCACATCATAGCTAAAGTAAAAACTGCATCCTATCTAAAGCAGTGGCACACATGTGACACTATACTTAGGATTTGCCTGGAAGACCAGTTTGTTAAAAATACCTTGATTAGAGTGCTGAGGAGGACAAACAACCCAAGCACATAACTCCCATACTTAAAAACTTGTATCAGCTACCAATATGCAACTTCAAGGTTTGTGTATTAATTTATGTATTACTGATTTTGGCCCAAGATCCCTTAAGGACCACCTTATGCTTCTATCCCTGTCCCATCATTGAGGTATTATGGGGAGTTTACATTAGTGGCTCCCCAGGGCTCAGTCACATGGCTTGAATCTACCAGGAGCTGTGCATTCAGTATTGTGGGCCCAATTCTGTGAAACTTAAATGTTTAAGTAATTGTAATGGAGGGATGTGGGGTTTTTTGTAGCCTCGTTGCATATTGCTTAGAGACTATGGTATCAAGCACTATATAAATAGTTGAAATATTGCTCTAAAGTAGTGTTTCAAACAAATCCAGTAACTATTTCATAGCAACCACTCAACATCCATCAATACAATAATTCAAATATAAATGCTAACTCAATAATTAGTAATATTACCAATACAAATAGTGCATAATATAACTGCAACGTTTCAAAGCCATTCGTTTCATAACTGCAATATAATTCAGTTCAATAACAACTACCATGGCAAAAATAAATAAAAACCTTATAGGTTTTCTTATCAAGTAAGCAATATGCAAATGTTGTTAAATAAATAAAACATTGCTTCTACAATAATTTCCACAGAGCACAATAAAATATAGAGTGCACAATAACAGAGTGCAGTACAAATAAATATTCAACACTCCAAATCATAGGGAGTCCAGGGGAGATAACCTTGACAGCCGTATAAACTTAGCTTTAAGCAGCAATTCATAAAAGGAATAAATTCCCATTCAAAATGCCTTCCTCCTATCCTCTGCTATTATAATTGGAAGTCTTATATTCTGTACCAAGAGGGGGAAATCATAGTACAAGTGAAGGCCTTGCCTCTCATCTGCAGTACCATACCATTTATCCCTCATTCACACCTTGACCCTTCTCCTTTTCTTATTTTCTTTCACCGGAGGGGCTCAAGGGAAAATCCCCTCCCAGCACACTTGTCACCTCACACCCAGTTACCCTGGCAACTTTCCAAATCCCCAGTCTCTGTTCACACCTCAAGAGGTGCTCTTGCATTGCCAATGACCCTCAATGGTCCTATGACCAGGTCGTTGTTTTTTTTGGATAGGCTAGCTCAGGAATTCCTCTGCAGTATTTCTCCCTTCATATCCCAAATAATCAAAATCCTACCGTTTATTAATTTCTAGGGTTTAGCCGCCACCCCCCAAAACCCCATGACACCATATTTGTCCACCATTATTGCCATAGACATGAAAGAGTGAAGGTTATAAGGCATATTTTGAATTTTGGGAGAGTGCTGGGGGCACCAGTCACAAAATAGATGCCATGGGGGACGCAGCATAATACAAAATTAGAAAGTGTACAGCCATGGTGAAGCTTTCCTAATATTTGCCATAATAGCAAATACTTAACCTGTTGAATTTCTGCCAGCTATACTGCTGTTACAAAGCACACAAACCTTGTTTTTCTCCATAAACCATAAGCTGCTATCCTGTACCCACTTACCTGGGAGTAACCCCATGAAACACAAAGAAACTTACCTCTGAGTAGACATACTAATTATTTTAATAAAAGTGCAAGTTCAAATTCTATACAGAAGGTAGGCACTGTTGAGTCGCATTGAGTTACTCACTGGTAAGTAAGTACAGGATTGTCAATTTTCTTAGATATGATACATGATCTTGCACATTATGTTAGATCACACAGATAATCTAAAGATTCCGAAATACAAATAAAACCAAGACATACAAAGCTTTTTCATATTTGAGGGGGGAGCAGGAAAGGCAATCCTTTACCATACAATTGCTTGGGAGAGTCTCATTGATTTCAGTGGAGCCTAAGCAGACAGAGGACTAATAGGGCAGGGCTGTAAGAAAATGAGAGCATGAAATAAATTTGATTCCTGCTTGTGGAGGAAGCGGGGGTTTTTCTTGTTTGGTGGGGGGACTAATTCCAGGTGTCATCTGCAGGTCCTTCCATGTCTTTTTTCAGTGTGCTTTCATGATTATTTGTGCTCATGATGTTATGGGGTGGCTACATGCAATCCTGCTTTCAATTACTCGTAGCAACTGCAAAGATTTCGGGGTGGACATACTGCTTTGTTCTTAATCAGTGTAAGTCCCGTAACCTCCTGCAGAAATCTCGCAACTTTTTGTACTACAAATGTTCCAGTTTGTTTGTTTTTTGTCCTGCTACTGTTGTGCTATAGTGCAAGAGTGGCCCTCAAGATGGCAACAATTCAATGGTACTGGGGAAGCATCACAGAACAGCTAATAAAACTGATGTCTCAGGGCCTTTTCTGCAGCTGTGTTGCAGACAACATGTCTCCGGACGCTTCCAGACTACGGTCGCACCTTGGTTGTCAAACGCCTTGGTACCCGTACATTTCAGCTCCCAAATGATCGAAACCGGGAAGTGAGTTTTCCAGTTTTTGAAGTTTTTTTGGAAGCCGAACATCCGATATGGCTTCTGCTATTGTTTCTGGCATGCCTGCGCAATCAGAAGCTGCGCCTTGGTTTCCAAACATTTCGGAAGTTGAACGGAGTTCCTGTTCGAAAACCAAGGTATGACTGTATTGGCATTTTGAGGTGTGAATCAACCATAGTCTGGCAAATTCAGCATGCACAATTAAAGCCAACTTCGAGCTCTTGCGCAGCAACTATGCTTCTCCCCAAAATTATCGTTTTTCGGATAAGGAAAGTGATGAGAAAATGCAGTGGAAAGTGCAGGACAATGCTTGTGTTGACAGCACGTCCTCTAGCCTCTTCACGAAAAGCTCCAACAGCCAACGTTGTCTACGCTCCCCTTGTGAAGAAATCGGGTTGAACGCTCAATAAGCGTTTCTGCAAACGTCCATTGGTGAATTGTCCACATGGCTGATGTGGGCAAGAAGCAGCTGTTGGCACTGCAGGAGTTCAAAGCACGGGGAGGGGGGTCGTTGGCGGATGTAATTACTCGTGCCTGTAGCAAGGGCAGGAAAAAGCGAAGCTCAGCCGCCCACGCCGAAGCTTCTCGCGGTTGCCTCCACGCCCCTGGTCACGGGGCAGTAAAAGGGAGGTTCGCCTTCAACCCTCAAGCAGTTGCACATGCGCGCTAGAAGACAACTAATCGCGCTAGAGGCTTCAGAGATTGATAGAGACGAGCGAGCTAAGGGATAGAGATAAGAACACGTGGCGAGCTCGAGGACAAAGAGATAGAAAAAGCTTAGAGTGACAATAGGTTTTTGTTTTGTTTTTTGCCTAGAGATAGAACTTCCTGGTTCATTTCGATCCCCCCCCCCCCACCCGCTTTCCTCCTCCTGGGGCAAAACTGCCGTTCGTTTGTTAACTATGCTGATGCGGCAAAGTGAAGAGGGTTAGTGCCTTACGACCAGCCTGGAATTTAATCCACCGGCAATATTTCTGGTTAAAAGCAGTACCAAGGCTAGTTTGAATTTCCAAATGCGGACACAGCAAAGACATGTCCGCTTAATCCTTCCCAGCTAAAATCGGAGTTTTACTGTATTTGTATGCACAGGCCTCGAGCTTCCGCTAGCACGTCGGATTCCCCTCCCCCCCCCAACAATGCATTAATCCTAGGCGGATCCACGCGGAAGGAAGTCCCACTGACTTAAAGGGTCAGTAAGTGGGTGCAAAGTAAGTGGGTGCAGGATTGGTTTATGTAAGGATACAGCTAAGCACAAAGCTAAGCTCGCTCCTGGATTTGCCCACTGCTTTCTGCGAGCGGCGGGTAGAGAATGCCAGTCCAGTGCCAACCCGGAACCTTGAAAACATGTATCAGTCTATCAGTTGTCAGTCTACGGTCACTGGTTTCAAGCTCCAAAGCGTCCTTTGCGCGGGGCGGGGGGCGCTGTTCTGAGGCGGCCATGGGACTTCCAAGCGCCGCGGCCGCCGCCGCTGCTGTTCTGCGTCTTGGCAGCGCGCGGGTGAGGAAGATGCGGCGGTTCCCACACCCCCAGCGCGGTCAGCAGAAGGCAGGGAGGCCCCGGCGGTGCTGAGGTGCGTAGAAAGCCCCGGAGGAGCACCCCTGTCCGGGCTTAGAAGCTCCCGCGGCTCCTTTCCGACGTGTCCGGTTTTCGCGCAAGGTTGAGGTCCTCGCCCCTTCCTTGTTTGTAATGCGTGTAGACGGGCTGAAAGCGCTTGCCCTGCACGGCCTCAAAGTCTTAGGGGTTTGCTGAGTCCTGGCCGGCGGTCTGAAAACACGAAACGTGACAACTGTGCTTGGAGGGGAGACCACCAGGGAGCCTCCCGTGTAAGCAGCCTTGGGTTCTAGGATGGAGAAAGGCGGGGTATAAAAGCATTAAGTACATAGCCACGTCACCTTTTTAGTTGTCACAGAAGAGTAGGTGGGCTATTGTTTGTTTCGCTACCTTTCTATCCCAAATTTTCCTCCAAGGGTTGGACTAGATTGCCTTTGGGGGTCTCCTCCAACTCTACAGTTCGGTGATTCCCCCCTTTTTCTCTAAGGAGCTCAAGGTGGCCTACATACTTTTCCTCAGTGCTATTTTTCTAGAAAAAGAGTGCGAGAGTTCACCGTGAATTTCTCCCTTGTTTTCTTAGAATGGCAATGGTGCCCACCTGAGAGGTGCTGGAGTTGAGCTCCAGCTGGAAAAAAAGCCCTGCTTGTCCTCACAACAATCCTGTGAGGCAGGTTGGGTTGAGTATGAGTGACTGGCCCAATGTCACCCTGTGAGCTTCATGGCTGATTTGGAGATTTGAGCTGTGGACTCCCAGGACTTATTCTTGCACTCTAACCACTACACTACACTGCCTCTCACTATACCACACTGGCTCCAGAGCCAGAAAAGGAGAGACAGGTAAAGGAGGTCATTTCAGGCTCCTCCAGGCAGATTCTCCTCCACCCCCACGCCTGTATAGGGCTTGGAACCACATACTGTCCCACGGGGCCAGTATTTCTGAATTGTTATGTGTTGTTATTTTATGTAAATCATTTACTTGTGAGATCCCTTGGAAGGATTTGTACCCCAAAAGGTGGCATGCAAATCAATGAAATAAATCAACACAAAGCGTGGAGTATACTCCATGTTTATGCCACAATAATCTGATTAAAGCGACACTAGATTTGTGGTTTGAAACTGCTAGCTGTTATGGTTCTCAGCATACAAAGAGACAGTGGCAGTGATGGGGCACCGTTGGCCCAACAGGGGTTCTAATCCGGCCCATAATGTTGTTTCCCTAAGCCATGCAACACCTACCATCATGTAAGACATTAGGGCATGAAGCAAGACACAGTTGTTGAGGAACAATCAGGAGCTTTAAAATATCCTTGGCAGGCGGGGCTTGTATTTAATGCCTTTCAAATGTAAGCCCCACTGGGATTGGCTCCCCAGCTGCCAGTTGTAGTTCCTGCAGGGAGCCAATCCCTGCTGAAAGTAGAGCTCGAAGTCAGCATTGATCAACTGATTGGTAGTGACTTCAAGCCATGCTAGCATCAGCTGGGCTCTTCCTTTGCAATGTGTTTTGCAGTCAAGGTGAGCTGCAAAGGGGAAACGGGTCACCTGATGTCATGGTGACACCAGGTGATGGACAGGTGGTTGGCTGGCAGTAGGAGAATTAAGGTTCTAGCCTTACATTCTGAAAAGGTTCTTCTGCTCTGGATTATGGGAATAAGGCTATGTTCTATCTTTGCTACTAGAGGCAATATGCCTCTGAATACCAGATGCTGGGAATCACAAGTGGAGAGAGTGCTTGTGGCCTTCATTCCCAAGGACACTTGGTTTACTACCATGAGAACATGATGCTGGACTAGATGGGCCTTTGGCCTCATGTACATTCCAGCCATGTGATAGAGAATAGTCCATCCAGGTAAGAAAGAGGCATGAACACAATTCAGGGGCACACTCTAAGCAATTCATTGATTAGGCATTCCAGTCCTAGTTACATGGGTCTGTAGTATGTTATAAAGGTACTAACCTTCTGATCCTGTTCTTTTTAATGTCTGTGGATGTTATATACGGAACAGTATCTCCTTCAGCTTGTTCTTTGAAAAGGCAGTCCAGCACCCCTCCTTGAATAAGTGCTCTAGCCCTCCATTCCCTTGTACAGTGATACCTCGGGTTACATATGCTTCAGGTTAGAGACTCTGCTAACCCAGAAATAGTACCTCGGGTTAAGAACTTTGCCTGAGGATGAGAACAGAAATTGGTGGCGGCGCAGCGGCAGCGGGAGGCCCCATTAGCTAAAGTGGTACCTCAGGTTAAGAATGGACCTCCAGAACAAATTAAGTTCTTAACCCAAGTTACCACTGTACTGTTATTTGGATGTCTGTAGTGTGCAAAGCGGAACAGAGCAAATAAACCAATCAAATGTAGTGATACTCTTGATTCCAAAATGTTTGGATGTTTGGGATGTGCTACTAGAGTATGAGAGGATTGGTTGCTAGACTACCAACCTAAGAAGAATGCAGCAGAAAGGGCTAAACTCCATATGAGGGCTGAAGAGTGAATTAACTTATATGCCCCACTTTATCCATTTTTAGTGCCAATGCATGAGTGTGTTCACTCTATACAACTTCTCTTGCAAGTATGCTCTGTTCCAATGATACTGTGTTTTTCTAACAATGGGTGTCATATGCTTTGCATTTTCCAAGAATGGAACATCCTCCAGATACGGAAAGTGCAGGCATTGTGATTCCCGTGTTGACTGGTGTGTATGAGCTCCAGTCACCTGTTTGGATATTTTATGTGAGAGTATTCGCAACACAGTGTTGTTCTCATGCCTACCATGTCAATCTTGCAAACTTTTCATTAATACTTTTTCATCTACAGTGGTGCCTCGCAAGACGAAATTAATCCGTTCCGCGAGAGTCTTCGTCTAGCAGTTTTTTCGTCTTGCGAAGCAACCCTATTAGCGGCTTAACGGATTAGCGCTATTAGCGGTTTAGCGGCTATTAAAGGCTTAAAGGTTTAGGGGATTAGCTGCTAAAAGGCTATTAAAGGCTATTAAAGGCTTAGCAGATTAGATAAAGGGGGGGGGAAAGCGAAAAAAAAATCTCTAGACTCAAAAGACATTTTCGTCTTGCGAAGCAAGCCCATAGGGAAATTCGTCCTGCGAAGCAACTCAAAAACGGAAAACCCTTTCGTCTAGCGGGTTTTCCGTCTTGCGAGGCATTCGTCTTGCGGGGCACCACTGTACTGTGTAACACTGTTGTGCATTTAGTGAAGAAGCACTGGGGTTTTTTTTAAAAAAAGAAGAGAAGCAGGTCATTGCCTTTCCTCTATTTTAAAGCTCTACCTCATCTCCTAATCCATTATCTGGGTACAAAATAGCATGTTATTGGCATTTGATTGCATTTCTAGTAGCTTTGCACAGAAGAGGAAAGTGGAGTTTAAGTTGTTGGGCATACTGCTGCCTGATCATGCTGCAACTCTCTCTCCATACGATTATTGAGTAGCTGTTGGAGCTATGATATGGAAAAAATATAATATCTCCCTCTGGCTCCTTACAATGACTCTTTTTCAAAATTCTGCTGCTTGCAGCAGAAGTTGCCTTGTTAACTAAGGACATTTGAATTGTTCATTAGTCAGGCCTGTAGGATTCTGTGCAGCAGGCCTTCACATGCAGATTTATTTGTTATTTATTGGATTTATTTGTATGTATTGGATGAGCCTCCATGAGCTCAAACAAAATGTTAGGCATGCATTCTCTTTCCTTTGTTCTACCCCGGCGTAACTGGGAAGAGGATGCCTGCCACGATTACTTTGCGTTTCAAAGAATTTTGGCTTACCATTGAATTTGAAATGGGAACCCAGGTATATAACCAACAATGGGTACTTGACAAAGAAGCCAGCTTCAAACTGGCTTATGAAGCTGGCTGATTTAACTATAGCTTCTTCTGCCTTTATTGAATGTGGAAGCTACCTTTTCCCATATTATTTAATTTGCACACTTTTTAAAAAACAATTATCTGAAAGCTTGTTCTTGTTTCTTCTATACACAGGTGATCAGCCTTGGAATTTCCATGATATTGTTTTCTTGGGACGACTCCAACAAAGATTATTTCAAAATGATGACAAATATTATCATACTGAGTGTACTTATTTGCATTTCTTTATCTTTTTGGATTGTGTCTATGACTGCAAGCACGTATTATGGTAAAGTCTAGATTGCTACTAATGCATGATACATTTTAGTTTACAACACTCATACACAGTCTTTTATTAAACTTGGTCGCTAATCCTAATATTTTCTTAATATTTCATTTTCAAAGAACACAAGCAAATTCGATTGTTGCCTAATACATATTTACATAACTAAAAATAACTTCATGTGACTGTTAGATAAGAAATGCATATTTGCATGTAAAATTGGGAGTGTAAAAGTTCCTTCCAATTGATGCTTTACAGGGTGTTGCTCTGAAGGGATCCCAAATGTTGGCAAGGAATTATGTGGGAGAGGAGCATAAAAACTCACAGCTACTTATTCAGCCTTCATCCTAACCCATATTTGTGCAGAAAGAAAAGCCTATAGAAAACTCAGTCCAGTCGTGTACATAAGGAAACGAGATGATAATAACACATGTAGTAAAAGAATGCTAAAGAATGTAGAAAGACATATTGCTATTCTGACATATTGCTGTTTTTAAACTACTCTATAGGTACTTTGCGGCCTATTTCTCCATGGCGTTGGCTTGTTTCAATCTTAATTCCCCTGATAATAGCTTCACGAGGATTTAAGAAAAAAAGTCTTGATCATAGTGGAGCAATAGGAGGTATGTTCTTCTGCCTTAAGTTTGGTTGTGCTTACATATAGTTTTAGAAATTTCCTGATTCTCCCCCCCCCCCATTCAGTGGAATGTTCAGTATTGCCATTCATAATTTTGGCTTTAATATTCTTGTGCTACTTCATCTTACTTTTTTGTAGGAGCTATTTTGCAAATAATGTAGTGTCTCTACCACATTCTGAAGTTATTTCCATTGCAGGGAAGATTCATTCACAAAACAATATAAATGTCGTCCAATTGACTTAAAGCAACCATAACCTTGCTAATGTAAATGGTATATTTATTGCCCACAATGGACTAGGTGTGGTGTATAACATTGATGAGGTGTGGTTGCCAAGGAGAATACTTGCCGATTATATTAGCTGGAAAAGATGGTGATGGGGAGAGGCTTATGTTCATTGATTCACTCCCAATAGGGAATCAGCACCTGTAGTCCTGTGCTTATTTATAATAATTTCATCTAGCAGAAGCTAAAACTGTCTATTTTATTATCTCCAAGATTTCTGAAGGGAGTAGGTATGAATGGGATCTAATTTATTGACCTGCTGTGCCAATTCAGCATTTATTATGCAAGTGGAAAAATGAAAATTGCAATACTGAGGCAAGAAAAAAAAACATTTGATAGATGGGACATGCATGAAGACTTGTGAAGATCAAAACTGAAAGGAAATTTAATGCAGGTGTTGGTTTGGCAGAGGGAGACTCATGTGACCAGTATGTTCAGTGCCAGAAAGGGAAAGGAAATGAGAATAAAGAATGGAAATGGACAGTTGGAAGAAAGGACATGAACAGAACTTTACTATTTTAAAAAATGCAAAAAGTGCTATATTTGGGGAAACTCCTCCTGTTGCCCAAAGATGATGAAGTAGTTATGGACTCATGTACTAAAAGTGAGCTCAGGTTTATTATCTGTGTAACCAAAACAAAGCTATTGAAAAACAAGAGGAAGATACTTCAGGGAGTTGCAGAAATTCCTCACCCCACTCCTAAAGCAAGTTCAGTGGCAGCAGGAGGGGAAATGGAATGGAGTAATCTATCATGACTGGCTAGAATACTGGAAATGCACGGGCTACATTGCAACAGTTTGTTGCAATCTTCACTTGTATGTTAGGAATTTTATTTTATAGCACATTTTCTTATCTCACCATTTCCATAGGTAAACAAAAGATGCAATATCGTTGGGATTTTTCTGCTGCTTTAATCTTTAGACAGAACAATATTATCTTTACATTTTCATCTTAGTCTAGGCTGGTTTTGAACTAATTTTCCCAGAGTACATAACTTGTGACACCATCTCTTCCCTCTTTTAGGTTTAGTAGTTGGATTTATCCTCACTGTGGCAAATTACAGCTTTTTCGCTGCCATGTTCATGTTTTTTATTACTTCCTCCAAACTCACCAAGTGGAAAGGAGAAATAAAGAAGCAAATAGATTCTGAATACAAAGAAGGTGAGAATTAAACATCAATTTTAAAGCCAATTGATTACAAAAAATGCATTTTGACTTTTAATTAAGGCGATAAATGGACTATGCACTATGTAATTTATTTTTCGCCTCCCTTTTCTTTCTGGTGGGTGACTTGCAAGTACCTGAACGAAGTACTTTGCACTAGTAATGATCTTTACTTCTAGTTACGAAGGAAAACCTCAATGATTGAAATGTAAAACACTTTACAGTCTAGCTTTTATTCTTTTTCTGTGTGCTTCCAAGGATATTGCATATTAAAATTCCTCTTAAGAACTTGTGTCTTCCCTTTCTGTACATAGGTGGGCAGAGAACTTGGGTACAAGTATTCTGCAATGGTGGTGTACCTGCAGAATTGGCTCTGCTATACATGATTGAAAGTGGTCCAGGCGAAATTCCTATAGACTTTTCCAAACAATATACAGCATCCTGGATGTGCCTGTCACTACTGGGTGCTTTAGCCTGCTGTGCTGGAGACACGTGGGCTTCAGAGATTGGCACTGTCATGAGTAGTGAACCCCGATTGATAACAACCTGGGAAAAAGTTCCAGTAGGTAAGGAAATTTCTGCTTTTGTTTTTTTTTTTAAATAGTACCATAGTTTAATGATGAATGGTTTGTGGGCAGCCTGCTAAATTCATTTTTGTGGCCTGGGAAACCTTGGAGGTGTACTTTTAATATAGCTTACGTAGCCTTAAATTAGGCCTGAAAAGGCTGCTTTGTGCTAGCTCATTTGTAGCTTGGCCTTTTCTTATCACATTCTTCTACATTTGATTCAGTGACAACTGAGTGTAACTGGTCAAACTGTCCAAAAATGATAAGAGTTATGGCATCTTGTGAGTCATTCTGTCCCATTTGGGCATGATTTTATGCAACCTGTTGCAGAAAAACCCATTAATCTTTTATCAGAACCTTACTAGAAATACTACTGTATTCAAAATTCATCTGTCTTCTAGGACAGGGAAATATTTTGAATTTTTGATAGAGAAGCACAGTATCTGAAGCTTATGCTCATATTCCAAAAGTGAATAATGTCCTTCCTTAAGCTTGACTGGAACTTACTGTGTATGCATATATTATATATTCTAGAGTGGGTTGCTTTGAAAAATTCTGCTTTTGAAAATGACAGTAGCCAGTTAGCCAGTTAGTTGAGTTTACAGCTGAGGGAGGTTCTGGTCCAGTAGTTCAGTCGCACAGACAGTAATGTTGACATCAGTATTGATTTCTTCCTCTCTAATGAAAGTTGCTTAACTTTTTCATTCAAAAAGGGCCATGCTTTGTATGGAGCGAGCCCTGTTGTCTTCTCCATCTAGCCTGATACCTTCCTTTGTGTTCAAAATGTAGTAGATCTGCCCTGAATTTTGGTAGTTATATTTTAGTTACCCTTATTTCTTCAGACAAATTGTCCATGTTTGGATTCTTTAAGGTAACAATACTTAACGTGTCATCAGAATAAATGCTGGTACAAACATGACATTCTAGGTTTCATAATGATAGCAAGAGATCAGGAGCAGGTTTGCTGGTTTGCATGCTTCCTCCTCCCCTCATGTGAATTCCATCCTTCCTTTTGCAGTGATGACCAGGGTTGGTTTTTAACCAGAGTTAGAAGCTGACACTGACCATGGTTACTGTCAACATTGGTGGTAATGTAATGCCACATTCAAGTTAATGCTAACAAGGAAAAGCAGAGAAGAATTTATGGGGAGAGATCTTGCAAGCCTGTGACCAGTTCCCAATCTCTTAATGCTCTCAACTAAAAAAAACCCCAATGGTTGTATCTGCACTTAATGCAGTTTGTTTGCTGACGACTTTAATAAGTGTAATTTAAACAGATTGTAGAACATTGTGCTTCCCCTTGTTTCTTTAACACTGGGAACACTGCTTCAAAAAGAGTATAAGATAAATTATTTCTAATTCAGTTTTATTTATTTATTTTAAGCAAAAGGGGAGATTTCTCCTCATAGTCCAAAAGTGTGTAATAAATCTACCATTAGTTTTTGTAGTCTTCATTAAATGTATGTTCTAACAAGTTTAGAATGCCAGTTACGTTGGATTTTTAATTTTGTTTTTAGGTACCAATGGTGGCATTACTTTAGTGGGCCTAATCTCAAGTTTGCTTGGTGGCACATCAGTAGGTGTAGCTTACTTCATTTCCCAGTTGATGTTTGTGAATGACCTGGATATATCTGCTCCACAATGGCCTATTATTGTGTTTGGTGGAATGGCTGGTTTACTGGGATCCATTACTGATTCTTATTTAGGAGCAACCATGCAATACAGCGGTAAGGTTCCCCCCCCCCAAAAAAAAATGTTTCGAGATTTGTATGAAAGTGTTGTAATTTCCCTATTGGGTGGGTATGGCTCTTGGTAATGATAGAATAGGCTTACTTCAAAGCATGTCATCATTTGCATTGACTTGAACTATTTCTGATTACTTGGCATACTTTGAGAATCTTGTTCTGTGTGCGTTTATTTTGTCTCATCTGCAGCTTCGAGTTGAATTTAGATCATTTAACGATAGTACTGGGAAAATTGCCATTCCACAAATAAGCAGTGGAAATATTAAATATTGTGGGGAATTGTATTCTGTAAACCTTTGTTGACTTGGGAGAGAGGAATGGAAATGTAAACAACCAGACTGCATAGCCAGAAGGAACATGTTCCACTCACTCCAAGACATGATGCTTGAATCCTAAAAAGAGTAACATCTTGTTTGTTTGAAGCAGAATGACCTAAAAACCAATTTGTGCCATTGAGGTAAATAGGGACAAGAAATTGTATGTAGGGTTGCAGTCTTAAGTTGTGTATGAATGTTCACAAATAGTTCTAATCTATGGGTGTTGGTAGATGTTCATTTGATGACACCCATTCTAGTTATTGGGTAAAAGGGACTTCTCCATCCAATTGTTTTCTATATTGTATTTCATTCTTCAGGTTTAGACACAAGTACTGGAATGGTTGTCAACCATCAGACAAAAGATGCAAAACACATATCTGGAAAACCTATCCTAGATAACAATGCGGTGAATCTCTTCTCCTCCGTAGTCATTGCTTTGTTGTTGCCGGGAGCAGCATGGGGATTTTGGCCAAGAGGCTGAAGTGAAAGCATTGACTCCCATATATTTTATAAAAACAAGCTATGACCTAAAGGAGTCTATACAATGCACTCTAGACTGGAATCTGTTTTCCTACTACTGCTACACAGGCCACGAGGAATCATCAGGCTATTGAAGCTACACTTCTGTAGCAGCTGCTGTTACTGTAGGAAAAGTAGACTGGAAAGAGGCAGTATTGATTTGACATCGCTTTGGTAATGGAATACAGTTCTGCCTGAAGTTTCTTCACCTGCTGCTTACAAGGTTGTATGCTTGATCTCAATTCATTCTCTACCATCTAGTAATTTATTGAAGGAAATGGGAAACTAAGGTGTTAACCTGTCACTGAGTACAGCTGTGTTCACAATCAAAGCAATGGACTTAACATTATACATCTCCTAACTTCTTATTGTATTGCAGGATGTGGAAAACACTTTTGAGGTGGTTTTCTCTGTGCACCATCAAAAGGTGTTGAGGCAGTTAGGACGTGAATGTTTGAATGACTTCATAAGATCAAAACCTTTTTTCTTTCTTTTAATAGAACACATCAACAAAAACCAGCCTTTGAAAGAATCCGTGTTGTTTCTCTTAGAACTAAAATGTGATTGTTCTAATAACACTAAACTATTGGTGTCTAAAGTTTAAAAATTGGCAGAAGACTTGTTTTGGCCCATATCTTTAGCTATTCTTATTAGCTATGGTTTTACCCGAGCATATTGAACAAACAGCATTCTTTACATTCATTTCATTTACTTCTGTTTAATGTTGCATGTTTTGCTTTTTAAACCTGAAGGAGGTGGCAGCCTGCAGATTCACTTTAGTCATCAATAAATGCAGGTTTCTTTTCTTGACCATGCAAGGTGCACAATCCGGAACTGGATTTCTGATCTTTCAGAAACCTCATCTTTACACAGAAAGAGTAAACAAACTGTGGTAAAAGTTGTACTTCTGTATAACTAAATGCAACTCTTCTCAGGATGTGAAATTTCTCTTGTGCTAATGAAAACCTTTCAGGTAGTATGATTGTAAAATAGGCTCTAATATACTTTTGATTTATCTATTTTGTTTGCAAACAGATGTGTTTTCTGTACTCTTATATTTGTTGTTTTACAGCAGTTTTATATTGGTCAGAGATGCTAACACTTTCAATCTGGCATATAATACTTAAGAAAATCTGTAGGATGTTATTGTTATGACCCACAAACTACTTTTAAGACTGTATCCATTCAGAGTTGTCAATATTTTCAAGTTGGTAGTTACAAATTTAACTTGTCAATGGGATCATGATCTTGTAAGGCAAAATAGGGGTCATTGCCTTACAAGGCAGATCACAAGAATATTTCAAAAGTTGGACAGCAAAACACTGGATGCCTTGAACTTCACTCGTTCACACAGTAATCAGACATTTGACTTTGTGAACATTCATTGTAGAAAGATTTTTATAGTGTAGATAGGATTACACTGGGCACAATAAAGTGAATATAACACCTCAAAGCAGCATGTAAATTGCACTAATGTTACAGAACCATTGTGAAAAGTTTGTGCTTTATGAGAACATGGAAAAGGTATAAAAAGAGGAGACAGCAAAGGGAGGCAAAAAGTGGTACCTTAGATAAAAACATTTATTGTATTTTATAGTAGAATGCATCAACAAAAGTCCACTTTAGAAAATATCTGTGCTGTTTTTGTTATAATTGCCACGAGATAGTTCTAATACTACAACGTAATTGATGTCTAAAGTTTGTGGGAAGATGGCAAAGATATAAAAAGGGGGGTTTAAAAGTTGGAACTTGGAATAAGGCAAGAAGAAATTGATGGAACTGGAAAAAGAGCTGGCAGAGAAAAGCTCTGATGATGAACACATTCTAGCCATCGTCAGAAGAGTGAGAACACAGGAAAGTGTGAGCAAGTTGTAAAGGAAAGGGGTGTGGAGAGAGAGAGAGGATAAGTGGGCTGAGATTTAACAGTTTGAATGATTTTCTTTTTTCTTTTTTTTTACGTAAGAGGGAACATACATTTTAATATTCTTTGCCTCAGGGCTCTTCCTTTGAGATCTATAGGGCTATTTGTATTGAAAGTGCATATAGCAGTAATTTCTTTTCCAGATGAGAGCTTGCTTTATTAAATTATACCCATTTGAATAAATCTGACTTAAAAATTAAATCCGTTTTTTTGTTTTTATTGTTTAGCCATTACAACAACTTTAGAAAAATAATTAAAACCAAACTGAAGACAAATTGCTTTGAGAACACTCAGACATTATTATATGACAGCATCAGTTACTTTTATACTAATAAATGTTTCTGCCTTACCTTTTTAAAAGGCAGCTCTTCATTATCCTGAAATTATTATTGGAAAGCAAAGCAAATCTATCTTCTGAAGGATGGATAATTGTGATATACATTTTAAAGTCTGTAAAATATTTTTCTCTTGCACTCTGCATCTGTGTACAGTCAAAAGAAATAGTGGAAAATATCTATACAAAAATCAGTCCAGGTTTGTACATGTCATGTATAGTTAGCTTTAAGCTGTTCTGTCACGTGCATTTTAAATTCAGTATTATAACATTTTCTATATGCATGTCTTCATGGAAAGAATACCACGACGTTACACTGGAATGCTTCTTAGTCTGGGTAAAGACATGCGGAGGACACAACAGTTCTGTTAGTTTGCTGCAGAAGATGGCTGCCCCCAGTACTGATTGGCAAGTAGCTTGTGAGGTTACCAAGAAGCCAGTAAGTTAAAGAATTGATAAATAAATAAATTTTCTAAAATAAACAGGCAGCCTTTCAGAAGCCAGGCAGGGGGAACATGCTTTGCAAATGAATCAGATTTTGACTCTTAATATACGCACCTGTCATTTGAAAAAGTGCTGAGTTGGGAAGAAGCTGGGATCATCTTGCACTGAAGGTTTTCTTCACCCTTGTGTTCATTTTGTGAACATGCTCTTTGTAATATTACCGTAACTTACGTGTAACGTTAGGTTAAATCCAGGCTTCATTGTCCACTAGTGGAAACACTCTTGCCTGTGGGAGAATTTTGGTTCCACCAATGGAAGAGACAATGGCTGGTGTCATGTTCCACACTATTCTGGAGGAACTGTCTGGACCAAAGTTTTGGCAGGTGGTGGGGGCCTTGGGAGCAAGGGGAATCTGCAGAAGTCACTTCCCCTTGCCACTTCTCGCGAACTCACATGAACTCTCATGTGAATGCTAAATAGTGGTGAAATGTTTCCAGCATGCCATTTAAGAGAGGTCACTGTATGAGGTCAGCTTATGATACGGATTTGGGTTTTTTGTGCTTTTATAGGCCTATACCCTATGTGGCATCCATTGAGTTTTGAAAACCTGCTTCAATATAACCATATATATGATGAATGAGAGAATGTGGTTCAGGGGTATGCATGCTGACCAATTGATCTTTTACCCTATGTTAAAGACTCCCTGCCCAAGAGAAACTAGGATGTTGTTGGCTTGTGGATTGTTAATAGCTTTTGAAATCCTTTAAACTTGCACTTTAGACACATTGCCTATGGAGATCACACTTTCCCCCTCAGTAACATTCTCTTGTTAAACTGGCTTTACAGGTTTTTGTTGCACTTCATCAAATATCAGGAGGGCAAGTTGAAAATGCCTTCCAGCAGCAGGAATAGGATTGCTGCAATAGACACAAGCATTTTCTTGCACCCATTGTGGGAACCAGTTAGCATCCACAATGCAGAGTTGCTTCTCTTCTGTCTCCTCCCGTTCCCAGTATTATTTTGGAAGACTGCACATTTTTCACTTTAACTATGGGAAATAGCTTATATGTGAGAAGCCAAAATCCTTGGCTAGTGGTCTGTGCCTAGTTTGCTTAATCCCGGGTTGTGCATGCCTGTCTCGACATGTCTCTTCATGATTGCTCTGCTCTCACTGCACACCTGCTGCATGTTCTACCTAAGGGAAAACAACACCCACACAAACCAGACAGAGATGAAAGAACAACAGAGAAAATATGCATAAGGAGGAGAGGAGAGGCAATATTTTGGAGGCAAATGATTCCAAGGAAGAACGCCAGCTGTTCTCTTATTCTGGGGCACCACCTTCTTCCTTATTATTTCACTTGTTCTAGAGACCACATTCCTTCAATGAAAACAGGATCCAAGGAAACCGATACCACTTCCATTATTTTATTTGCTGGTATAAAAACAGCGTTAAAATCAGCAATATTGATAATTGCTGATTTTCCTGTATGCCCTGGCCTGATTTAAGACCTTTTTTGAAGTGTTGAATTGAATGCTTTTGTTTAAAAACTGTGAAGAGACATTAATTCTATAATGATTCAGAGTGGGGAGTGCCACCTACTGGTTTTCTCATGTATTTTCTGGCAGGCCTGGAGCTGGAAAACTGAGGTGTGAAATCTAATTTGATCAAAGAAACCTTATACTGTACTTAACATTATGTCTCACAACAAATGTAACTGATTTGTAAGAAAGACTACAACCTGAAAAAAGATACAAGGAGTGTACTTTTGTAAACCAAGAAAATATTTAATAAAAATAAATTTAAAAAAGAAAAAAGAAAAGGCACGAGGCTTTAAAAAATATGTTTGCTTTGCATTGTACAACGGGCCTGCTGTTCAGGAGATCAGCATGAGAGTGCAGATAGCATGCTGGTAGTGTGGGGCTTTTTACATTTATGTGTGTCTATATATATATTTACATAGTACTTTTTGTCTGTATAATTCTAAGCACCATATCATGGGTTCCCTGGTGGTCTCCCATCTGGGTACCTCAGGAGACCTGCCAAGTGTCCCTATTTTCCAGGGACCAGCCCCAGATTTACAGAAGCCATTGTGACACCTCCCTCTGCTGGCTCACTGGTCACCAGAGTGCTAAAAGGCCTGGTGAGCTATGGTTGGATCATTTCGCATTTGTTACAGGAAGAAGATAGACATGTAAGTAGGATTTCTCTCAGCATCTGCATTCTGTGATGATATTGAATTCCTCTTGAGCTTAGAGGCATTAGAAAGTACTAACTGTGAGCCCCATTTCCTTTTCTAGGCTTTTAAGGCTGAGAAAAGTCTTTTCCCATCTGGGAAGAAAAAAAACACTTTCCCCTCTCCCTGAGACTTTTCCCTTGCCCACAATCCCCCCCTCCGCCTGTGGACCCCTCTTTGAGAGGACACAAAAGATAAGACCCTTCAGCATATAGATACTGCTTCCAAAGTAATTTTAGTCCCTAGGTTTCTTAGGAAAGGTCTCTCTGTAACTGTCTTTGAGGCCTATTTCAAGGTTCAGAAAATAAACATATCCCATGTGGCTCTTTGTTTCCCTGTAGGCTCTGCAGACCTCCTGCCAATCTGATTTGGAGAAAGATGGCAGGAGGAAGAAAGAACAAAGAAAACATGAAGGTAATGTCTATTTCCAAGGATATGTTCAGGGTATATAAGTAAGTCCCTAAAACAGTTATAATTGCTAGGCTTCTCTTCTTTTCCATTTGGATGACATAATATTTGAAGACCTGGAGGGAGAGCAGGGGCAGGACAGCTTTTATACTGACACCATGAACCACATAATAAGAATAAGAATTAATAATAATAATAATACCCCACCCATCTGGCTGAGTTTCCCCAGCCACTCTGGGCAGCTCCCAATCGAGTGTTAAAAACAATACAGCATTAAATATTAAAAACTTCCCTAAACGGCTGCCTTCAGATGTCTTTTAAAAATAGGACAGCTGCTTAATTCCTTGACATCTGATGGGAGGGCATTCCACAGGGTGGGCGCCACAACCGAGAAGGCCCTCTGTCTGGTTCCCTGTAACCTCACTTCTCGCAATGAGGGAACCGCCAGAAGGCCCTCGGCGCTGGATCTCAGTGTCCGGGCTGAATGATGGGGGTGAAGATGCTCCTTCAGGTATACAGAACCTGAGCACGGAGTTTGCCATCGCTCTCTACCAACGCTGGGCAGAGCTCCACCATGGAACGAACCTCGCCATTTCCCCAGTGAGCGTGTCTCTTTCTTTGGGGCTGAAGGGAGCACATTTGCCCAACTGCACTCTGGCATACAGCACTCATGGTAAGGCAACCTTCTGAGAAACAGCTTTTCGGTGAGCAGTGCATGCTGTCGTGAACTTCACCTTACAGCTTGGACTGTCCTTCCTCCGACACGCTGAGGAAGCACCAGGGCTGCCTGGGTCACGGCGGGCTCTGGAAAGCCAGACACCATCTGGCCCAGCAGGAGAAGGGACAAGGGAAGAAGCGCCAGGGCTGCCATGGGAGCTGAGCCGGATTCCTGGCGCCACCAGGAGCTGGCCCGGCCCAACTACACATCATTTTTATGTCAGAAGCATATACTTTTAAAAAAGAATTGTATGCTGAAGTCCTGTGTGCATTTGCCTGGGAGTAAGCCCATTGAAAATCAATGGTGCTTATGTAGGTGCATATGTAGGACTGCATTATTAACAGCACTTGTGAAAATCTTCAAAATAACATAATTAGCCACTCGGAGAGAGAGGTACAGTCATATTTTCTAGGTTTTGTAGATTAATTTCTCAGTCAAAAACTGTGGAGATTAGACATTCTTGAGCACATCTTGTTTCTGATGGGGAGCTTTTCCTTTTCACCTTAGCGACTTTGGATCTATACTTCAGATGGTGAGCTGGGAAGCAGTTATTTTTGGATAGAATTTGGAAATTGCTTTTGATTAAGAGTTGGAGTTTTTCAAATGAATGATTCCCCCCCACCCCAAAATGTGTTCTTACTGGGAGTTGCTTCTTGTTCTGCTGTGTGTTGTATTTGTAGATAGCAACTGTGATACAGTTTATCTGAAATTACCAACTATTTTCACCTTCAGAACATTTCCCCCCTATCTGCCGAGACTCCCATTCCCATAAAGATGAACAATAGTGCAGAGGAGATAGATACGCAACTAGCTAAATAAAATTCTCCATAGATAACTTAAACTGAAACCCCTAGGATTCTAAAGCAATTTATGACATTCTGTGTCATTGCTAGCCTACTTCTGATAGCTGTGTTTCTTGTCTGCTCAGGGATACTTCCTTATTTGCAGATCTTTGGTCCTTTGTTGTGTTATTGGATAAAGCTGACTGGCAGGAGAATAAAAGCAGGTATGCTTCTGCTTCTCATTACTAGAGATGCGGGTGGCGCTGTGGGTTAAACCACAGAGCGTAGGACTTGCCGATCAGGTTGGCAGTTCGAATCCCTGCGACGGGGTTAGCTCCCGTTGCTCAGTCCCTGCTCCTGCCCACCTAGCAGTTCGAAAGCACCTCAAAGTGCAAGTAGATAAATAGATACCGCTCCAGCGGGAAGGTAAACGGCGTTTCCGTGCGCTGTTCTGGCTCGCCAGAAGCGGCTTAGTCATGCTGGCCACATGGCCACAAGCTGTATGCCAGCTCTCTCGGCCAATAAAGCGAGATGAGCGCCACAACCCAAGAGTCGGTCACGACTGGACCTAATTGTCAGGGGTCCCTTTACCTTTACAGATCTGTCAGTTTGAGTTTCTCTCATCTTCTCGTTCCCCCCAATCTTAAATTCAGTTCCCTACATCAGTTTGCAATTTAAAACAAAAGTTATCATGAAGATTAATCAGTATTTAAATGCTAATTTCTCCTAATATATGTTTGTATGCAAATTTGCCTAATATGCACATTTTCACCAAGCAATTTCCCCTATACCAAAGTGTTTTTGTATGTTATTTTCACTAATACATGCACTTTACCCCACTATATGTGCACTTTTGTTCACATTACCTGGTTGGAGAAATGCATTGCAAAATTCGACAAAGTGTTTTTTGCAAGGATGGCTACGTTTCAGTTTTCATACTGTTTTGGAAAGTACAAATTAGGTTGGCTCACCTTTAAATGCAAATTGAATTGAAATCCCTCCCCCCCAAATATTCATAAGCAGAAATTGATACATCTCAGGTTCTCAACCAATAAATAAAAGTTATTTGACCCATCTAGGCAGAGCAAAATGTGATCAGATTTATTTTAAAGCCCTATTTGTCAGACGCTGTGGGTAAAACCTCAGCGCCTAGGACTTGCCGATCGCATGGTCGGCGGTTCGAATCCCCGCGGTGGGGTGCGTTCCCGTCGTTCAGTCCCAGCACCTGCCAACCTAGCAGTTCGAAAGCACCCCTGGGTGCAAGTAGATAAATAGGGACCGCTTTATAGCGGGAGGTAAAGGGCGTTTCCGTGTGCTGCTCTGGTGCTGGTTCGCCAGAGCAGCTTCGTCACGCTGGCCACGTGACCCGGAAGTGTCTGCGGACAGCGCTGGCTCCCAGCCTCTAGAGTGAGATGAGCGCACAACCCTAGAGTCTGTCAAGACTGGCCCGTACGGGCAGGGGTACCTTTACCTTTAGTAGTGTACCACACTTTGTTCTCTGTTTCAGGATAGCAAACTGATATATGGTGTGATTCCGACATATCTGTGGATAGTCACAAATGCATAGGGAGCTTACATACACATAGAAGATTTATAGAATCTGGCCTACATGTGGATGGGAGAGGCAGGGAGCATCTGAGGTATGGCAACCTGCCATGTAGTGATCTCTGATGATCCACCAGACTGCTACAAGGGCACACGGCATTGTTTTGCTATCCCTGATACACAGGGTGAGCTAGAACACGTGTTAAAGATTCTGGCAAAGAGGGTTCTTAGGAAACCAGCTACTATATTTTCCGATGCCAGGGCCAAAGAGACAGCATTCAAGGCTCAAATTCCAGCCATGTAGCCATTTCATCTGGAACAGAACCTGGTACCATTTCATGTACCTGGAACAGAACCTGCCTTTCTCAGTCAAAAGCTGAACAACCTTAGAATGTTCTCCTTTTATATTATTCTCCCCTCTGTCAGGGACTGGCAGGGCACTGAGGAGAGGGTGGAGGAGGCAGTGGGGACAGAGGCTGACCCACGGGAAGGGGGCAGTGATTTGTGGGGTTCTGTGCCTCCTGCAAGGCAGGAACCAGAGCTGGGGGGAGGTGAAGTGTCTGAGCAGGAGGAGATGGAGGATGAGGGGCAGCAGCTGGGGCAGGAAGAAGGCAGAACACCCAGGAGCAGAGGAAGAGGTGGTGCCAGAGGGGGAGGCTCAGCAGAATCTCCTCTGTCCCCCAGGACTGGGAGGGGAAGTTTGAAGTGACAGGCACAGCGGCAACTTCCCTGTAGATGTTGCAGGGTTGCTTACTCTTGCTCTGTCAGACAAGGGTACTTAGGTTTGGGTGGAGGCATGGTTCTACTGTTGCTCCAACAATCCAGCTCGGATGCCAGCTACTTAGGCATCAGAAGTGTGTGTATGTTCTGTGCTTCTTAGGAGCTACTGTTAAGTGTGTGCTTTGTCCATAAAGAATTAAACTAACACCCATTTGTCCTTGGTCTGGTGCTGAAGACACATTTCCCCACTTCATAGCCATTTAGTCTTTACATACCTAGCACCCCACCCCCACCTCCACCCCCCAAGAGATTTAGAGCAGTGGTGGGCAACCTGCGGCCCTCCAGATATTGTCATCTGACTTTATTTCCTCCTCCTTATCAACCCCTTTTCCTTTTGTGTCCCGTCTTTTAGATTATGTATCTGAGAGCAGGGACTATCTTACTACACATAGTTGCAAACTGCTCTGGTCGCCTGTGTTTGACTAAAGAGCAGATAAAAATGCTTTAAATAAAATAAGTGGCTTTTTAAAGATCTACAAAGGCATTTGAGCACTTTCCTTGTTTGTTAATGCATTTTTTAAATTAGAGATTTAATTATAAAATGCACTGTCTCTTTCAGTAGCAATTTGTCCATATGTAGCAAAGGGAACATTTTAGATTGCTTCTCAAAACGCATTAGCAACAATGCAGCGCAAAGGCAACAATATAAATCAATTTGCTTCTCCAGCTGACAGAGCACCTGGCTGTTCTATCTAACCATATTATTTAAAGGTCATTCCTAAAAATGGATTCTTCGCAATCTGTTTCTGGTCCTTAAGCTTTGAAAATGGTTCTGTGATGAATGACTTTCATTTAAAATAGATGGGTCTGATATAACTGTTTCTTTTGTTTCTATAAGCGTGAGTATAGATATATTGCTCTAGAAAGATGAGTCGCTGTGAGCAAGCAGATGCAACTGCTTAAAAGCTGGGTGTTAAAGTTGTGCAAAGTTGGGGTCTGATAAACCTGAACATTAGTACGTAATCCAAGGGCCAGGTCTTAGCTCAGAAGAGACTCATACTGGAATTTATAGCAGAAGGTACAAAGTAGTCTAAAAATGGTTGGAAGAAATGTACTAGAGAGGCAGGCAATTCTAGTTGTACAAGCAAATTCAGTCCCGCCTCTTCTCCCAGTAAAAGCAGCTTTGTACGAGCCAGATTCAAATCTCCTATGTCGCCTTTCATGTCTACCAACTTAACTGAGCCAAGCAAGCATTGCCTCCACCCCCCCCCTTAAGACACAGCCAGGTTAACATGGGTGAAGGCACTCCTTGAAAAAGCTGTCCCTAAACTACTTAGGGCAGGGCAGGTCCCAGTCTGCTGCCTCAAGCTGTGTGCATGTGTGGTCCTCCTTCAGGGGGAGTATAATACCATCCAATATATGTTGTATCTTTTGATCCAGATCACTGCCTCCCTGGGACTTTTAGATGCAAATGAGAGATCAAGATGCATGTCATCAGTACTGTTTTCCCCAGCAATTTCAAGCAGACATTAAACAGCACCGGGTCCGAACCAGAGCCCTACAGCAGCCCAAAAACCATGGAGCAAAGCAAAAGTCTCCTCCTTAGGAACCATACTTTTAAAGACAAGAGCCACTGCAATACCATGCTACTTACCGTATTTTTCTATGTATAACACGCCCCCGTGTAAAACACCCCCCCTATTTTGGGACACTCAAAATTAAGAAAAGACTACCCCCTTTTTAAACATTATTTTTCAGTAAAAAAAACCCTAGTCTTATACACAGAAAAGTACGGTAAACTCAGTCCAGCTACATGACCTAGGAGGGCACAGTGCTGCTGAGAGGTCCAGGAGAATTAATAAGAGTTGCACTCCACCCCCACCCCAATCCACTCCCCAGCATATAACATTAAGGCAGTTTTATATCACATGTGTTTCGACAGGGCAGGGGTGCCAACTTGAATAAAATATGGGGGGGCAGGTAAGCCCCACCCCACATAATTGATCCCATGACGTGGCGTATGCACACTATTTGAATGGCAATGCCCATTATCTTTGGGGAGGCCGGGCCCTCTCAAATATTTTATTGGTGGGACGAAGCCCCTTCTAAGAGTTGGCTCCAATGCAAGAGGGCTTCTACAAAGCTTATCATAGGATTCCGCCATTTATCACAAAGGTGGGTGACAACAGGTGGATTCTGGATCAAATTCGGCTTGAAGTCCTCCCCTTGCCAAGTGCAGAGATCTTGGGGAGTGTAGGAAATAGCAGCAGATGGGAGCAGTAGAGGGCAAAGGATTTTGCTTGCGCCTTCGAAAACAAGTCCTAGGCAAATCTAACTCCCCACACGTTAGCAATCAGGTTTCAGCAGCAGCATCTCCGTTTGAAGTAGCGGTGAGGGGGGGAGGGTGTCCTCAGGATCGAAATCCCAAAAGCCGCTTCTGAAGCTATAACGATGAATCACGAGAGCTTTCCCTCCAATCCCCTTGTCACCGACTTCAAATTAGCGCTGGAATCAACGTCCGCATCGGGACTGGACTCCTTGCTTCATCGACTAACTTCATTTATTATCAGCGCATTTAATCTGTTAAGTTTTTGAAAGTTTTTGTTAATTTCTCTTTATTTTATTGTTGTTCCTTCTGTAAACCGCTTGGAGGTTCTCTTTACAGTCAAGCGGTGCAATTTTTTTAAAAAATGAAATAAATCTTCAATTGCCTCAATCCTGCGCACCCGTACTTACAACTGCGCCTCGTTACAATCAGCTGGACTTACACGGAGCAAGCGTTTCAGAAATGCAACACACGCGCCCACACACCCCTCTTCCCCGCCATTTTCCCCAGCCAGACGCCCAGCGACGTTTACAATGCAGTTCAGAGGCTTGACGATCTGCACAGCGCATAGCGAAACATCAGTCTCTCGCTCTTCCTGTCACTTAAATTACTGTGAAGTCTGCTGCTGCCGGTGGCACTTATTCTTATTATTATTTAGTGCATTTATAGATTACCATTATTATTATAAATCAACGTGATTGAAAAGCAGCTCTGCCAGGACGATGGGGCAATGTACCGCCTCCACCCACCCCCTTGGAAGTCCCCGTCCGCGGATCCTGCCAGAACCCCAAGAAGCTCTTCTCCGGCCCCGCCCCCGGCTGCTTCGCCCCACCCACAATGGGCGGGGCTTCTTAGGGCCGCGGCATCAACGGCGAGCGTCGCGTGACCGCACGTCGCGTGACGTAGGAGGAAGAAGGCGACGCCATTAGAGGGAGTCAGGCTGAGGCGGCCCCCCCCCCCTCCGGTAACAGGGAAGTGGGTGTCTCTTTCCTCCGGTGTCCCCGTCTCCTTCTGCGCGGGGCCTGCCTTCCCTTCGCCTCCTCCCCCACCCTGCTAGGAGAGGAGCGGGGCTGCGGATGTGAGGCCGCGGCGTCGGCGGCCACTTCGCTGCGGATGGCGGCGTCGGCGGCGACCTCTGGCGCGGGAGGCGGCGCTGCCGGCGGCGGGAGAAGCTTTTCCTTCAAGGTGGTCCTGCTGGGCGAAGGCTGCGTGGGGAAGACCTCGCTGGTCCTCCGCTACTGCGAGAACAAGTTCAATGACAAGCACATCACCACCCTACAGGTAGGTAGCCCGGCAGCAGCAGGAGGGGCGGCGGCGAGAGGCCGCTTCGGGGGCTTGACCCCGACACGCTCGTCTGAATGCGGTGACGCTGCTGCTGCTTCACTTTTCCAGGCACGAGTTCTCGCAGGCTGCCGGGTCGAGGTTGGGTTTGATGAGTCCTAAGGGTGTGTACGCCTCGGCGGGGCTGTCACTTCTCGGTTATACGGGACTTCAATCTCTTTTCTTCCGAAGTGAGGAGTGGTGCTTTTAGGGCGTGAAAGTGTCGCAGAACAAGCCGCTAGCCTTTTCCTACCACAGCTAGCTCAAAGCCAAATAGTACCAAATACCTAGTAAACAATTTATGGTGGTGTTGATTCACAGGGTGGCCCTCTCTCCTCTGAAGGGTATTTTGCGTTATCTCTTGTGATGCTGAAATATGAGTGAGAACACATGGAAGCATAAAAGTTTTTTTTATTGTGTGTGTGGACCTTTGATGCTTGACAGATTTATGGGCGCTTGTGGAATCCTTTTTCTTTTCAGGTACCAGAAGTATATTTGATAAGTGGATTCTGCTTCACAAAAGCAGTCCCTTAGTCTTTAAGGTGCCCCACAAGAGCATGTGTTTCTGTGGTGCAAACAACTGGCATGGAATATGAACACATTACATGCTCTATATATACTAACTATATATAGAGCAGTGTGTTGTGAAATCTAGGAGCATTGTATGCATAGTTGAACCTATTTAAATCTAGTCTTCATATAGGTTACAGTGGATTTTTAAAGAATATACGTAGCCAAGGGACACTGAATAAGGCTGCTTACTTGGTGGCTGAGTACCCCATACACTTCCAGAATCACTTATAGAAATGATTTCACATGTCACATGAACAGCTTCTGTAAATCATAAGTGCACCAAACATGTGAAATGTGTTTTCCATGGTTCATAATGTGCTGTTCCAGTTTCTTTGAACAAAAGTAATTTTTGTGGAACACCCCCCCCCAAAAAAAACCCAACAACAACAACCACCCAACAACAACCCAAAGATTTAGTAACTGTTCCTGTATACTATCTTGTTACAAGTATTTGGGGCAAATGAGAACAGAAAATGAAATAGTTAAAAGGAAGGGGGGTCAATGAAATTGTTGTTCTGAAATGAACACGTCCGTTTCAGAAGGTTTAAATCTGATCAGAAGTTTATTGATTCTTTAAAAAATCACTCGTTTTAAGGGCCAGGGAAACTTGCTGAATCATTAGTCCCAAGTGAGGTGTTCACCAGAATTCTGTGTTCCTTTGAATTTAAATATTTTGCGTCGTGTACATTGACTCATTAGTTTGTGGTAACTTAGTTACAGTACAATTAGTGCAAGATCAAACCTGTCACTTAAATTACTGTGAAGTCATGTGTTATCACAAGATCCACCATACTGACAGTGGTGGTTTTTGAAGTTCACTTCTTAGAACTAACTTGTGGCCTCCTTCTTTTAAAAGCAACATCTGAAGGGAGTACTGTAACTTTGTAGTGTGCTACTTGTGGTGAGTAGCAGGGAAACAAAACTATTTATATTTGCTTAAATGCTCCTTCCAACATAGTCCTGCAGGTATGTACGTTCTGTGTTTCCTGTTGTTAAGACTGGGCGGGAGGGAAGAGGGACAGGCAGCTGTGTCATGATTCAGTGCTATTTCCCAAGCAAGGGAACATCCATCAATCCAGTATTATGTGACCACGTAGTCTCATATTACTCTGTGATTAATACTAGGAGCAAGGGAGAGATGAGTGCCCAGGATAGCTTGGTTTCTCTGGTTAGGGAAATACTGTACATCTTTTGCACTCTCCTTTAACCTAATATGATTTAATTTGGAATCATACATTAATTATTGTAGTTCAACAGCTGTGTTTGCTAGTGAAGACCTAGGTAGAGAGAACATAGAAAATTGAAAGAGACACGCTATTTATTTTCTTACTGTTTTTACTTCATCAATTTAAGAACCTAAAATGGTTTATGCATAATTTGGCATATAAAGCTGCACTGTGTGCTATAGTTACTAAATGTAAATGTCACGGTTTTAGTGAAACATTAACTGTAAATATGTCTGGTGTTGGAGTGTTTAATCATCTGTTGGCCCATGTTGTAAGCTGAGCAAGAAAGACCCTGCTGTTGGTTTTACCATAAGTGGCTGTGGTCTGTTCTGTGGTGATGCAGTTATGGTACCTAAGTTGTGGAACTGTCTTCTGTTGCAACTTTCTTTTACTAAAGGCACAACAATCTTTTGTTGACCTCCTTCTGATGCCTGTAAAAACATACCTGTTGCTTCTGACATTTCAGGATAAATGAGCTTAGGGCAGGTTTGCCTACTGCAGGAACTATGTTCTTTTGTAATTTTGAGTAATGATTTAGTGTTGATTGATAGGTTGTATTTTTATTGGAATGTTTGTACACTGCCCTGATAACCTTCAATTTAAAAATACAATACAGTCGTACCTTGGATCTCAAACACCTTGGCTCCTGAACAAATCAGCTCCCGAATGATTGAAACCTGGAAGTGAGTCTTCCGGTTTTCGAACGATTTTCGGAAGCCTAATGTCCAGTGTGGCTTCTGATTGGCTGCAGGACATTCTTGTAGCCAATTGGAAGCTGCACCTTGGTTTTTGAACAGTTCCGGGAGTCGAGCAGACTCCTGGAATGCATTCTGTTCAAGAACCAAGGTACAACTGTACCAAGGACGAAATAGCAAGTTACTTCAAGGCAGGCCTGGCCTGGGCAGAGGGGTGGGGGAGCAGGGTACAATTGCCCTGGGCCTTGAAGGGCTAAGCTGGCCAGAGGGCCCTGCCAGACTTACGCTGTCACGCCAAGAACGCTCTGTGTTTCCCAGTCGACCGGGAACTCCTGCCCCAGCCTCAGATAAGTTCTGCACAGACCTGCCTCAACATACTGCTGTTGGGTTTTTCCATTTGAAGAAAAGGAGTGATGGTGTGGTCAACAAAAGAAAAGTTATATTTGGGCTTAAGTAATATTATCTCTAGAAGCAGCATGATCCACAGTAATACCTTCCGCAGCACTTTACACACCAAACAATAACTTTTATACAGTTAAAGCCCAGGGTATAGTCTGAATAAATATAAGACCACCCAGAAAAACAGGATATAAATATATAAAGCAAAAGTACCATCAGTCTACAATAGAGAGGAACTGTAATTAACTTTTTTTAAAAAATACAAACTGCTGCAAGCTATATAAAAATTATTATATCACTCACCAATTTCTTTCTGGAAAAATGGAAGAAAATAGTTTTTGGGAGATGGGGAGGAGGTAGAGAATGAGATGGGGAAACATTTTTTTCCATCACAGCTCCAGCAGCATACCTCAGTGGCAAACAGAAACTAACACATACATGTGTTGAGGCCCCAAGTTAGGAAAGGCCCGTGGAGTCAATTGTGAAGCTGTGGGCATCTATCAAGTACATTTTGTTCAGTCTTTGGAGCTGCTTCTAAGTATATTGTGGAGAAACCAAGCTTTTAAATGCATGTATAGCTCTTAAAATTGATGCTCCTGGTTGCATTTTCTTCTTAGATAGCTATACTCTGATACAAAATGTTAAAAGAAGTTTTACCATTTGAGCTGATTTTCTGTGCTGTTACTGTTACCTGTCTTCATGGTATGACAGTTTCATAATTGACTATTTGTAAGAAAACTGTTTACTTCTGTAAATACTTATATTGACTTCCATAAAAGTATATTATGGTTGTTAACAATGAAACATAAAAAATAAATAATAAACAAACAGAGCAGCAATCAGGTTAGGACAAACTTGGCATGCTGGTATTAAATATAAGCAAAGGCCTGGAAGAAAAAGTAAGTTTTTAGCAACACCAAAAACGGGTATTGTTAGCCTTGCCTTAAACATATGCCTCTTGTTCACTATATTCTATTTTTGCAGTAGATAGATATCTTTATCTCATTGTAGATAATGCATTGAGTGCACTTTTATGACTGTAATTCTGCTGAATTTCTTCAACACATCATGAATCAGTTTTACTTTGGCATAAGGTATTTAATGTTCATATGTTCTTTATTGTAGGCATCTTTTCTAACAAAGAAGCTAAATATTGGAGGAAAAAGAGTAAACCTTGCAATATGGGTATGTGTTTATTGATTACATTTCTTGTGTGTCTAAAGATAGAACTCTGTTTATCATACCAAAATATCAAGGCGTATCAAAATAGCACTGACTTTAATTTTACTAGCTTAAAAAAGAACTAACATAAATGTATTTGCTTCATGCAGGATACAGCAGGGCAAGAAAGATTTCATGCACTGGGTCCTATTTACTACAGAGACTCTAATGGAGCTATTTTAGTGTATGATATAACAGATGAAGACTCTTTCCAGAAGGTAACTATACCCTTTCCATTGAAGAAGTAAACTCAAAAGCTTCCATGTTGACCAGATTTTCTTGAAACTAATACTGTAATCATTTTTTATTTTATTTTTTGCTATGGAAATGAGTACAGTGTAGGGTTTGAAGAACTTTTCATACCAGTTTGGTTTCATGTAACGGTTGTGCAACTTACCTAAAATCTCTTTGAGCTGCAGTCCTATACACTTACATACCTGCTGATTAGACAGGGATAGGATTGCTTTCAATGTAGGAAACCAGGCGAGATGGGAACTTCTACCTGCTTGTATTTTAATGTAAGATAGATTTATGCTAGATTCTTTTCTGTCCTAGTGCTTACTATAATCCTGAAGTGAAATAATAGAAATTTCTTTTCATTCTTGCAGGTAAAAAACTGGGTCAAAGAATTAAGAAAAATGTTGGGAAATGAAATTTGTCTATGCATAGTTGGTAAGCTTTTGGTTTTCCACACCTTACTTTATGACTAGGGAATCTTGTTCAGTTTAAGTGCTAATTGTCTTTTAAATTATTGTGCAACACTTATCAAACTGCTTCTCTACAGCTTCATAAGGGTACACAGTTGTGTTTACTATTGCACAGTAAAAAGAAACTATATTTGTGCACCTTAAAAGTGAAGTGATAGTAAAGCAGAAGGTTAAATGGTGGTAGCAATAATGCGAAAAGCTTCCTTGAGCAAAAGATGACACATTTCTAAACATTTTGTAATCCTGATAGGGAATTGTTTCCTAGATACCCGTGTCCAAGAAAACAATGCAAAACCTCTTTGGGAACATGATACAATTTACTTAGTATTGCAAATGTTTAGATTGGTGAAGGATTTCCAAAAGTAGGATTATACTACAGGTAATACTGACATTTCATGTAAAAAACTTCAGTATCTCCTTAAAACTGCCAACCACTGTTGCATTAACCACAGTTTCCTGTGGAATTGCAAAAGTGAGCGCATCTTGAAAAGTTCTTGCCTCTACAAACTGTTCAGAGTGGATGAATGTGCTTTTTGCTTTTTTTAGCGGCAGTGTAAAGGGCTGCAGAAAGGTCTTGAAATCTTTCTGTCCACTCCCACTGCATAGCAATCTCATAAACAATCTTGGGTGGTGTGAGGTTGTTGAGCTAAAGGTTGTTAACTGGCTAACAATTGGGTGGATGTAGCAGCAAAGAAGCTAATGTCTCATGGGCTTGGAAATGGAAAAAAAGAGGCTAGAAATACTGAAAATATTGAGTAGAAGTGCTTTCTCATTTTTTTGACAGGTAACAAAATAGATTTGGACAAGGAAAGACATGTCTCTATTCAAGAAGCAGAAACGTAAGTTGAAGTCTCAGTTTTAATAGCACTTTGAAGATATTATCATTCTTTTCCCAGCTGCACTACATTTGGTTAACAATAGTTCTGCCTGAACTTTGCACAGTGTATTCTTCATGGTAGTGTGACTCCTGTTTTTCTCAGATTTAAATTTCTGGATTCCATGATATATTTTTAAAATTATGTTGCTGGTTGTGGTGCATCATCAATTTTTTCAACAGATTGCTGCAATCCAAACTGCAAGTCTCTGAGAATGAACCCCATTGAATTAAATAATAATAATAATAAAAATAGAAATAAATAAAATAAAATAAAATAAAATAAAATACAATAAAATAAATTATTTGTACCCCAGCCGGAGTTAGGCTCAGAGCAGCTAACGTCATATAAATAATACAATATGCATAAAAACAAACAATCAGTCGATTAAAATGCACCCCAAAATTAATTCAAATAAATTAAAATTAAAGTTAAAACCAGACAAATGACAATCCTCAGGTTAAAACTGAAAGCGGTTAATACTCGTCAGGACCAATAGGGCTGACTTCTCAGTAGAAATGGTTAGTAGAAATGGTTAGGATTGCCCTGTAAATTATTTTGGGCTTGGCTTTGGTGAATGTTTAACAGTAACGCAACAGCCTATTGGTTTTCTGTTCCCAGGCATGGGAGAGAAGTGCTGGCTTATATTCCTTTATAGAAACATGGGATGAAGTGCTCTAGTTCTTTTTAATTTTTTAATAAGGTTCTTATTTACTTTTCATGGTAAATAAGGTTCTTATTTACTTTTCATGGTACAGAAGATACATTTTGAGTAACAATAGTTACAATAGCAAACAACAAGCAACTTGTCCCAATAAAATTACAAACTTTGTCATGCTATGTAATAAAGCATGACAAAGCATGGGTTACTTTAAAAGATCCCACCACATTTTCCCATGAGTGTTGCGTGGATTCTTGCCACAGTATGGACAATTTATGTATTCAGTAAACATTTGCCTTATGTTATAAAAACAAACAGGAATTGTTTTGCCCTTTGCCTCTCTGACCTGACATGTTAATTTCTCAGCAAATGATACTGACCATAAGGATTCCTAGTTCTTGAGACTACTCTCTCCCTTCATAATACATAAGGGTGCCCGGTATCTTTCTAAGTGCTCCTTGCACTCCTTTTCTTTGCTAAACTTCTGGCAGTTCAGCCCTTGCCCATGTGTGACTGCTCCAGGTTCTGGATTTCCTTCCCAACAGAGGTCCATCTAGCCCCTTTTCTGACTTTCTGCCAAACGGCAAAACCATTTTTTAGAGTGGTCATGGGCCTCCGTAAGCTGACTTGTGCAGCCACATGCTATGATTTGTTCAACTGCTTTTACGTAGTTCTTAATCGGTTTTATTGATGTGTTTTTACCTGATTTTTGCATTTTGCTATATGTATTTTTCTTTAGGTTGAAGCTAGTGGTGACTGCACAATGGAATGGGGCTTTGGCTCATGCAGTGGGACTTCCCCTTTCTTTATTCTGCCTACAGTGTCCTGCATACCTTCCAAAATCTGCTTTATATGATTGGGGATGGGTCCAAAACTGATCGGGGAGGAGGTTTGAAAGGGAAGTCCCTTTGCATGGGCTGGTTGGGTTCCAGCCTTTGTAGCTTACTATTTGAGAACCATCTGGTGGAAAGACAGTTTAACAAATAGCCTTCATATTAATTAACTGCAACTTCAAACATAGCACCTACTTACTTACTGCATTTATATCCCAGCATTCTTCCAAGGTGGTGTCCTTCTCCCTCTCTCCATTTTATCCTCAACAGCATCCTGTTGAGGTAGGTTAGGCTGAGGGACAGTGACTGGCCCAAAGTCCACTCAGTGAGTGTTATGGCTGAGGGGGGATTAGAACTGCAACCTTCCAGCTGTTAGTCCATCAGTCTGAGCATTACATCACATTGGCTCCCAACTTACTACCATGTTGGCATTTTCTGTCTCGAGAGACAATGGACTGTGTCTCTGGGGGTGAGGTCAAGCTGTCAGAGAATCACAGCACCCGCTGTGGTTGCAGAAACCAGTAACTGATGCCTCCCATGTTGTTTTTGCTGCAATAGCAGCTCTGAAGTGACACCTCTGGAGCGCAAACCTGGGTAGTATGTATGGAGGTCCTAGGGTGCCCAGATGACAAGACACTCCACCCCTGTCTTGCTGATGTGGTCCAACGTAAAGCCGAGCAATATATTTGGCACCAGCTTGGCTGCAGGAGTACTGGAATGAGGCATACAAGATGCCATCCAACCGTCTTAAGGGACTCCATGTCGGATTTGTGTAGGGTTTACTCTTTCGTCTTTTCTTCTCCTGAATATGTCCTGCAAGGCTACTAATGTACATATATTCCATCTATTTCCTCTATGCTGGATGCTGAAGGAAATCTAAGTTTTATACTTAACTACAACATTCCCTTAAAATGTAGAATGATGTTTGAAGATTGCTATTGTTTTTTAGTTGGGAGCTAAAGGCTTTCCTTATTTCCAGGTATGCAGAATCGGTGGGAGCAAAACACTATCACACATCAGCCAAACAGAACAAAGGCATAGAAGAACTCTTTCTTGACCTGTGTAAAAGTAGGTTATTTTGTGTTGAGTTGCTAGTTATGTTACTGCGGTGAAATTGGGAAATTTTAATTGCAGCCCAAGTGCAACCAGTATTAAAAAGGGCTGCCTGGTATAACTTGTGTTTCATAAACATTTAATCTATTTAGATGTAGCTAGCACAGCATTTCTGTCCAGATGGATGTTTTTGCTCTACATCAGGGTGAGGAGCCTCTAGCACACAGGCTAAGCTTGGCCCACCACTGGGTCAAACCTGCCTATCTGCCAATAAGCTATCACTCTGAGGGGAGGTAGACTGATGGGCAGAGAAGGGCAGGGTTTGATTTTGCATTGACTGTGCATGTTGGCTTCCCTACTGGGAACTGGTGTACACAGCAAAAACAGTAGGATTTAATCTCTGCTCATCAACTGACAAGTGGAGATTAAATCCTGCTCATTTTTGCTGTGTGTGCCTGTTCTTCTGCTGATGTCAGATATTCCGTTTTGAAGTCCTGACTGTTGGGACTGCAGAGTGCAGTGCAAGGCTATTTAAAAGCCCTTTTGCAAACAGCCATACATTGCTGTTTAAATCTCTCACTTTTGGAAATCTATAGAGCACCATGGGGCTTTTTGGAAAAGGGCTTTCAAAGAATCCCATGTTGCACAAGTCCAGACAGTCAGGGCTTCCAAGTACAGCAGCATCTGATGCCACTGTGACACTGGGTGTTTAATAGGTGGATGACCTTGCCCACTTGTCAAATTTGGTCTCCAGGAATGTGGAAATAAGGATCTGGCCAGAAAAGATTCCCTACCCTTGCGCTACATGAATGTTAGTCACTATGCAGTTTTGAATACTTCTGCACATTGTAGGATTTTATTGCATGTTAAACTCTTACTACATTGAATTGGCCATCTTTCTCTTAAATAACATCTGCTTAATCTGTACATCTAAGTTCCTAAAAGGTAAAGGTAAAGGGCCCTACTTAGGTGGATTCTTGTATTTCAATGAAAACTACATCTATGTTAAAACGTTGAGACTTAAGTTGTGTTGTCACCTCTTGGCCCAGGATTTTAAAAAAAATTGTGCTGGATAGTCAAGTTTTTCAAAAGTGGAGGTTGGCAACTTCCTGGGTAAAATTGCCCTGGGCTACAACACTTTTCATTCTACATCATAGAACATCCATATTTGGGTTACTGTGTCCCAGTTGGATGGTGAAATTTTCCTCTGGTATGGTATTGTAAGTAATGCCCAATGGACACCCAAGTCAAAGCCTGAGGATTTTTTTGTACAACCAACAATACTGAAAAGTTGTTGCTATACTCACTGACAGGTGGGACTGCTGGTGTTGAATTATCTATGGCTAGTGATCTCCAGTAAAATAGTAATTTACCGGTCCCATTTACTATCTCAGGGTAACAAAATGCATTTTTAATTGAATAAATTTGTAGGTAAACTTGTGAGCTATTATTGCATCTGAACTTGTACAACCTCCAGCAGCCTAGCTGCTGAACCTTATGGGTTGGATTTAGAATTGGTTACGCTTTTGTAGTAGATAGTCATGATTAAGTTGTCCCATTCATTTCAGTGGACCTTCTCTAAGCATAAGTTAATCTGAATCCAACCCTTTATCTTGGCCTAAGAACATACTGGGCATTTGACATTAGCCTTCCATTTATAAATATTAGGATGGCTAGCTTGCAAATCTGTCAGAAGTCTCTCGCTGCTTCTTCTTCTGTAAAACATTATGAATATGCTAAACTGAACCAGTGTGACTTAAATTGCTTTTATGAGTGAGTGACTAATCTAACCTAATGCAATATCCTTCAATTCTAGGAATGATAGAAACAGCGCAAGTCGATGAGAGAGCACGAGGCAATGGTTCCAGTCAGTCAGGAACTGCAAGGCGGGGAGTACAGATAATTGATGATGAACCAGCAGCTCAGACCAGTGGAGGCTGCTGCTCATCTGGATAATTGTATAAGACTGTGTATCTTGCCCCTTAGTGAAGACTGCCGTATTCAAAGTCTCATTCTTTATCAGTGGAGAATCGGAATTAACAGTATTCAAAATCATTTCTAACAATTCAGTACCATTAAGTGCTAAACTAGTGGAGTATGTGACCAGAGAATTGGCATTTTCTACAATGGTTAACAAAGCAAACCAATGGCCTTTTTACATAGTTCTTCAATAATGAATAATATTGCATGTGGGAAAGACTTATGGCTTCATTTATATTTTAAATGAGATCATTATTTAATAACTTATATACACTATTGGAATGAGACATTTTTTGCAGCCCTTTGTATTTTGTGGTAGATTGAACTGTTATCACTTCAAAATTGCAAATTGATTTCTTTTTAATTAGCAGATACTGAATACTATTTTTGCAGGGTTGGTGTCAACCTATAACTGTCTGACTACTTTGATATATTCATTCTGTACTCCATGCTGGTAAAAATAAATTGTAAATTACATATTAAATATTTTATCTGCTTTTACAAGTGCAGGTGCAGAAATATGTACATTAGTCTTGTCAGTGATTGTGAAGTGAGTAACAGCTGGTGAAAAAGAAACAAATTTCATTATTGACTGCTCACTTTTATCCTTGCTAGATTATGTCCATTCTTTTTGCTTGCTCTGAAGTTCACATATTTTGGGAGAAACTTTCTGGCAAGTATAGGTCTCTAAACACATAAGGTCTAAACATCTAGTTGGAATGTTGTGATTTGCTTCTACACTTGTTTCTTCTAATAGAAGTTTGACATGCCTAAAATATTGAACTGCTTTATAGCTGCTTTTGTCACACAAGAATTGAATCTTACAAACTTGGCTGCTTCCATCTGATAATCACTAAGCAAGACCTGATCACGAAACTTCTGTTCTTTTATCCTTGCTTCTTCTTGTCAAGCTTTCTTCCAGTTAAAGAAATGAAAATAAGTGAAAAATAACTTGGCTGCAACAGTTTTCTTTGGGGGTTTTTTTAATAGGCCATTCAGATTGGAAAGAACGCAATGTGTTTTGTATCAGCTTTGTTGAAATCCACTTGGTTTTTGAATAGGAGGGATTACAAATAAGAATATAGAAAGTATCTTCTGAAGGGACAGAGATTTGGAAAATAACCTGGAACTGTTCTTGTATTGGAACTAGAAGAGTAAAGCTAAAGTAGAATGCTAAAGAAAATTTCACTGAAGGTATTATTTGGTAAATGGGTATATGTTGGTGTGGAAATGGAGTACATGGTTTAGCCTTAGAAAACTGGCTTGTGTGATCCTCATACTAATGTCACGTGGTGCTTTGAATTTTCAGTAGTGCAGTGATCGATATTCACATTCAAACCTAAAAATAAAGGTGCACTGAGAACTTGATACCAACCTTATTAACTTCACTCTCCAAAACCTGGCACATAAGCTTTAAGGTTATTAGTCTTCTAAAACATTGCATGGATTTATTATCTTTCACAAGTTGTATGAAAATCAGGTGAGGCTTATGAGAAGAAACTAGCTGCCACACATGGCTATAATCTATTTAATATGTACATTGTACTCTGTACCCTTGACCTTAATTGTAAGTTAGATGATCTGTTAAAGTGCATCTGTTTAGTTTGGTTACTGTGACTTAAACCATGTGCTGCTGTAAGCTACTCTATCTTCATTAAATATTCATATTTAGTACCTTTTACTTACAACTACTTTTCTCTAGTGGATACTGTTTAGCATGGTAGTAACAAAATGGACATAGGCTCAAACAGAGAGGGGTCTGAAGTTTTTTGAGAAGGTAAGGCTTCTTTCTGCCAGTTCTTTATTTGCATTAAAGTTAATGACTCTAAAAATTAGTCTTTGGCCCTTGTAACTATCTCAAATCAAACTGCAAAGTAGGATAAGAAATTAGTGTATCAGTCTGAAAATCCTATGGTGGAAGAATAATTCCGGATGCTTCAAGCAGCACCTTCCTGCTTCACCAGTCACTTAATTCGGACTGGGGTTTGGGAAGTCTTTGTAATCCTGAAGGTAGTTAGATCCTTAACAGAAGCAGAACCCATCTTCAGAAATCTATTTTAGGTGCGATTCTGAGCCACCTAACATAACTGCACCTTGATCCTAGTTTACTGCATTCTTGCTCTCCTTCAGCTGGTTGGTGGTGTGAGTTTCATTCAGAAGCATTTGTCAAAGCTTATCACACTTGTCCACAGGAGTGTTGCATGAATTTAGAAACCAGCATTCCCTTTATGTTTTGACAAGTGCCAGACTTTCCAAACTCAAACACAGATGAACATTGGGTAAGACAAAGTTGTGGGTTCATTTAATGGTTAGATTTTTTCATTTTACATACTTGTAGGGCTTCCATGTAGGAATGCGCAGTAACACTTTATTCCATTAATAATAATAATAATTTAAAAAAAATATTATGCTTTCCATCTGACTGCCCCCCCACTTCATTACCACCACTGAGAAAGTATGTTCCCATGTTGGCAAAGGTGATAAAAAAGCTTTTTTGCCTGCTGGTGCAAAGAGTGCCTCTTTGGGGAAAGCATTCCATAAATGGGGAGCCACCATTGAGAAGGCACATACTTGTGTCACCAACCTTTGCACAGAAAAGGGCCTCAGATGACAAATGCAGGGTCCAGGTTGGTTGTCCCTTGGATTAATTATTTTTCCTAGAAATTTTACTTGTTTTTTTTAAATGTCAGTATATACCAAATGGGGGCTATTCAAAGGGAACCAACACTAGTTCAGATTAATTTAGTTACTGCCAGTTCAAATGTTTACTCCATGTTAACTTTTCATTCTGTATTTTTTGTTCTGTTCTCTTGTATTTGTGCATAGCATTTGGGGGTTGTGGTGGCATTTGTCACTGCAAAAATAGTTCACTTGTGCAGATTCTTAACATATTGCAGTTGGAAGGAAAAATAGAAGGCATAAAGAGGTCTGTCATGCATGCTTGTGTGAAGTAAAGACATACAGAGGGGTAATTGAGTAGAGGATAGTATATTAGAGTCCTAGTGGCAGAGCTGAAGTGAAATGAGTCACCTGTTTTCCCCAGTTCAATACACTGTTACAGAATCATTCTGAAACGAATGATTAAGCACTGCCTTGTAAATTAGGGCAGGTCCTAATAGAAGTGGTTATGTTCCTACTTGATTTTGCAATTGCTGTCTGTTCTGAAATGAATTTGAGTCTCTTCCTCACTGCACACTCTAGTGTGAAAGTGCATGAACTATAAGTCCTTCAGACATGCTAATATGGACCCATGAAAGTTGAAACCATATTCTAGAAGCGATCTCTCCCCTTTAGAAAATAGAGATAAATGCCATGGCCATAGCCATTGACCTCATCAGCCAGAGTGCTTGGCTGATTGAACTCTGGACATTCATACTATAGTTGTGTAAATAAATAAATAAAAAAAGGTTACCCAAATGGCTGCTATAAATGACAGGATAATTACTTCAAGTTATTATCAGCTAAGAGCTGTAATTATTTTCTAGTTGAAAAATAACACAGTTTAGCAGTGTCAGATTCACTAATACTCCATGCAAGATTCTGCAAGATCCCTGCACTTCTAGCACTTGTGATTAATAAAGGGGTTGTTTAGATGTACCGTACATTTTCCAAGAAGGTAGTATGGATTTTCCCACTGATGTGCAACTTCAGTGTGCACTTACAATGCACACACACAATAGGTGCTCTGTATGCAGGCCTGGATCTTTAGATGCTGATCTTTAGTGATTTTAATATGTGTTCATTGATGTACTGGTAGGTACAGTGCTTTTGTGTTTCACCAGGACTACTGAATGGCCAAACTGAGGGGTGTGTGGTTGTGGTAGCTGTGTGCAGCAGGAAGAAAGTGCAGAGTAAGCCTTATAAGAGGTTAAGAGATAAGGAGGGTCTCACACTGAAAAGGATAGTAGCATGCGACATGGTTTGCGTTGTCATGTACTGGCTCAGGCTCTTGCCTGGTACAGTCACCACATTGAGCAAATCTTTAGGAAACAAGGTGCCTAAGGTGAATGCTTAGGCAGAGGACTAGTTAACAGCTTATGACCATGCTGCTAATATTTAGCGCAAGGCAGAGAGAAAGTGAGTTGAAAATATTTGTTGTTCTGGGCGCCCTAGATGCATAGTTTGTAGGTTTTCTTGCCCTCTTTTCTCTCTCCCTTTCCATCTTTGCTACATAGCCACCTGTCCCTGGCACCTGCCAACTGTAGTTGCAGTGGCGATGTGGAGGCCAGGAAGCAAAACCTCCAAAACTTATCTTCAGGTTCATATGGATGATGCAGGTGGCCTTTGAAGGCAGCATGGACCCAGGCCATTAATCAGGCCATTAATCAATTAAAAGAGGGAAACCATTACTTTTAAATGGAGCCTGGAAACAAAGAGGCAACCCGAGTAATCAGAATAAAATCCCAGTAATAGGCAGGGATCACCTCACTGATACTGGAGAATGTGTGTGGCTCGATGTCTCATAGAAAGCACGGAATTGCATCCAAAGCGCGCGTGATAAGATCGCCGCCTTAATACGAGCCACACTTTAGATCCGCCTTAAGAGGGAACGCCCACACTCCACGTCATCCAATCGAAGCCTCCCTCCGCCGCCCGGATTCATGGTTTTCGCCCGTTCGGCCACTTCCGTCAGTTTCCGCCGGTACCTACTGCGCAGAACCCTTTTCTCCTTTCCTTCCCGCCGCTTCCCCCGGCTTCCCTTCCAGCCGCGGTGCGCATGCGTCCCTCCAAGGCGGGGCCGGGCAGGGAGTTGTTGTGGAGCTGCTAGGGAGCACGTGAAGAGAGCAACGTCATCATAAACACTCGTAGCCAACATGGCGGCTCCTGGGAGCGGAAAGGTAAGAGGAAGGGAGGATGAAGGGAGTTTTTGACCCGCTGTGGGGAGGCAGTGGCGGCTGGGAGGGTTCCCTGAGGGGCTCCGGGGGTGGGAGAGGCTGCTTCTCCCTTCGCTGACCCCCAGATACTGCACAGTTGACGGGGGCGGTGGGGAGAGAAGGTGGGAATGACTCGGTGCTCCTGCCTGGCGGTGCGGGTAAAGGCCTTTGGCTTGGCTGGCGGTGGGCCGTTAGGAAAGGGGGGGGGTCTTTGGCGGGAGGCGGGCTGTTTCTTAACCTGATTGGCTGAGAGAGGTAAGATTCTTACACGTGGAATTGGTAAGGCCAGGGGGTTGTGCTACTGCGCTGAGGCTGCGTGAAACCCTCCAGTCTGGAGGTGGCAGGCAACGCGGGTTTCCTCGGAAGAAAACATCTCTTAAGGCTGAATAATTTACGCAGCCTTCGCTGCCATTCCTCCTTTTACACTTTTAAATTATTAATCCTGTTTTACAAGATAGCCGCTTTACACCAGCATTACCGGAGAGGGAACCTGTCCAAACCTTTTGCTGCTTTCTCACTTCTTGTACTCTGTGTCCAAAAGAGGAGTTTTTTTGTTTTTGTTTTTTAAAGCCTGTTAGGAAGCCAAACTAAATCGGTCTTGTGTCACTAAAAGCTCTTGAACTACTGTTATCAGGGACCAGCTGTTGCGTTGTTCAAATTTACTGTGGTTGACATTTACTGTCAGAGTGTCATTATTATTTTCTGGTAAGATGATTCATGAGGTTAACTGGCTGTCTTGTAAAGTGAAATGCTCTTAAGAGGCAGGGCAGTCAAGAGTGCAGCAGAGAAATATGGCAGGTTGATGACCTGGTGGTGATTTTAATGTCAGGATGTGAAACACTGAAGGAGCAGGGGCATTTTTATAGAAGGTAATCTTTCACTACAGTGGTGTACTTTTCACAGTGATTGGTTTAACAGTGTGATTTGGAGAAGTGACTTAGACACATTTGGTGTTGCATTTCCAAGACAGCATTGAGACTTCAGCATAGTGGCTTCCATATGCTAATTACATGTTATATGGAAAGGTACTTTCTTTTATTTACCATAAATCTACTCTAATTCACTTCATTGTATTACTTGTAAGTTCTGGTATTATAAAAGTGAGATAAATATAGCTCCACTTCCTCCATACCCTGCATTATTTTATAAACTTTTATAATGTTCCCCATTATTCACATTTCTCCCAAAACTTAAAAAGCCCCAAATTCTTTAGCCTTTTGATGGGAAACTGCTTCAGGCTCTTGAATATTTTGGCTGCCATGTTCTTCACTTTTTCAATTATTATTGTGTGCAATTGTGGTCTCAAAAAAGGATATAGTATTCTAAATGTGGCTGTGCTGTAGGTCTATATAAGGTATTGAGATATGGCTGTCTTATTTTCACTTCCTTTCTTATTTGTAGCTTTAAAAAAAACCTACTGCTGCACAATGAGTTGTCATTTTTGTTGAGCTATCCACCACTAACCCTGGAACTCTTTCTTGATCAGTCACTCAAAATTCAGACCCTCTTTGTTGATGTGAAGTTAGGATTTTTGTAGCTGTAGATTGATAAAGCTGTGTATTTCTGTACTTAACCCAGGGGTGGCTGGTGCCCATGGTATTGATGGGGTGGAAAGCAGGGAGATTGACAGTAGGTGGAGCCAGAGCCAATGCCCAGCAGAGCAAATTCTAGTTTTGCTCTATCCTTCCTGTTGAATTCTCTAAAGCAGTGGTTCCCAATTAGCTAATTACTGAGGATTCCCTATTTTTCAAAAGCTAAGCCACAGACCCGCTACTTTTGAAAATTTTGATAACTCTATGGTAGTTACCTGTGCAAAGCAATTTTTTTGAAGAAAATGTGGGATGGCCCCTAATAAGCAAAGAATTTTAGGTAAAAAAAAAGACCATAAAATTTGCAGTTAGAAGTTCTTTTCCGTTAAAAAGTAGAGAGCAAGGGGAAGCGATCCCTTACATTTTTAAAATGATAAGCATGTGAACCTGCCCTGTGGAGCAAGCCATTTGCGCTCTCTCGCTCTCTCTCCCCTCTAATTGCAAGAGCCCGAAGAAACTGTGTCAGAGGTAATCCCAGCTCACTTGCCATCCAGCAACTCTTTCACAAGTTTTCCCCTGGCAGCAAGCAGGCACTGGTTGCTAGCAGAGGCTGGGTGATCCATGGATCACCATTGTGGCTTTCACTGTGCAATTAATAAGATAAGTGTGTCCCTGGCAGGGGATGGTGCCGCGGACCCCCAGGGGTCCCTGGACCCCTAACTGGGAACCACTGCTCTAAGGGCAACACTGAGGCTAAGGAGAATCATAACCAGTGCCAATGAATAAGCTGGACCAGTCGCAAGTAACAAGGTAGGCAGGTAGGGCTGGCTAAGAACAGACTGAGTTTGGCGGGGCAGTGCCCCTGTTGCCTTAATGAATCAGCCATGAGTGACCTAACTCTTTAAGACACACAGAGGATAGAAAGGATTGTACATGTTTCCTAGTGAAAAACCTTTATCCAGGATGTTATATCGGACCATTGCCATACCTAATTTAACATGAGGGAAATTATAACAGAAAAGTTCATTTTCCTCAGGGCAGCAAGACTGAAAAACATGGGGAAGGTACAGGTATATGTATAATTTAGTTTGCTGCCCCAAGGCCAATTTTGTATTGGACTTTAATTTTACATTACCTTTCCTAGCTCTTTGTATGTACACCTTTTTTCCTTCTAAATTCCTTGAGGCATGCATGCTTCCACTCTCAATTATCTTGCAATCTGTGCCTGAAATCTTGTGTATATTAGCTGATTGGTGCCTTGTGCTGGAGAATGAAATTAAAAAGTAGTCTCCTACATTTTCTTTGTTCGTCCCACTATCCTAATAACGGCAAGTTTAAGCGAAACTTAATTCCTGTTTATTGCATGAATAGTTTAATTAGCTGATATATTTGTTCATATGCACCCACCTACAAGTGCTTTGACAGTGTACCTACCTGAGCAGAGGTGCAAGTGAATTTAATAAGAACACTAAATTAATAATTTGTCTATTTTGAGAAGGCAGCAGAAGCTGGCTTTTCCTTCTATCACTGTTACATTGAAACTGCCATTCTGGATTGTTGCAGTGATTCATTTTGTTCTGTTTTGTTACACAAAGTATCAGTGTAATGCTTTCGAAGGAGAATAAAGATACTTTTGAAAACAGTTGTGACAAATAATACAGTTGTGGTAATGGTGAAAGCCGAGGCTGCCTGCTTCAAAATTTGTAGAATTTGTGTTTTTAATTTGCTCTGTTTGTTATTTTTTGATTTGTTACATTTTTATCCTTTTCCTGAAAGGAGCTTGGAGTGGCATATGTGGTCTTTCACTCCCAAATGTATTGTTGCCTTGAATGAGTTGGGCTCAGAGATAGTGATTGGTCAAAGTGGCCTTCATAGTTGAGCATGCATTTGAGCCTTCCCGTACATTCAAAGTTAACAGTATGTATGTTAATAACTTTATAGGACCAACTGCCAAGTCACATGCAGGCAATAAGCAAGTTTCTGAGTTATGCAGATTTCTTCCTAGGCTGAAAAATTTGTGTGTGTGTGTGTATTTGTAGTAGGCAGAAAGCTGGGGCTTTTTGCAATGGCTCAACAGGCTCTCTTTGGGATGCTTTTCTACATAGGATAGAGGTAGCTCCTTAGGAAGAAAAAGAGTGGGATACAAATTTAATAATATAAATAACAGTGGTACCTTGGGTTACATACGCTTCGTGTTACATACGCTTCAGGTTACAGACTCCACTAACCCAGAAATAGTACCTCAGGGTAAGAACTTTGCTTCATGATGAGAACAGAAATCGTGCTCTGGCGGCAGCAGGAGGCCCCATTAGCTAAAGTGGTGCTTCAGGTTAAGAACAGTTTCAGGTTAAGTACGGACCTCTGGAACGAATTAAGTACTTAACCCGAGGTACCACTGTATGTTGTATTCTTGATTTTTTTGCATTTGTTTATTTAGGAAGAGTCGCATTGATTTTTGTTACAGGCTTCTATTCAGTTTGCTTCAGCAAAATTATTTCTTTTCTGTCTTAGTCACTCACACACTCAGTAGTCACTCACCTGCCTTCCTTCATTATTCCCCCACCACATCATCTTTAGTTGTTGGTTTCCTGGTTCAGATATAAGCAGCGGTCCAGTGTTGTATGCACAAGCAATAGTGACCCTTCGACTCAAACACTTCCCTACGCTGTCTCCTCCAGTGTGGTCATGAGGAGATCAGAACACCTGGTTATTATTTTAATCTATTCAGAGCTTGTGGAACATTTTTGTATGAAGACCAGTTGACCAGGAGGACTATAGTCAATACTGGGTATAGCCAGAGCCAAAAGTGAGTGGAATTTGGAAGATTGTACAGTTTCTCTGCCACCCCATCTTTGCAGTCTGCATGAAGTTAGTTTGAGAGTTGCATATTTTCTCATAGCCCCAGGTTTACATTACGGGTGTTTTAACAAGCCAGGACAATAAAATGTGGTTTGATCCTGGGTTGTTGGAACAAATCATAGCTTATACCTAATCCCTGCAGTTCCCTGCAATTTGAACATAATGAAAAATGATGATTATTGTAGAAGTAGAAATGGACGCTTCTGATGTCATGATTGACTGAGCTAGAGGAAGAGAAGAATTTGAAAGAGGAGTTTGAGTCCAAGGCTTGTTGCTGCTTCTACATATAACACTAAATCTGTGGTTTATCTGAAAAGCGACCAGTTCACCCACACTTTGCCTGCCATTTATCCCGTATTGGTTTCTCCCTTTGTGAATGAAGGTAATTGAAGCTGATGTAGTTATTGATGCATTAATATTTTGATACTTATTTCTCCGTTTCTGAGTTTTAATACAGTATTCATTGCAAACATGTAATTCTGTTTAATCTCCTGTCTGGATCAGCATATGAGGAGACATGACCATAGCCTCTTGTAACAGAAATCCTACCCAGTTTCTTGCATGATTGTGTCACATATTGAGAAGAACAGGTCTTATCACCCTAATTCAGAAGTGGGGAACCTGTGGCACTTTAGATGTTGTTGGACCAAAACTTCCATCACCCCTGACTATCATCAGTATTCGCTGTAGCTGTAGTAAGAGTCCAACAACATATAGAGGACCACCGGTTCCCCACCCCTGCCCTATTGGAAGTCCCCAGGTTGGGTTGAACCGGCCCCCAGAACCAGTTCAGGATATCAAATTGTCAGAAAACGCTTTTAAGAAACAACTTTGCTTAACTTTTTTTTTTTTTAGGTTGTATATGAACAGGAAGGAGTTTTCATTCACTCCTCCAGTGGAAACAGTGATGATCAGGATTGTTTGTTATCTGGGATACTGAGAGTCATAGAAAAGGTATTAAATCAATATTTTGTGTGTTATGTTTATTGTGACTTTACCTTCTGCCTTTCTATCCTGCAAAGATATTGTCTTACTGACCAAAATACATAGTGTGCAAAGTAAATGGAGGCTATTTTTGTAAATAGAAAAAAGTAAAACCTTAATGGCATTGAGTCACTTGAATAATTGCATAATTTGTGTTGTAGGATACTGAGGTGATAGTAGATTGGAGACCACTGGATGATTTATTAGATTCGTCTAATATACTATATGCTAGAAAGGTATGTTGATAACTTGCAGCAATCTTTTTTGAAAGGTTTGCAAAATTGATTTTAAAAAAAGTAAAACAAAATCTTTCTTTGATTCTCAGAAACCATAGTTGTTACATGGTAAAGTAACATAAATGCCTAATTGTACTATCTGATTGTGGGGTACAGGATCCACAAATCTTTGATCTGTTTATGTGATGGATGCTTTTAAAAATGCTATTATTAATATTGGTACACAAAACTGAGTGTATTGGTTGAGATACATCTATTGCAAATTGAAAATATACATAACTGAGAAATGGGGGTGAGACATTTATTTGGCTCAAATGGCCTTAATGGGGACCATCAGTAAGAATGGAAGGTAGGTTATGATCTGTACAGTACTTTTATACATTTGCTAGTATAAAACTATTTGAGTAATATGTTGTATGTTCTCTAGATAGTGATCAGTGAAAGATAACCAATCCAAATCTGTTGCTTTACAAACTCATGTTCCTTGATTCCGCCAGAAATACTGTTGTTTTGTCCCAGTCTTCCCCTCCTAATAAGGAAGGATAAATATGATGGTGGTTCTTGTTTTTAAATTTAATTTAATAGAACTGTGAAGGCAAGGAGTATGCCGTTTTTAAGTTCTTTAATTATTATACTATGACTTCCCCCTTCTAACTTAAGAATCAGTATACATGACATTTATCATGTTATCTCTGTTGGTTTCTGCTTTCCTTCACTGTGCAGCTTTGCTTGTCACGAGACAGGTGTTTACATTCCACAGTCTGTACTGTTGGAGTTTCTCACGGGAAAGGGAGACTGGATGTGACGTACACTGGTTTCCTGTTTTTCACTGTGTGATTCTCTCCGAGCTGTCGAGGAGAGAGGATGCATTTTCTGCTCCGGCAGAGGCAAGATGTCTTTCTGTAATATACCAGCTTTGAACTGTAAATAAAGCAATATGGAGTATGCAGCACGTATTCCTCATCCTTCCGCTGGGCACGAGACTCTGCTTAAATCAACACGTGGTTATGGGCCCAGAAGTCGAATCGGAGTGCCGGCAAAGGATCGGAATGCAGAGGGACAGATCGGAACGGAATCTGCTCTGCGCGTAGAAGTGATTGATGAGGTATGTGCTACTGCTCCGGGCAGCCTGCCAGCTTCAAGTTAATGGCTTTATGGCTGGACTTTGAACTTTTAAAGCCGGTTTGCCGGGAATAGGCAAAAGGCTCCCAGGCACAAGTCACTATGCTGGGGAAATCGAAAGTAACTTTTAAGTGCGCCTTTGTAATAAGGCAGCTGCAGCAGTGACGCAGCAAGATTTAAAGCAGCATATGACGCTGAAGGCTAATGCCAGAGTCATGATGGCCCTTCAGGATGCTTGTGGGATTCCTAAGCTCAACAAGAAAAATTACAGCGACTGGGTTCAGTATGCAGAGGCGATTCTGCGGAAAGAGGGTTTGTTTGAGGTGATTACAGGAACCCCCCCAGTTCCAGTTACAGATGCATGGGAAGCTAAGGATTCCAAAGCAAGGGGAACTCTTACATTGATAGTATCCCCAGAAGAGCTCTGTCTATTGCGTGATAAGACCTCAGCCAGAGAAATTTGGGACGCTTTGAGAGAGGCTCACTTAAGGACAGAAGCTGGATCCACTATGTTTTACTTTAACAAGCTGCATAATATGGCTCTTGCTGAAGGTGGAGATGTGCGTTTACATCTGATGGAGATGCAAAATCTGAGACATGAGCTGCAACAGAGAGGACTCAACTTTCCAGAGGCTGTGTATTCTTTCATGATACTACAATCTTTGGGTTCAGGTTGGGAGTCTGTTGCAACCCAGATTGCTGTGCAACCAACTGCTCAGCTGACAGTGGACTTTGTTACTGCCGTGATTTTAAATGAAGCAGATCGCCGGGGTGCTAGCTGCATGGGCAAGGGAGTCTTCACAGACGTCATCCCATAGTGCAGTGGAACCACCAGATGGCGCCAAAGCTTTGAAGGCAGTGAAATGCTACTCGTGTGGACGTCTAGGCCATATGAAGAGGGAATGCAGACATCCCAAGGCCAAGACAGAGCAGCGCAGCGAAGCTCATCGCGCGGAAAAGGCCGAGGCAAAGGCAAAGGTCCGGTGTCTAGGACAACGCAGCACAAGGCTATGGTTTCACGCTTCACTCCAAAGGTTGCAGAGGTCCAGAAGACGTCTAGATCTTTCTTCGTTGTTGATTCAGCGGCAACCCACCACATGTGCAACGATAAGAAACTGTTTGTGTCTTTTACACCGCAGGAAGGTGCGATTCACCAGGCGGATGACCACACTATTCCCAGTAAAGGCTACGGAACTGTTGTTCTTCACAGTTTGGACTTATCGATACAGAATGTGCTTTACGTGCCAGACGCCAAACATAATCTGCTCAGCGTTGGACAGCTGAATGAGCGGAACATTGACGTTTCCTTCAAGAACAAGAAGTGCATCATCACAAAGAAAAATGATTATGTATTGCATGCAGAATATGTTGATCATTTGTTTGTTTTGTATTATGATGATGTGGTGCAGGATGACACTTGTTGCATTGCAGGTTCTAACAAAAGTTTGCATGCAGAATGTATTCACGATTTTCATCGAAAATTTGGTCATTTGCATTTTGAGGCAGTATCTAAAATGCCTGCCTTGGTTGAAGGTATGACTATTAAACCCTGCAGGTACCACATGAAGTGCAAAGCATGCGCAGCAAACAAGGTGAAAATGGCTGCGAAAGGTAAGGTGTCTAGTAGGAAAGCTACAGAACCATACCAGGTTGTTCATGCTGATTTGGTTGGACCACTAGCGCCCTCTTTGGGTGGAAATAGATACTTCATGGTTCTCATTGATGCATTTTCTAGATATATTTTTGTGTACAATCTCAAGCAGAAATCGGAGGCTTTTCCTAGGTTCAAGGAATTCTGTGCTTGGTTGGAAAATGTGCATGGTAAGAAGATAAAGACTCTTTTCAGTGATCGCGGGGGGGAATTCACTTCTCAGCAGTTTGAAGCTTTTCTGACTGAGAAAGGAATTCAACACGATTTGTCTAGTCCTCGCTCGCCATGGCAGAATGGACTTGCGGAACGGGCAAATCAGACAATGCTTCAAGGGTTAAAAACCTTGCTGCATGATGCCAATCTTCCAGAGAGTTATTGGGCCGAATCTCTCTCGTGTTTTGTTTACAGTTACAATCGCAGGTTATCTTCAGCGATTGGTTGTACCCCTATGAGAAGATGTTTGGCAAGAAGCCATACATCAAACACATGAAGATTTTGGTTCTGACATGTGGGTTCGCTCACCACAAAACTCCAAGTTAGACAAGCGTGGATTGCATGGTATCTTTCTAGGTTATCAGAAAGGGTCTTACAGAATAATGATGACTGACTCTAAGACAATTAAGCTCACGAGAAGTGTCGAGTACAATGCAAAGTGGGGGAGAATGTGGGAATTTTCCAATGTTATCCTGATGACGGTGATGAGACTGAGGATAGTCAAAAGCAACCACAACGGCCCACACCCACTGATGAAGGTTCTGAGTCTGAATCTGAAACTGAATCGGGTGATTCAGAGGATTTCGAGAGTGCGAAAGCCTCTATGCGACCCTCTGAAAGCTCTGATCAAGAATTGGAGGAACCATTGTTCACAATAGGTCGTTTTTCTCCTAAGAAGGAAGAGGAGAGTGTTGAAGACTTAAGGCTAATTCGTAGGTCACAGAGAGCCACAAAAGGCAAACCTCCAAAGAGATTTGCTGATGAGTTTGCTACGATAGCAGTAACAGCTGTTAAAAGCTCCAAGAAGGTATTTGAACCTTCAAGTTTCCAAGAAATCCAGGGTTTGGATTCAAAGGAAGCTGAGCCATGGTTAAATGCCATGAAGGCTGAGCTTGATTCCTTAGAAAGGAACAAAACATGGGAGCTAGTTCCAGTAGTTCCAGGAATGAAACTGCTTGGAAGCAAATGGGTCTTCAAAGCGAAGACAGATCAAAATGGCAAGATAGTCAGACACAAAGCCAGATTGGTAGCCAGAGGTTTTGCACAGGTACCAGGTGAAGACTATCACGAGACCTATTCACCCACAGTGAGATATGAAAGCATTAGGCTTATGCTCAAGCTAGCTGCAGAGGAAAATCTACACATTAGTCACCATGATATTAATACAGCTTTTCTGTACGGATCTCTAGATGAATCACTTTATATGCTTCCACCTGATGGCGTACAGGTAAAACAGGGATTTGTTTGTGCTCTGAAGAAATCCCTTTATGGTCTCAAACAAAGTGCACGGTGTTGGCACACAAAACTCACTGAAGTATTGTTTTCTCTAGGTTTTCAGCAAGGGAAAGCTGATCCATGTGTATTTGTCAAAGAGGAGGGGCAAAAGAAACTGTACTGTTTGTTTTATGTTGATGATTTATTATTCTTTTGGAAGGATGTTGCAATGTACAATAGCGCCCTAGCTCAACTGAAAGAGCACTTTGACATGAAAGATCTTGGTGAGGTAAACAACTACCTATCTCTGGAAATAGAGAGAGATCAAGATGGTAACATTCTAGTACACCAGTCACGGAAAATTGCTGATGTGTTAAGCAAACTAAATCTGATGGATGCTAACCCTGTAGACACACCGATGACAACAGGTTATCAGGTAGATGACACTGAAGAAGCATTTTCTGACACTACACTGTACAGGAGTGTGCTAGGCAAGCTAAACTTCATTGCCAGATGTTCAAGACCAGACATTGCTGTTAGCTGTAATTTGCTAAGCAGACAAGTCAACAATCCTAGTGTCAAGGATTGGAAAGCTCTGAAACGCATAGCGCGGTATTTGAAAGGCACTATGCATTACAGACTGAGATTTAACAATCAGAAGTCTGGTGGTCTTGAGATATTTGCAGATGCAAGTTTTGGAAGTGACACTACAGACAGGAAAAGTACGTCTGGAGTTTGCTATATGTACAATCAGAGTCTGTTTGATTGGTCATGCAAGAAGCAAACAACAGTTAGCTTAAGTACTTGTGAAGCCGAACTGAATGCACTGTCTTATTCACTTAAGGATTGTGAATGGTTAGTACAATTGTGCAAAGATATGAAAATTCCTGTCAAATGTCCAATCCAGGTTTACCAGGACAACAAAGCATGTTTGGCTTTGCTGAAGTCTGAAGGTTGTAAGCAAAGCACAAAGCACTTGCAATTAAAGTTGCAGCATGCTAGGGAATGTATTCAGAAGGGACTCGTAACGGTGTCCTATATGCCAGGTAATGAAATTCCTGCTGATGTATTGTCCAAGATTGTATCAAGGGATCAACACTGTACCTATGTGCAGAAGTTGGGTTTGTACTGATATTGTACAAACACGCTGCCCAGTGATGTTCACAGAAAGGGGGAGGATGTTGGTTTCTGCTTTCCTTCACTGTGCAGCTTTGCTTGTCACGAGACAGGTGTTTACATTCCACAGTCTGTACTGTTGGAGTTTCTCACGGGAAAGGGAGACTGGATGTGACGTACACTGGTTTCCTGTTTTTCACTGTGTGATTCTCTCCGAGCTGTCGAGGAGAGAGGATGCATTTTCTGCTCCGGCAGAGGCAAGATGTCTTTCTGTAATATACCAGCTTTGAACTGTAAATAAAGCAATATGGAGTATGCAGCACGTATTCCTCATCCTTCCGCTGGGCACGAGACTCTGCTTAAATCAACAATCTCTTGCTGATCTTATCTCTAAACTAAAAAAATCCCAATCTTTCCCAGAAGGGTAGTTGCTCCATTCTCTCAATCACTTTGGTTGCCCATTCTGGAATCTTTTCCGAACTCTATAATCCTTTTTGAGGTGAGGAGATAAAAACTGTACACAGTATTCCAGGTGTGGTTATACCATAGATGTGTATAACAATATTGACAGTTTTACCTAATGATCCCTAGCATGTAATTTGCCTTTCTCACATCTGCTGGGCTGTGGCTTATCATCTTCATTGAGCTATCCCCCATGACCACAAGGTCTCATTCCTGGTCAGTTGCTACCAGTTAAGACCCTATGAGCATATATGTGAAACATAGATTGTCTGCCCCAATGTGCATTACTTTACACATGCTTACATTGAATTGCATTTGCCTTTTTTCCCACCATTCACCCAGTTTGGAGAGATCCTTTTGGAGCTCTTCATAATTCCTTTTTAACCACCCTGAACAAGTTGCTATCATCGGCAAGCTTGCCTAATGCACTACTCACCCTTAATACTAGAACATTTATGAACAAATTTAAAAGCACAGGTACCTATATTGATCTTTAGATTTTTTTTTATAAAAACAACAACAACAGGAATATTGGGGGGTGTCTTTTTTTATTAATCACTAGCTGCAAGTGAAACTATTTTTGATTGTTTCGATATCTTATTTAGGATTCCAGTTCTGTTGTTGAGTGGGCACAGACTCCTAAAGAGAAGACTCTGCGAGGAACAGAACATCCGAACAGTTACGAGGCAGAATGGGATATGGTCAACACAGTCTCTTTTAAAAAGAAACCACAGTCAAATGGAGGTAAATGAAGAATACTGTGTATAAAAACATATAAGCTATTCCAGTGGATGATCCCAGACACTGAGGTTCTACATGTGGAAGAAACCACTGGGTTGGGCCCCTTTTCTTGCGTAGCTGAAAGCTGCAAACCTTTTGCTCTGCTTGTGGAGCTCCTCTCATCTGATAGTGCTGATCATCTGTCTGTAGTGGGCTTTAACACTCTGAAGTGGGGTGAATTTGTGTAAAATAATGCACTCTGAAAATATTCCATCTGTAGCAGGTAATGACTGCTCCCCACATCAAATGGGGGCACATTTTGTGTGGTTGCACGCAGCTCCCCTGGACCTATGCTGCACCTGGTGGTACAGCCTGGCTTCGCCTCCCCCCCCCCAGCTGGACACCTGGAGGTCTCCGCCTACCTCTGCCCATTATCCTATCCCGGCTGGGGAGGCGTTGCCAGGAGATTTGGCCACCCTGCCCACACAATAGAGGGCAGAACTTACCTGGGAATTCTCAGTCGCCTCCAGAGCCAGCTGTGCATGTAGCATACTTGTTTTTTTCCCTTTTGGGTGTTAATGTTATAATATGAACTAAATTAGTGCCGGTTCTTTTCTAATAATGACAGTTTTTACCATATGTCTTTGATAGGGTATATGCTATTGGTTCGGCGAGAAGAGTTGAATGACTAAATACTTCAGTTTTTCAGATCCTAGTCAAGTTGCATAGGAATATATCAACTGCGTTTTACTTTCAGACCATTGCTCCATCCCTGTTCATTGAGATAGACAGTAATGGACGTGATTCCCCAAGATCTTGGGCAGGGGATTTTCTCAGCCTTCCCACTTCAAATTCTTTTAACCAGAGAATAAGCCTGGTACTTTGTGAAGGCATACCACCACTAATAGTGGTGGAGCTAGCCACACTGAAGTATTGGATGAAATTTGTGCTACCATGATGTTAAGTGCACTTATTCTTGGAAGTAGTTTTAATATATTCCAGGGCTATGCATTGCATATTGGCTTCAGATCAAGAAAATAACATACTCTTTTCCCCATTAGATGCTGCTGTTCACACAAATGGAGAGAACAAGTGGTCCTTCCTGTTCAGTTTAGCAGATCTAAAGTCCATTAAGCAAAACAAAGAAGGAATGGGATGGTCCTATTTGGTATTCTGCTTAAAGGATGATGTTGTCCTCCCAGCTCTTCACTTCCATCATGGAGACAGCGCCTTATTGATTCATTCCCTTAGAAAATATGTGGTGCTTTGTGAGTAAGTATTCATTGCTATTCCTTTTTTTTAATGATATTTATTAGTAATTTAAATTAAGTAAAAGAGAATAAAAAAGAAAAGACAAACCACAGTCAAAACAATACAATTAATAAAAATCAAAATCAGTAAAGAACACACAATTGAAAACAAAATATGCCAATAAACATTTAAAAAACAACCAATATTCTCTACATCTTAACTGTCATTACCTTCTTTTCTTTGACCTCCCCTTTTTTGTATCCTAATTATTAATTGTCACAGCAACTTTTCCTCATATTTCATAATATTCTGTCACACTTTACCTTAATCTATTTTAATTTATCTAATATGAAACCTTAAACTAAAACTTTTAAATTTATTTCTTACCAATTCTCATAACCATAATATTCTACATAATTCTTTAAACATTTTTGCTAGCCAAATAATTTCATTCCAACATTTTTCTAACATTCACCACTTATAAAACAATCATAATAATGAAATAACAATCCAATCTTCATCCAGCTGCTTTCTTCCTCCTGAACTGGTTTTACTGGGTCCTTTCATCCCATCAGTCTAGCGCATTAACCTGGTAACCTTATGTCCGAGGCCCTTGCCTTCCATGTCCCTTCCGCAGCTCTTCTTCATATTTATAGCTATATTTTCCTTTGTCTCAGCTTCTTCACTCTTAACTCCAGCTTGACAATGCTTTTGATCCTTCTGACAAATCGCCCTTTTCCATAGTCCCCACTAAGTTCATGTATTAAGAACATGTTTCAAAAACCTCCAAACAAGAGCCCCCACAACCCCAAACATCTAATGCCCATTGCCAGACTTCAAAAGTCCAAACTCTGCATAGGGGGGTCTATCCAACCCCCATTTCCAAACCAAACCAAATCCTTGCCTTCCAAATTCATTTTTCCAAAACATTTATCAAACTAAGAACGCTGTTCCTGGGCCGCAGCTCCTCCATCCCTGGCGCCACATTCAGCAACGTCCCTCTCTCATCTGCCTGTCAGGCACACTTACCCAATTCCTGTAAATCTACATAATATCCCACTGCTCATTCAAAATTTTTGACCAGATCAGCTATAAAATCTGTCTTCTTCTCATGTAGCTGTTCCATAGGCAATTTGTTTTACAGAAAGCATCAACAGAGCTTCTGAACAAGATCCTGCAAGGTCAGAAGACTATTCCCACGATCAAATCAGGAACATTGCGAGCTTCCCGATTCAAAATTGTTACAGTTTCACAGGCTCCCTCTAGGGGAATAGACTCTCGCTGTTCTCTTTCTTTTAAAAACAAATCTAACAACAAAGTTTCTTTTCAGATATTTCCTTGTCAATATTTGTCTTTGAAATGCGAAGGGGGAAACAAATGGAATCACTATGTATCTCTTCCTTAGCTAACTGCCAAAAGCGCTTGTTTCTGGTCAATGAGAGCGCTTCAAATAACCTCATCCACACCCTCGCCTCCAGACTGCAGACGGGTGGTGCCATTTTTACTTACACTCACTCTGCAGGCTTGAACAGTCCAGAAAATCTCCTTCTCCCAGCCCAAGGGGGTTCCACAATTTTAAATGAATGTGTTAATCCTTGTAGTTGCATTTTCAGAACTTAGTTTGCAGTGCCTTGCTTTAATCTATCTACAAAGAAACGGGAAGGCCACTTCCTGTTTAGACCTTCCGTTTCAGTGCCAAATGTTAAACTTTAAGTCCAGTTTTCCTTTCTGCTCACAAATCCTTATTTAGAGTCCAATTGTCCGAAACTTAAGTACTCACGTGGTAGTTGTTTTAAAGTGCTAAATTTGTCCAGGAAAAAGACAGCACTCTCCGGCAACGGCAGTGCGGCTACGCTCCACTGAAGAAGCAGTTCACTCTCAGCACCGCGCCACTTCCTCTTCGCTCCGAGCCCGTTAGTGGGTTCCTTTGGCGGGCTGGGGGCGCTAAAGGTGCCCGCTTGTCTCAAGGGGTCACAGGCTTCATCCGCCAGATTTTGACAACATCCCGTCGCCGTAGCGGAAAAGACCCGATTCCCGTGGAGCTGGTCCCTCCAGTTCAGAGGGAGTCCGCCATTGCTGATGGCGCCACCCCGGAAGTCTATTTGGTCAGTTATTCTAGCTTTACTGTTTGCATAGCCATCATAATGAGTTGATCAACTTTTTTTTTTAAGCCAGCCAGTGAATAAATAATGCTTCTAGTCATAGTTTTTAAACCCATCAATAGGCTCAAGTTGTGATTTTAAAAAGAAATACTAAATTGTAATTATCAAGCACAACTCTGCGAAGAACCTGTAATGTTACTACAGGATGCATTTATTTATTTATTAACTGCCCTTCACCCTAAGGTCCCTGGGCAGGTTACAATATTAAAAATATACACCTCAAGTGTCAAAAGCTAGGGTAAAAAGGTGCATTTTTAGTTGACATTTTGCACAGAAACTCATACATAGATTATTTTAAGATGACAGCCCAAGCTATAGCAAGCAGGTAACACTACATATGGGAGAAAGGAGTGGCAGGTACAGAATCTCCTGAAATACTGAATTCTCTTTCCCCTACTGGCTGTCTACAGTAGGGGGAAGGTGAGATGCAAAATACAACACCCCAGCATTCTTTCTCCCTCTGCCCAGTGGCTGTAGCTAGCAGAAAAGCTGCAAGAAAATCCAAATCCAGCACTTCTTAGTTTTCCAAGAATGGCAGCTTAGTTCAGAGACACTTCTTCAGATGCTGGTGGCCAGGCTTCTGTAAACAAAACATCCTTATTGTAAAAATATCCAATAGAGAAGTCACTGCAGCCCTGCAGCTGCGCTAGGCTTGAATTTGCAATTGACCAGGCCCCTAAAGTCTTTCCTCTCTTACCACTTGCATCTCCTAGATCTGACCCTTCCTGCTTTCAGGACTAATCTCTTCAATGATTTTTCTCTGTTGGCTCTGCTGGATCAAAATAAGTGATCCAGGTAATAGGAAATAAATAATTTCTTTTGGAGACTGGCAATAAACAATTCACCTACGATAAGCTCTCCAGTAGTATATAAACTAAGATCACAGTACTAACTAGTCAGAGGTCTGAGAGGAAGAGGGAATTTCTGTGACGCCCTGAACAAATACAACCCTAGGCCATTGGTTACTAACAATAAATATCTGACTGACTGAGATTGTTGCCCACATCTTGTATTTAGTCCCAGACCATGACTGGACATCTTCTAACTTCTCTTAAAAATATATTCTAAATGAGTAGGCATTTTCTAGTTGGCACTCAAATCTGACAGAAGCTTTTTTAATTTCAAGCAAATAATGCCTAATTAGAGAATTGAAGTATACAAGAGAGTAAGTAGGATTTCAAAGTTTCTTTTAAAAGACTCTAAATTCAGTTTAATATTACTTGAAAAATCCATATTTCCTTGGTACAATATCATAAATAACTGCTCAGAGCAAATAAAGTGATGCTAATTTATTGTGAATATTACTCAGAATGAGTTTAATTAAAATGGAAGTATCTTTAAGAGGTTTTTTTTATTCTGATGGGTTAGCTAAGTATGACGCATCACAACCTTTGCTTTCTGGGCTGTATTAGCAAACCTCAGTTCTGGTTTATTAACAGCCGTGTCATCAAGACTGATTATATCGCCTCTTCTGACTTTAAGATGCAATCTGTTGTTGAATTTCATATCCTCTGGCACAAATGCTGCATCCTTCCATGCCAGCACTGGGAAGCGATAGCATTTATTAAAAGTCTTATCTTTAATAACAGAATAGGTGGTAGGTGTTCCAGGTAACAATGAATAAATGTAATGGTGTTTTGTTTCAGAAGCTAGTAATAGTGAATCCAACCAGCTAATTTCCTGAATAAGCCTGAGGTGGCAATCAAATACTTTCAACTTTTTTAATAGTGATGTCTTCTTTCTGTATATTTCTGTGTGCACATGCACACATATAATCCTCTTAAAATATTGCACAATGAATTCACTTTTCCCAAATGTGATGGCTATATTGTTGAATTTCCCAAAAGAAAGACTTTGATTTTAGAAGGGGAAATGGTTTGTTTTTGTTCACAGATCTCCACAGGACAAGAGAATTCTTGTGAACTGCCAGAGTATTTCACAGTCGTTTGAAAATCTCCTTGATGAACCAGCATATGGTTTATTAGAGGTTTGTGTGATTTCCTAATTGTTTAATATTCAGTTTAATATTCAAGATTTTAAAATGCCCAATTCTTGAAGGGAAACCAAATTTCAACCCTGGGAATTTTCATGCTGGCAGATCCTTATTTTTCTTTGCTATGTTTTCTGTACAAAATGAAGTATGTATTTGATTTCTTTTTAAAATGTCCTTATCTGTATCCTGCCCTTCTTCCCAGTGGGAACACTGAACTGGTGAAAGAGGCTGTAATGCATTATTTTGGAGATGCATTTTTTCAGCTTCCTGTAGCCTTTTGGACACAACTTGTATCAGTTGTGTACTCTTTGGGCAGCTTGCTTTTGAGAATGAATGTCATACTATCAGAATTCCCCCCCAAATTTGTGTGAGCCATTTCAGAATTTGTTTACCCCTGTGCTGTTCTCAGAAACTGAAGACTGATCCTTACACAGCAACAATGGGAAGATTTTCAAAAGTGACCAACTATATATATGATAGTTTACGAGGAAGTGACCCCGCAACTCAGCAGCGGCCTCCCTCAGAAATGGCAGACTTCTTTAGCGATGCTATACCAGGCTTGAAAATAAATCAACAGGAAGAACCAGGATTTGAAGTCATTACACGAGTAAGCATTCTTGATAGCGAGGGTGGTTTTAAGATACAAATTAGTGCACTGGTAATAATTTAACAGCTTTTCTGGTGCATATTTTAGATTGATTTAGGAAAGCGACCCGAAGTGAACAGAAGACAACCAGTGTCGGTTGAAGAATGGACTAAGAATATGGATTCTGAAGGGAGAATCTTAAATGCTGACTCCATGAAACAAATGATATTCAGAGGGGTAATATCTTAGAATATCTCTTTAAAAATTGTACCGTATTCGCCCAAATATAAGCCGTACCCAAATATAAGCCGCACCTTTAAAATTCAAGAGGGAAAAGGAAAAAAAAGACAATACCCAAATATAAGCCGCTCTCTTAAAATTCCACAGGCACTCACACCTGTTCTGTTTTGCCATATGTCTGTTTCAGCAGCGATATCCTAAAAGCCAATTTTTGTAAGGTCACGAATTTCAGCCGCACTTTAACTTTTCACAGTCGGAATTTGGGGGGGGGAAAGTGTGGCTTATATTCTGGCCAATACGGTATTTGATTCCTTATTGCTAGGACAGTAGCTAGCAGGTACATGTATTTGGTTATTCCTCCAGAAAAGGTTAACTGAAATTATGAATCATTCAAATAGCAATACTCCGAAGCGGCTGGCCATCAAATCAGGGGTAGCTAACCTGTGTTCCTCTGGAAGTTGTTGGATCCCAACCCTCACCCACCCCATCCGGCATGGACCATAACCATGGATGATAGGAGTTTTAGTCCAACCACACATCTAGCCATGCTTGTTATATAAACCCTTTAAGTTCTGTTTTGAAAGCAGTGATTTCGCGCCGTGGATTTCTAATGCCCTGTTTGGAGAAGCTCACTACTTTTCATGTGTGTTGATACTGCTAATTGCAGGACTGGTCCCTTAGTGGCTAATACTGAATAAGGCAGAGTTATGTGAAAATACGTTGGCGTGAACAATGCATAAATAAGAATTTAGCAAATAAAGTATGCAGATCTTTTAGGACAGAAATGAGGATGTGCTAGCCTTAGTTTAAGGTTTAAATGAAGTCCACTATGGCCATAGCTTTTTACTCCATAGCCGCTGATAGAACATGGGCGTCTTGAAGGAGTTTGCCCTAAGGCTGAGATGGGCAACTCATGACCCTCCCGCTGCTGTAGGAGTACAGCTCTCCTCTTTCTTGACCATGCTGCCTGGGGCTGATGGGAGTTGGAGTCCAGCAACACCTAGACATTGCATCCTTGTGCACAGTGCCACTTGCCTAAATCTTTTCTAGATGGCTCCAGGTAAAGCCAAATAGAACTACCTTTAGAACTTGTTGGAAATTATTTGTAATGTTCTAAGATTTGCCTTCCCACAGTGACTTCAGTTTAACCTGAACAGTGTGTTATAGATATTTTGGAGTAATAGCTTTAAAAGACAAATGGTTTCAGTATTTACACTTAAAGCTTTCAGATAAATTTAGAAAATGTAAGTTTCTGCCCAAAGACCTATGAATCTGCATGTTGATAAGATGTGACATGAGAGGGAAGGAGGCAGGGAGCTTAGAAAGGGGGGGTGTTGCGGAAAAACATGTAATTTAATTAACCTCCAGGTTGATAACTTCATTTTTTTCAATGATACGTTTATAAACATAATGCAGAAAAATATTAAGGTAGGGAAACAAACATAAAAGGTTAGGTCTTAATGAGCATCCTAAAAAGAAGTTGAAGAAACTAGGTGATCTAACAGCAGGGGAAAGAACCCCACCCTCCCAAAAAAAAATGACCAGAGGAAATCAAACGTAGGAAACAGTGGCAATAAAATTAGGTAATGTTAGCTCCTGCACAACTACAGGATTTGAATAAAGTTGTTCTTATAAAGCGCCTGATGTTGCCATTGCTATTTTATTATGTTCCACTTAGGGCCTTTGTCATGCTTTGAGAAAGGAGGTCTGGAAGTTTCTTTTGGGTTATTACCCTTGGCACAGTACTAGGGAAGAAAGAACAAATATACAGAAAAGGAAAATGTAAGTACGGCTCCCTTAAAACAATGTCATAATGTGGAGTAAACTTTGCATACTTGCAAGACAACTGCTTACAAATATCATTACTACTATCATTTTTTCTTCAGAGATGAGTATTTCAGGATGAAGCTTCAGTGGAAATCTGTCAGTGAAGAACAAGAAAAAAGAAACTATAGATTGAGGGACTACAGAAGTCTTATAGGTAATTTTAAGAAACATAGAAGGCAAAGAGATATGTTAGTGATAAACTTTTACTCCTTTTTTAAAAAATTGAGGTGACCTCAATTATCCACGATGTTTGTTAGACATTGTTTCTGTAACAAAATTATGACCTGTTAGGTTCAGTGTGTAGGTTCATGGCTTCTTTCTCTTTCATGTCCTAACACTGTGAACAGAAGACAAATATCATAATAAAAGGATTAATAATGAATAGAAATGAGCCAAACAAACAAACTCACCATTCTTTCAACGAGTGATCTCAGGGCTGCCATGAAACAGTGTATTTTAGTTACCAAATGCCTGGATAAACAGGAATGTTTTTAATTTCCTCTTGAAGTCAGCATGCGTGCTGTGCAGCCATTTCTTTTCTGATCCTTGTAGTTGATGCAATTTTATTTTGCTGCTGACTGAAATAAAGGAAAGCTGAGTGTGTGCTGAACTTGATTTCACTTTAAATAAATTTCTACAGGTTGCTGACCATATGCTTTAGTAGCCTGTTACAAACTAAAACTAACATCAAACTTTATTATTATCTGCTCTTACAAGCAATGACAAACATTTAAAATGCTTTATAACATTAGCAATAACTCTTAAAGGCAAGAGGGATAGTATGAGACCAGAAAGCTAAGTTGTATGTTTAATGTGCATCACAGCAGGCATGCAGTCACACCAGTGTAAGAAGCAGAGTAATATTTTTAGTTTAAAAGCAGCAAAAAGGGAGGATCATCTAACCTTTTTCCTTCTTGCTGCTTTTCCAAATTTCTTTCTTTTAGCCACTTTTCTCCTACTGACAAGCATGTATTTTGCTACTGAAAGCAGACGCACATTCAGAATACTGAAAGTGAACTTGGAGATATACTTTTGAGGGGAGAAATAGTTAATGTTCTTGCTTTTGGCATTTGAAGGCTTTTTTATTTTTTGCCTTTTAATACAACACAAAACGTATTAGAAGTGTCAGAGTTGAATGTAGACAAGAAGCTTTATTCTCCCATAGCTTTACTATAATGATCTTATAGTTTGCACAGTAGGGTAATTTGCTCCTGTCCAGTCCTTTTTGCTCCAGTGCTGAGCTAAACCAGGGTTAGGCTTAGCATGTAGTCTAAGGCAGGACTCATGGTTGAGCACATTCACTTACCACTAACTTTAAAGTCCTGGTTTAGCTCAGCACAATGCAGCAGTACAAAAGGCAAGAGAGGAGCAAAACGGCTTCAAGATCCTCTCTGTGTCCTCACATGCTTCTGAGGTTTGGTAAAGCATAGCTAGATTTGATTCACACAAGAAGCTTAGTCAGTGCATTTTAATCAGATTCTAATAGTTTGTGGAATGTTACAGTAGCATAAAACTATACAGTATACGCTCAGAGACTAAGCAGATAAACCTGGGGTTGGCAACCCAAGGCCCATGGGCCACAAGCGGCCCATGGGGGTCGTTTAACTAGCCCAACGACCCCCGTCACCCGCTTGGGGACCCCCACCGCCCACTCGCTCGGCTCCCGTGCGATGCGCTAAACCGATGCAGAGCATAGTGGGGCCCGCCTTCCGTGACTCTGGCCAGCTTCCCATTGGCTACAGGAAGCTCCTGCAGCCAGTGGGAAGCTGCGCATGCCTCCTCTGCGCCAGAAGGAGTGCTGGAAATAGTGTTTGCACATATGTGTGTGCGCGCACACACTGGCCCACCGTGGTGTCTGCAGGACCGTGAACCGGCCCAAGCCACAAAAACTTTGCCGACCCCTGAGATAAACTAACTTCAGTAACAATTAAAGAAACATGGGGAAATGGAGTGTCCTAATAAAACATTCTCATGCTAAACCAAGCAATTAAACCTTAAAGGCTTGATTACATATCAACTCCTCACCATTCAATTTAATGTAACACCACATATCTAGTACATTTGAGTGACGTTTTACATTTAACATATCTCAAATAGACTCTGCCGTGTGTTAATTCAATGAAAATGTTTTACATTTTAATCAGGAGGTTTCTATAAAAAGTATACCGTTTTCTAAGTGTTTGGAAATCTGCTTATAAGAAATCATCTTATTTGAGACAGGAAGAATTTGTCTTAAATACTCTTAAAAGCTGCTTTAATGCATTTTAAATGACACCCTCTGAATTTAGTTGTCTTTACTAGGCACTTCAAAGCTCAGCACAGTGTTTGAGAAATTGGAAATTTGAAGAGCATCCTGCATTTTTTAGATATAGGCTTAGCAGAAGCTGTTTTGAAAATGTATTAAATCTGTGTGCTGCTTTTCAGAAAAAGATGTAAACAGAACAGACCGAACAAACAAGTTTTATGAAGGTCAAGATAATCCTGGGTTGATATTGCTTCATGACATTTTGATGACCTATTGTATGTATGACTTTGATTTGGGTAAGTAGGATTCTACTTATGTATGTGTACTACTGTATCTGATCTAGTGGAACTTATTGTAATTACCCTTCAGAGAAAACTTGATGTACATTCTGTCTTAGATGTCCAAATTAATTATGTGTTTTACCATTGGTTGCAACAAGTGGGGCCTGCAAAAAACTTGTTTAGTTTTGGTACTTGTGTACTCCTGATTTTGGAGATCAAATAAATGTATCAAAAAGTTTCCATTGCTCATATGCTTATTTGAACAAATACCGTATTTTTCCATGTATAAGACACCCCCTATTTTGGGGGACTCCAAATTAAGAAAACACCCCTCAGCACTACCTGTGTATATGACGAGCCCCAAGTTTAAACCTATTTTTGGTAAAAAAAAAACTTAGTCTTATACACGGAAAAATACGGTAGTTTAGGAAGAGGATGGGAGAAACTAAGTAGTTACTTTTCAATCTTTTGGGTACAGTTTGCCACATATCACCAGTTTTCTCTCTCTCTCTCTCTAATACAAGGCTATGTTCAGGGAATGAGTGACCTGCTTTCTCCGATTTTATATGTGATGGAGAATGAAGTTGATGCCTTTTGGTGCTTTGCATTGTACATGGATCAAATGGTAAGTCTTTTCATCTTCATTCCTGTTGTTAACTTCAGTTACTGTTTCAAGTGTAACTTATTTCTGTAACTTCTGTTTATCATTAAACTTTTGTTAGCAATTTATGTAGTGTTTATCTTGCAGCGTAGCAACAGATATATAAGCAAGAAATGTATGTTCCATAATTATAAAGATAATGCTGTGTTTCAATGTTGTAACCTGTGCTGGGATCTTAGGGTGAAGGGTAAGTAAATAATAATTATTCTTGGCATCTATCTGTCTCGAGAGACAATGGAAGAGTGTGCCTTCGGGGGTAAAGTCAAATTGCTGAAGAATTACAGTGCCTGCTGTGACTGTAGAGACCAATATGAGAGAGACCTATTTTATTGCAGGTGGGGCAGATGAAGGTGTCCAGTCTTATTGGACTCCAGATTATTCTAATTTGCGTAATTCAATAAATTAAAATTATCAAACCCATATCTTTAAAGCGAGCTGCATGGAATGCTGTTAGCATCCCAACAGGACCAAAATCACATTAATGTTTAGTTTTGTTATTATATATTTGTTTTGATTTAATACTCATCTTGGCCCTCATGTAGAATAAAAATATTCTAGATGCTGTTTCAATTTGTTTCCCATTAAGCACCAGAATTTTGAAGAGCAAATGCAGGGTATGAAGACACAGCTGATTCATCTGAGTACTTTACTTCGCTTGCTAGATAGTGGATTTTGCAGTTACTTGGGTATGTATGACAGCTCAGAACAACTTACCACTGATGATGATGATGATGATGATTATTATGTTTTCCATTTACACATTTCCCCATTCTTATACAGTAGTTCTTTTTGACTTCCCACCCAGCATTCCATGACCGTTCTTTTTACATCTTGTTTGGCTGCATATACATTATTTTTTTCACCTTATTTTCCACCCTTTCATGTCTTTAATCTTGTCAGCTGTTGGTCACAAAGTTACCTGGAATTTATATTTTAAGTCATATTTCTGTAAATATTCCCCCAAGTACCCCCACTCACTTCTCAGCCGTTTATCATATTGAGTTCTTATTTTAGTTGTCACACTGGCTTCTGGTTTTGCCATGCAAAGGGAAAGCTGTAGCTCATTGCTCTCCTTCCGAGGGAAATCAGGCTGTCGTGGAAGTGGGGGGAAAGTGTGGGCTCCACGTTGCCTCAAAAACTCCAGAGCTGAACTGGAGTTCCTAAAGAGCTCCTGCAGCACCAGAGGGTCTCCCCCAAAACCACCTTTCACCAGGAGAAAACTTACCACTGTTCTTATCTAGAATCTAGACAGTGGCCGTGTTGGCATGGCCTGTTAAGTCAGACTTTCTGGCTTGTTGTGGTTTACTGAGAATGAGCAGCATGTGCATGCTGCCCAGTTGCTCCCGCTTCTCGCCTCTGGCATGACCAGAATAAAAAAATCAGGAAGCGTTGGTTTCACATTATATCCGAACCAGGGATCCATGATCAGCAAGCCAACAACAAACAATTTCTTCAGATTGGCTCATGATCATGGTTCAGATGTATTGGCTTCCTGGTTTGTTCATCACATTTAAGCCAGAAGAGGAATGGGAACAAACAGGCAGTGTGCATTTCCAGTAAACCGGAGCTTCCTATTCCTGGTAAACACAGTAAGCCAGAAAGTCTGACTTGGGACATTCAAACACAGCCAGTTGCTTAAAATACTTTTCCTACACCAATTACTTTCTCAATTGTTATAAAGAGAGTTCTGTGCTACTTAGATACTGTTTCAGTCTTGCCTATCCTCAGTTTTTAACCCTTACTTTCAGAGCCCTTTAGGAAGCAATGATTAGACTTCCACTAACAATTGATGTTCCAAGAGAGACTTGACTAGGACCACAATCTCTCAGCCTAACCTACCTCACAGGGTTGTTGTAGGGATTCACTGAGGAGGAAGGGATCCATGTGTGCCACTTTGAGCTCTTTGGAGAAGAAGGTGGGATATAAATGAAGCAAACAAATGAAATTATGGTCCATATTTTCCTCAGTTTTCCACCCCAAAAAACTCTAGAACAAACTAACTTTTTGTAAGCAATTGTCGCCAGCAAAGCTGTTAGATGTATTAATATATTAAACATACTTTAAGCGATTCACAACCAGCATTTCTGTCAAAGATTTATTTTTTCATGTTCTTTTTTAAAAACTGTTTTAGAATCTCAAGATTCAGGATACCTTTATTTTTGTTTCCGGTGGCTTCTAATAAGATTTAAAAGAGAATTCAGTTTTCAAGATATTCTTCGCTTATGGGAGGTAAGAAGTAGCTTTTTATTTTAGCACCTACCGCCTAAAATGCTGAAAATATGGTTCTGGAGGAAAATACATACAATTTAGCTAAACTGAATCATGTTAAAGCAATGTATAAACAGTGGCATCTAGAGGTGGCAAGAGTGTGGCCATTGGGCCTTGAGTCTGCCACCTGGCTGTGTGGGTGAGGAAGTTCATAGCTGACCAAGAGGGGAGACTTATCCTCTCTGGTTTGCTCTTAGGTACTGGAGGAGCATTTGTAGATGAACTAGTCTAATCCCCTGCTTGATGCAGAAACTGCAAGGTTTAATTTAAATCAAAGTTTAATTTAAAAATTATAATGCCATCTGACAGATGGTTGCCCTATCTCTGCTTGAGGACCTCCAGCGAGGGAGAGCAGCTTGAAGTTAGCAACACCTTATTCCTCTCAACTGTTATGTTTTTATTCCTATTCAGGATTTTCTCCTGCATCCACACTATTTTATAAGGTGCTATTGAATAATAGTTCCCAAGTTCTCATTACTATCAGCAGCATGTAAACTTGGAAAAATGCACAAAGCATACCAGGGTGAAAGGAAATGTCTCTGCTTACAACAGGGTGGCTAATCCATGGGCCATATGTCTGTTCCCCATGGCATCTCAAGAATTCCCTCCACCATTTATTACCTTTCAAATATAACAATGTGTTATGGTGTTTTAATTGACCACTCCAATGGGTCCCACACAATGATGCCAAAAGGCTTTCTGTAGGTCCCTCACAGCCCCCTCAAATGTTTCCATTAAAAAAAATTAAATTACAAGTAATGTTTAAAATTATAGGTCCCTGCTATGATACTGTTATGCCAAAAGGTTTTTGGCTGTTCCCCAAATTTGTCCATTAAATTTCTAAAATATATTTATTGCTGCCACTCTTGTGGGTTGGTTATGGATCAGTGCAGCCCTTAGCCCAAAGAAAACTAGCCACACCTGGCTTATAGCTTTGAATAACAATCATAGGACCCACTTAATTGCTCCAATACTCCCTGATCTGCTACTGCATGGGTCTGTCACTTTTGCTACCACTAAGAAGGTGACTTGCCCAGAATATCAACTGGTGGCATCAGACCCAGTTTCCTGGCAAATACAACCTAGTCACTGTAGGCAAAGTTTGTATTTCCTTTTTTCTGAAGTATAGAGTGTATTTCCATATTCCAGTTTTAAGAGTCCTGAAAACTTACTTATTCCTGAATAATTCTGTTAAGTAAGTCAACCCATTTATTCCACTGCACTACTACAGTCGGACGTTGGATCCCCAAAGTCCTGGAATGTGGATGTTTTGGCTCCCAAACGTCGCAAACCTGGAAGTGATTGTTCTGGTTTGCAAACGTTCTTTTGGAACCCAAACGTCCGATGGGGCTTCTGCGGCTTCTGATTGGCAGCAAGAGCTTCCTGCAGTGAATCAGAAGCTGTGATTTAGTTTCTGAATGTTTTGGAAGTCGAATGAACTTCTGGAACTGATTCCGTTCAACTTCCAAGGTTTGACTGTACTGGTTTTCTGATCCTGATTTTCAGTGAGGCATGAAGATCTGAAGGATCCACCCAAAATATCTGAAATTCATTGAGGGTGACAAATGCTATCAGGACATAGCTCTACCGTTTGCCCTTGTCAAGAGCTTCAGAATGTAGCATGAAATTAATTATAGATAGTTATTAAGCAAGCTATTATGTTTTTCTGTCTAGATAATAGTTTAATTAGCTGGCAACCTCTACTGAAATATATAATAAGTTAGAAAACTATCCCACCCCCCTCTGATGTAATTGTAAGTTGCCAGAAAAATAAGTGTTTGGGGAGACTGTTAAAACCTTTTAGTACCTTACACTTGTGGCATCATGTTCAAGTTCTTGATTCATCAGCAACTTCAATATTCTGCTAGGTAATGTGGACAGACTTGCCTTGTCAGAACTTCCACCTTCTCATCTGTTGCGCTATCCTTGAATCCGAAAAGAAGCAAATTATGGAGAAGCATTATGGCTTCAATGAAATACTGAAGGTATCTGTTGCATCCAAATTATGTTCTAGCCTTTGTTTCTTGTATTTGAATACTATTAGCATTTCATTATGCAATCTTATGTGAGATGGAACAAATGTTAATTCTTGGCCACATTTCTACTGTGATGAAAGATGCTCAGTGTAGCTTAGTAGATCTTAGTAATTTATTAACTCATCAAGTTGAGAGAAAGTAATATGAAGTAGAGTTATCATATAGTATATAGACTGGTTGCTTGATTTTCAGAGCTAAGAGCTTACTTTTTATACTGAGGCTGTTTTAAGTGCTTAATCGGTGAGCTATCCTAGGTCAGAGGATTCCAGTAGAAATAGGAAGCTCCAGTTGGACCTAGTGATTTGGCTTCAGGTTATGGTGTGAGGAGAGGCCACACACAGAAACACACAACAACCCACAATTCAAGACAAAACTATCCTAGACTACTGAGGATTGTGCAGGAAGATAGCAGTCTCTTCCAGACTTTTTCTACTCTTCTCAGCATCTCTGCATAGAGATGGTGGTTTTGTTGGGTGGTTGCCCCTGAGCCTGGGGAGGTGCAGTGCTGAGGAACTACAAATCCAAGTAGCAGACATAATTTACATATTGCAATCTTAACCAGATGCTAATTATGCGCGTATATTAATCAAGTTAGCATTTCTTTACTTAAGGTTATGCTAACACTAGGAGCCAAAGTTCCATGGCTCAGAAAGCTGTGCTTGGTTGCACTTCGTCATTCTTTTTGTTCTGTTTTAGCATATCAATGAACTGTCTATGAAAATGGATGTTGAAGACGTACTTTGCAAAGCAGAAGCCGTTTCTATGCAGATGATAAATTGCAAGGTAAAAGTCAAGCATATTTTATGAACTTTGCATAAACAAATGAGATTTAACCAGGTTGATAATTATTGAAACAAACCCTTTACGGTGTGTGTCGCCTCTGATGCCTTCGAATGAAGGGTGGTATGCAAATTTAAGAAGTAAATAATGATGTCATAAACTGCTGCAATACTCAAAATGGTACTGTGCCTAGAGATAAAATGAAATCTATCTATACCAATTTTAAATGATACGGATTTTCTAGTCATCCTAAAACTGCTTATTGAACATCTTTTCCTTCTAGAATTAAGAAAAGGCATATTTTAGCTCAAACTTACATGCATTTAAGGATATGCTTCTTGTGTACTTAGCATGTTAACTTCAAAGAACAGCAGCAATAACTTAAAAGAGCAACCTGTGCCACATTTTTCCTTCTTCATAGGAATTGCCTCAAGCAGTCTGTGAGATCTTGGGATTAGAGAACAGTGCTGCAACAACACCAGATTCAGACACTGGGGAAGATGAAACTGCTGGTGGAATAAGTCACTCTGCACCAGCCTATCCAAATATCTCCAAGCCTGTTGCTGCTGCCAATGGAACAAGTGAAAGTATTGAGCAAGTGACCCCCACCATGCTGACAGATTGAATCTTGCACAATTATTTGTCTGCATTTTTGAAGAGACACTTTATTATACCTGTTTTGTTTCTTTCAAGCACTTGAGGTGGATATTTAAGTTGTTGTTTTGATTAAGCTTTAAAGATTTGGAAAACAGATCATGTACTGTAATACTCTTACATCAAAGCTTTACAACATGACCTAATTATTTTTGTAGTTTCTTCTACCAAAGTAGCCTTCCCCCCCTCCCCCAGATAACATTCCTTAATACTTTTGTAGCCAAGTGCATTTTTTTCCTTTTTGGTAAAATGGAAATCAGATGAATGTGAATGGCATGGAAATAAATGCTTCTGTATCACTTTGACTTTGAGAAGTCTTGAGCATGGATGGTTCTTGGATATCATAAGATTCAAAAGTCTTCTATACTATTTCCTATGTGAAAAGATGCTAACTTCATAAACAGTGCTTTGTAAATGAAAGGATTATGTCCTTTCTCAAATGTTTACAAAAACACTTGTTAAGTATTTGTGGTTGTTGAATGTAGATTTGCAATGAAGATTTACATATGTGCAGTTCCCTGATCTTGAATTTTGTAATCCAGGGGGTTGGCTGAACAGTACATTTTTACATTTTAACACCTCTTCACTTATACATATTCAAACTTGTGAGTATTAAAGGATAAATCTATTTTTGACTAAGTAAACTTGGCTTTTCATTCAGGCAATTTTGACCGAATTTTAATACATAACTGTAAACCTGCCTATTTTTGAAAAATCTTTTTTTCTTAAGGCTATATTCAGGTTCTGAAATACTTTTACAATGGCTTTCTCGCTTACTTAACAAATAACGTTTCTTTGCTGAATAGTATAGTAACTGATTAAAAAAAATCAGCTTCAACTGCCTTTATGCTAGACTACTTGATTAAATAAAAGCAGTTAAAAATAAATGCAAAATACTAATTATGTTGGGTGTGTTTCCCTCATGTAGTTCTGCATAAGCTCCCATGGAGGGCACAGATAGAACGGAAGATTCTTATGGCGGATTGTGCCCATTGTCCTTAATAAATGACTTACATATGAGAAAACTCTATGCTTATATGATACCATTCTTTCCATTTTTATAGTAATGTGGGATCTGACATAGATTCAGTTGTATTTGTTCCTGAGAACCATTGTACATAGTATGAAATAAAATGCAAAAATTACTTAATGTTTTTCATTTAAAACAATTAAGAGAATCTTGTGTGGGGAAAAGCCTTCCTAGATTTCAGTGATTTGCACACAGATTTCAAGTATACAGTGAAGAGCTATCTAACTTTCCTCTGGCAGAACACTTTGCAGTTGACCAGTGGCAAAAATGAGGAGAGAGTTGAATCGTCTTGTCCCCTTGAAATCGTTGGAATTGTGTATGCAACCAAAGCACTTTCGTTTCAGTGATTTCAATAGAATTGCATCATGTTTGGCAATGTGGGTTCCTGCTGAAAGTCATCTTTGTAAGGCAGCCGCCTAATCTGAGTATTAATTTGAGCATTCCTGGAGAGATCACAGCCCTGGTGGAGACAACATACAAGCCAAACCATGACTGGACTCTAGGAATTCCCCGGCGTTTGCCAAGTCATGTTTTGGCTTTGTTTGGCCCGTAAATTGGGCTAATCAGGGTTGCTGCAGGAGGGGCGGAAGGAAATTATTATGTTAAGGGGTGACAGTTCTCTCCCAGAGGTGAATTCATCAGCATGTGGGGGAGGGATGTGATTTTTTAATTCTTATTTTTTTGCAATTCTTTCCTCATCTACAGCACCCCACAACTCTTCAAAATTAGGTTCAGAGGGTGTGGGGGCCCTGGAACAGATTTAGGGGTGTTCATGTTTCTGTGGGGAATTGCCAGAAATTGCTTCCTAGGGTTTGTGAAGGATTGTTTTTCTCAGATGTCTCTTTCTGGGGGGAAAACCAAAATCCGAAATGAGTTAAAAGCAAATGTTGTATATATGGACTTGGTCACTTTAGAAGAGAAAGGTGAGTTGTTGCTGCATGAACATGAAAGAACTGGCGCAACTTTCAGTTATGAGCACATAAATCAGAAGGTGAAATCTCTTCAGTCCTTGGCTTTAATATCACCGGCGTGCTTATCTTTTATCAGTTAATAACTAAAGAGCCCATTCTGCAAATGCCAACAATTCAAGGCCCAGCAGCTGTAGGCTTTCATTTCCTGCTTACAGGAAATAATTTTTGAACCACTTGCCCTTGTTCCCTCATAGAGCTTTGGCATTTGCATTATGTTGTACACAGAGCATAGAATATGCTTCTGAGAATTTTTTTTAATGAATACCATTTTATGATACTGAGAACCTCACACAATTTAATGAATATCTACATGTGTTGCTGCTGGAAATGGGGAGAGCATTACATGGTGTGGCTTCCATGTGTATGCATGTATGTATATTTCTCTTTAGATCTTAGTTGTGATTTTTTTTAAGTTTCAGTAGAACTGGTGTAAGTTACTTTCACAGAAATGTGCTAGACACTCTAAGTGCGACAGCAGGTCTGGGAGCTTCTAAAGGCATCAGCAAGCATTTGTATGTGCACAGTAGGGTTTATTTTTATTTTATTGTTATTTATTGAAATTACTAGTCTATCCTATTAAAACAGTGTGCAGGATGGTTTTCCTCATTAAAAAAGATCATATTCAACAAGATAAACTTAACAGTCATAAAAGGTGAGACATCTGCTGCCAATAATGTGAGAGGCAGTTTTGACAATTCTCCCTCCTGTAACCTTCCACACCTCTCACGTTTTTCTGGGGTCCCCAAGGCCTCCAGAGCAGCATTTTAGAGAGCTGCCAGAGGGGTGGGGAATGAGTAAAAATAACCTTTCCTCACCCCCAACCCCTTCCGGACTGTGTTACATTTATGTAAATAATGGAAGGTAATTTTGCACAGGCATGCTTGCATTATAACTGATAACAATTTACATTTCAGGTAGGCTAATCCTAAAGTAGTAAAAGTCTGCCATTGGTCTAATAATGACTGATGGCAAACCTCTATCTCCCCCTCCCTTTAAAAAAAAAAATGTCCAATTTCTCATTGACATACTGAAACTATCATTTGTAGCAAGATCATGGCAAATCAAGCTGGAGAGGTGGTGGAGAAGCAGCCTTGTTTGTACAACATCATTAATCTTCACAGATTAATTGAACTGACCAGATCAATTGGTTCCTAAGAGCATTTGGAGGAGTGGAATATAGCTATCGAGAGTGCCACTGTGAAAAGCAGCAGACAAACATAATGCAAATTGATTTCCCCTTTAATTCCTTTTATAAAATATCAGCAATCTTTACTCTGGGATGGAGTGATCTGGGTGATACGTTGTTTGTGACAGCATCAGATATAGGTGCCCCAGCTTGCTTTAAATATCAAACTCCAGTACCAACGTTTTATCTAAGTTTGTTGCACTGTCCTCCTTTGGTAAAGAAACACATTTCCAACTCTGCAATGAGTTATTAAAAACATTGCAGCTAATGTTCAAAGCTTATCAACTTCTGACAAAAGGAGCATCTGGAAGAAGCAGCCAGCAGCCTGGGATTGCTAGTTAATATCCTGCGTTTGGAAGAGAGCACGGTCAGTGTGTGGAAAAGAATATTTCCCTGCCGCTGTGGGGCTTTAAAGGTGCCAGCTCTAGCGAGACTCTCCTAATCAGCCTTCCATCAGTTCTTGCCTAGGCATATAAAAACCTTCACCAGGGGGGAAATCTGAGATTGCTCCTTGTTCAGCACCAGGAACTGGGGACAGCTCTCTGCAGGCAAACCTGAAGCCCGTTTCCCCCTGCTGTGGAGAGAGAAAATTGCACAGGCCACTATGCAGCCAGCAATGATGATGTTCTCCAGTAAATACTGGGCAAGAAGGGGCCTGTCTCTGGATTCCGCTGTGCCCCTGGAACACCCACTACATGGCAACGTAACTGTAAGTATCATGAGCTGCGTCAGTCTAGGATGAATAAATCCGATGTTTAAGACATCTTCAGGATTTCCCAGTAACTTCTTGGAACACATTCAGGATTCTTCTTTAAACAGATTTGCTTGCTCGGGCTACAGCTATGCTGGGTTGGTTGTCAGTTTTCTGCCCCCTGTCCGCCAATCCCATAGCTAGCTCAACCTATTTACGCACAAGTAATCAAGAAAGGATTTTATGGGAAACAAGCCTTTGCAGGGAGGAGATGTCTCTCACATACATCCTTTGAGTGACTTCAGTTCTGTGCCTAGATACAGAATTTAATCCGCTTTTGTACTGAAAGCTCACTTGCCTCACCTTGGGATTTGCAATATCTGCTTGGTGATTTTTTAAAAATAATTTTTACTTGTGAAGTCTATTTTTTTCTCTTATGACAGCCTAAGGCTATGATCCTAAGCACATGTGCTCAGAAGAAATCACATTTGAATTAATGAGTTTCCTCCAAGTAAAGCTGATGGAACTAAGGTGTTAGATTTATTTTTGAAACCAGTAATACCTACAGAAATTCAAAGGGTGTGTGTGAGCTGTCTTGGTTCAGATGCATTGATATGTCATGCATGATAACTGTTGGCCATCACCGGTGATGTCATTTAAAACCAAAGTAAATTTCTGAATGATTTAGGGCTATGTGGACATAGCTTTAATTCTTTTATTTAATAAAAGGATCTGATGAAAATAATAAATGTCCCTTAGCTGACAGTAAGGCTTCTGACAAAGGAATGAGAAGGGAAACTATTTTCAGCGATTTCCCCTCTTCATGGCAGTCTCTGCACAGCCGTAATCGGCTTGACAGGGTTGGGGCTCCTCTAGCCAAGCAAGACCATTAGGTACAGCCCAGTGTCTCTGCCAAAGCTGTGCATTCGAATGGTAATCCATCTTTCCCTGCAATGAACCTTTCTTTGGGATTTCTTTTTTTTAAAAGACTGGTGAATATTTGATGGCGACAGCAAAGCAGTCCCCTGCAACAATGAACATGCCAATAAATGTAGCTAAAATACACAAAATGAAGAACAAGCTGTTAAATGTCTTAATCTAAGTGAATTCTGCACATACATACCTGTTATTCGAAAGCAATTGAATATAAGAAAGTCAGTCCTTTCTGTTATCAAGTGTTTTTTGTTTGTTTGTTTTTGGAGATACTCACATTTTGTGATTCAGATCTTGGAAATGCATAACTTTTTGATTGTGTCAGTGATTTGTTAGTAGATGTACAGTAGTACCTCGGGTTAAGAACGTAATTCGTTCCGGAGGTCCGTTCTTAACCTGAAACTGTTCTTAACCTGAGGTACCACTTTAGTTAATGGGGCCTCCCGCTGCCGCCCACGATTTCTGTTCTCATCCTGAAGCAGAGTTCTTAATCCAAGGTATTATTTCTGGGGTAGCAGAGTCTGTAACCTGAAGCATCTGTAACCCGAGGTACCACTGTATATCTTTTGTAAATGGACCTGCAAACATATAATCTAGTTTGACCTTACATTTGTAGCTTCTGCAGCAGTGGAAGCCAATGTCGGGAAACTCCCAAAGTAAATGCTTATATGTGTTTCCTGCCAAAGCAGGAAAAATTTATTCCTTTGTTAGTTTTGTTTGGTGGCAATATCACTGGATACACTTAAAGAGAGAGACGTACAGTAGGTCAAATTCCATCATTTCATTCTGTCAGGGATTCTTCAAATGTGATGAATTTCTATCTTCCACACAGAACACTTGTGTGCATGAAATAATGAAAATCATTCTGGTTTAGCTGCATATGCTGCCGGTCCCCCTGAGGAGCCACAATTTGACACAGCATCTCAACATGCCTACATTATGTGCACATGTAGCAAAATAGGAAAATCTCTTACTAGTGAAACTGTATTGTCATCCTTAAGCCAATTACAGTAGCCACAGGTTCTTTTAGATCCCACTTGAATGGAGATGAAATTACGCAATGCCCGGTCAAGAGTTTATGAACGGATCGTTCTATTTTAGCACATTACCATAACACATGGAGCAGAAAACAGATAATAAAATGATCTATATTTTATGTAGATCATGTGCCATCCCTCTGGGTTAGACAGGGGACAAGTCTTTTTACCACAGCACCAGAAAATGAAGCTAGATCTGGTCTTCAAAGACACCCAACATTGTTTCTGCTGTTTGGTTTTGCAATGGTGGAGAGCAGGGAAATAAATGCCCAGTGCTCATACTCCCCCCTTTAATGAGGGTTCCTCTCTCTGCTTTTATGCCTCCCTGATTCTCTCACCTGATTTCAGTCCTGGCTGGTTCTTATAGGCTAAACATCATTTACAGTCTAATATATACAAATGTCAACAGCAATTTCTCCTAGCAGCAGCTTTCACATGTGGCTTTGAGCAAGGTGTCCTGGTAGGTTTAGGCATCCTGGTTGCCCCAGACATGACCTTCATCACACCTCTTGCATTTTCTATATGTCACACCACACATAGTCATCGTTTGTGTAGTAGCTAAATCATCTAAGTTGCGGCAAGTTCTCTAATTCCCAAGGTGTTTCCTGCGGTGGGGTTCCAAGAGAGTGGGCATTGACCAACTTCACAGCATGTAGAATATCTAACGATATATAGACAGAAAATTTCCACTCCCAGAGTCCCTCTGATATGGCCGTTTTTGCTTAAATCTATGTTCTCAGATTCTAGGGACTTGTTTCAGTCTGAGGGTTTGGGAACTCTAGCATTGTTACACTGTCATATGTAAAAGCATTTCCCCACACAGTATCTTACAATAAATCACAACCTGTTTAGGAAGTTTGTCATGGTTGATGTGGCCCTGAGAACCCTTTGATTAAGTGTTTTTTCTTGTTTGCTTTCGTCCTTTGATTATACTTGCAATTTTCTAACAATTAGCAATTGTAAAGAGTGGCTTTCAGTGTATTAAGGCTTTTTATCTACTTCACATATTAGTTGTCTCATACATTAATGTGCATTCATTGACTTTAATAGAAACAACCTACTGAGTGCCCTCAAGTTAAATGATGCTGAGTATCCCTATCATCTTGCACTAAAGAGTGCTAATTCAACATATCCTCTCTTCACAATGTGAGAATAAATACACAGTGGAAAATAAATAGGCACAAAGTAGGGGTGTGTGCTAAGCACAATATTCAGCTGGAACACAGATTTGGTGCTTTGGAAAATGCCCCTGTCTAAAGCACTTTGGAGACTACCTGATTTGTCTCAGGGTCAAAAGCTGTATCTGTTTCAGGAAAATGAAGCTTTATTCCCACCCCACTTATTATTATGGGAAAATATATTTAAAAAGTTGTAACTTTTTCCATTTTGGCAGAATTAGCTGAAATCTACAGGCATGTGGCCCTTTCAGAGGGACTAAAGCCTGCTGAGATAGACAAATAGATCCAGGGGTATTTGTGTTGGTCAGCTTTAAAATTTGATATATATATATTTTAAAGCCCTTTAACAGAATTGGATGAAATTTGCCATAGGACAGGGCAGGAGGAGATCAGAAGGGGATGTATCAAAAACAAGGAGTTGATCATGGTATGTATGACTGTTCTAGGTGAAGTCACACTGCCCACAAAATAACAGGTTTGCAGCCTGTATCTGCATCCGCTCTTTGGAAGCCATGATCAGTGCTTTGTATCAATTTACCTGATATGTCAGAAGTGGTGCCTTCTGCAATAACCACAGTTATACAGGCCCTCATAACCTCTTAACTGGTAGTGTAATGTAATAGGTGGGATTGTCCTTAAAAGCAGACCGGAAACTACAGTTTGTCCAGAATGTAGTAACCAGAGTAGTGGAGCATGTTACACTATTGTTGTAAAAGCACCTAGATTAAAGCCTAGTATTTAAAAGCTTTAAAATCTCATATAGTTTAGACCTGGGCTATGTGTGAGGGAACTTTTAGAAGACATCTGAAGGCAGCCCTGTCTAGGGAAGCTTTTAATGTTTAATAGACTATTGTATTTTAATATTTTGTTGAAAGCTGCCCAGAGTGGCTGGGGAAACCCAGCCAGATGGGCGGGGTATAAATAATAAATTATTATTATTTATTATTATAACATCTCCCATACGTGCCTCTTCGCTCCTTGAATGAATCTAGCATCATAATCTTGCAATCTGGTGGGCAGTGGTTGTGCTTTTAACGCGGGTGGTGCTGTGGTCTAAACTGAGCCTCTTGGGCTTGCCAATCAGAAGGTCGGCGGTTTGAATCCCTGTGACGGAGTGAGCTCCCGTTGATCTGTCCCCTCTCCTGCCAACCTAGCAGTCGAAAGCATGCCTGTGCAAATAGATAAATAGGTGCCACTGTGGCGGGAAGGTAAACGACGTTTCTGTGTGCTCTGGTTTTTGTCACAGTGTCCTGTTGCACCAGAAGTGGTTTAGTCATGCTGGCCACATGACCCAGAAAGCTGTCTGTGGACAAATACCGGCTCCCTCAGCCTGAAAGCGAGATGAGTGCTGCAGCCCCATAGTCGCCTTTGACTGGACTTAACCATCCAGGGGTTCTCCCCCCCCCCCGCCCTTTTACCTTTAGTTTATAGTATAGTGACTAGCAGCTATGCTATGCATTAAAAAGAGCAGCAAGCTCTTGTCGTGAGTGGCAATTGCAAAAAGGTGAGGCTGAATTCTCTTGATCTGCTAATTAGTGTTCCCCTCATTTCTAAAATTTCCTTCCAACAAATATTTGACTGTGCTGAATATTTCAGCCATGAAGCTCTGTTAGGCAGGCTTTGAATAATTGTATCACCACGAATTTCACCATTTCAGTCTTTATTGTGTCTCTCTGACTAATTAAGCAAGGTCCTGAGCTGCCCCGCCATTGCTTCCATATTTAACCTGAAGAGTGCCTTCTAGCTTCCAGCTATAGGCTGTTAACTCTGAAAACACATTTAGCAAGTCATCCATATGATTAAACAATCACTTCATTAAACGTTTAGCGTTAATTGTGTTTTAATCAAAGCAGGTCCCTCAGGAAGAGTACTCAGTGCTGAGGACTTGACTGTCAACAATTCTGCATTATTTTGACATCAGTGAGGAAATGATTTCCCCGCCCCGCCCCCAAACAGCGATATGTTTCTATGTGGAATCTCATTTTAAAGCAAAACTGTTCTTCATATATCTTCCAAGTGTTACTTTTATGGAAACATGTCCCAATCAAACAAGGGAAATCTGTGAATAGGTTCAGGTTCCTTTGCTGGGTTAGGTCCTGCACAGAAAAAGGGATGCTTCAAAATCCACACAAAGATTATTAAACGGTTGGCAAAGAGAAGCACCCGACAGAAGTAAGCACAAGAACATTAAGAAAGTGTCTGCAAGATTAGGCAAATGGCCCAAATAGCGCAGCATCTTGTCCTCGCAGTGGCCAACCAAAGGTCTATGAGAAACCCGAAAACAGGACCTGAGCACAATAGCAGCACTCTCCCCATTTGTGAGGATAAGGTTGTCAATGGCTACTAACTCTGATGATTATGTTCTGTCTCCACTATCTGGGTATCAGGAATGAGCCAGCTCCAAGTGAAGATTTTCAGCCAAATGCAGAAAGCAGCTAGGAACAGGGAGGCTTTGATGTTAGTCAGACAAGGGAGAGCTGGCAGCTGCAGAATTTGGTTCTTCCTGACCTTGATGGGCAAGCTGATAAGACAGTAGCTGAGAGCAGGCTAGAACACAGCCAAAGCTCGCTGGAAGCTCAAATGGGCGTGAATACACAAGGAGACAGTTCGCTGGAAAAGGAAGAGGTTGGTACTAATCCAATCTCTCCGAGGAGTCGGCGAATAGAAGGGCTTCTAGACAGGAAACAAAACAAAAGACACAAGGAGCGTTGATTCAATATATTCTGTAGATACAGGAAGGAATCTTCAGAAGCGTCATCTTGAGTAATGGTGCTGGAGGCTTTGTTAGAGGCGTCTGAAGCTATCTGTTTGTTTTTGCAATAAATTCTCCTTTTTAATTATCTACACTTACTGTGTTATCAAGCTGGGAACCTGGACTCCTGACACCGAGGCAGTATGCTTCTGAATGCCGGTTGCTGGGAGGGGAGAATGTTGTTCAGCTCAGGTCCAGTCCTGCTTGCGGGGCTTCCCAAAGGCTTCTGGTTGGCCATCATGAAAAAAGAATGCTGGACTAAATGGGCCACTGGTCTGATCCAGCCAGCTCTTATGTTTGATTTGATTCCAGCAACTTGTATTCAGAGACATACAGTTTCTGATGGTGGAGGTAGGACATTGTGGCTACTAGCATTTATAGCCTTAGTCTCCATAAGGCTACATTTCTATTGAATCTCTGCAAGGATGGCAAAAGATATATTGAATATCTATGGAATAATTTGGTATTGTTTAACCCTTTTCACCTGCCATCTCCTCTTCACTTAGAATCATTAGTATTTAAATAACAAAACTATCATAAATATGCAAGGCAGGATTGTTCCAGAGGGATACTTCTGAGATGAAGGCAAAACGCAGATAGCAGGCGTCTCTCAGGGTTCACCATCCACTGCAAAAAGCCACCTTGCCTCACAAATCTCATTAGACCATTTACCAATTTTCCATGCTCTAAAGAGGAAGATCTTTCCAAACTCCAAAGCCATAACTAAAGCACAACTATTTTTTATATTTAGAAAATCATAGCTAGTCTTTCATTTGGCTTATCCAAAATGGTGCCACTTTCCTTTTTGACAAAAAGGGCTGTAAAGTAACCTCTAACCTTCACCCAAAGCCCCCACCCCCAAAAAACCCCCCACAGATGTGGAAATGCTTCAATGGGAGAACAAGATATAAAAGTGCAATTTTCATTTCCATCCAATAATAGGTAATCAAGCAAAGGTGTAATCATGAAATTTTGTAATGTTCTATGTGTGACTCACATTTGAGTTTATAATGCAGAACTCAGGAACCATAGTTGTTCTGCAAAGCTTGAGAAGTTCGATTTCTCATTGGAAGATCCAAGCCGGAGTTTTATTAAAGAATTATAATAACCAAAGTTGTAGCGGTAGGATAACATGCTCCATGATGCTATTTCATTGATCTTTTCTGAAAGAGTAATCATTCATGTCAGCTTGTAACCTACAATTCTTCTCCTGAGCACACCTTACAAAAGGGAAAAGAACCTCTCTTGTAGGAGATATCTTAATACTAAAATCAAGCAAGAATAGTCTGCTTGAAAGGAAAGCTTAACGTTTTCTGAGGAGTGCACAGAAACCCTTCTATTTTGCAATGTATTTTCTTTCAGCTAAACAGAACCAGTTCTGGTAAAAACGATGATAAAAAGGACAATAAAGGTGCAAGCAAGAATGAATCAACATCAGAAGGTGGAAAGACCGCTGTGGTGTTTTCTTTGAAAAATGAAGTTGGTGGCCTGGTGAAAGCTCTCAGACTTTTCCAGGTAAAAAAACAAAACCATATTTTTAAAACAGGTGATTGGAAAAATCTATTGTGTGGATCTATTATATGTTTACTTCAGGCCCAGCCTTCCCATGAGGCAAGGTGAGGCAACCGCCTTGGGTAGCAGGATCCACAGTGGTAGCAGACCCAGCCTCCAAGGAATGTATTGTTTGTGCTGCCGCTGTGGTGGCATCGATGGCTGTGGCACACTCCTTGGAGGCCAAGTGTGCTGCCTCTATGGCAAGCCCCCTCATGCCACACCTATTGGTGAATAGGATGCGCTGTTGGTGTCTTCCCCATATAGAACTTCACTCCCCGCTTCTTCCCTGGTGCCCCCTGCTATTTTGTGGCTTGCCTAACATGCCAAAATGTATCGGACTGGCCCTGGGTTATTTAAATCCCAAGACACTTTGTGTATTGATAGCTGTTAATTTGAAGCTTGAGCCAGACAAGAAGAAGAAACTGAAAGATCATGGTCTCAGCTTGAGGGTCCTCCTGGACCCAGTGCTATCCTGGGGCCAGTAGCTAAATATGCCATTTGCTGACTTCACCTAGTGCACTGGCTGCAGCCTTTCTCAGAGAAACACAGACCTGGTTTCAGCCCTTTCATGCCGAAGTTATATCCCAATTAGACTACTATATGTGAAGATACCTCTGGAGTTTCCAGACTGTCTCCAATTGGAATTTTACAGGGCCTATTGATTGGATCACACTCCTCCCTTCACTGGCTACCAATTTGTTGCTGGTCTGAAAGCTCTAAAGCCAGGGGCCAGCAAACTTTTTCAGCAGGGGGCTGGTCCACTGTCCCTCAGACCTTGTGGGGGTCAAGATTATATATATTTTTTTGGGGGGGGGATGAACAAATTCCTATGCCCCACAAATAACCCAGAGATGCATTTTACATAAAAGCACACATTCTACTCATGTAAAAACATGTTGATTCCCGGACCATCCGTGGGCTGGATTTAGAAGGTGCTTGGGCCGGATCCGGCCCCTGGGCCTTAGTTTGCCTACCAATACTCTAAACAGCCTGAGAACAGAATACTTTAAGAACTTCCCCCTTCCGCAGGAATCTACTGGATTGTGAGGTTGACATTTGAGGCCTTGCTCTTTCCCTCTGATATTTGGTCAGCAGATACAAGGGTGGGCGGACTCTGTAGATTATCACAGGTGTCAACATCCTCCTGCTGTCAATCCACCTAGCTCCACCATTGCCCTGAACCCCCAGCCTATCTGGCAGCAGGTCAGTATGTCAAGTCCAAAGTCTGGGGGTCAAGCCACACGAGCAAAGTCCAAAGGTCAGGAAACACAGTCCAGGGTCAATCCAAGTAGCCAAGTCTGAAGTCCAGCAGTCAGAATACAGTCCAGAGTCAAACCCAGACACAGTCCCAAGCCAAAGTCCATCAACATGGGCAGTAGAGCAGACACAGCACCTTAGCTCTGCTGCCCTTTCATACTTTGCATGCTGATTGCAGCACCTGTGCTTGATGAGACATGTGACCCTCACCTGTTCCAAGCCTACTCCAGCTGAAGAACCACACGCCTACTCCCAGAGCTAGCAAGCTCCACCTGGCCAGCTAGGGAGCTGGGCTGTGGGCTCTTGCCTGGCTCAGCCTTCAATAGCATCCCTTTTGCTACTCCCTCTGCCTCTTGTGATGGGTCCTGCTGCTCTGGTTCCTGTGCATTGAACTGCATTCCTTCACCATCCTCCAGCAGCCTGTGAGTACTTCCTTCGCCATCCCCTGCTTTCCATGGTGTGTCCCAGTCTTGGCTACACCCCATGACGGGATCCTCTTCCTCCTCCCCATTGCCCTGCCAGTTCATGACAATCATTAGTAACTTTTTCACATGGCACTTGAAGTGAATATGTGAAAAAGCAAGTACTTTGTTGCAGAACAGAATATTGTTTCCATGCTCTTGATGTGGCTGTTTTTTTGTAATATGTTTATGAATGCTATTTGGCATGTTATCTTGATTATTGCTGATAGCAAATTGAGGTAACATTGTTCAGTTAGACTAAAGTAGATTGCAATAAATACTTTTCTTGTATCTTCACACTAATTCATTTCTTGCCCATTAATTTAACTTGTCTATAAATTGGGCATTGAATAGTATAATTTTTTTTACAGTGAACACCTGTTTTATAAGAAACGGCCATGGTAAATCACTTTTAATTATCCTACAATAGTTACAGTTTTCAGATATCTAATAAAATGGAGCAATTAATACAGGCGTAATTTTACAGCACACTTATTGAACTAAAAATAACAAATAAGTAATTTAATACAGATGAAGGATTTTCTTAACTCAAATGCCTTTATATGCACATTAAACTACATCCTGTTCAGAACACCCATTAAACCACTTCTCTTCTAAATGAATTCAGTGAGTAAATGAACCAATCTTTTGTTCTGTCTACAGGAGAAGCATGTGAGTATGGTTCATATTGAATCAAGAAAATCCAAGAGAAGGAGTTCAGAGGTAGAAATTTTTGTGGACTGTGACTGTAGCAAGAAAGAATTCAATGAGCTCATTCAGTTGTTAAAGTATGAAACGAACATTGTTACTCTGAATCCACCGGAAAACATCTGGACCGATGAGGAAGGCAAGGCTATTGTTTTCTCTTTCAAAATTTATCTTGAAATTAGCAAAGCTTTGTGAAGAAGCAGTGAGAATCTGATGCCTCCAATCACTCTGTATTTCCTCCAGAGCTTGACTGTGTTCCTTGGTTCCCCAGGAAGATTGCTGAATTAGACAAATGTTCCCAAAGAGTTCTAATGTACGGCTCTGAACTGGATGCAGATCACCCTGTAAGTGTTCAGTAAATACAGCCAAGGTTGGTCAAGTAAACATTTGTGACAATTTGATGATAAAGAACTGAACTTTCTTCTTCTTCAAGTAATTAGAACTATTGCTATAATTAACAAATTATTATTAAATATTATTATTCAAAAGAACTTAAGTAGCTTAATTTATATTCTTTCTTTCCACCAAATGGTACCCAAGGCTGTTCCATAACTATAATTGGAAGAAAATACAAAATAACAATGGAACAAAACATTATAGTGTTGTTATACAGTGCATTATGCAGCCCATGTTGTTTTTTACTTACTCCTGTCGTAGAAATGATAAATTGCTTAGGATGAAATACAATGTCTTGTTGGCAAAGCCAAGCCATGTGATGTACAATATAATAGGCAGTGGTATTTTCCTAGAACTGGATGCAATTTTTTATTAAGTATGCTTGATCCCTTCAGCTCATTTCATAACCATGATGCTAATTCCAACAACCTTCACTGAATGCAAGAGGGAGGTGGGTTTCTTTAGAAATCCAGGGATCTTTCGTGACAACGTATGATATGGAAGATATTTCAGGAGTTTCTTTGAACCGGTGCCTTTGCAATGACAGTTTGTTGCATGGGCCAATGTCGTAAAATTTGTTGTAGGCTATCTAATTCAATTCTCTGCTTGATACTGGAAATCTAGAGCTGTCAAGCTTCTGCTTGGAGTTCTCCAGCAATAAGAAGTCCACCAGCAAATGGTACTGTTGATGAACTGCTTTTAGAAGGAACATAGGGAATGATCTTTTACTGCAGGGATGGAGATTCTATGACCTTCCAGATGCTGTTGGACTGAAACTCCAATCAGCCTCCCATCAGCATGGCCAATAGCCAGGGATAATGGGAGCTGCATTCCAGCAACATCTGGAGAACTACATGTTCCTCATCTGTGGTCTATGCCAACTGACAGTGGCTCTCTAGAGAGGGATTTAGCCCGGAGTCATTCCCAAACCTGCCTGGAGATGCCAGAAATTGACCCTGGGCATTTGCTCTGCCATTCTTTCCCTGTTCATATTCTTACAAAGCTGCTTCTAATGTTCAGCTGAAATCTACCATCCTCTACCTCAAGTTCCTTAGATCTAGCAGGAAACAAGCTATTGCCCTTTTCTGCTCCGTGAGGACTGATTCACCACTCTGATTTGTCCTGCCACCTGACGTGCTTCGATATGACAGGCTGATCCCAAAAATATTCAGCTAATGCATTTCAGATTAAGGTGCAAATCCACTCAGGTCGTTTTCATGGTCTACAACTTCTGCTTAAAAGAGATGCTTTAGAAGACTTGGGATGGACCTCTTCTGCCTGCTCCCCACCCCTGCCAGCTATTATGCTGTATTTTCAGTATGACAGAGCTACACAAGGCATTACAAAATAAATAAATAAAAATGACAAACTATCCCATTGCTTTCTTCCCCTCTTTTTTACCTTTTAGATTACTCCCCCCCTTTTAAATGGTGCATATAAGTGTCGCTCTCCAAAATCACCCGAGTACTTAAAGTCATGCCCACTGCTATTTCACTTAAAGAATATAGATATTAAATGAGCATTCCTAGCGGTGTGGGAGGGGAAAGAAGAAGGCAATTGAAAAGCTGCTCACACTCTGGGAGATAATTATGAGGTAGAAATCATAGCATCCTTTAGGCTCAGCAGGAATGCAGCCTCCATGCAGGTTTCTTGTGTTTCATCCCTGTTTTTAATACGGCAGCACTGTTTCAGCTCATATTTCACACACACTGCAAGGCCCACGTACTGCCAAAAGCCACGACTCCAAAGCTGGGGGAAATTAACCTCTTGCCTTGCCTTTTCTCTCTCTCTCTTCAGGAAGGGAAGTCTGCTCCACTTAACTGTGGGGAGGAGTTGCGGTGGGCCACATGGCCACCCACTCTCCTCTGGGGGCGGGGGACAAAGTCCCGCTTTGCCCGGAAGATCCTGGCCTCATCATCAACCAGCCAGCCAATCCACTGGCTGGGGGTGTGTGGCTGGGACCCATTTAAGTGGAGGCGCGAGCCGGGGCGCTCTTTCTGCTCTCAGCTGGCAAGGCTATCTGCCGGACTTCAATCACCACATCATAGGGTGCGCCTCCCAAAATCAGTAAAAGGAGATCTCCAGGTTTGGCTTCTGTTCCACAGATTTTCAGGTGCAATCAGACGAAGCTTGGGCTTTGGTGTATTCTTCAGGGGCCGCTGGTGTGCACAGCAATGGCCTGCTAGCTGGTGCGGTAAGGCCATTACCCGTGATTTGAACTTCTTGGAATTTTTCCCAATATTAGTAGCTTTTCACCTTTGGACTGAGGAATTCAGGGATCACCGCATCTGCTTTTGGACCGACAAGTAGCCTGCAGTCAATGTTTTTGCCAGGCAATCACCACGCTCAGAAAGGGTGTCCACTTTGCTTCGATCATTTGTCTGGCGGTGACTCCAATTTAACGTTATATTTTCAGCAAAACTCATTCCTGGAGTTAATAATGACGTTGCGGATGCACTATCTCGATTTCAGATGGACCACTTCCGGTTGTTAGCCCCAGAGGCACAGCAGTTCCAGAACCATTCCTCGAGCATCTCTGGAGCCTTGGAAACGAGATGTGATGCAGGGAGTATTGGCTTCAGTTGCATCTTCTACACTTAGGTCCTATACAAGAGCTTGGTCCAATTTCTTAGCCTATCGTGTGCAGTCATCAGGTATTAGGCATCACACGCCCCCCAACAATTGACTATGTGCTGCAATACTTGGTTCATCTGTGCAACCTTGGTTGTGCAGCAAAAACCTTAAGAATCCAGGCGGCTGCCATCTCCTTTTTTACAAAATCCATTTACTTCACGGACCCATGTGCTGAGTTTGTGGTGCACAGGGCGCTTGAAGGTTGGCGTAGATTGCAACCACCAAGCGGGGATGGGCGTAGGCTCGTTACATTTTATCTCCTTAGTAGAATATGCAATAAATTAAATTCAATTTGCCGGTCCAAATACGAGTCCTGATTGTTTTCAGCTGCCTATTCCATTGCATTTTTTGGCACCCTAAGAGTGGGGGAAGTGGTCCATGAAGGTGAGCCAGGTCCTTCATCATGAGGTTTGCAGCTAGACGATATTCAGCTTTCTGACACAGAGTTGGTAGTTTGTATTCGTCGCTTGAAAACAGACCAAAAAGGAAAGGGTGCCCTTGTGTGGCTGCCAGCGACCATGAAAAGGGGCCCTTGCCCAGTGAAGGATGCTAAAAGGTTTCTCTGTCTTAGGCCCCCTGGTCCAGGTCCTTTCCTCGTACATGAGGATGGGACCTGTCTAGATAGACAGCAGTTTACTCGTGTAATACAGAGAGTTATCGAAGCGTGTGGTCTTCTGGCTAGGGAATATGCCACTCACACATTTAGGATTGGGGCTGCTACAATTGGGGTTTGCCAGTGGACAAGATAAAAGACATGGGGCAGTGGCGATCCAATGCGTACAAAGGTTATATCTGTGGCAGCTCCTTATTTTCAGCAGGGCTATGGCTTACACTGCTCTGTCACTTTGTGTTTCAAGGGCAAAATGTGTTGAGATCTGGATCGTGGGACACAGTATCGTCCATTGGGCCTGTGCATGGGCGGTTGCCAGAGGCCTGGGGTGCGAGCTGGGTTTTCCTGAGCACATCTGTATTTCTTGGATATTGAGGTGTGGGATGCAATGGAAGGAGATGCTGCCAATTGTGAGGACCAAGGCTGATGCGCAGAGCTCTCCCAATGCTTTGGTTTTGCAGCTGGGAGAAAACGATATGCCGAGTCGGAAAGGCGTGGACTTGCTCTCAAATATCAAAAAGGACTTGGACTATATGGCTCTGAACTTCCCACAAATGACACAGCTTCTGGAGAGACAGTCTGGTGTGGCAGTGATTGCCCAGCTGCAATAGATCATACCTGAAAACATTTAAATCGTTCAGTGGCACAGAAGGTGCACATGCTGGGTGGCCAGGTGATTGCACACCCCACCATTGTTTACAGCAAGATGGCCCTATTTTGAGATGATGGCGAACACCTTTCCGATTGGGGAAATGATATCTGGTTGGCTGATATTTCAGAGGGCGTGAAGGATTGCTTGCAGGTGTGAGGGTATTTGGCGGCGGGCCTTTGGGCTCTTGTGGTGGTTAGGCATTGGGTGACCTTATGATGGGGAGGGGAAGTGTAGCCATCACCTGCTCCTCCAAGCTTAAGGGTATTCCGTTAAAGGAATCTGGGGGTGTGGATCTTGTCTGAGGCCCGGGGCGGGGCTAGGGCCATGCCACGACCCCTGCGGGAGCCCTGGGGGAACTCGAGTTGGTTTGCATCAACGGGGCTGTCCCTTCTGGTGGTTTACCCTTATCGGACTCCCTGCGCAACGGGCAGGAGTCAGATGTAGTCAGGTCTATTCAATGCCTAAGCCAATACCGCTCACATTCCGTAACCAATAAAGTTGTGGCCAATATTTGCCCAATAACATTAACCAAATGATGGTCCCATCACCTCCTGGCAAATAGAAGGGGAAGAAATGGAGGCAGTGAGAGATTTTACCTTCTTGGGCTCCATGATCACTGCAGATGGTGACAGCACCCACGAAATTAAAAGTCGCCTGCTTCTTGGGAGAAAAGCAATGACAAACCTAGACAGCATCTTAAAAAGTAGAGACATCACCTTGCCAACAAAGGTCCGTACAGTAAAAGCTATGGTTTTCCCAGTAGTGATGTATGGAAGTGAGAGCTGGACCATAAAGAAGGCTGATCGCCGAAGAATTGATGCTTTTGAATTATGGTGCTGGAGGAGACTCTTGAGAGTCCCATGTACTGCAAGAAGATCAAACGTATCCATTCTTAAGGAAATCAGCCCTGAGTGCTCACTGGAAGGACAGATCGTGAAGCTGAGGTTCCAATACTTTGGCCACCTCATGAGAAGAGAAGACTCCCTGGAAAAGACCCTGATGTTGGGAAAGATGGAGGGCACAAGGAGAAGGGGACAACAGAGGACTAGATGGTCGGATAGTGTTCTCGAAGCTACCAGCATGAGTCCGACCAAACTACAGGAGGCAGTGGAAGACAGGAATGCCTGGCATGCTCTGGTCCGTGGGGTCACGAAGAGTCGGACACGACTAAATGACTAAACAACAACATTAACCAAATATTCTGTGTCCTGGTGTTTTATTCATCTTCAAGAGGGTGGTTACGGGGTCTCGACACGCAACTTGGGAAAACTGAAGCCGTTCTGGTAATTCAGTGTGTATTGAATTAAAAGAAAGAAAGAAAATGCCATAGATTTTGTTCTGTGACTGGCAAAGGTATCCCAACTCTTCATGATTTAGAGCATCATTACCAAAATCAGCACCAGGCCTAATGGAAACTTGGAGTACTCAGAAATTGACTTGCTTTTTACAAGCCTAGTGCAAACTCCTTCCACTTTGATTTTTTTGTAGCCCTCCAGATGCTGTTGCACTACGACTCCCATCAGCCACAGCCAGCACTGCCAGTAGTTAGGGATGGTGGGAGTTAGAGTCCAACAACATCTGGAGGGCTCTCTATCTCTGCACTAGCAGATCAGTTACTCTTGTGTGGTGGCGAGGTGCTGGAAGGTTGGAGCTGGGTGGGCCGTATGGCCTGCCCTGCCCTGCCCTTCGAAGCTAGCTTCCTGCCTTCAAATACAGTGGGGTACTGTGCCGATGATGATAATATTGAAGTAATATTCAACTACTAGTATAGTTGTACCTTGGAAGCTGAATGTCTTGGCTCCCAAACAAATTGGCTCCCCAACAATCGAAACCTAGAAGTGAGTGTTCTGGTTTTCAAACAATTTTCAGAAGCCGAATGTCCGGCACAGCTTCCGTGGCTTCCAACTGGAGCTTCCTGCAGCCTATTGGAAGCCACACTTTGGTTTTCAAATGGTTCCGGGAGTCGAACAGCCTCCCAAAATGCATTCTGTTCGAGAACCAAGGTACAACTGTACAGTCAGATTCTGTCCTAGAGTGCTCAGGTGTAAATGAGGATTGGGGAGGCCCGTGCAGAGAGGGAGGGCAGCCGGCTACACTTGCTCGGGCCTCAGAGGGCTAAGCCAGCCAGAGGCCCCCCACCATGTACTGACCACTTTCTCCTCCTCCTCCTCCTCTTCCTCCTCCTCCTCCTCCTCCTCCTCCTTCTCCTTCTTCATTGTCTTCTTCATCTTCTAGTTTATAACTTTATTCTAACAAGACTCCCCACCTCAGACAAGCTTTGCATGGGCCTGGAAATGGGGTCCTGCTCCTGCAAGAGGTATCTTAACAGATTATAGCTAAGGGACCCCCTTTCACCTTTTGCATGTGACCATCCTATTTTGTATGTGGAGGGTGGGGACTACATTGTCCTTCACCTCAAGCTTCAGCTTGCCTTGGGCTGGCCCTGAGCAGGAAATCCCTGCTGTTACACCAAGCCAGTTTGGGCACTGATACACCAATTTAGATCCGAGACAATCTTGAACTGACCCGAGCCCTGGATCTGGATTGTGATCCGGTAAAAGCAAATCTGCAGAAATCCCACTGACTTGCATTGGGAAGCTATAGCTGCTGCTGCTGCTGCTGCTGCTGCTGCTTCTTCTTCTTCTTCTTCTTCTTCTTCTTCTTCTTCTTCTTCTTCTTCTTCTCCTTTTGTATTTTTACAAAGGTGCATGAAATTTGGACACATGTTAGCTCCTTAAGAGGGGATTGCCAAAGAGCCACAGGTTTTCATGGTAGCCACCTCTAAAACTTGCTTTTAAAAAAAGGAATTAAATACTGTACTACATGGGTATATGGAATGTTACATTGTATGTGTGCTGCTTGTGCACTGACTATGAACAATACACTCATAAGGCGCTCTCTCTCTCTCTCTCTCTCTCTCTCTCTCACACACACACACACACACACACACAGAGAGAGAGCAAAGTACTAATAAAGGCAGACACATAATCCATACCTATCCTGTTGTTGACTAGGAAATACAGTATAGTGCTGCATTTTTATGTTTTCCCTGCTCCAAACTAGCTTTGATCGGAAATAAGAAAAAGAACAATATAACTGCATTTTAAGCTGGTGATGTGTGCATAGTCTTAGTCAAGTTTTGTTGTAGTAAAGGGCTGTTCTTGTACATCTTGTTATGAGTTTGTGGATGCAAGACACCAATAATTCCTGCATTTACTAAGTGTTAGAAGTTAATCAGTGCTTGGAATATCAAGATGGGCTGCCAGACACTGAATTTAGTAGTGTCAAAATACAGGCCAAATCAGTTTTTTTCATGCTCAGGAAATCACCTAATGAAGAGCCATCATGGAGAGCAAAAGAAAGGTGATTTAACAAAGCAAGTTTTATATATGTGTACATAAACCATATATCATAAAGACACCACAGTCTCTGCTGTGCCTCATTTCCAAAGGAAACGTGAACCCCTGGAATCTCTTGCCACTTAGAGATTGGAGTGGCATGTAACAATATCATTACGTTTGCTAATTGTTCCACAGATGGCATGAATTACAATATTAATAAGCGTTATTTTAGAAACCACTTTGATTATTGATTTTTTTCTTCTGTTGTTAATTCTCTTTGGTACGCATTCATTTTCTTTTATCTGCTTTAGGGATTTAAGGACAATGTGTATCGGCAGAGAAGGAAATATTTTGTCGACGTTGCCATGAATTATAAATAGTGAGTACAGAACTTTGTTTGTGGTTGTGGAATTGCTACTGATTCAGAAAAAAAAAGACACCATCTGCTTGGGTGATAATCAAGCAGCAGCCATGAGAACTGGCCCATTTACACAACTGAATTGGTAGGGTGAGCTTCTAAACTGGGCTTATTTGGAGTTGAGCTGTGGAACGTAGGAAGTTGACTTTTACCAAATCAAGCCATTGTCCACTTGAATGCAAAGGCTGAGCTCTACCACTGAACTACAGCCTTCTCCTTGACACTTCTGGTCATCACTTTATTTATTGATTTGTTCATATCAGAAATGGAGAACCTCTCTGTCTGTCTGGCTCTCTCTACTCGCTATACTCTTCCTAAGCCACACTCCTGCTTTGAACCTTCCTTGAGAATTTTCCAAGTGAATTTTTATTGTTTTCCTTACATATTCTTTTCCAACAAATTGTAATAGCACCAAACATTCCCCTTGACTCTGCCGAGTCACGACCCCCCTCCCTCCCCACAACTGGTATATTTATCCTCTTTCCATCACACACATCATTCTCATATTAGTACTATTATACATTGAAGGTATTATGTCAATCCTGCTAGTGTCTTGACCTCTTTACAATTCTTCTTTAAATATTCAATAAATTTACTCCAGTTATTTTGGTATCTTTGATCTCCCTGGTCCCGGATCCTCCCTGACAGTTTGGCAAGTTCTGCATATTCTGTCAGCTTCGCCTGCCACTCCTGTATAGTTGGTATATCTTGTACTTTCCGTCTTTGGGCCAGAAGGGTCCTCGTGGCAGCTGTAGCATACATGAACAAATTTTGATCTTCTATTTTAATTTCTGTTCCTATTAAGCCTAATAGACACGCTTCCGGTCTTTTGGGGAAAGTATATCTAAATATTTTTTTGAGTTCATTATAAATTGATTCCCAAATTTTTTTTTACCTTATCGCAGGTCCACCACATATGGAAATAGTCCCCATCTGCCTTTTTGCATTTCCAACACTTTCTTTCTTTTTTCCTATACATTTTAGCTAATTTTACTGGCGTCAAATGCCATCTATACATCATTTTTAGCAAGCTTTCCTTTAAAGCCATGCATCCTGTAAATCTCAAACCCTCCTTCCATAATCTTTTCCACGCATCCAATTCAATGTTATGCCCAATATCAATTGCCCATTTTATCATTGATTCCTTTACTTCTTCGTCTTTTGTATACCATTCTAGCAATAAACTATACATTCTTGATAAAATTTTATCTTTACAGTCTATTAACTCGATTTGGAATTTCAATTTTTTATCTTTGAACCCATTTCTCTTTTTGTCTTCCTTTAATAAGTCACTGATCTGATGGTATTGCAGCCACCCTGTTAACATCTTTTCAATTTGGTCATATGGTTTGAGCTTTATCCCTTGGACTGTTTTCCTAGTAATATCCTCATATGTTACTCTTTCCCCTTCCATGTTTACTTTTTTTGTTGTCAGCACCTCAATTGGTGATATCCACCACGGTGTCTTTCTTTCCAGGAGGTTTTTATTCCGATCCCATACTTCATATAAATATTTCCTAATCACATGGTTTAGAAAACCTTTATGTACCTTTACTTTGTTGTACCATAGGTACAAATGCCAACCATATCTATTACCTTCCTTGAGAATTTTCGCCTAGTTGGCATGTGTCCTTGAACTCTCATAATGCTTCTTGCTTACCTGGTTGAGAGAGATGTGCAAGGGCCAGGGGAAGGGGAAGAACAGTGACCTTCCTGCTCACCCCCCTTCATGCAGTGTGTGTCTCAGCTCACATAATGGGCTATGTAAAGGTCAAGTTAACAGAAAGTTAACACCAGGAATTAAATGACTGGCATTTTTGTTTCTTTGTTTCATAAGAAAAAAAGATGTTACGGATCCTAGTGTGAACAAGGGGATACCAAAAGTTGTAAAACAAGCAAAATACTTTATGGTATGACTAAGAAGTTAAAAACTAGTATGCAGCTTGCTTTCTCAAAAAATCAATTTAAATCTTGTAACCTGACAGCACCAATTTAAAAACGCAGGTTTAGAAACAGCGCAAGAGCACCTTGCAATGCAACTGTAGACGAGCATTTGGAGAGAGTGATTTGGAGAGAGTGATGCTGAGAACAATATGCATAAGCTTCTTGTTGGAGCCAATGAGATTAAGTCCTTAACTGGATAAAATATTTACTGCATAGTTGACTTTCTTTTGCAAATGTACAAAAGTGCTTGATAAATACGCAAGAAAGCTTTCTGAACAGTGGGTTCAAAGGGCAACTTTTCAGAGACAGCGCAAATGCACAGCACCTGGAAATCATACTTTAGAACAGGACAGCCTTTGTCCCCCCCCCTGCCCCCCAGGATTAAACTAATGTAAAAAAATGCATCAAACATAAGGGTTGTTGTTGTTGTTGTTTAGTCGTTTAGTCGTGTCCGACTCTTCGTGACCCCATGGATCAGAGCACACCAGGCACTTCTGTCTTCCACTGCCTCCCGCAGTTTGGTCAAACTCATGCTGGTAGCTTCGAGAACACTATCCAGCCATGGGACTTTCCTTTCGCTTCCAGGCATATCTGCAACTGAGCGTCCTTTCGGCTTTGGCCCAGCCGCTTCATCAGCTCTGAATCTACTTGTACTTGTCCTCTGCTCTTCCTCAGTAGCATGTTGGACACCTTCCAACCTGAGGGGCTCATCTTCCAGCGTCATAACTTTTATATGCCTGTTGTCTTTGTCCATGCAGTTTTCTTGGCAGGGATACTGGAGTGGCTTGCCGGTTCCTCCTCCAGGTGGATCACGTTTGGTCAAAATTCTCCACTATGACCTGTCCATCTTGGGTGCCCTGCTTGGCATAATTCATAGCTTCTCTGAGTTATTCAAGCCCCTTCACCACGGCAAGGCAGTGATCCATGAAGGAGAACATAACGGTAGCTGTCGTGAAAAACCCACCCTGAATGTGGGAAAGTACTGAGTGAGCAGGCCTTATTCACTGAATTTTTCAGAGGCTTCTATTCCTAAATTGCTCCTGTTCTCAAACAAGATGTCATTCTTAAAATGGTCAATCTCATTGTCTGCCATGTCACAAATTAAAAGGACAATCAAAAGAAATAAATTCAGAGGGCTAGGAGGGCGAAACCCAGCTGGGAGGGCACCATTTGCCCCACCCTCACTGTGGGACTCTCAGAAGCGCTGCTATCATGCCTTGTCACCTCAGCTGCTAGCTTGGCACACCAATCACATTAAATGGTTTATGGCATGGGTAGGCAAACTAAGGCCTGGGGGCGGGATCTGGCCCAATCGCCTTCTAAATCCGGCCCGTTGACAGTCCAGGGATCAGTGTGTTTTTACATGAGTAGAATGTGTCCTTTTATTTAAAATCCATCTCTGGGTTATTTGTGGGGCATAGGAATTCACTCATTCCCCCCCTTCAAAATACAGTCTGCCCCCCCCATAAGGTGTGAGGGACAGTGGACCGGCCCCCTGCTGAAAAAGTTTGCTGACCCCTGGTTTATGGCTTCCGCCACCACATGAAAGGTCATGTACTTTCCTTACCAAGAGCAAGCCTGCTCCTCTCTCCTTCTCTCCCCTCCCCACTTTCTCTTTGAGTCAGGCTAACTCAGTTCACAGAATTGTCTGTGTGTGTGTGGGGGGGGGGGGGGTTTCCACACAAGGATTTTTTTCCAGCCAGAACTCACCAGAACTGAGTTCCAGCACCTCCCAGGTGGATGCCATTGCCATTATAAAAGAACAAGGGAGGTGTTCATGGTGAGTTCCAGCATTTCTTGTTCCAGAAAAAGAGCATTGGTTTCACATTTTGGATTATATATTGGCTTCCATTTAAGCTCCTATCTGCTCTAGAACCTAACCAAAATCCTAAAGAGCTCCAGCTAGAGCAAATTTACCACAGGATTGCACTTTTACATGAGTGGCTTACCCTGTAACTAATAATACCACCTCCAAATGCTACACTTGCATTTTTCTTTTCTTTTTTTAAAAAAATCTTTGCAGATCAAGCCTACATTTTGAATTCATTACGATCCCCAGGAGTTAGTAAATTTTCAGCGCTACCTACAAATACCTGCTGCTTTTTGCAATTTTCTTGTCACGCGAGCTTCCAAGTCAAGCTAATTCCAATCACATTCTCATTTTACTCATAATGGCCCAAACTCTTCACATTCCAGAGAAGGCACATGCTAATTTGATGTACTTTTCTGTTTCATGCTTTCTTTTTTAAAAGTTCTCGTTTCCCCCTCCCTCCCCTGTTTGTGGTTTCTGCCTACTTCTTTGAGTTCTCTAAGCGCACAAGGAGGGAGTGGGGGGGGGGATGAAAACATTTATTTCCCCCTCAGCAAACAGTAAAACTTGGCAGGAAAAGAGCATGCTTAAAAGCCCATAAAAAGACACACACACACACACACACACGCTATCAATTCAGAGTAAGGAGAGGGAGGGCATTTGTGTCTTGTGAGCAGAGGCAGCCGTTTTTCTCTCTGGATAGATCACTGCTGTTCTATTAGCATTTTATATGGATATGGATCTCCTAAATATTCCTTTTTGCAAGTACCTTTTGCATATCTCTGCTCAGCTTCAGCTGTACTTGACTAGTTTCAAACCAGCCCGAACCATTCCCCTCCCCCCCCACTTCTACCCTGCTGTGCTGGTGTAAGAAAATGGGGAAATGTTTAAATGTGTACGCAATTCAGCTTAATTAATGCATGCAAATGAGCCATGACTCCCCCAGCTTCTGAGTAGGGGACGCCTATCGTTGGCAGCTATTGTTATTTACCCAGACTGTATTTCTGAGGTTGCTTTGGTCGTGAAATTCTGCTTGCTCCATAAGATGCAATCAGCATCAGTGACTGCTCATTTCTAGAGGACAGTATGTCTTCTTTGACTGTCCTTCATGGTTTCTTGGATGAATTTATACTGATAGTAAGAACCTGTGCGTTGAATCTTTGATTTGTACCCCATCTTTCTTTCAACATGAGACCCAAGGTAGCATGCATGAGGGCTCTCATCCAGGGACTGGCCATAAAAAGACCTAGTTAGGTTCAGCAAGGTGGTAGTTTCATGTGGCTTCAGACCAAACTCTGATTTCTTGTTGAGAAGGCTGGGCAATGTTTGCATTACCACGTTCTCTCACACTTCCCAGTGCATTTCCCCTCTCAGTTTCTTTATTGCAAAAAGCCCAGTGTTTGGTAGAAATGGGCTTGTTGCTTATAGCTTCGCAATCAGCTTTAATTGAGTGACCTGAATTTTACGGTATGTAATTGAATCCCACCCGGAAATAGTGGCAGCATGGAAGTATTCAACTCCTAGGACGTACGATGGAAAGGCCCAGGTATGTTTAGCCTGGAGAAGAGAAGATAAAGGTGGGGGGAAGAGACATGAGAGATGCCTTCAAACCTCTGAAGGACAGCCATACTGAAGAAGGCTTGGTCTCCGTTGCTCTTCCAGAGGATACTATAATCTATGGGTGGGAGATTACCAGGGAGCAGATTCTAACTAACATGCGGAGAGCTGGTAAGGATTGATCAGCCACAGAACAGACAACCTCAGGAGGTGATAGGTTCCCCTTTGCTAGAGGCATTGCAGCAGCTGCTGAGCAGCCATCTTCCAAAGATGCTGTGATTACAAGAGCATTGAGCAAGAAGTTTAGGCTCTGTGACCCCCAACTCTATGATTCATTTCGGCCTTCTGTGTACTATCCATTCAGTTCCACCACGGCTTGCTAACAACATCCGCCCCCCACCCAGCTAAGCAAAACCCTTGTTGTAATTGTTTGTTAGTGAAAGAAAGAAGTGAAGGTGGGAAGAAAAGAAAGGAAGACGATTGTACTTAATGAGAATTTCCAGGCTGAATAGGCAGCCTCAAAGCACATTAATTCCAGATGATTCTTTCTCCACAGAGGATACTTATTATTGGAGCAGCTTCTATAGTGAGGATTGGTATCAGTTCCTGCATCTAAGAAACATACTGAATAAATCCTGCTTTACTGGAGTTGAGAGAAGGTCTTGAAAGGAGAGGAGAGTAGAGGGTTCGTCTAGGCAGCAACGGGCCTTTCAGTATTCAAAGTGCTTTATGATTGTTATCACATTCACAATAGCCTTCTGAGAAATGTCATTTTCTAGGTAGGAGACTAAGGTCACAACCACACGATGCATCTAAAACCATGCTTATACCACTTTAAGTTACGGCTTCCCCAAAGAATCTGGAGAACTGTATAGTTTACCCCCTCCCCTCAGAGCTACAGTTCCCAGCACCCAGAACAGCTCCCAGGATTCTTTGAGGAAACAATATAGTTTTTATTGGTTTGTTTAGATGCATAGCAAAATATAGGTAGCCAACTAAACCAAATCATAACCATAGCTGTCAATGTTTTCCTTTTTTTAAGGGAAATTCCCTTATTCCGAATAGGATTCCTCACAAGAAAAGGGAAAAGTTGACAGCTATGATTATAACACTTCTCCCCCCTCCCCCCCTCCCTGAATTTTGCCAGCTACCTAGTAGTATTCATGTCCTTGTAATATTCATTGCCCTTTTAGTTTTCTACAGGGTTCTCCTATGTTACTCCATGTGGGTTGTATGGAAGCATCCATCATAGCTATCAACTTTCCCCTTTTCTTGCGAGGAATCCTATTCAGAATAAGGGAATTTCCCATTAAAAAAGGGAAACGTTGGCAGCTATGGCATCCATCCACAGTGCGGTCATCTCCAGCTGGAAGTATCAAGAAGTCAGTGTTTTAGAATTCTTTTTTTTTCTCCTCCTATCCTGCCCTTGTGTTTAAAACAGAGAATAACCATTTACAGGCACAAGGATAGCATTAGAATAGCCTTTCAGAACAAGCAAAAGAAGAATGTTAATCTATTGCCCCCTAAGAAGATATTCTATTAAAATGTATTGCTCCAGATGTGTTATATTATTTTGAAACTACTTCCTGCATCTATTTGGGTCTTTCTCTTTCTCTGTAATAATACTGATCTGCCTTACAAACTGTACATATCATTGAGATTACTGAAATTAACGTGTATGGCATACTCCAAATATGTAGGAAAACCACTGTATCAGCCTTCCCCAACCTCTTGCCCTCTATATGTTTTGGATTATAACCCCATCATCCTTGACCATTGCCCATGCCAGCTAGGACTGACGGCAGTTCAAATTCTAGTTAGCTTGAGGGAAAAATGTTCCAGCTTGGGGAAAAATGTTCTATATTGTAACTTTTTAAAAACCCCTTTGGATTGTGCACAGTTGATCTCAGATCCTGAGGGCATAGATGATTCAGGCAGCAAAATGTCATGGGCAGGCCCTTATCTCCACCTTCTCTCTGTGTATGTCTGGCTTTTACAGAAAACCCAGCTGTTTCTAAGAAGTGCGTTTGACAGGTGAATCTGTTACATGAAGACTATGTGAAGAACTAGGAGTGGAAGGGAAAAGATTCTTCTTAAACAGGGCTGGGGAACCTTTTCAGCACAAGGGCCACATTACCTCCTGAACAGTGTTATGGGGGCCACATACCAGGGGCAGGTGAGGGAAGATGCAGAAGTAGGTGGCGCAATGGATATAACACTTGACTTTTGTACAGCAGGCTGCATTCCAGATGTGCGCAACTCTCTATCCTCCATCCAAGCAAGCAAGCAAAACTTATTATTAGCATAATTCAAGGAAGACACATTCCACTCAGGTAAAAGCATCTGGGAAGGCTGTGACACAGGGCAGTGAGTTGTGTGGCCTGTGGAGAGAGCAAGATAAAGAGATCTGGAGGGCTGCATTCTACCCCTGCCCCTTACTCTTCTTCTGCGTCTGACCCACTGCTCTAGCTGAAGAGAGCATGACTTTAAGATCTGTTTTGGGACTAACACAGGACACGCCTGGGGGATGAGACAACAGCCACATCAGGCTTTTGCTGGAGATAATAGCAGGCATTGGAGGTAACTTGTCAATGGGCTATCTGAAAAATAGTTATTCCTTCTTTTGAGGTACTAGTGCCTGTCTATGTTAGGGGGGTTTGGAAGGGGCTTATGATGGGTTGGTGGGAGCATATAACCGAGAGGTAATTGTTTTCAAAACCTTTGTCTTTTGTATTTTTTTTCTTAGTGGTCAGCCAATCCCTAGAGTGGACTATACACCTGAAGAAATAAAAACTTGGGGAGTGGTGTTCAGGGAACTGACCAAGCTGTATCCTACTCACGCCTGTCGAGAGTATTTGAAGAACTTCCCTTTGTTGACCAAGCATTGTGGCTACCGAGAGGATAATGTCCCTCAGCTGGAGGATGTTTCTATGTTTCTTAAAGGTAAGGGTCAAATCTGGCTTCTAGCAGAACAGGGTGCTGTAAAAATAATTGTGTCACATTTCAAGTGTTGCACAATTGGCCAAGTAATGAGAGCTGTTTATACCTTTATTCTTCGCACGACAATTCTGTGCATTGAATAAGTAGTTATGGAACAAATCTGTATGCAGGGAGGGGAAAAATACCCACCAGGAATCTCTACCGTCTCCCCTTTGGGAGTTTTGCACAAAAGTCCTGGCTGACCCCCAATCCCCTGAGAATGTCTCTATTATGACATGTGTCTTTTTGACTATACATGCGTAAACCCATCTGAATACAAAGCAAAGCAGTCAGCTCTGTGCTTGGAACAAACCAGTGCACTGAAATCTTAAATGGAGTATGAACAATGCCTCCTTATTCAATACATTTTGTATTTTCAAGACAGGGACTCCATATGTCCTGGGCAGTAAGGTTTGCATGGTTGAATGTTTGTAAAGCAGCTGGAGGTAGTGGGGTCAAGCTTCTCCTCCAAAATGGGCCTGTCGCCAGATGTTCCCAGCTGCCTTTCCTGAAGTCATAACTGATCTGGAAGTTTGCACTCTTCCAGCGACAACACTGAACTTGGCTGGAAGGTGCACCAGTTGGTCTGCTCCAAGCCTCCTTCTCAGATGGTAATGTTGATCATCTGCCAGTTGCGTTACTCATGACTCATCTTCTGTAATCCTCTCTTTCTAATCCTCCCAAATGCATTGCTCCTTTGCAGTGCTTTTTTAAAAAAGAAAAAAGAAAAAAAAAGGCGCTAGTACTCACCAGGAAGTTGTTACAGTATGTGCCACACTTTTAACATTTTGGGGGAAAGGTGCCGGTACTGCCTACCCATGAGTACCACCAGACTTCCTTGCCTTCCAGTTCAGGGTCAAGACTGGAGCAGGCTGAGAGACAGTCTAATTATAGCTGCATTCTGTGTATCCTCATCAACTCCTCTAGTATGGAAATGACATTTGTCCCATAGCACTACAGAGCAATAACAGAAGGCCTCTCCTCTCCTCCTCATCCATCTTTTGGAGACCTCTGTTTTGGAGTCTCATTTATTTATTTATTTCACTTTAACCCTATTCTCTCTCCAAGTTGGCCAGAGTGACAAACTAGTCTCTTGCTTCCTTGCATTCCACAAAAAAAATAAACAAACAAACAAAAAAATAAACAAAAAAAATACCCTGTGAGGAAAATTAGGCCGAGAAGAATTGATCCAAAGACACCTGCTGAACTTCATGGATAAGTGGGAATTTGAACCAAGGTTTCTGCAGTTCTAGTCTGACACTCTCAGCAGGAGGTAGCCAATATGGTGCCCTCTGGTTGTAGCTGGGAGTTGTGGTCCAGCAACATCTGGAGGGCACCATTTTGGTTGCCTCCTCATCCAGCCCACTGCATAACAAATTGTTTGTGGTTGTGTATACATTATCTGGCTTGAAACACCGCTAGGTCATTGTAAAGCATTTTGCTCATGGTGGGCTGCTCTTCTCATTACGTACTGCAAACCATGTAAGATAGCCCAGGGAAAACCAACCTGCCCTGTAGCACTGCCCAAATCTCTGTAGTCTCCCAATCCTGAACTAAGGGAAGCTCAGGTTGTTTCTGGATGTTCTTGGGATTCACAAAGACAAGAGCCAAACAGTCCGCTCACTGTCTTTTGAGCTCCAAGCACATAACTTAGGTCTCTTCTAAGCACAGGTGTGGGTTTTTCAGGTGTGTGTCTTGTTTTGTTTTGTTTTGTTTTGTTCTGGTGCTTTTCTTCCTGGAAAGATTCAGAAAACCTGATTGCTGCTTGTGCTGATTCAGCAGTAAAATGTGGGTTTTCCCAGGGAAAGTACTGGAGGGGAAACACACCAACGATGACACTCAGACACAACCTGAAAAGCCCAGACCTGTGCTTAGAAATGAAGCAAAAAGGGAAGTGTGAATGAGCCCTTACTCAGTTGCATATGGCCAAGCACAGAATACGAACCCTTGACCAATAAAAGACAGTTAAGAAAGGCTAATAGTGTAAAGCAAACCTTTGGGAATGAGAGGACAGAACAAAACAAAACAACAAAGCTAGCTTGCCTAAATCATGGAACCCACCAGCAAGCTTCATCCAGACACAAGGTTATTGCAGTGCATGATCCTTCATCTGAATGAAGGCCTTCGATGCAGGTCAGAGACCAGGTTTTGTACTAAAAGACCTGGATACAGAAGTGTAGATTTTCCATCATCCAATCAGGGCCTTGGGGTATATTTCCTCACCCCAAGGACAGTGTACATGCGGGATTTCTCGGTGGATTTCTGCACAGCCATTGTGACCTTGATGCAACCCTGCATGAGGCACACAGGTGGCAGGATGAACTAATTAAACGGAGTCATTTTTTCCTCTCAGGAAGACTGCACCAAGAACCCTACGTAAAAAGCCATTTTAAAACGAGTCAAAGGGGGATTTATTTGCAGCTGTTCTTTCTCTCCGTTTGGATTGAAACTGGCTTGGGTAGTCACACTTCACCACACACAGTATTTAATAGGAAACCAAAGGATAGACATGGCTTTTGGCTAATATCACATGTACGCTGCTTCCCAGACCACTGGTGGGAGCATACCAGGTGCACAGTAAATGGTGTGTGTGTGTGTGTGTGTGTGTGTGTAGACACAGCCTGTGTTGAATGATCCCACCAAGGCCATATTCTTCCCTTATCCTTCTGGAGATGCAATGTGGGCATGTTAGTTTTAGCCAGGGCAAACATCACTGAGGTCGCATGTGCTGCAGTCTGCAGGAATTGCTGTGGGAAGTCTCTGATGCTGACACAGTTTTTGTCAAAGAAGATGAGGCAGATGTCAGATTTATTTGCCCCTTATCTCGGGGTTCAATTTGACCTGGTTGCTTATGTCTTCTCATTGTTCCAGGCCCTGGAAGATCTCTTTTGAGTTTCAGGGAGTTATTATTAGGGCTGCCTTTTCCAGTTATTTGGAGTGCCGATATTTCTTACAAATATTAAACGTTTAAATCGGGGGCAGGGGAAAGACCGCCCCCCCCACACCAAAACAAGTTCCCACTATGACCGCAGAAAAGTCACAGCAAAATATAGTCCTAAGAACCTGAGAAAGATTTTTCTGATCAAAAATAAAATATTGTGTATGGCTTGAAAAGCTAACCTGCCCCAGCTCCCATTCCTTCCTTTATTCTTACTTTATGGCTACTAGCACTTAACATTAATTGGCTGACTGCTCTTTGAGCTGGGTTGCATCTTTCAAAGGTGCATCCTGCAATGTTCTCTGGATCCCTGAGGAAGGGCACTGAAACACAGTTCCTTTTTCTTTTCTTTGCTTGAAGCTAGAAAAGCACTCCAAGGTTCAAATGTGTGTTCTCAGCCAAAGACAACAGTCACAATTTTTTTCTGAAGAGGACTAAGCTTAGCTCATTTAATTCTAAACAGTAACTAATGAGATGAGAAAGAGCTTGAGAAAGAACCAGCCTGTTCATAAGTGAACATAAGTTTTGGAGTGGTGCCAGCTGAAGACATTCCTTTTTTCCAACAAGCCTTTTGAGTGGAGATTTTTTAATCCCAACCTGTATTGGATCTGGGGTTGTTAGCTGTATGACATTTGTTTTAATGGTTAAATTGTTTTGAGATAATTTTATAGGAAGCACTTCATAAATGAAATGAAATGATAGACAGATAATAAGGTAAACTTCCCCCATCTGACCTTTTCGGCATTTCCTTTCCTTTCGACCTCAGTGTTTACAATCAACCCCACATCATCACTCAGGATAACACTTTGTGCCTTTGGTCCTTAAAAGCTTATGCCATAATAACACCGTCAGCTTTTAAGATGCCACAGGGTTCTTTGCTGTTACAGAAATGTTTGCCGATGATTTCCAAATGAATAATGTGCCATCAGATTTCATGAAAGATCTGAGGCTATTACACATAGAGGTAAATCAGTGTTTGCACCAAGTATCCACCCAGCACGAAATTGCTTGCCATTCAGATAATTTTTGCATATACTACCTGCATGATACACACAGCTGGCAGCATGTATTTGCTCCCCCTTAATGTTGTCAATTTTATGAGGATACTAAAGATAAAATGCTTTGTTCAAACCTGTATAAAGTGGCCCTGCACCCCTCCCCTTTTAATCTGCTGCTGTAGATAAAACAGGAAGGTGATTAGTGATATTGGCACATTGTAACCTTGGTGTTTTCCCCTCAGCTAAATGATCTGCATCAATTCATCCATTTTATTTTCTTAAGGAATGTCTAGCTGGTACAAACGACGTTTGATTCTGTAGGGAAAATATGGAATAGTTTGTGTTTTCTGTAGATTGACACACATACTCAGATAATTTTGGTTTTTCTACCACTTCAGAAAGGTCTGGATTCACAGTCAGACCAGTTGCTGGATATTTGTCACCTCGTGATTTCTTAGCTGGCCTTGCCTATCGAGTTTTCCACTGTACTCAGTACATACGCCATGGGTCTGATCCTCTCTACACTCCAGAACCGTGAGTATAATTTTTCATAACTTAGCATGTATTACATTTATTTTTTCCATGTTTCCTCCAAGCAGGTGACGATGAGGTGCATGGTTCTCTTCTCTACCTCCCCTCAACTTTTTCTTCTCATAACAGCCCTGTGAGGTAGGTTAGGCTGGGAGAAAGTGACTGTCCCAAGGTTACCCACTGAGTTTCACGGCCATGAAGACCACAGGGTGACTTTGGGCAAGTTCCTGTCTCTCAGCTTAACCTGCCTCACAGGGCTATCATGGGAATAAAACGGGGAGGAAAGGCAAACCACTTAAGCAGCCCCGATCCCCTTGGAGCCAGTGTGGTGTAGTGGTTAAGAGCGGTGGACTCGTAATCTGGTGAACCAGGTTTGCGTCTCTGCTCTTCCACAAGCAGCTGCTGGGTGACCTTGGGCTAGTCACACTTGTCTGAAGTCTCTCAGCCCCACTCACCTCACAGAGTGTTTGTTGTGGGGGAGGAAGGGAAAGGAGAATGTTAGCCGCTTTGAGACTCCTTAAAGGGAGTGAAAGGCGGGATATCAAACCCAAACTCTTGGAGGAAAGGAAAGGCAACATGAAAAAAAAAATGTAACAACACTACTTGGCTTCTTCAGTTAGAGATGTTGCACAGTTCCACAAATCCCATTTAATTTCAAGCCTGTGGTTCTGCCTCTTTGAACTGTTTCATGCTTCTGGACCAGCTACAGCACACCCTGCCAAAATCATGTACGTTTGCACAATACCTGCCTCTTTTCTCCAGGGCAAGGGCCAGCTGCTTCTGGGTCCGCCACTGTTAATGGTGTGTGTAATGACAGAGAAGCAACTTCCATGAAACTCACCTGACATTCCAAGGACTCTCGTATAGGAGGGGAGAGAAAATATCCTCATTGTCCTGGCGAAGGAAAAGGTTCAATTGGCAGACCCCTGTCCTTTACACCATGGTGTCTTTCCTGTATCTAACCAAAAGGAGGGAAGGTCCAAAGCAGCAAATGGTGTGCTCAGGCTCCAGGGATGCAGGACATTCACAGAGCGTAAAGGGTTTTTGAAAGCGCTCAGCTTCCTCTTTCTCTGTAGCAAATGCTCAGGACTGCTGTGAAGGCCAATCGGTTAATAAACAAGATGATCCCTTGTTGCTTGAGCTTGTTGTCATCTGGCTTTTATCTGTGTAACAGCAAGCACCTCAAGAGCGTCACTCTGTGTGCGTTAATTCTAACCCCACTGATGGAGGGCACCTTCTCTGAACAGAAACCCATCTACAGACTTACATGAACCCCAGTCTCACATTTGCAGCCAATATTCTAATTCCAAACTCTTCTGAGGGATTTCTAGATCAATTAATCTCTGCCAAGTCTTTCCTGAAACCAAATCCTGGTATTTAAGACTGGAAGTGATGAACATTCAGATGGCTTCACCCCCCCACCCCACCCAGTCCTGGGAACTGCATTTTGCTGAGGGGCAAACTAGAGTACCCAGGATTCTTTGGGGCATGGTATAAACACGCTTCAAATATATAGTGTGGCTGTGACCAAAGGGGTTCTGTTGTAGTGCCTTCTATTAGCAAACTCAGATAGTGAGAGCCAACAGGTATAGAGTGAGATGGGAGACCCTGAGAAATAAGACAGCAGTACCAGCATGCTCAAGGGAACTCTAAAGTCTGCAGCAGCAGAAAATTATTTTTTTTAAAAAGCCCTGAATCGGGCAAGCAAGCAAGCAACCCCTTAGCTCAATGAGGATTGAGCATGCTCAATAGTCACAGAATAATGAGTGTCAGTTGGAAAAGAAAACCAGAAAAATAGGCCCCCACATCTGGTGCCAGTCCTGAGTACTGATCATCATGTACAGTCTACCTGGGATGGAAATTGAGCTGCTCCCTCTGTCCTTCTGCAATCATTGTTTCAGCTTATGCCCACAGCTTTTTGTTTATTCTCTACATCAGGCATAGGCAAATTCCGACCCTCCAGATGTTTGGGACTACAATTCCCACCATCCCTAGCTAACAGGACCAGTGGTCAGGGATGATGGGAATTGTAGTCCCAAATATCCGGAGGGCTGGAGTTTGCCTATGCATGCTCTACATGTTCATTGTTTTCTTGCTGGCGTTTCAATATTCTTTCATTCTATTTTCCCATCTTTTTTTTAAATAGAGAAAATGAGCCCAAAGGGAATTCTATTAATATTGATGGCTCTTTGTTGAAATATCTGCTGTTTTTGGCACTGAATTATTTTATTTCTTTTTTATTGCAATGTCTTTTGACTTGCACCAGTGAGCACTGGCATTGGTGTTATTTCTGTGATATCACGTTTGGTGCTGTAGTGGTTCTAGGGGTTGCTCGTGCGTAAGCCGGTGCCGGCACCTGGCTGGGTTGCCTGAGTGAACCTTTTCTGTCCAGACAGCCACTCACCCGTGGCTGTTCCAGAACCATTTTAAATTAAGTAGAATAGGAAAGATTTCTAAACATCAGATCAATACTTTCTGCATTAAGAAATGCAAACTGACATGACCTTCAGAGTTCACATTTACCAAAAAAGCACTGGGACCTGTAACAAAATGTTTCTGTGTGACTGCTCCTGTTCAGTGTTCCAGCCAGCCAGCCAGCCAGCCACAACTTTCAGGGCACTCCATTCCACACTTACCTGCCCCAAACAAACACTCAGTGTTTTGTGGCTGCTGAGCATGCTCAGTACTTGCTAGGTTGTTTTGGGGGTGTTTCCCAAGAGGTTCTCATTTGTATTTCTGCCAATGAAAGACCTGCCCAAGTCATGCAGATCTTAGAGGGTCTCGTTTAGAAAGGTCTCTTTCAGCCCCGCTGGTTGAAAACCCTTTCCTGGCAATGCCCGACACTGAAATTGCAGCAAAGCATGATTGCTAAGCCAGTGTTGGTCATACTCAGAGTAGATCTACTGAAGTCAATGGGCTTCTATCTATTAATTTCAGTAGGTCTACTTTATGACTTAGTTGGATGTTCGTTCCATAAAAAAGTAATAATAAATAAAGAAATTGTTCTGCCATTGAGACTGCTGCACCTGTAAAGAAAGGTTACAGCAGGAAGTCAAGTTCCGAAATCAATTGAGGCGCTCATGTTCCACTCAAGAGTGTTCTCACATATTCTTTAGAGAAATGCTTGGCACTGGGTGAAAAGGGGGCATTGTAATGTGAAACTTGACACATGAACTTGTCGCCTGCAGGAGAATTTGGATTATTGTTCACCTGGCAACAAAGTGGCCCTATTCCCAACAGATGAGCCTTTCACAGGAAGCGCAAGGTGACAGCTCTGAATTGAAAATGAATGCTGAGTCTTTAAGACTTCGGCTCCATTCACAATCCCCATGATGTCTGTTTCCATATTGTCCAAGACATATGAACATGAAAAACAGACAAACTGGGAAACTCCTGCTTGCTTCCTATTGTCCTGCCCATGCATAGCATATTCCTGGTGTGCATGTCTGTGATTCAGTGAACAATAGTGGATGGGCTGGCATGAATAACTCAGGCATGTACTGTGCTCTTTTGATGGGCAGTATCAGGATTATAATGGGGGAACAGAGCATAGCATTAAAAAAATAGGAATACATATTCCAAGTATTGTTTTGCCTGAAAACAGAGGCAGTGGGCTCTCTTTATTTGTACAAAAAAAATGCAAACTTGCTTTTTCCCTCCTGAAGATGTTGCTCAAAGCAACTAACAACATGCAAAACACAAAAATAAAAACACATTGGGGGTTTTTTTAGCGCTGCTTTACAGTGTCAAATTTGGACCAAAAATACTTGAATGCGAGTCTGCATGGAAAGTTTAAAAACCCCCACAGTATTCTCCAGTTAGCGTCAAAGTTTTATTTTTGTAAACAAACCTTTTAATACTTATGACAGCTAGATTCATTTTTTTTTTTAAAGCCCACTGAACTGCTTCAGGTTTGGCTAAGAGGTTTGCATGCATCAGTTCTCTTAGTCCAGTGATGCTTTTATACTTCTACTAACTTTGCATCTTAATTCCCTTGCAGGGATACATGCCATGAACTTCTGGGGCACGTGCCTCTGCTTGCTGACCCTAAATTTGCCCAGTTTTCCCAAGAGATTGGACTGGCCTCCCTGGGATCTTCTGATGAGGATGTCCAAAAACTTGCAACTGTGAGTCACTAAGTTTTAAAAGTGTGAGTTTTGCTTGATTCTTCAGAATCTGTCAAGTCTACTAAAATGAAGTGTTTCTCAGTGTGATGATAAAACAAGTCACCCACTTTCTTTGGCAACACCTCCTCTGACTGGTTTGTGGCTGAGGTATGCAGGCTAGCCTCAGTGGCCCAGAAAGACCTGACAGCTGTGTGTGGTTGTGTGATTGAAGGTAGTGGTGCAACGAGAGAACATTGATTTTAACACTTTCCCCTCTTTCTTTCGCCTAACATCTCTGAAATACAGACATGGTTTGTACCTGTAGAATATGAAGATTTGGGACAAGGTTTTCACTCATTACACTGTGTTATTTGTCTCAGTGTGCTTTTAGAAAAGGTAAAGGGACCCCTGACAGTTAAGTCCAGTCGCGAACAGCTTTGGGGTTGTGGCACTCATCTCACTTTACAGGCCGAGGGAGCCAGCGTTTGACCGCTTCCGCAGACAGTTTTTCTGGATCATGTGGCCAGCATGACTAAGCCGCTTCTGGTGCAATGGAACACCAAAACCAGAGCAGCGCACAGAAATGCGCACAGAAATGCCAGAGTGGTACCTATTTATCTATTTGCACTTTGACGTGCTTTCGAACTGCTAGGTTGGCAGAAGCTGGGACCGAACAACGGGAGCTCAACCCATCGCGGGGCCTTGAACCACCAACCTTCCAATTGGGAAGTCCAAGGGGCACAGTGGTTTAAACCGCAGCACCACCCGTGTCCCCTTTAGAAAAGATCGCCGTAAAGGATTATTATTATTATCATCAATACCACATGGGGGAGATGGGTGAAAAGCAAGCTAATTGTGAAACACGGCTTCTTCATTTATTGCATTTCATGGGCAGTACCATGAATGTCAAGGAGATGAACTCAGGGAAGTTCCATCTGACACTGTCCAGAATGAGGAAGGCCTCAGGCGCAGTGATCCAAGGTCTCAGGGCACAGGGGTATGATGGGTGGAATGAGAACAGGATAGCGTCTTGGGATCGAAACAACCACAGCTTTGTTTATAACAGATGTCAGTAGGCTTTGGCATAGACATTGGGTATGGGTCCTGAACAGAGAAGGAAAGGCCTGGAAATCCCCCGGAAAAATCCTGAATAAACATGACCATTTACTAGTTGATTAATCCTTCAGGGTCAATTCTGGATTTAAGAATCACTCTACAATGAGAGTCAATTCTGGGCAATCCTTCCAGGACACCACTTGGGAAGTTCTGTGGCCCATTAACCATCATCTGGGCCTTCAGACAGAAACCTTCTCCTGGACCCCTTTACCGGGGTACCCTGATACTTTGACTGGAGTGATGAGGGGTCTCTTACATCCTTTTTCTGGACTAAGGATCCAACCCAATGCCTTTTTTTTTTTGCCAACAAGTTGTAACAGTTGCTACTAGGTAAGCAAAACCTCCAGAAAGGCCCAGTTTTGTCTGCCAGAGAATTCATCTCTGACTCCAAACAGCTCCATAGCAAGGTCTTAAGCACATCCTGCCTGCCCACCCCAGGTAAAGGCAAAATTATAGAGAGGAGGGGGGAGACCCTATGCTGACTGCGCTGACCAAGCCACACACTGCTGATTTAAAAGAGATTGGGCAGACCTGGTTGAAGCCAGTCGGCTCACTGGCCAACCAGAACCACCCCACCATTCCCAGCACCACAACCAGCACACAACTGGTTTGACAGGGCTTTAAATCTCACAGGCAGTTCCCAGCCTCCTGCGCAGATATCCAGGGCAATGATGACATCAGGTGGCTGCGCAGGAGAGGAACAATTTGCACCCCCAGGTTGCCTCCTGTGCCCATGTTGGGCCACAATCAAATAGTAAGCGATCTTTGCATTGAAAGATCTTTGCATTGAAGGATTGAAGTTGAATCCTGACAAGACAAAAGTACTTTTTTGGGGGGACAGGGGGCGGGCTGGTGTGGAGGACTCCCTGGTCCTGAATAGGGTAACTGTGCCCCTGAAGGACCAGGTGCGCAGCCTGGAAGTCATTTTGGACTCACAGCTGTCCATGGAGGCGCAGGTCAATTCTGTATCCAGGGCAGCTGTCTACCAACTCCACCTGGTACGCAGGCTGAGACCCTTCCTGTCCACGGACTGTCTCGCCAGAGTGGTGCATACTCTAGTTATCTCCCTCTTGGACTACTGCAATGTGCTCTACGTGGGGCTACCTTTGAAGGTGACTTGGAAACTACAACTAATCCAGAATGTGGCAGCTAGACTGGTGACTGGGGGCGGCCGCCGAGACCACGTAACACCGGTCTTGAAAAACCTACATTGGCTCCCAGTACGTTTCTGAGCACAATTCAAAGTGCTGGTGTTGACCTTTAAAGCCCTAAACGGCCTCGGCCCAGTATACCTGAAGGAGCGTCTCCACCCCCATTGTTCTGCCCGGACGCTGAGGTCCAGCACCGAGGGCCTTCTGGCGGTTCCCTCATTGAGAGAAGCAAAGCTACAGGGAACCAGGCAGAGGGCCTTCTCGGTAGTGGCGCCCGCCCTGTGGAACGCCCTCCCATCAGATGTCAAAGCGATAAATAACTACCTGACATTCAGAAGACATCTTAAGGCAGCCCTGTTCAGGGAAGTTTTTAATGTGTGATATTTTAGTGTATTTTTGGTTTCCATGGAAGCCGCCCAGAGTGGCTGGGGAAACCCAGCCAGATGGGTGGGGTACAAATAATAAATTATTATTATTATTATTATTATTATTATTATTATTAGCATGCATGAGGAACGAGGAAAGGCCTTGCATGTGTGGAGCTCCATGTCTGATCAGAGCTCTATACAAAGAACATCTGAACCAGGAAAGAAGCAGCTCCCTCCTTCAAAACTGGGTTGTTGTTTTTTGCAGACATTCACATAAAGACAAAAGCCCTAGTATTCCTTTAAGTGCTGAATTTATGGCACTGGCTGCTAGAAAATGTTATTTATAAATGGAGGGTTTGGATAGACTATAAATATTGAAAGAAAACTCCAGTGCTACTTCCCAGGTAGTTTTAGAAAAGGGATTTAAAAACCATGGTAGGAGGAATCAGAAATATTTCTGAAAGTGTGTAACAATGCAGGAAACAAGTGGCTAATGTGCAAGGACTGTGTCTATCCCAAGCAAAAAACTAGATATTTGGATGTGTGAACTTTCTGTTTACACCACGACAAAAATTAGCAGCTTGGATGAACATGCACAACTCCACTCATGCAAATGTTTCATAGTGTTTTCTTCAGTGAGCTGAGAAATAACTGGTGTTTTCTTGCAATGAAGAATCTATATATGTGCCTGGATATGCCCCACAGAGTCATGAGGTGTCCGAAACACCCAGTACAGTTATACTTTGGTTCTCAAACAGAATCCGTTCCAGAAGTCTGTTTGACTTCCGAAAACATTCAGAAACCAAGGCACGGCTTCTGATTGACTGCAGGAGCTTCCTGCACACAATCGGAAGCTGCAGAAGCAGCGCCAGACGTTCAGGTTCTAAAGAAACATTTGAGTCGCAAGGCATTTGACAACCAAGGTACAACTGTATTTATAATTTTGGGGAAATGAGTGTCTGCTGTGTACTGCCACAGTTCACAAGATGGTTGTTTAGTGATTGGTATGTTCTATCTTCATCCTTTTTTGGTTGGTCTACACTATTTGGGTAAAAGTATCAGTGCCCATTACTCTGGAAATGAAGATGTTAGTATTTGGTATACAAGCCTTCTGTGGCTTTTTCTGTTACAAAACTATCTGAATATCTGTCCAATTAAGGAATTGCTGTCAGGAACTAATTGGTTTCATTACACTCTTTCAAGTCCCCCCACCCCATCTTTAAAGTAGCTTTTCAACCTCTGTTTTTAAAGTGCTAAAAACTACAGTCTTCTCTTCTCCTTGGTAACATTTATTGTGATATTTTAATCGACTGCTGAGGAATGAAAACCAAACAACTTTTGCTCTTTTGCCACTGCACTGTGTACAGAAATCTGGAGAAATTAATTGCTCCTGAAGCTGGGAGAAATTGAGGGTTTAAAAAAATGCTTATAAAGTTCACATTTATTAATATGAACGATTTTGAATGTCATATATCTATATATAGCCAACCTCAAAAGGAGGTTTACAAAAGGAATGGAATTATCAGTGAAAAGCAACTTAATTATTTAAGAATTACTAAAACCAGCGATAAACTAAAAAACAGATGAAAACACTTGTCAACATTTCACATGCCTGGCTAGGCTTGCCTGAGCAAAAATGTTCTTAGGGGGACGCGAAAAGAGTACGGGGAAGACACCTGCAGAGAGCTCTAAAGTCCAGGTGCTGCTACACTTAAAGATCAATTTCTCACCTTTGGAGAACAAGTATTATGTGGCACCTGTAATAGTGCCAGTTCCACGCCAGTTTACGGTGTAAATCAGTCTTGGTCCCTAGTTGTTAAGGGCTTCATATACTAATAACAACACCTTGAAGTTCGCCTGGTAGCAAATTGGCAACCAGTGCACGTCTTTGCTGGCAAGACTCCTGTCCGCAGTCGTACCACAGCATCCTGCACTAACAACAGCTTCTGGATCAAGCCCAAAGGAAGCCCCACACAGAAAGCCCCATTGCAGCAATCCAACCTTGAATGAAGCAATGCATAGACTACTGTGGCCAAGCTTTTCCGGCCCAGGAACGGCCATAGCTTTTGCTAGTAGCAGCTATTGAAGCTATCTGGGCCTTCTCCAGGGACAGAGCTGAGTTCAGAAGCACTTCCAGACTGTGAGCCTGCTCCTTCAGGGAGAGTGCAACCCTGTCCAGGGTAGGCCAAATTATCCAGCCCGGGAGCCCCTCACCCACAACGCCTCCATCTTTGCCAGGATTCAAGCTCAGCTTGTTTCCCCTCATCCATTCTGCCACTGCATCCAAGCACTGGCATTTTAAATGACGGTTACAAATCTTTTAGTGATCTTCTTCTTCTTTGTAAACCATTTTGAGGTTTTCCTACTATCTAGTAGTATGTAAATTTTATGAAATATCAATCAATCAATCAATCAATCAATCAATCAATCAATCACAACACCACCACCCAAAACATGCCTTTTGCTGCAGAGTGCTTAAAACAGGAAGTGCTCTCTGCTATTCCCCAGTCAAGTGGGATTGCAGGGAGAGGAACATTTTACACCTTCCCTCAATTCTGATGGAAATGACCCCTCTTTCTATTAAACTCAACAGCATGGAGTCAATAATCATGGCAATTGCAGGGGAGTGAAGATTTTAGCAGCTGAGAAAGGGTTGCCCACCAGGGAAAAGATGACTAGGAGATCAAGAGTGTGAAGTAGTTCTGATCCTGCTCACTGCCATTTCTGACTCAGTCTACCTGCTGGCAAATTTCCTGTCCCTGGCCTTTCACCCCAGGTGGCAGTAAATGTTCTCAGTTACACTAACATGTTTGTCTGGGTGTGTGTGTGTGGCAATGGGTTTATACTACAGTGCCTGTTGTGGCTTTTCAGAAGTGGATGTAAACCCTAAATCTGTAATGTTTTCAGTTCCCTGTTTTGAAGTGGAAGTTTCTGGCATATGTAATCCTAGCGTATGTAATTCAGAAATGTGTATCAGGGTGTGATCTTTGGCCTGACAATAGTGTGCCCCTCTTTTCGTCTTTAAAGCACAAGAGCATCTGCTTCCTTTCACCAGCAAAAGACTGATAATTCAAGGCTAGGTTGAACAGATATCAACAGTGGATCTGTTTTTGAAGAACCCACTATTTGCAAGCCAGTTGCAATTTGGGCAACATAATTGGTATTTGTTGAACAGCCAAGACTGGCAAACCTCCCTATTCTGTAGCAATGCAATTTCCTCTGCTATGTAGCCATAGTCTTGATGTCAAAATACTATCCTCTCAGTAATGACTGCAGTATTTGAATTGGTAGGAGTCCACCACGCACATGGAAACTAGACATCATTTGTAAAGTCTGTGTGAAGTCCTGGAACTTGGAGCCGGGCAGGCGTGATGTATTCATTATGATGAGCATGTCTCAATTTATATTCTTCAGCGTTCCAGGTAGATGAGAGCAGAAAGCAACATCTAGGGCACTGCAACATTTCTCAGATCACAAGTGACTGCAGATGCCAGGTCAAGTGAATCAGAATTCTGTAGACTTACTTAGCATTTATATAGCACTTTGTACGCTTAAAATACTTCACATAACTTTATCTCATTAACCTTGACACCAACCATGTAAGTCTGCCAGTACTGATATCCAGCTACTGAATAATAGTTTTTTTTGAAACCAGGGCTGGGGAATCTGTGGTCCTCCAGATGTTGCTGGAATCTAGCTCCCCTCATCTTATCACAGCCAAGGTTTGGGAATTACAGTTATGCAAAAGGAACGGTTTGATCATTTAGTTGTTAAAAGCTCTGGGTGATATTATTTATAGTTTAAAACCACACTTGCACTAATAGAAAGTGGCTTTCACCAGTCACGAAACTGGAGAGATGTGCAGGGGGGAAAGACACGAAAGCTACCCAGAAATTTAGCAGTATTCAGCACGCATTTTCTTGATGTTTTATGGCGATGTTTTCCGAGGGCCCCCTATAATGAGCATTAGCCTGCATGTCAACTTTCAGGCACAAAAACGCAATAGATCTTGATATTCGAGTTAATAAGAGAATAATGTGAGCCTGACAAAGCATTTGCATGCTCATTATGTCTGCTGTTTTCAGGGGGAAGCATCATCATCATCATTAAGAAATTGCCGAATCGGCAATCACAGCCCTCGGTTGAAGTTCAATCGCTCATGCTGTGAATCTGTGATCTGTCGGAGTGCGGCTGCGAGAGGAGGGGAGGAAAGAAAAAGAAAAGCTCTTAAAATGAGCTTGATGAGTTCTTCAGTTGTCAGGAGTAACTGAAGTAATTAGTTGAGTAACTAAGGTCATACCCCTAGCATTCAGCTCTTGTAGGAACATTTCGCCTTGTTTTCATTTGCTTGTTTTCTATTGTTACATATGGAGTAGATATCAAATTAGCAAGGAAATACGTGTGAGTGAAAGAGTGACCCTCATTAACACAATCAAGCTCTTTAAAAAAGAAAAAGACCAGATGAAAGATTAACTACTGTTCTGCATTAAACTACCAAAAATGTATTGGTTCATAGCCATTCTGAGTTTATAATTACCATGGACGGTATGCAACAAAGTACTTCTGCTAGCACAAGGACTTTTGGCTGTGCAACATAACTTCTTCTTCCTTTCCTCTTCCCCAAGTCCCCAAATCGGCTCTGGAAGGTTGGAGAAAACCCCAGAACAGATTAGCTTAAATAGTCAAAAAGAAACCAGGATAAATTCTTTGAACCAAAGTGGGGCTGACAATTTGTACATGAATATGCGGCATTTCTTACCTGTTTTAAAGGTATAAAATGGATGGCCGTACTTAAAAAGGAAGAGGAAACAACGACTTTGCAAAGAGGTGTAACTGGAAGCAGCCCACTCTTGCTTTGAAGGCTGGCATGTGTTTGTTCTCCAGGATTTAAAAACCTGCCCCTTTTTGGAATTCTCCAGATTGACTCTGCTGAGTGACTATGTTAGGGCTAGACTTCAGAGCATAGGACACAGTCGCCTGAACCTTCCCACCACCCAAAAAATAAATGCCAGAGGAGACCACAGTAGTGGACCCAGAGGGGGATTGTCATGAAACAGATATATCAGGGCAGACACCAGTTACTCCACTATTCCTTTTCTTTAAAATGAAGCCAGGCAGGTGCCCTGCATAGCACAATACCTGCTGCTAAGGCTCCAGACATGTTTGCCATCTTAATTTTCCCACAGTGCCCAGAACCTGACCCTGAAGGACTCTGTAGAAATTACGATGGTATGCACACCTGGAGCCTCAGCACTAGACGTTTTTATGGTGCAGGGTACCCACCTGACTCTATCTACCTACCTACCTATTTAAAAGGGACCTCTTCTAGCTTTTCTTTAGCAGCTTGGGGGTGTGGAGGAGAGGCGTAAGAGTGGAAGGACCAGGCAGTGAGGAAGGAGCATCTAGGATGCCCAGTATAATGGGGTGGGGAGAGAAGGTGGCAGTGATGAAGCAGCCAGGGTGATGAACAGCAAAGTAAGGATACCCACAGTGGGGAAACAGAGTCCCCTTGCCCATAGACCTCTTAATCTGACAGGGTCACTGACTGTTGTTTTTCAAGTAAGACGGGATATGACAGAGGTTTGCATTGTGTGGAGAAAGTGATGAGAGAGCTTGTCTGCACTTCCACTTGTCCCGCTGCTTCCCTCTGGGAAAACTCACTGTTGAACACTGAATCGGAACAAGCACCAATTGGTTTTTCTGCAGATAATGAGATTTGTTCCCATTCAGCAGCAAAGAACAGGTTTTCCTGGGGAAAGTGGTGGGACACATGAAAAACTGCCTGGAACTATTCCTATAAAGCACAGGACAAGTGGGAAACATATTGGACCTGGGCTTTCTAGGCACAGGAGAAGCAGAAGTGTGGATGAGCCCGAGAGAGATGTTTCCTTCTTTAGTCGAAATACTAGAACTCATGATCATCTAGTGATCACGAAAGACAAAACGAAGTGCTTTTTTCACATAGCTCATAGGTAAGCTATACCATTCTCTCCCATGTATGGTGAAGGTCACCAGCTTGTTGTGGTTTGAAAAAGGATTTGAACATTCCTGGAGGATTTGAAGCTATCAGTGCTTAATTTCTCCAGTACCAGAGGCAGCACACCTCTGAATACCAGGAGAGAGAGAGAGAGAGAGAGAGAGAGAGAGAGAGAGAGCCCTGCTGTGCTTGGATTCTGCTTGAAGGTTTCCCATAGGCATTTGGCTGGCTACTGTAAAGGCAGGATGCTGTCTTTGGACTAATCCAGAAAGTAACTTTTTATGCCCCTTTGTTAGAGACAGAATGCTAAGACGAGAGCGTGGCTGCTTTTAGTCAGTGGGCGGTCTCATCTGAGTTAATAATGTGAATGTTTGAAAACTTATAAAATTGAAACAAGAGATCAGACCAAAGAAATAATTTTATAATTCCTGTATAGCAGTACGGCTTCAAACATTCGGGTCTGCAAAGAAAGATTCAAGCAGTTATGGTTCTTTTCAGCCATGTGAATCAAAGCTATTTTTCTTTTCGGTGGAAAATAGACTCCTCTTAGTATTCAGTGTTGCTGTATATTATAGGAAATTGTATTAATCACTTTCCACTGTGAACAACCAAATCAAATTTGTGCAACCTGATTCTTTCTCTCTGCTTGATGCTGGGTAGGGTGCTTTTGTTTCTCTGGGTAGCTGAACGAATGAATGAAAATTGGACATAATAACCAGAAAAAAGCTAACTATTTGTCTAGGGTATGGCTTAATTAATTATTTGATGATGCAGCTTAGAAGGATTGGCATCTTAGCATTAAAGGGCACCAGGGATGGATAATGGAATATAATCTTCAAAAATTTTAATGGAGGTGTGATATGATCTCTTTGTAAGAACGGCTTAATGAAATTTTTATAAACCCAGCTGTCCCTGCCTAGAACCAAAGAGGAATTTTGCCATTGTCTTGAGTTCCCTTTGGAGCAAATATTATCTTCATTTACATTTAGTAGCTGCATAATAGTAAACTATACATATATAAATGAAAGCAGAACACAACCCTGCATTCTTTGTTGTTCTGTTCTCAGAACTTCATGTATATATTTTTAGAGCTGAAAGAAAGCTGCTTTATCATCTTACTCAGCACCACAACATCCCTATTTATAGCAAAGAATACCTTACTAAAGCTATAATGTTTGGTATTCGCAGCACTGAAATGATCTGGAGCAGGTGCCTTAAGTTCGAACTTCTTCCTGTTGTTATTTAGTCATTTAGTCGTTTAGCCGTGTCTGACTCTTTGTGACCCCATGGACCAGAGCACGCCAGGCACGCCTGTCTTCCACTGCCTCCCACAGTTTGGTCAAACTCATGTTGGTAACTTCGAGAACACTGTCCAACCACCTCGTCCTCTGTCGTCCCCTTCTCCTTGTGCCCTCAATCTTTCCCAGCATCAGGGTCTTTTCCAGGGAGTCTTCTCTTCTCATGTGGTGGCCAAAGTATTGGAGTCTCAGCTTCAGGATCTGTCCTTCCAGTGAGCACTTGGGGCTGATTTCCTTCAGAATGGATAGGTTTGATCTTTTTGCAGTCCATGGGACTCTCAAGAGTCTCCTCCAGAACCACAATTCAAAAGCATTGATTCTTCGGTGACCAGCCTTCACTTCTTACAAACATGCAAAGAGAGATACAATGTCATTGGAAAACAGCTGAGAGAGAATGTCACTTTAGGCTTAGGTGGGAAAAACCTGATTTTTTTTAAGGCTCTGATATACAACTACTGAAAACTAATGGATAATCATGGCATAGAATTAGAGAATCCTAGAGTTGGAAGGAACCCCAAGAGTCATCTAGGGCAATCCTCTGCAATGTAAGAATCACAGATAAAGAATCCCTGACAAATGGTCCCCCACCTCTGTTCAAAAACCTCCAATGAAGGAGATGTAGACTCTTGCACTGTCAAACAGCTCTTACTATCAGAAAGTTCTTCCTTATGTTTAGCTGGAATCTCCTTTCCTGTAATTTGAATCCATTGGTTCAGGTTCTACCCTCTGGAGCAGCAGAAAACAAGCTTGCCACCATTCATTGCAACAGCCCTTCACACATTTGAAGATAGCTATCATATCACCTCTCAGTCTTATCTTTTCCAGGTTAATGTGCATTTATTTCCTAATGCTATGTTAATTAAGCAGGCTTAGTTAAACAGATCTGTGGATATATTTCTGCTAGAAGAGAAGGGTAATATCTATATCTAGCTCCAAAAATTGTGACAGCCATTCCTAAATTCAACCATGCTTTCACAAATCGAAGACTTGTTCTCCTGAACCTTGGAAGGGTTTTGGTCATGGATATATTGAACAAGCAGTGTGTATTGTCTGTTTCTGAGCCGAAACATTTGCAGTTTCACCACATTTAAGCCTTTCATGGCACACCAAAACACACAGACCCAAGAATGGTTATTTGTGTATCATTGTGTTTCTATAAAATCAATGATGTGAGACACATGTGTGAACATCCAGCACCATGAGTGAAAGCAATCAATTGACAACATTGAGGGCATTTACACACATCCCTAGCTGGCTGAAATGTGAATCACTGGAAGGTTTTCGTCAAAACTAGGGAGATGGAGCTCATAGAGCTAGACTTTGATGTGTAAATATAGGACTCTTCAGCCTGTCCCTACCCCAGCCAGTGCCAGAAGAGAACACAGAGGGGGCAGAAGATGAAGGGAAGCAGTGCAGAACAGATCAGGGTGTCAGTATCTAGCTTGGGCTGATTTTGGTCGAACTGCAAGATTCTTTTTCTAAAAATAAAAATTGGTCAGACAAGAGCAAAGCAACCAGTTGGCATGGGAGTAGATGGAAGATCAGCCTCGGTGGTGAGTGCTGGTGGTTGGGGAGTGGCCAGGGCAAGGGACCCCCAGGGCCATGATGACTAAATGTAATGTATGAAACTCAATAGCAGTTTCTGACCAATGAATGATTTGTTTTCTAAATAAATGTACCTCTCTGTTTCCCCATGATATTGATTCTACCAAGATACTGAATAGATCCTTTTGTCCACAAGATTTATTTGTTTGTTTCTGAGAGTTTACAGTACTCCATTAACTTGCCCAACATGGTACATACAAACACTCCTCATCCTACTTTCAACGTTGCCTCAACAGGACTTCTTGACACTCAAATGTTGGACTTTTCATTGTCACTAATGAAAATACTGGTCAAATTAATGATCTCCTCCTAACCTCAAAAAACATTTTTGACTGACTGCTTTTCATAATTGAGATGACCACTGATGACAGACCAGGTGCAAACTTTGTCATGAAAATCTTATCTTTGCTTTTGCTTTTTATTTTGTTTGTTCAGCTCCTTTATAACATGTTTACAGATTCTGACAGGTAACTCAATGGTGAAATACTCAAATCTGTATTTATGGCACATTATTTCAGGCATACATTTGCTGTTGAAAAACATCCCAGCACATTTTAAATTCTCTTTGAAAAAAATGTTTTGTATTAGAGGTGTCAGTTTGGCGGATTTTCTTAATAGCATAATTAGAAGGTGCATTTAAAAAGATCCATCCTCTCTTCTCCTCACAACCCACGAGTTACTCTGTTAATGTATTGTTCAGGTTCAAATCAGGAAACTTATATCTTGATCCAGAAGCCTCCCATTTTTTACAGCCAATCACAAACAGACCCTTCCCCAGAAGGCCCCAGAACAGCAACCACCAATCATGGCAGCGACAGCCAATCAACAGCAGTGGTTGCTGCAGAAGCCAATCACCAACCCAATTAGAGAAGCAGCAGCCAATCCAAAGCAGCCCTTCTAGCAGCCAACAATTGTCGCTGACAAGCTCCTGCTTGCAGCTGCAGCCAGTCACCCGTCCACCCCATTCACTATCCTTGTATAAGACGAGGCACGTTTTTGAACACAATTTTGGAGCAAAAAAACATAGTCTTATACATGGAAAAGTATGGTATATGGTTTACCATCTTTCAGAGCAAAGCCCTCCCCAGGCTGCATAAAACATATAGCAGGAGCATGCATACAGGAACAGCGTACTTCCAGATGATTTACAATGCAGTAGAATTCACTTGCAGTGCTTCCAACCCAGATAAAATATCTTCCATTTATCCATCCATTCTACTGCGTCTATCCACAAAGCTGTTGCCAGCACTTACCCTTCGTCTACTCAGGGCTCACCTCCCTCCTTGAATCGTCAGATGCCTTACTTAGTCCATGAAATTTTGTTTGAACAATAAAAAAAATTGTTCCAGAAGAATAATGTCTCGACCATGATACAATATATATATTAGAAACAGTTGTTTAAACAAAGTGAAATCATTTTAATTAACCTGCAATTAATTAAAACAGGATTAGATTAATGTTACCATTATAAACACATACCCTGATACTTGCAACTTTGTTGGACAGTGTCCTAGAACTTATCATTAAAATGTATACCTTACCAAATTTAATTAAAATGAGCACTTGCTTATATTGTTTTTGTTGGAGGCATCATGGTTTTTTTTTTAATGTGCGTGTATTTGTAGAAACAGGGCCATAAGATGCAGCTCAAACAACTGACAAGGTGGTTTTTCCTTGTTAGCAGCTAAATTAGGTCTCATGAGATCACCCAAATGAACTCACTATTCATGACCCGGTGTCAGGTGACACATTCAGCAGATTCTGAAATCCTCTTGACATTGTTCCCCTGGGCGTAACTTCCTAAGCAGCAACATGAACATGGCTATTATGTTTTGTGTATACTATCACAATGGCTGTGAAGGCAAGATTCCACACATTAACGCCTTGTTTTTCTTTTGGGTTTGATATGCAAAGCTCTAGTTATGTCTGAGCACATCTGCTTCCTAACTGTGAAACTTAAACTTCTAGATGGTACCAACTTTACTGTAGAATCTGAATGCCCATGAAAATTTACATTTTTTATTTCTTGTATGTGCCTTCCTTCATTTTATAACCTGCCCACATGCCTATTGCATGGGGGCATATTGATACCTGTATTAGTCCAGAAGGGATTAACAAAATAGAGTTAATGCTAATGGAGTTGCCCTATTGACAAATTTAAAAAGCTTAATCCTAACATGGAGTTGCATCTTGATAATGCTCATATGTTGCATGAGAAGGGCTGTAGCATCTAGCTTTGCCCTTGTAGCAAGAAACTAAAACAGTGACACCCCCCCCCCCGAATATTCTCCTTGTCAATGGTAGTTGCTGAGTAGGGCAGCGATACATATAACACTTGATGACAATGTGTCCCATGGTGACATCTTATAGGTTATATTTCCATATTGATGCCAGCTAGAGTGGGTAATGGGTAAAGGTAAATGCACCCCTGACCGTTAGGTCCAGTCGCAGATGACTCTAGGGTTGCGGCGCTCATCTCGCTTTATTGGCCGAGGGAGCCGGCATACAGCTTCTGGGTCATGTAGCCACCATGACTAAGCCGCTTCTGGCAAACCAGAGCAGCACATGAAAACGCCGTTTACCTTCCCGCCAGACTGGTATCTATTTATCTACTTGCGTTTTGACATGCTTTCGAACTGCTAGGTTGGCAGGAGAAGGGACTGAGAAACGGGAGCTCACCCCGTCGCGGGGATTTGAACCGCTGACCTTCTGATTGGCAAGGCTCTGTGGTTTATATATGTAATGCAAATTGAAGAACGGGGGTGGGGTGGGCATTCATGAGGCACAATTCTGGCTCCTAATGTATTCATTTCAGTTTACTTTGCATGGGGTATTGTTGTTGTCCTCGGAAAGGAACGATGGCAGCTTGTATTTTTCACAACCGAGAGAGCGCAACAAAGCCCTCCAAAGTCAGTTGAATGATTCTTACCCCTGCCCTGCAAAAGGGAAGTGATGTTTCAATAATTTTATGGAAAGCAGAATCCCCCAGTGAAGGGTGTGGGAGGACAAGGATGATGCATGTTTACCCTGCTTTTATTTTGTAGCTTGGCATTCAGAGGATCCCTTCTTTAGGAGCCCCGGAAAGAATGTCAAAAGGCTGATTCTGCTTCCCTTGAGATAAGTGTGAACTATTTTCGACAGCCAAAACTAGAGCAACAGCTTGAAGAAGCAACGACTTAAGCTACTCAAGAGAACTTTGAATATAAATGAATGTGACACACTTTTTAATGTCAATTGGAAGGGGAGTTGTTTTCACAGCATATTGTTCTTGCTTTGGAATGCCAGGATAAATTAATGACATTAAATTCCAAATCTTTGAACCTGACAGAGATAAAGAAACAAATGGTTAGGGAATGAAAACAGGACTTACAAAAGCTTTCAAATATCTGCACTGGGGTGGTCTGGCCCAGGAAAGCCAGATACATCGTTTTGCAACTGGTTTCCCCTCCCACCACTCATCAAATGCGAAGCTGCATTGTTGAGTGGCTTGAGTGAGGAGGAAATGTGTGTGTAACTCATTTTCTTGCCAGGTATTATCTACTCAAAAGCACCTGCCACCTGCTATTCTCTCTAGGTTGTTTTTTTAAATGTTTTCTCCTGCACCAGTGGTGGGGCACTTTTGAGCTGACATGGAAATGGTTAAACATGCCCCCTTCTTCTCAGCAGTCACTTCCACTACAGGTTTTCCGCTAAACCCCAAACTACTTATAGTTGTTTTGCCTTAAAAAAGCAAAGCATTGGAGAAATAATAAAAATAAAAATATCACACAGCAGTTGCTAGATGTAATGTGCTGGCCCTCAGAAGTGGCTATTACCAGATTGTCCTGAGAAAAGTATACTTGTGCTTCAGACCTTATACAGTCATACCTCATGTTACATTTGCTTCATGTTACGTTCTTTCAGGTTACGTCCCGCGGAGACCCGGAAGTACCGGAAAGGGTTACTTCCGGGTTTCACCGCTCACGCATGCGCAGAAGCGCAAAATGACACCACGCACATGTGCAGAAGCAGTGAATTGCAACCCGTGCATGCGCAGACGCGCTGCTGCAGGTTGCACTCTTTTCATGTTGCGAACGGGCCTCCTGAACGGATCCCGTTTGCAACCAGAGGTACCACTGTACATATTTAAAGCATGTGGGGCAGAGCAAGCTTAAATAGCCTGTCACCACTTCTCCCCATTGGGCAAAATCGTCCTCAGGTCATCACATTCTCCTCTAAGGAGATACCATCTCTCCTCTTCCTGCAGGGGTGGAGGGGTATGGCAACTTTGTCTCTCCAAAATGGTGAGAATGGCATTATACTGAGTCAGAGAGCAGGTTCAGCTAGCTCCTGGGTTTCAGACAAGGGACATTCTCACCTGGAGATGCCAGGGGCTGAACCTGGGGACTTTGGCATACAAAACAGATGCTCTACCGCTGAGCTACAGCCCTTCCCTTTTTGTTAAAAAGCCCAAGTCACCGGGCTGGTTTAAACAGCATGCTCAAAGTCATTGAGGTTGAGGGAAATGACTGTTTGGCCATGTTGAATGGAGAGTTGTATCCACTGCATTGTGATTTTGCATCCTTTCATAGGCTGAATGATCTTGATCTTGTAATAAGGAACATTATTGACTTTACACAGTGTTTGTTTGTTTGTTAAAAGAAGGTTGTACCAAGGGGCAGGCAGAAGATTGATCCGAGCTTCACTGGGAGATCTCTGGCAGGTTTGCAGTACATCCATGAGGGTTTCTGACACTGAATTGTATAAGAATGACAACAACAAAATGGCTTTCCCCCACCTAAATTAAGTTGCTGAAAGTAAGAAAGCTAGCAAAGTGTGGACTTATGTGTGAAGGAACTGTGCACTCAGTTCAGTTCTGGTACTGGAAACAAATTCATAATGTGCTCAGAGGCACCCTGTTGTTTAATTTTAAGTATAGTTTGTGGTTAGTTTCTTTAAGAGACATGTCTCTAGTATGTAATAGAAACCCCTCTCTCCTCTCTGGCTGTTGCTCCCTCTGTAGCTGAGTGGGAATTCATTGGAACTTTAGTCTTACCTATGTAGCAAGTCCTAACTGCTATGCTGTTCTGTTGTCCATAAAGAACTGCTGCTGAACTTCTCCAGCTTCCTAGCATTAGGGCAGACTCATTGCAAGGTTTCTTCACATGGTGAGTACCCTTTCCCAAAGCCATGCGATACTACACACTTGGGAATCAGCCTCCAAATTATATAATATATATTTTGATTGTTTAGAAGCTGCAGAAGCTATCCCAAACAGGCACCGGTCATTCCTAACAGAAGTTGCACTGGAAGATTGTTGATTTAAAGCAGAGTCTTGTGCCCAGCGGAAGGATGAGGAATACGTGCTACATACTCTATATTGCTTTATTTACAGTTCAAAGCTGGTATATTACAGAAAGACATCTTGCCTCTGCAGGAGCAGAAAATGCATCCTCTCTCCTCGACAGCTCGGAGAGAATCACACAGTGAAAAACAGGAAACCAGTGTACGTCACATCCAGTCTCCCTTCCCGTGAGAAACTCCAACAGTACAGACTGTGGAATGTAAACACCTGTCTCGTGACAAGCAGAGCTGCACAGGGAAAGAAAGCAGAAACCAACATCCTCCCCTTTCTGTGAACATCACTGGGCAGCGTGTTTGCACAATATCAGTACAAACCCAACTTCTGCACATAGGTACAGTGTTGATCCCTTGATACAATCTTGGACAATACATCAGCAGGAATTTCATTACCTGGCATATAGGACACTGTTACGAGTCCTTTCTGAATACATTCCCTAGCATGCTGCAACTTTAATTGCAAGTGCTTTGTGCTTTGCTTACAACCTTCAGACTTCAGCAAAGCCAAACATGCTTTGTTGTCCTGGTAAACCTGGATTGGACATTTGACAGGAATTTTCATATCTTTGCACAATTGTACTAACCATTCACAATCCTTAAGTGAATAAGACAGTGCATTCAGTTCAGCTTCACAAGTACTTAAGCTAACTGTTGTTTGCTTCTTGCATGACCAATCAAACAGACTCTGATTGTACATGTAGCAAACTCCAGACGTACTTTTCCTGTCTGTAGTGTCACTTCCAAAACTTGCATCTGCAAATATCTCAAGACCACCAGACTTCTGATTGTTAAATCTCAGTCTGTAATGCATAGTGCCTTTCAAATACCGCGCTATGCGTTTCAGAGCTTTCCAATCCTTGACACTAGGATTGTTGACTTGTCTGCTTAGCAAATTACAGCTAACAGCAATGTCTGGTCTTGAACATCTGGCAATGAAGTTTAGCTTGCCTAGCACACTCCTGTACAGTGTAGTGTCAGAAAATGCTTCTTCAGTGTCATCTACCTGATAACCTGTTGTCATCGGTGTGTTTACAGGGTTAGCATCCATCAGATTTAGTTTGCTTAACACATCAGCAATTTTCCGTGACTGGTGTACTAGAATGTTACCATCTTGATCTCTCTATTTCCAGAGATAGGTAGTTGTTTACCTCACCAAGATCTTTCATGTCAAAGTGCTCTTTCAGTTGAGCTAGGGCGCTATTGTACATTGCAACATCTTTCCAAAAGAATAATAAATCATCAACATAAAACAAACAGTACAGTTTCTTTGCCCCTCCTCTTTGACAAATACACATGGATCAGCTTTCCCTTGCTGAAAACCTAGAGAAAACAATACTTCAGTGAGTTTTGTGTGCCAACACCGTGCACTTTGTTTGAGACCATAAAGGGATTTCTTCAGAGCACAAACAAATCCCTGTTTTACCTGTACGCCATCAGGTGGAAGCATATAAAGTGATTCATCTAGAGATTCGTACAGAAAAGCTGTATTAATATCATGGTGACTAATGTGTAGATTTTCCTCTGCAGCTAGCTTGAGCATAAGCCTAATGCTTTCATATCTCACTGTGGGTGAATAGGTCTCGTGATAGTCTTGACCTGGTACCTGTGCAAAACCTCTGGCTACCAATCTGGCTTTGTGTCTGACTATCTTGCCATTTTGATCTGTCTTCGCTTTGAAGACCCATTTGCTTCCAAGCAGTTTCATTCCTGGAACTACTGGAACTAGCTCCCATGTTTTGTTCCTTTCTAAGGAATCAAGCTCAGCCTTCATGGCATTTAACCATGGCTCAGCTTCCTTTGAATCCAAACCCTGGATTTCTTGGAAACTTGAAGGTTCAAATACCTTCTTGGAGCTTTTAACAGCTGTTACTGCTATCGTAGCAAACTCATCAGCAAATCTCTTTGGAGGTTTGCCTTTTGTGGCTCTCTGTGACCTACGAATTAGCCTTAAGTCTTCAACACTCTCCTCTTCCTTCTTAGGAGAAAAACGACCTATTGTGAACAATGGTTCCTCCAATTCTTGATCAGAGCTTTCAGAGGGTCGCATAGAGGCTTTCGCACTCTTGAAATCCTCTGAATCACCCGATTCAGTTTCAGACTCAGAACCTTCATCAGTGGGTGTGGGCTGTTGTGGTTGCTTTTGACTATCCTCAGTCTCATCACCGTCATCAGGATAACATTGGAAAATTCCCACATTCTCCCCCCACTTTGCATTGTACTCAACACTTCTCGTGAGCTTAATTGTCTTAGAGTCAGTCATCATTATTCTGTAAGACCCTTTCTGATAACCTAGAAAGATACCATGCAATCCACGCTTGTCTAACTTGGAGTTTTGTGGTGAGCGAACCCACATGTCAGAACCAAAATCTTCATGTGTTTGATGTATGGCTTCTTGCCAAACATCTTCTCATAGGGGGTACAACCAATCGCTGAAGATAACCTGCGATTGTAACTGTAAACAAAACACGAGAGAGATTCGGCCCAATAACTCTCTGGAAGATTGGCATCATGCAGCAAGGTTTTTAATCCTTGAAGCAATGTTTGATTTGCCTGTTCCGCAAGTCCATTCTGCCATGGCGAGCGAGGACTAGACAAATCGTGTTGAATTCCTTTCTCAGTCAGAAAAGCTTCAAACTGCTGAGAAGTGAATTCCCCGCGATCACTGAAAAGAGTCTTTATCTTCTTACCATGCACATTTTCTAACCAAGCACAGAATTCCTTGAACCTAGGAAAAGCCTCCGATTTCTGCTTGAGATTGTACACAAAAATATATCTAGAAAATGCATCAATGAGAACCATGAAGTATCTATTTCCACCCAAAGAGGGCGCTAGTGGTCCAACCAAATCAGCATGAACAACCTGGTATGGTTCTGTAGCTTTCCTACTAGACACCTTACCTTCGCAGCCATTTTCACCTTGTTTGCTGCGCATGCTTTGCACTTCATGTGGTACCTGCAGGGTTTAATAGTCATACCTTCAACCAAGGCAGGCATTTTAGATACTGCCTCAAAATGCAAATGACCAAATTTTCGATGAAAATCGTGAATACATTCTGCATGCAAACTTTTGTTAGAACCTGCAATGCAACAAGTGTCATCCTGCACCACATCATCATAATACAAAACAAACAAACGATCAACATATTCTGCATGCAATACATAATCATTTTTCTTTGTGATGATGCACTTCTTGTTCTTGAAGGAAACGTCAATGTTCCGCTCATTCAGCTGTCCAACGCTGAGCAGATTATGTTTGGCGTCTGGCACGTAAAGCACATTCTGTATCGATAAGTCCAAACTGTGAAGAACAACAGTTCCGTAGCCTTTACTGGGAATAGTGTGGTCATCCGCCTGGTGAATCGCACCTTCCTGCGGTGTAAAAGACACAAACAGTTTCTTATCGTTGCACATGTGGTGGGTGGCCGCTGAATCAACAACGAAGAAAGATCTAGACGTCTTCTGGACCTCTGCAACCTTTGGAGTGAAGCGTGAAACCATAGCCTTGTGCTGCGTTGTCCTAGACACCGGACCTTTGCCTTTGCCTCGGCCTTTTCCGCGCGATGAGCTTTCGCTGCGCTGCTCTGTCTTGGCCCTGGGATGTCTGCATTCCCTCTTCATATGGCCTAGACGTCCACACGAGTAGCATTTCACTGCCTTCAAAGCTTTGGCGCCATCTGGTGGTTCCACTGCACTATGGGATGACGTCTGTGAAGACTCCCTTGCCCATGCAGCTAGCACCCGGCGATCTGCTTCATTTAAAATCACGGCAGTAACAAAGTCCACTGTCAGCTGAGCAGTTGGTTGCACAGCAATCTGGGTTGCAACAGACTCCCAACCTGAACCCAAAGATTGTAGTATCATGAAAGAATACACAGCCTCTGGAAAGTTGAGTCCTCTCTGTTGCAGCTCATGTCTCAGATTTTGCATCTGCATCAGATGTAAACGCACATCTCCACCTTCAGCAAGAGCCATATTATGCAGCTTGTTAAAGTAAAACATGGTGGATCCAGCTTCTGTCCTTAAGTGAGCCTCTCTCAAAGCGTCCCAAATTTCTCTGGCTGAGGTCTTATCACGCAATAGACAGAGCTCTTCTGGGGATACTATCAATGTAAGAGTTCCCTTGCTTTGGAATCCTTAGCTTCCCATGCATCTGTAACTGGAACTGGGGGTTTCCTGTAAACACCTCAAAAAAACACTCTTTCAGCAGAATTTCCTCTGCATACTGAACCCAGTCGCTGTAATTTTTCTTGTTGAGCTTAGGAATCCCACAAGCATCCTGAAGGGCCATCATGACTCTGGCATTAGCCTTCAGCGTCATATATATGCTGCTTTAATTCTTGCTGCGTCACTGCTGCAGCTGCCTTATTACAAAGGCGCACTTAAAAGTTACTTCCGATTTCCCCAGCATAGTGACTTGTGCCTGGGAGCCTTTTGCCTATTCCCGGCAAAACCGGCTTTAAAAGTTCAAAGTCCAGCCATAAAGCCATTAACTTGAAGCTGGCAGGCTGCCCGGAGCAGTAGCACATACCTCATCAATCACTTCTACGCGCAGAGCAGATTCCTTTCCGATCCGTCCCTCTGCATTCCGATCCTTTGCCGGCACTCCGATTCGACCTCTGGAGCCCATAACCACGTGTTGATTTAAAGCAGAGTCTTGTGCCCAGCGGAAGGATGAGGAATACGTGCTACATACTCTATATTGCTTTATTTACAGTTCAAAGCTGGTATATTACAGAAAGACATCTTGCCTCTGCAGGAGCAGAGGATGCATCCTCTCTCCTCGACAGCTCGGAGAGAATCACACAGTGAAAAACAGGAAACCAGTGTACGTCACATCCAGTCTCCCTTTCCCGTGAGAAACTCCAACAGTACAGACTGTGGAATGTAAACACCTGTCTCGTGACAAGCAGAGCTGCACAGTGAAAGAAAGCAGAAACCAACAAAGATTACCTGAGAAATGATGTTAGGCATTGTTCTTCACTTTAGCTGAGGCACTACAAATACTTGTGCAGCAATAGCTAATGCCAGTATATAAGTTTTAGCTACCTGGAGGAAATTCTGCTGAAGAAGCATAATGGAAACTCCCTTTCCCTTTCTTTTCCCTTTCCTATTATTTTACCAAGTCTTGCTATAAAAATAACATTAAAAAAAAGATCAAAATAAGTTTGAATGATTACCCTCGCCCACTTCTGCTACAATACAAAAAACAAAACAAAAACAACTCACTCCATTTCTACCAAATACAAAGTCCATTGACAGTGTCTGTCTATCCCAGTTATTCATTTTTAAATATGGTTCATTTCATACCAGAGTCCCTTCGCTCTTCTGCGACACTGCTTTTCTGAAGTTAGTTGGAAGCACAATGAAAGCAGAGGTTACACAGGAAACTTTTAATTAATGGAGGCTGGGATCCAACAGCCATGCTTGAGGGTGAGGCTGGGATCAAAGGATGCATGGCCTCTTTCTTATGCTTTCCTCACTGAGCTGCCTTCCAAGGCTGGGCTCAGTCTAGCCTTGCAAAGCGGCTCAGGATTGGTGTTGCGCTGGTGGCATTGGTGGTGAGGGCTGGGCTGGCACATGGCAGACTCTGTTTGCCCTCCACAGCCCGTGCCCTGCCTCCCCGGTGCACAAGCGCCCAAGGCAGCATGAGAACACACAACACCACTGCCAAACACTCCATGAGAATGTGGCCTGTGAGTTGATCGTGTGTCTTAGTTGCGTCAACAGAATTTTATGGGCAATTTTTATTCTGCTCATGTTACAGTTTCCAGTGTGTTTATCTTTTATTTTTTTCTTCCTTATAATTTCCTTTCAAGAATTTTAATTACTTTTGCATAATGAGAGTTTGGAAAGTTCTGCTGAGAGTTACACATGACTCTAAAACAGATTATAGATAAAAAAAGAGGTATGTACATAGACAAATCCACATGCTTCAATGTCAGTGTGAAAAGTAATCATTCTGGCTTTGTTTATATAAGAATGTAAGAAGACATACCTCCCGACATTTCTCCGAAGAAAATAATGATAATTTTACTATTTATACCTCACACATCTTACTGTGTAACCTCGGCCATTCTGGGCGCCTTCCAACATACATAAAAACATAATTTAACATTAAAAAACTTCCCTATACAGGATTGCCTTTGGATGGCCCAGGGGTCAGATAACTCCATACCCTCCAACATTTCTCCAGTGAAAATAGGGGCACCCTAAGGAAAAGTGGGACATTCCGGGATCAAATAAAAACCAGGATGACTTCTCTAAATCAGGGACATCCCTAGAAAATAGGGACACTTGGAGGGTCTGAGAAGAAGCTGCTGGAGCAGGCCTGTGGCCTATTTAGTCCATCATCCTGTTCTCACAGTAGCCAACTGAACGCCTGTATTATAAAATACAAGAAAACAACGCCACACTTGCTCAGTGTTCTGTTTTTTGGTTGCTGTTTTTTGTTTTTTTTAACAAATGAACTCTTCCAAAGTGTGTGTTAGCAAAAGCCCTGTGCAAAGTTGAGGGAGAATGGAGAGAAATGCAGTGCTGTTACGAAATGAGTTGTGTTTGGGGAATCACAAAAGAAGCCTAAACACCTTTTATGGTAGTAATTTGCAGAAAATGGTTGAACGAAAGAATGTTATGAAAACATGCTCTATTTCATTTGTTTTATTTAGAAACCAAGTTTGTGTTTTAAGTGATTTTATTTACAAGTGAATATTGTCAAGTTCTGATTACTGTGGTACCTTGGTTTACGAATTTAATCCATTCCGGAAGTCCGTTCTTAAACCAAAGCATTCTTAAACCAAGGTGTGCTTTCCCATAGCAGTGGGGGACTCAATTTACAAATTGAACACACTCAACAGGAAGCGAAACATGTTCTCATTCCAAGGCAAAGTTCACAAACCAAAACACCTACTTCTGGATTTGCAGCGTTCTTAATCCAAGTTGTTCATAAACTAAACTGTTCTTAAACCAAGGTACCACTGTAGTTCACTCTGTTAATGAATGACTATTATTCAGGATTACTCCTGGATGTATATGAGATACAGAGTGAGTGAGTGGGTAAGAGACAGACAGACAAAGAGAGAGACTGGGCACATTTTTCAGATTTAAATATTTCACAACCTATGGCGTATTGATTAGTTTTCTCCACAATATGACAGTATGGAAATTTTCTCTTCATGATTATGCAAACCACCAAAATACCCATAATTAATTTAACACTTCCAGATTTTTACTGCAATCCACATGCCTTTCAATATGCAAATACTACAGGCATTTAAGATTCTAATGTGAAAAGCAATGATTAAACCACTGCCACATGCATTCCTGCTAGCCATGTTAGGTAAAATTGAGGACTGCCTCTAATGTTATGTTGAAAATACACGGTTGTACTCTTGGGAGAGGCAGTCATATTTATGACAATGTAATGTCTGACTGATAATAGAATAGATTGTAGATAATAGTAGAGTAGATTGCAGAGTAACTCTGGAGGTCTTGTGTGTCCTCTCCAAAAGAAGTGTGCATTATTGTTCAAGCATGACATTGCCACAGACGTTTAGGAATATGAGACACTTGAGAATAATCTTTTGTAAGTAATGTTTAAAGGCACTGGTAAATGTATTGGAATAAAGTAAACATTAGAAAACTACTGTGGCTGATTTTCAACAAGTAGCAGTAGCATACTACTCAAGAGAGTTTTTTAACACTCCTACACATTTTCAGCTTTAGTTTGTCAGTGTAGACGGCCACTTAAGCTCAAACAGTGTGTGCTTCATGAACTATTTCATCCATGGCTCTGTAAAATGTCATGAGATTCTGGACAACTTATATCTGTTTTGCTACTATATTCATTTGGGGAAAGGTTTTCTTTATGTTAAGATGGTAAATTCCAGTCACAAAGATGTGCGTATCATAATATTTTGTAAGCAGTTAATTAGTTATTGCAGCCAACAGATCTTTGGACCATGTCTCGGCACTATTAATACCATAGGTATCAACATTATATTTATTGTAATTTGGAACTGATGTAGAATATATTGTATAGAAGAGATAAGCAAAGTTTCTACTCATTTGAAGGGAATGTTGCTTGCAGGGAGCAGCATATCCATTTGGCTATTAAGCTGCAGTCACATTGGGACTGGCCTAAGCAACACCTCCACTCAATGATAACAGAATTAACTTGTGAGTTACAAACTGAATGATCCTTCCTGTTGCAGTTCCCACAGTATCCAGTTGCTGATGGGAGACTCTTTGATCCAATGGAGCGATCTGTCAGTGGAACAGGGTTCAAGAAGGCCTTTAGTGAGTGAGTCTCCCTCCTACACTATGCCCACCTGCTCTGGAGGTGATGGGGGAAGGAGTTGCTAAAGGTTCCCTCACTCCTCCTTTCACTAACAGAAGGCTCTGCTGGATCAAAGAGCTTTCCATCAGAGGGTGGGACACCAATTGGATAACCCAGCAAATCTTAACTACATCTGAATGTATATGTTTCTATTTGCTTTATTGCATACTATTGAATTTATTTTTTATTGTGCCACAAATTTTTATTTGCTTACACATGTATTTTACATGCTTTCTCTTATGACCTATGGTCAAGACAGTGAAACTTCTTTTCTCTCAGTAGTACCAGTTATTTTTAGCCTCAGCTACAACTTTGACCCCCCCCCCAAAAAAAAACCCTCCTGTGGAGACCAGGTGGAGAATTGCTGTTATTGACGCACCATGGCTGCTGTACTGGCGCCAACCCATTTCCCTGACTTCAGCAATGAATGTAGCATGAATAGTGTTTGTAGCCATCTCTTGTGCTGTGTGCTTCTAGTTCAGAAGTGACACAGACAGGACTCCCTATGAGAAGAGAGGGTGATGCTGTGGAGATATAAAAGTGGAAGAGGCCAAGGATACATGAAAGGTCAAGGTAAGCTTCCCTCTTCTGTTTAGGATGGGAGGGGACACAATTCTGCTAGAGCTAGGGATCTGGCAATGCCAGCAATTGAATTGCTACTGTTTCTTAGTGCTTTAAAATTACAGGTATTTTGTATCTTTAGATGAGTGGCCACAGTTAGCTTTGTATTAGACATAAGGGGTTGTAAATTGTGTCCAGCTCTTGTCCTCTTCCACCCAAAGTTACACCATTGATATCAGTGGGTCGACTTATTTCTAGAATATATGCTTAGCATAGATACTAAATCAGTAAATGATCTGGGAAGCTCCTATGCTGTTAGGAAGGTGTGTGGATTTCTGTCACACACACTCATCTTTGAAATAATCATCTTCATATATACAATGGTACCTCAGAAGTCCGTTTGACTTCCAAAATGTTCAGAAACCAAGGTGTGGCTTCTGATTGGCTGCAGGGAGCTCCTGCAGCCAATTGGAAGCTGTGTCGGACATTCAGGTTCCAAAGAACATTCACAAACTGGAACACTCACTTTTGGGTTTGTGGCGTTTGGGAGCCAAAACATTTGACTAGCAAGCCATTTGAGATCCAACGGTATATATATTTTTAATAATGATCTGTAGCCCCAAAATGCTGCTTCAAGTAAATGCCTTCCAGACTCTATCAAATAAATGCATAGTAGAGTAAGAAACTTTGTTTCCTTTTATCAGGTGAGCTTCTCCTGGCCCAGCGAGTTGCATTGATCATTTCCACAGGAGGCCCCAATTTAATGGCTCGACAGAATAAACTCCCTGCCGATTGTGTATTTCTAGGGCTTCCTCTGGTTCCTGCTGACATTAATGGGGCAATTTCCACTGGCCCATATTCAAGAGACATTTGAAGGTGTAAAGATGCCTTCATGTATGAGGAAGCATCACTTATGCTCCTGTTTAGGTGAATTTGGGCAAAGGCCCTTGACTTCAGTTAAAGGAACAAGAATGAGCATTTGTAAAAGCATTTTCTGATGGGATATGATAGGTGCATCTGCTGTTATCTCAGTTACTGAAACTATTAAGTTTAATAGGAACTCTACGAGCTGCACACCTGATGTGTTTGTGCACTTTTGATGGACAGGGAGCCAGTATTTCAGAATACCTTTGTATGTTGAAAGGCATCTGAATTGAGAATCACTATTTATTTCTCTACTACATTGTTTTAGTAGCTGTGAAAGGAAGCAATAAATACAACCAAAGAAAGGAGAATCTCAGATAATTGAATTGGTTTGAGGAATGCTTTTAATTACCCCCTTTTAATTTAAGAATACTTTTAAAAAAAAACTTTAAAAGGCTTAGCAGAGAATAACTCAGTATATGTTAAAGAAATTAAAGAAAACAGAGTGAAGCCTGATGGGAGCCTATTCTTATTTAAAATGTGAATCCTCTATTTTTAGTTTATCTTTTCTTAATTAGAATGGATTTATTGCCAGAATAGTTCTCCAAAGCAGTGAAATCAACAGAATATTCTGCAAAGGTTAAAATAATTGTATTAAGGACTAATGATCTGAAGATGGCAGTATTGGGCGAGATACTTCATTCTTTATCCTAACAAAAGCTTTGTGAATCAGAATCTACCATAGATGCTGCATACAGGAAATAAATTACATTTGCAGTAGCTTTTTCTTATTATTCATATGAAGAGTTGTTCTAAATATACGGTATTGATAAAAATTAGAACTTGGCAGATACAAATTACATTTTACCATCTGGACATTTTATCTTTAGTTTATCTATATATATATATATTCTCAAAACTCAGGCTTTTCAAAGACTGTTATCCCTTATAAAATGAAAATGAGTTATTTTGGCATGTATATACGGTGATGGAATACATCCCTTTTAAAACACTAATTCCACTAGTTCTCTGTTATCGGCAACCTTACGCATAAGCATAAGTGAATTAAATTCTAGAGCATCTTTGGCAGACAGGTAAATAATACCCCATTTCTACAAATGAATAGATGTGACAAGAAGATTGCAAACTATTCCACACAATGGCTTGGATCTTAACTAGGCATCCACAAAGAGAAGGGCTTCTACTGTTCACAAAGAGAACTGGGATCACTAGGATCCTGCTAACAGAACTGGGGGAGGTATTTGCCAATTCTCTTTTCTCCTGGCTCCTGCACGGCCTCTTGTGTTGTTCCAGAGGGTCCCCTAACTCTCCAGAGAAGATTTTCAAAGGGCAGAAGAGGTGAAAGGGGAAATTGATGGAAGTTGCTTCCACTGCTGGGAGCATACTAATGCTAGATGAAGCCTAGGTAGGACCCATGCCCATGTTATTTCTAGATCCTTTATAATCTATAAAATGAGGGAGGGGGCTAGTCAAAATGAAAGGAGGAGAAAATGCTGTCACCTACCTTAGTTACCTTGGCTGCTGGCATTAAACCTGAGATGGCTTAGATCAGGAGTAGTCAACATTTTGCATTCCAGATGTTCTTGAACCGCAGTTCCCATTATTCTTGGCCATTGGTTTTGCTGTTGTGTATTGTCATTGTACAACATCTAGAGGGCTCAACACTGGCTATTCCTGGCTTAGATTGCATTCTCTCTGCAACAGAAATAGTGACATCAGATAGAACAGGAATTAACACCATGACTATACAACCATGTATCCCTCTCCAGAAATATGCCATTATTCATTAGCCTGTGCTAATTTGTTTGTCTCCCTGTGTTTATAGATGACTTAATCACACAGAGTCAAAACACACGCTCCCTGTACCTCCAGATGCTAAGATGTGTGCAATGGCCATTGTCCCCGATGACAACCACTCCCTTTCATTTTTAAATTTATTTTTGGCCAAGCACATACAAGCTGAATTTGCACCAGTTAAAGGAGTGTAAATTGTGAGTCAACTGTATTCAGAGTAATATGAGTAATTCATATATCTTGAAAACCACAGGAGATAAAGGCCATGATCTATGGAGAATGTGGAACTAGCTCTGTGGGCCTGAGGGACTTTTTAGATTTGTTTTCCTCAAACAGCAGCTCCCGATGCCTCATGGCAAACTGATAGAAGCATTCTAAAAAGCACTTTCTGATAAGCAATGGAAGTCAGCTGTTCCATAAAAAGTCCATTATTCCACTTGGCTAGTGCAAGTCCCGTACGTGTGCTTTAAATGGCTTTTGGGATCCCTGCCAACAGTGGATCACATGGAGAAGGTGGTTAAAATCAACAGCAAAACAGCCTTGCAACCTTGTGTTTCTTTCTAATGTACTGCAGAAACACCACCTGGTGGTAATCATACTATACTATCAGGCTAACTTTCAGATTATGTGCAGCTCCAACCATTCTGTTAAATAAACTGGTGCTAATTCAGGCTTTCGGGTTTTCAAGAATACCTACACATTCGTCTTGACTAAGATTACAAATTCAAACCTGCAGGTTCTTTCACAACTCTCCTACAGAAGGTCTTTTTGCATCTCATTTTTCACACAGGTAAACAACAACAACAGCAATTTATTATTTATACCCCGCCCATGTGCCTGGGTTTCCCCAGCCACTCTGGGTGTCTTCCAACAAAAGATTAAAAGTACATTAAAACATCAGTCATTAAAAACTTCCCTAAACAGGTCTGCCTTCAGATGCCTTCTAAAAGTCAGATAGTTGTTTATTTCCTTGACATCTGATGGGAGGGCATTCCACAGGGCAGGTGCCACTACCGAGAAGGCCCTCTGTCTGGTTCTCTGTAACCTTGCTTCTCACAGTGAGCGAACAGCCAGAAGGCCCTCGACGCTGGACCTCAGTGTTCAGGCTGAACGATGGGAGTTTGAGACGCTCCTTCAGGTATACAGGACTGATGCTGTTTAGGGCTTTAAAGGTCAGCACCAACACTTTGAATTGTGCTTGGAAACGTACTGGGAGCCAATGTAGGTCTTTCAATACTTGATTATTTCCATGGCTGCAGGGCTTATTTCAGGCGGAACTCACCGGAACTGAGTCCTGGCACCTCTTTGCTGCATTCTGTCACCTCTGTAGTGTTGCTGTGCCGTTTCCCTGCATGGCGCTTGGGGCAGCATGACAGAGGTGGCAGGCATCACGGTGTTTTTTGGGGTGCTCCTCCCCAAAAAGCTCAACCAGTTCCGGCACCTGTTTTTCTAGAAAAAAATCCCTGGATGGTTGCAGTAATGCCACCAAAAACTAATGGAGTAGGAAAGGGTGGGTGGGAAGGAATGGAAGCATTTTCAGAGCAGGATGCACCAGGCTAAGCGATGGCCCCTCCTGGCATGGGCAAGTGACTGAGGCCTTCAGGTGTTTCTATTGTTTATTGTTTGTCACTCCATAGAAGAACTCTGAGAAGGAGGAAAAGAATCAAGCAGAGGCTCGACACTCTTTTCCATTTAGGGGGTTACTATTTCCTGCTAGCAGTAAAAGCTTAACTTGCAGAATTGTTTGCATTATTGAATTAAAAGCTAAAGGTTGCAGATATGTTAATAAAGCTAAATGTGCTCCATAGGGACACAGGTGGCGCTGTGGTCTAAATAAACCACAGAACCTAGGGCTTGTCAATCAAACCGCCAAAAGGTTGGCGGTTCAAATCCCCATGACAGGGTGAGCTCCCGTTGCTCTGTCCCAGCTCCTGCCAACCTAGCAGTTTGAAAGCACGCCAAAAAAGTGCAAGTAGATTAATAGGTACCACTCTGGCGGGAAGGTAAAACAGTGTTTCCTTTCGCTGCTCTGGTTTCACCAGAAGCGGCTTAGTCATGCTGGCCACATGACCTGGAAAAACTGTCTGTGGAGCAGACAAATGCCAGCTCCCTCGGCCTGTAAAGCGAGATGAGCTCCACAACCCCACAGTTGTTCGCGACTGGACTTAACTGTCAGGGGTCCCTTTACCTTTTCCTTTAAATATGCTCCATAAGGTGGCTATGCAGTAAGAAGGTAGCACAACTGAGTTCAATGGAGCTTACTCCCAGGCAACTACGTATAGGATTGCAGCCATGCCACTTGACTGATCAGGGATGTGAACCTGGGACTCCCTACCTAAACTTCGGCATTGTAGCCAGCCACTACTTGACCATTTGCAGCTTCCTAATATATGACTGTCAGTTAATTCTAATAACTGGGTATTACACCATGCACTGCAGTTGTTTTGGATGTGTGTGTGCATTAATATTATATATATATATGGATCAATACAGCTGCCTGCATTTTGGATTCTTTCTTTGTAGCATTTCATGATATGCCTGCATTTCAAAACTGTATATAAGTGTATGTATATGTATATATAACCTGTGCCTTTTTTGTTGATTTTGTGTGTATGTGGGCGAAGATGGTTTGGAATAATTTAACATATTCAAGCAAACACTTCATACTTACTGGCTGCTACAAAGGTGCACGTGTACTGCCTCAACCATAGGTGCTTCCTTCCATGAATCATGCTGATTCTAATGGCGACACTTCTTAAACAGATTTAGGACGGAGCCGGAGGAAATAAATCAGAGCGTCCCTGATTTTGCCCTTTGTGGGAAAATTACATTTAAAGTACTGAAATGTGTATGTCCTTGATTGAACTTATTTAAAAAACATGAAATTCTGAAGTAGTGGTGTACGCAAGCGAAAGCCCTGATGACATGCTTTCTTTGAACTTGTGCACACATCCGGACTCAGGGGTATCTATTTCTCTTTCTTACAGTGCTATTTTTTCACTATTGAATTTGGCCTTTGTAAGCAAGACGGGCAACTCCGGGCTTACGGAGCAGGGCTTCTGTCTTCCATTGGAGAACTCAAGGTAGGAATGTAAACAATAAATATACATAAGCCTGCATTATTTATGGCTAGTAACCAGCTCTCTGCTGCATAAAGATACATATTTCTTGTGTAATTCGAGGCTGATTGTATTTACCTCTTTCTAAACGGCCCTGGTAACCGGTAGTACATGTGTTTTGGAGTGCTTGAAAAACACATTTCAAAAAGGTGCCCGATTCCAAATAAAGCATTCATTCCTTTTCCACAAGTGCATGGATTTGAAAGAAACAGAGTGGCAAAATGGGCAGTGCAGTCCTAACCTCCAAGCAAAGCCATTGGAGAGTGTTTGAATGAAGCAGAAATACCTCTCTTCCAGGCTCTACCAGAAGCAGGGCTCTGCCAACGTGTGGGCTTTTGCCAAAAGCACATTGAAATGATACTGGTAAAAGACATAAACTTGAGGCCGGGGATATATTTTGGGGGTTCTTGATCTTTAAAAACTCCTTCCATTTGTGTAAACAATCTATAACATTACATCGGTCTAAATTTTATTTAAAAATAATTCTATTGATGTTGTAAAACATTTCTGGCAATCTGAAAACACGCCATCCGAAAATGCCTGTTGCCATAGGCAACCTTCCAATATTTAAGTGTGTCTTTTCCAGAAGGTTTATTTTCTTAAGCAGAATTAAAAAAAAACCCATAATTAAGAAACCTACAGTGTAGTGAGGCTAGCAACTTGCAGCGTGGTTTAACAATCAATCTCTCTTCACATGTAACTCTGAGAGTTGTAGCTCTGTGAGGGGAATTGGGAATACCCTCTAAGTGTCCCGATTTTTCAGGGACAGTCCCGGAATTACAAAAACCATCCCAGTTTCGGATTTGATCCTGGAATGTCTCTATTCCTCTTGCCAGTGCTGCTGCTATTTTTACCAATATATTCATTTCAACGCACACTTTCTGCTAATATAAGCATTTTTATAAACATTATCGGTTGGAGAATTGAATTGCAAAAACTGGGTATGTGTGAATTGCAAACAAATAGCTGTGTTGTTTGCATATTGTTTTAGAAAGTGTGAATTTAATAGATTCACCTTTAAATTAGAACTGAGTTGAATTTCTATCCCATCTGCATCTCCACATGTTTTGAACAACACGTCTGGAGAGGAACAAGTGTGGGAATGTCTGATTTAAAGTGTGCCTGCCTTTGATATTGAACACTTAAAAACATATATATACAGACAACCCCCTATCTGCACAGGGGTTGTGTTCTAGGTCATTTCGCATGACGGCAGAGAATGTATAAGCCCGTTATGCCCCGCTTTTGGCTAGCTTACAGTTTATCGTATTGTCTGAACCAATGAAAGTGATTGTGCTTTGTTTCAAACAAGCCAATTTCAAACTATAGTTTCCAAATCTGGCCTCTTTAAAGTCAGCATAGTTAAATGTCAAACACTATTCTGGCCCTGCTGACTGTGGTGAAGCCACGCATAGGAGCATCTGGGATCAGACTGTGGGGACCCTGAAAGAGGCTGGGCCTGTTCATGCTCCGCTAAACTATAGTTTAATATGGTGTCCAAACACAGCAAATTCATTTCTCTCTCTTATCACAAGGATGCTGTTCAATTGCTCTTTTGGAAATACATGCATGTCCTCCTTTGCTTCCTCTTATCACTATAATCTATCTATCTGTTTGCATAGTCCTTCCCTAGCAGTATTTGTGTGAAAGGGTAATAATGTCTTCTATCAACATACAATTTTAAAAAAATTATCAACTGTTCGCCATATATCTATTTCACTTGTAGACTGAAATGCATTTTCAAGATACGATATTGACTGTCACACAAATGGCATAAGTTGTGTGAATAACATCGTAAGATTAAATTTTACTTGTAAAATGGGCAAACGTTTATTGCCTGGAGAAGCTGGTAATTTGCGCTACCCCAGTAATTCTGCTTGGAATATTTATTGATAACTGTCTCTTCAAGGTTGATGATTTAAGCCGCTTATGCATATGGGGCAGAGATAGCTCTTAGTTGTTTTCGATTATGTCATCATTTGGGGGAAAGGCTCTTACAGCAACTAACAATTTTTTGAATAAAAATTGATTCATCCTACTGATGATTAAAGGCCACTCTACATAAAATGGGTGAGACTAGCAACTGTGTTTGAGAGCATACTATGCTATAAAAGCTGGGTGTACAGAAACACTTGAGCATTCTGTAATATAATTTAACAGATGATGTCGTGTGTTTTGCAGCACGCTCTGTCTGATAAAGCCAATGTGAAAACATTTGATCCAAAGACAACCTGCTTGCAAGAATGCCTTATCACGACTTTCCAGGAAGCTTACTTTGTCTCTGAAAGTTTTGAAGAAGCCAAAGAAAAAATGAGGCAAGTTCTCTCACTTGACCCTTAAAAACAACCCCCAAATCTAATTTTCTCTTATCTGAAGGCACAGAAATAGGAGTTAATTTTCTTTCTTTTCTTTTTTTTTTAACTTTCAGGGACTTTGCAAAATCAATCAACCGTCCCTTTTCAGTATATTTCAACCCATACACCCAAAGCATTGAAATTCTGAAAGACACCAGAAGTATTGAAAACGTTGTCCAGGATCTTCGGAGTGACCTGAACACAGTGTGTGACGCTTTAAGCAAAATGAACAGATACTTGGGGATATGAGTTATCCAGTGTTGTGGGATTTGGAGTGTAGCTACCTTAACACCATTATACGATGCGATGTCTGTTCCTTCTCTGTTGCATGACTGTTACACTTCCTTAGTGTGTGATATTATCCGACTGTAGCTTCAGATACGCCAGTGCTAACATGCTGATCCGCAAGGAAGTGGAACATGTATCCTTTGCTTATTTGTTTAAATGTTTAGCTTGCCACGCAGCTTTTAAAAAGCTCCCAGGGCAGCTTACAAGCACATAAAATGAATACACTTCAATAAAAAGCAAATACGTCAATAAAAATGCACATATTAAAGACAAAAAAAGCATCCATCATCATCATCATCAAGCAATAGCAGCTGTAAACAAAATTACAATAAGAACTGCATTTTTTAAAAAGTTTATGTTCTCTGATACTAAATGGTTCTCACTAGCCTAGCAGACAGATCTGATGACTTCAGTTGAGGGGAATGTACCATAAATGTGACACCACAACAAAAAAGGCACTGTCCCTTGTACCAGCCACCTTGATCTCAGGCAATGCTGGCCCAAGCATGCCTCAAAATGGCACTCCATTTCCCACCAGCGAGGAAGGGACGAGTGAAGATCAGGAACAGGGGGCAAAGGAGAGAAAGATTGACACTGGGATCTGCTGCCTTTGTGGATCTGCCGCCTGAGATGATCACCGCCCCTAGCCTCATGGGTGGGCCGGCCCTGTACTTAAAGCAGGGCCAGAATAGGGAAGTTCATGCAGAGAGTACCTGGGAATCGACCTATTTAAAGATCTAAAAGTTTAGTCCAACACTTTAAATTGTGTCCTGAAACAAACTGGGAGTTAGTGTGAGTCTTTCCACATAGGCATAATGTGCCACCGAGCGATCCAAAACCTTGACAAGGAGAAGCACAGTGGGGGACATTGGCAGATGCACTACAGCACCCAGCGCTCTGCCACCTTCTGAACCAGTTGATGTTTCTGGAAAGTTCTTAAAGGTAGCGCCATGCACAGTACATTACAACAGTTCCAGTTTTGAGGTTATCAAGGAATCCATGGCCACGTCACTCTCCTCTAGAACTGGTTGCACAGATGAAGCTGCTGAAAGGAACTTGGGTCTCTGGGAGCATAATAAGGTCCAGGAGACTGTTTAAGAATATACTTCCTTGATATAAGCCTGCAAAGCCCTGATATAGCCAGAAGTTCAGACGTGTTTATGAGCTGGTTTACACACGTTCGCTCATTCATCACTTTGCTACTTCAGCTTTGAGTGTTGATTTGCATGTCCGACCCAAATGAACACCTCATCATGAGCTCAACCACAATGCTTTACAGTGCAGCCCTCACTTTCAGCTGTAGGTCATTGAGTGTTGAGTAATAAAGTGATGTACAGAGATATGCGAGGCCACCCTTAACACCATGCATAAATGTGGTATTGAAAAACCTGACTTGGAATTGATTTTGTTTTCTTTATGACGTGGTGGTTGTTTTTTGTTTTAAAGGAAAATGTAACAAATGTCTCCTCTTTTTTGTTAGCAATGCACATTCCCCTCTTCCCTCACATTTTTACAACCACTGGGTTCCCACCAGAACTTGAGCAGCAAAGAACTGCAATCTTTTTTGTTTTCCATGTTCAGTGGAGACATATTTCTTGCTTGGCTGGTGATGACTGTTTCTGTCCCTGCGCCTTTAGATTCAACTGTGGTTTATGTGACATGGTGAAGAACATAATATGTCTCTGTTAAATGGCCTTTGGGGTATAATATACATAATGGACAGTTATTTCCAAACATTGAAGCACCTTTTCATTTTGTGTGTGTAGCCCTGTTCCACTTGCATATCATACAGAAATCCCTAATTTATAGATCCCACCAAATAGTAAAAAGATGCACAACATCGTTCTTCATATATTTTTCTTGAAAGATGGCACATAAGAAATTAAAGGCTGCAATCTTTTGAACTCAGCAAGCTTGCTTCAGAGTAAATATGCACTTAGTCAGTTATCTCTGTAATTCTTAACTAATTGTTATATGAAACGAATTATTACAATGCATCAATCGATAGTAGTAACGCCTTAGTAGGATGTTTAATCAGGCACAATTTTTCTCAACTAAATAGGAGATATCTAGTTGCTAGTTTGAAAATTCTTCTTAAATCATAGCCTAAATCAAGAGATATAATTATGATAACTCTGTGTGTCCATGTGTATGATTAGCTATAAAGAAAGCATCTGTCTTTCACAGGGGGCAAGCTATGACTACAAACAGCTTTTTTTTTTTTAAAAAAAGGAAATCTTAATTTGTAATTGAATGTGACAAATTAATCACAAAATGCACTTGGCTCTAGAGAAATTGTAGATTCTAAATTAGCTGTGGAAATCCTGACATGATTTTCTCTTGCTTGCAAATTATCTGGGGCCATCATATACACCTTGCTGCATTATCCAGAATATTCCAATGGATTTTTCTAGATGTGTGTAAGTGGTGTTTATTTAGTGGGTCACTTTCACATGCACAAAAGAGGACTGTTAAAGCTGAGGAAATTCCGATTCCTTACAAGTAAACGGATGAGCATGGAAGTCATCTTTTTGTAACAATTGCGGTCTAATTTCTGAAATGAAAGCAGTCTGGGCAGCCTAAGTTAGTAGGAACAGTAGCACTTCAGGGATGGATCAATGATATTTTTTGAAATTGCTTGTTCAGATTAGAATAAGTGCTCATGCACTAAAACAAACATCAAAAGTAATATTAGTACCATACAGCTAACTTTTGGGAAGACTGACAAGACCCTAATGAACAAACATTATGCTCTGTCTCTCTGGCTTTCTAGCTTGCTGCTTTACTTCTAGGTCACATTATTGCTAATTCTCACCTCTCTACTCTAAACTCTGGCTTTACCTGTTGAGGGAGGGCCCCCTCACCCATTTGCCATCGCCTGCTGAGCCTTCTTGATCCCTTTGTTCTCTTAATGGCCGTTCACCCAGGTGCTCACAGGAAACTAGACTGGCTTAATTAGATTTTAACACTTGCTGGATCCACGGATTAGAGAGGTCTGGCACCTAGTTTAACACCCCAAGCCTTGATTAAATTCTAACACTTGCTAGATTCAGGGATTATAGGAAACTGGCACCCACAAACTCATGATACATCTTAAAGTCCATCCCTGGCATCTGCAGGTGGGGTTGGAAATACTCTAGTCCAAAACCTCAGAAACCTGTGGCCAATCAGTGTAGGCCATACTGGTGCCCTCCAAATGTTCTGGGCTACAGTCATTCAGTGTCATGAACTGGCAGGATACAGGGGAGGTGGGAGAGGAGGAGGAGAATCCCAGCGCCAGGTATAGCCAGGACTGGGGCAACTAGGGCAAGCAGAGGAACGGGGAAGGAAGTACTCGCGGGGTGATGAAGGATGGCAAGGAGATGGGTGTCAGTGCACAGGAACCAGAGCAGCAGGACCCAGAGCCAGAGGGGCCCCTGTCTCCACAAACACCGTGGGCTCTGAGGCAGAGGGAGGCGCGAGAGGGGCGCTCTAGGAGGCTGAGGCAGACAAGGGCCCACAGCCCAGCTCCCTAGCTGGCCAGGTGGAGATTGCTAGCTCTGGGAGGAGGTGTGTGATTCCTCAGCTGAAGTAGGCTGAGGACAGGTGAGGCTCACATGGCTCATCAAGCACAGATGCTGCAATCAGCATGCAAAGTGCAAAGGGGAAGCAGAGCTGAGGTGCTGTGACTGCTCAACTGCCCATGTTGATGGACCTTGGCTTGGATGCTTCTGGACCTCTATGGGACTGTGCTTTGGGTTTGACTCTGGACTGTATCCTGACTGCTGGACTTCATATTTGGCCTACTTGGATTGACCCTGTACTGTGTTTCCTGACCTTCGGACCTTGGACTTTGCTTGTGTGGATTGATCCTCAGAGTTTGAACTTCGGACTTGATATACTGACTTGCTGCCAGGTAGGTCAGGGGTTCAAGACATTCAGGGATGATGGGAGTTGTACTCAAAAGCATCTGGAGGGCAGCATGGCTGACATAGGCAATACTGAGCTAGATGGAACAGTTGCCTGACTCAGTCTAAGGCTGGAATAGCCAAACTAGCTTCTTGGTGAGGTGATGGGGAATTAAGGGGCTTGGTGTGAGGTGGTGAATGGGTGGACAAACAAAGCTAGAATTTGGAGTAGAGAGTTGCAGTGATGTAGGCCAGATGTGAACCAACAAGCTGGAAGAATGCAGAGAGACAGAATAATGATGTCTGTTTGAATCCAAGGCTGTGACTATGGGAAAAATAAAATGCTTTGGGAGTGTTGATGTTGGGAACCCCTCCACTGTAGGCTCAGGTTTTATATATGTATAAGTAAGCCATATATCATAAAGACACCACTGTCTCTGCTGTGCCTCATTCCAAAAGGAAACATGGCCTGGATCCCCTGGAATCTCATATCTTTTGGAGACTGGGGTGGCAGGCAGCACTGTTTTAGTCCTCACACCAGGAGCAGCCACTGAAAAGGAGCAAGCGAGCCTTGGCCAGAGGTTTTGCGGATTTTGTTGTGTGCCACGCTTAAAGAGCACCTAACAACTCTCTTGTAGCTCTTCACCAGGAAATTGCAGGTTATCGAGATTTACTTCAGTGGCTCTCAAAACCTCTATGACAGAAATAATAGGATTTACTTGACTTCATCAGGTAATCAAACACAAAAGAATAATGACCGTAAAGCAACCTACCTCCACTCTGAAAACAACTAGGGTCAAGCTGTCCTTGATGCTTTCTCCTCTTTTAAAAAGTAGTTGTGAGGAAGAAGCTGGCAGGCTGGCTGCTTGCTCATGAGTAGCCTCAGCACTAATTATCATAGATGGGCTCTGGTGAAGTAGGGTAGAGGTTGATGAGAGGCTATAAGCCTTCAGACTCCTCCCTGAAAGGTTATACAGTGGTACCTCGGGTTACATACACTTCAGGTTACAGACTCCGCTAACCCAGAAATAGTACCTCAGGTTAAGAACTTTGCTTCAGGATGAAAAGAGAAAT